CCAGCTTCGAAGACGCCGACTGCCCGGCATTTCCTGCGGCAACGTTTCCTTCGATAACGTTCTGATTAACTTGTTCGTTACGTCGGAATGTGCACGCAGCTCCTCCGACTCGTACGGATCGTCGTCTCGTAGGGCTCGCTCTCGTTCGACAGGCTACGGCCGAAGATCAGCCTCGATTGGTCGGATCGATCGGATTCCCCGATGACGGCGCCGTTCCTGCAGGACCGACCCACCGATCGTATCTGCCAAATGGAACGTCCGCGGTTTAACTAGTCACGTACGCGGATAGTTGGATACCTTCTACACTCCGGACGATTATTCGACCGACCAGGATAGAATTCAAGAGCGTAGGTATAGGGATAAGTACGTAGGTACAGGGAGCCGTGCTTTCGCACGGGCGAGCGCGCTTGCGGTCGGGCTTACGATAGCCGACGATTTCTTGTAAATAGGGAGAGGAATTTCATTGATCGTCACTTCTTTCGCGAATCGAGCCTCGTCTCTCGTGCCACCGTCTTCTTCGGATTTTACTCGACGCTCCCGAGCGCAAAGTGATTGCAATAGGATTTCGCGCGTAAAGTCGATGGATTCTCTCTACGTCATTTCGGGGCTATCGGGCGCGACTAAAGATTACAATCGTATCATCAAGTTGAAGGTGAATGAAGCTCTTCGCGTCGCGATCGAGATGCTCAGGGTGTCGTTCAGTCATAAATTGGCCTCCAACCGGGAAAGCCGACTTTGCCGCGAATCTTTCAATGCGCGTGATGCGCGTAACAATATCGCGTGATAATATTTTCGCAACAATCCCACACGTCCGGCTATGAATAGACGAAGATAAGCGCGAGCACGCTTCTTCGAGAAACGAGACGTTGCTTCTCTCGGTCGATGATCGTTGCGCGGAGGATACAGGTGAGATTTTACAGATACGACGAAGGAGATCCGTTACTTCCTTCGCGCGGGAAACGTCGCGCGTCGAAAATTGAAAAGCGTAAAAATCGAAGTTTCTCTCATTCGCGCGAGCAAATTCCTAGGTGTGTTCGATTCCTATCCGATCCGTGAGTCGGGAGATGAAAATTTCGCGCTCCCCGAGAGAGATTGGTTTCCTCGTCCGAAAAATAGCGCGCCACGGCGTCAACTTAATATCGATTTCAACGCGTTGTAAACGTACCTCGGCGGAGAGATGCCCGTTCGAGCCGCAATTACTGATGTCGCCGAGCTCCCAATCCTCCAATTTACTCGGATCGTACTTCATGAATCCGCCGTCGGTGACCCCGTTCTCGCTCTCGCTCTCGCTCTCGCTCTCGCTCTCGCTCTCGCTCTCGCTCTCGCTCTCGCTCTGCAGCCTAGCACCTGATACGGCGACAGATGCTCGACGCCGCTGCGTTCCGGTATGTATTTCCGAGGCGCACAGAGACTGGTTTTCCGCAGTCGAGATGAACGCGCGAGTGTAATCATTACTTATGAAGAGAGAGAGAGAGAGAGAGAGAGAAAAGAAACGGAAGACAAAGAAAGCACGTGGAGAAAGTTAACGACACTCTCGCGCGCGCGTGCGTCCGTACGACGTCTAAAGAAAATCGACGATTCAAGGCAAAAGGTGTACAAGCGAATAAAAGAGAGGAAAAGAAGCAAACCGGGACGCCCCGAGTTTCATTGCAAAATCAGAAAAATTCCATTGCGCAGCTGCGTCCTGAAATGTCAATTTCTGACCGAAATTTCATTTCGGTCAACGAATCCTGCGTGGATTTTTCTTTATACGAGCTTTTCTCCTGTAAAATGCTTCTTTAAAGAAAGATAAAATAACACATTCGGTAAACCTTAATAAGAAATATTGTCTCTCTTTTAGATTTGTATTTTCTGCAAAATTTGTACAATGCTGACGTGCAAATAAACGTGCATTGAGCTGTAATTATCGTGAACGAATCACGTAGCGTGATTGCGTATCGAGAAGTGTGAAAAATGAAATCACTGAATATCATAATATTAGGTAAAGAAAAGTTTCGTTATTATTATTAATATCAAAAAGCCTGAAAGCGGTCATGGAGGCGATTTTCTATGCAGCTCTATTTCGAAGCATCTCTATATCCATTTTGTAGGCGTAAATTTTGTAGGCGTAGTCCATTTTGTAGGCGTAAAAACCTAGCCAATGACTAGTATTTTTTTCAGAGGCTAAGAAGTAATGTCCAGAATTTTGTGGTACTGTTTTGTCCATGATGGAGGGAAGTCCGAAAGCGGTCATTCCGTGAGATTATGTTAATATCAAGCGCACGCAGTAAAATAGTGATTAATAGAATAATGAAACATGATATCGGTCAAATACAGGTAGACACACACACACACACACACGCACACACTCATTACCTTTTTATCTTCTCTCAAGGAACATATCATGCAGATTACCCGGCAAACTCAGTAATATTGCCGGTCAATTTTGCCGAGACTTGAAACTGTGGTTCGAATCTCGACTGAAAAATTGATTTTAGCCAAGACTTGAACCATATTTTAATGGCTTTCCTAAAATTTAACTGAGACTCAAACCACAATTTACTGCTTCCCGTGAGACAGACATTCCCAGCAGAACGCATTTTTACTAAAGTTGGCTAAATCATTTCAGAGAGACGAACAACAAATTTAAAGCCAAAAACATTGGTGTCTTCTCTAATATTTTTTAATTAAAATAAATGATTAGTTTCTTAGCCAAAATATCTTTGGCTAATGGGAAATACGGAATCATTACAAACTGTCGATAGATAGTAATCGTTAGTCACACTGCAAACTATTGATAACTATTGATGGGGCAGTATGGATAGTTCTTCACTTCTAGCGTAATCCTTGCGAATTAGTTCCGAAATTTCCGCTATGAGTCACCACTTTCCTTAATTAAAGTCGTAGTACAAATCCATAATAAGCCAGGCAGGGACCGTCAATTTTATTTTAAGTATTGCTACTCGCAACAGCGAGTCGTAAGTATTTATGCTGAAAGATACGTAAAACTTAACTAGGCTATTCGATTTTCAACTAATATTTAACAGAACGCAAATACATAAACACGATTAACGTACTATCATAAAAATAATATTATTCGTTTGATTAATATTAATGGTAATTATACGTATACCGCGTATCAAATATAATCGTATGACAAAGTCAAGGAACAAACAATGACGCACGTGGAAGATACGAATCTAACAAGAAAAAGAGAGAGGGTGCCAAATTTCCTTTCAGCTGTCGACGCTGAAATGGCGATTGTTCAATTTTCAACCTCATCTTTCAGTTCTCACGTCGAGAACTTATTCCTACAAAAAAATACGAAAAAGGCATTCTAAAGAGAAAATTTTAGAAATGTTGGTGATTGATCTTTGATTGTCGTTCTCACACCCTCATCCTTAGATTTGATTTAAAAACTTTTGAAAGTTTTCAAATAAACTGGAAACTGGCACGTAAAAATCTGTCTTTTTCTTTACAATTTTTTAATACAAACATTTAATAATCTAGATACTTTTTGTGTAATATTAGCTAGACAGCTGACATTGGTGGTGAAATCTGGATTGTCTAGCTGAAGTCAGTCTTTCTCTCCAAGAGGGTAGTTTTCTCTCCAAGAACCTTTCTGAACACATTGGCTGCAGTAAAAACTAGAGTGAAACAAAATATACGTCTAACAAAATAAGTCTAACTTATTTAGGTGCACTTCACGTGCAGTACGGCTCAGGAAGTTCTTCGAGAGGGAACAAACCCCAGCATCACTCACTATCACCTTTCGCTGCCACAAATAGACCACGTGTATAGTCCTGACGACCACGTGACTGTCGCGTGCGGCGAGCCTCGAAACCGCGGACGACACACGTAGACCGGACGAACAGCAGAGAGTCAGGTCGGTTCGGTCGGTCGGTTCGCGCTCGTTCCCTCTCTCGGCTGGGATCACGTGCCATCAGTCGTTACGACAGCGAGAGCGACACGGCATGCGCTCTTATCAGGCCTGCTGTACTCTTGCGGCAGTTCGAAGTGTACGCGCGCGAGCACCGCGGAGCACCGCGAAGGGAGGAAAGAGAGAGGGAAGGAGAGCGAGCGAGCGAGCGAGCGAGCGAGCGAGCGAAAGAGCGAGAGAGAGAGAGAGAGAGAGAGAGAGAGCGAGAGAGAGAGCGAGCGAGAGAGAGCGAGAGAGAGAGAGAGCCCTTGTGACCTTTCTCGCTCAGTCCGTGGTGACCTTCGTTTGAACCTGATCGTGAAACTGCGCGCTCCAGTCGGCCGGGTGTCTCCTCCTGTGTCAGTCCAGACAGCAGTCAGTCCCGCGGACGGTCCGTCCTCTTCTCCTCGCCACCGGCGCGTTGTAGCCACGAGTACGTCGGGAACGTCGGTGAGTGAAAACAAGCTCGACTTGCGTAGGCACCGGCGATCGAACGGCGACGGCAGAGAGCGTGCTCTCGGCGAGAATCGGAGTATGGGGAGGCTCTTGACCTTGCGAGCGTGTGACATGCGCCCGGAGAACGTATCTTCGCTTTCCTCGCCGTCCCGTCCCGTCCCGTCCCGTCCTGTCGCGTCGCATCGCGCCACGTAACTTGAATAACATAATTAAAATAGACCGACTCCGTGCGGCGCGACCGAGCCTCCGGGACGACGAGGCGCATTTTCGGGACGGTACAAATCCGATTACACTGGCCGTCGAGCGTGTCGACGATCCTACTCCGGCTTGGATCCGGAATCGACCGAGGCGACGACCCGACGCGACGACGATCCTCCCTCGCGTCCAGTGAACCGACCGTGAAGCCGACTGTATTGGAGGCCAAGTATTGGAGGATCGAAAGCTGGTTAATTATACGTGAATTTTTATCTCTGCCAAATAATTTTCTCTCTCTTCCGATAAGGTCTTCAAATCCAATTATTGGAATTATGGAATAGTAGAATTAGAAGACAGAGTCTCGAAATCAGCCGACGTGTCGAGTCTTAATCTCTAATCAGTAATCCTCTTTTCTCCGATAAGATCTTTTAAAGCCCGTATCAAGCCAAGTAGGATTTTTCCCGAACTGAAGATTGAACTTTGTCTGTCTCGGAAAAAGAAAAATAAGTCCTCGAAAAAATCGGTCGAATCGTCAACGAATCCCACAATCCACACATTCATTATTCTCTATTTTTAACATTTAATCTGATATGGGCTTTACGCGATAGGAAATGTTATTGACCCTCGGATTGGAGATAAATTCGCCGGCCACGGTGCGTGCTTGCCGTAGGATGATGATGATGATGATGATGAAAGCCGCGGCGCGGTCCGATAATACAGATAAGGTTCCCCCTCCCTCGCACCTGTTATTCAACACACTCGAATCCGACGTTCCGGGCGAGAGACGCACGTGGTCGCACGCCGAAGAAGAAATTGTGTCTCTATGTGACTGATTATAGTAAGAGCAGCCTGTTTATCGCGTGGCGCGCGCGCTCGTTTTCCTCGCCCGCTTTGCAAATTGACTCGCAGATAAGCAGCGACACTTGAGTACGCAAATCGCATCGATTATACTTGGAGATGGAACCGCGCGCGCGCGCGCGGAATTTGATTGCGAGCCAAACAGATTGTTTCACGCGTGAACGGTGAACGGGTTGACACATAACAGCGGCGAAAGCGTTTTGGAAGAGCGAATGTGACGGCGAAATGTTGACGTGTAATTAGATCAGGACGATTGGTGCAATTAGATCATCGGATCGCGGTGCGACCGAGACGCGCGGCGCGAGATCGTAAACCTCGAAAAACCTCAGATTCCGCTTCGCTCGAGTCCGACTGACCGCTGAGAATGATCGATATGTAGATTGCAGAGTAAGCGAAGAAAATGTCAAGGGAGCGCGCTTCCAGACGATTTTACCGTATAGACAGTACCAATGATCTGTTCGAGTTTATGGACCGCGGCTACACTGCCCAGAATGAGAATCGGTGGAACTTCGAAGTCGCTTGGGAAGCCGCCAACAAAGGTGCGATGTCGCGCATTGTTATTGTATCGCTATAAGTGTCATGTGTTGGATCATTCGCAAAGTCCCGTTCGAGCTTCTGTCTGCGGTGAACAACCGGCCGCTCTCTGCAATGCGCAGTCCGCAGGCAGCGCCAACTTCTCAAGGACGTCTCAAGGTCATGTCAGAGTAGGCAAATGGAGATCGAAGATTGCGGGCTGAAGACTGGAACCGACTCGGCACGAATCGAGCAACGAAAATCGATGTTCGTTGATTCGCAGATAATCTTTAATCCGCAAATAATTCTCTGAATTTCCGATGCCTACTCGGGGATTAAGACTTGCCACTTTTTGAGACGTCTTTCAAGAGCTCGTGCTGTTTACGAGTGTCATCAGAACGTTGGCGTGAAAGACCGTGAAAGGCAGTGAGGAGGATCGCTCGTTTGATGAATGAATTCTTTCTTTATGAACGAAGCGAAGCGAAAATTTCACTCAGAAGCCGAGCCAGACTTTTTGACTGTCCCGACACTCTCCGATCGCTCTTCAGCCTCATGCGCGACCTGTGACTTTCTTTCAGTCGGTGGAATCTATACGGTGATAAGGTCCAAGGCCTACGTGTCGACGGAAGAAATGGGCGATCAATATTGTCTGATTGGCCCGTACAAGGAGACCTCGGCGCGCACCGAGGTTGAGGAGAGCGACTTCCTGCCGCACAATCCTCTCAATCAAACGGTGCAGAAGATGCGCGATCAAGGTTACAAAGTGAGTCTCGCATTGGGGCTCGTCCTGGATCGTCGTGTTCGACCCATCAGTCTCATTGCCAGTATCGATCAATGATCGAGCATTCGGCGCTCAGAGACGGCCGCTCACGGTGATGGCCAAGAGTTGTGTTTTGGCCATCCGCCACAGGCGTGGCAAATATAATTCAAGGACACACGGTGCGCGGTAGTTCCCTGTAATGCTACCTGCAACATTTGTCTCAATATCAGTGTTTGTACAATTGATGAAAGTTGCGAGAGCCGAATGGAAGTTGCGTCAGTCGAAAAGTTCGATTCAAACTGCAAAATCTCCCTCGAGAGTGAGCTTCTTCCTTCCGATCACTTCTTTTTTTGTGAATAAAAATAATGCAATAAGGTCAGATTTGACTATAAGATTGAATTGAACTTTTACACTGATCCAATATGAGGATCATCCTGGATGCGTTCAGGATATCCTGAAAGATCTCTTGGAATATCCTCGAGATATTTCGTCTTGTGCTATCTGGAAGTACATTAGTACGAGACGAAACAATCGATCGCTTCGTTACTTCATAAAGTGTTAACCTTCGAGGTGATAACGGGGACCTGGCTGGTGGATGGGAATCCCCAAATCATCTTGTTCGACATCGGGAGCGCCGCCTGGAAGTTGGACGAGTATAAACAGGAGTTATGGGACACTTGCCACTTTGGTATACCCCATCTCGACATCGAAGCTAATGACGCTGTTATATTTGGATACTTGATTTGCCAATTCATCGCCGAGTTTAGGTATAAAAAATCATACGTATTAGGCCAGTCCAAAAATTCGATTCAGTCCACCAAATCCTCGACACGGTCGAGCGTTGATATTATAAAATTACTAACAATAAATATTACGATTTCTCACTCAGCGATGTAAATGTACGCAGAGTCTGTAAACACAACAGTTCCATTGTCGAGTGAGAAATGACAACATCGACGCAATGTTATCGTCAGTTGTTGTTTCTACTGGCCAAATAGCGTCGTGTATAAAGGCGACGATTATTAATCGCGAAACAGTTTTCATTGCTCGCAACAAAGTCCAACTTCGCAAAATCGAAGCGAACTTTCCCCCCAAAGCGACTGACAAGCGACATAAGTGATCGCGCCATGAAACCCCGCAAGATAAAAACCCCGAATTTGCTGTTCGATCCTGTTCGATAACACAGAAAGGCGGCGGAAGGGTACTCATCCATCGCTCCGAGGGTGGTCGTGCACTGTCACGAGTGGCAAGCTGGTGTCGGGCTGATCGCTCTGCGAACGAGACACGTGGACGTGGCCACGGTGTTCACCACTCACGCCACCCTCTTGGGCAGATACCTCTGCGCCGGAAAGACCGACTTCTACAACAATCTGGATAAGGTAGATATATCCACCACGTGTTCACCCCAGATGCCTGATAATTCTTCTTGCAGTTCAGCGTCGATGAGGAAGCTGGTAAGCGACAGATATATCACAGATACTGCATGGAACGCGCGGCGACGCACTTGGCGCACGTGTTCACGACGGTGTCCGACATCACCGGCTTCGAGGCCGAGCACTTGCTCAAACGCAAACCGGACATTATCACGCCGAACGGGCTGAATGTGAAGAAGTTTGCGGCGCTGCACGAATTTCAGAATTTACACGCTATCAGCAAAGAGAAGATACACGAGTTCGTGCGTGGCCACTTTTATGGGTTCGTATCGGAAGCGCGCGACGTGCTCTCTTCCCTTTTCTCCTCTCCCGTCCTATCCTCTCCTCTTCTCTTCTCTTCTCTTCTCTTCTCTTTTCTCCGTGGAAGACTCGTCGTCTTCACGGAGCACCTCGTGTCCCGACACGCTCGCTGAATCTCACGGCTGTGCCTGTGCTTCTTGCAGACATTACGACTTCGACTTGGATAAAACCCTGTACTTTTTCATCGCCGGTCGGTACGAATTTGGGAACAAGGGTGCCGATATCTTCATCGAAGCCTTGGCCAGATTGAACCACTACTTGAAAACGTCGAGGCCCGACTTGACCGTGGTCGCTTTCCTCATTTTTCCCGCGAGAACCAATAACTTTAACGTCGAATCTCTCCGTGGCCACGCAGTGAGTCATTGCGATGATATATACAGCTTAGTAGAGAAAAAGAAAAGAAAACACGTTGATATCCTTTCAGTCGACAAGATCGTGCGTTGATATCTATCTTATAAAATTACCGTTCTCAGGTAACGAAATCCTTGCGAGATACCATTAACGATATACAACAGAAAATAGGAAAACGGATGTACGAATTATGCCTTTCTGGTCGTATGCCGGAAGCCGAAGACTTGTTACAGAAAGAGGATACTATTAAGATCAAACGGTCCGCCAATGTAACCAACGTAGCTCCTTCTCGTAACTCCAATCTCGATTCACGCTTAATTTCCTATTTCCTCCCGTAGGTGTCTTTACGCGCTCCAGAGGAATGGATTACCACCTATCACGACACACAACGTTATTGACGACTATAACGATCCGGTGTTGAATTCCATTAGGAGATGCAATCTCTTCAACACCGTCCACGATCGTGTCAAGGTATGCGTATGAGTGTACGTGTACGTGTATTTACATACATACTGCGTACATACATACTTTCTACGTGTAATATAAAAGACTCTACATACTTATTCATCTAATATATATAAATCGTACATGATACGTAATTTATACATTGTAATGTAATTATAATATACAACTTTATATACTCTATATATATATATATATATATATATAGAGTATACTTGTACAGAATGTATAAAAAGTATCAAAGGACAGCGATATTTCGAGATATTTCGTCGTCCTATGGTATGATTTCTATATATTTATATAATATACAAAGTACATATAGTCGAAAAGTACAAAAGAAGACTCTTACAACACTCTTGCCTCGATAAAAATCAAAACGCGTCGTCGAATGTCCAATGAAAGGAGATTCTCTTCCAAGAATTACCGATAAAGAGAAATCTTCATACTTGCATCAACTCATATTGGAATGCGTTGCAACTCGTTAAGAAGAAAAGAAAGTGTTGCTACTTTTCCGTCTGTGATGGCGTATCAGAAAAATGTGACATATATTATTATCTGTCGTTTGCAGATAGTATTCCATCCGGAGTTTCTCTCGTCGACGAACCCGCTGTTTGGCCTCGACTACGAGGAGTTCGTCAGGGGCTGCCACTTGGGCGTGTTCCCCTCATATTACGAGCCGTGGGGATACACGCCGGCTGAATGCACGGTTATGGGCATTCCAAGTATCACGACGAATCTGTCAGGTTTCGGATGCTTCATGCAGGAGCACATAGCGGACCCGATGAGCTACGGCATCTACATCGTCGACAGACGCTTCATCAGCCTGGAGAACAGCGTGCAACAGCTCGCACAGTACATGTTCGACTTTGCGCGACTCAGTCGTCGGCAGCGCATCATTCAGAGGAACCGCACAGAGCGTCTCAGCGACCTTCTCGACTGGCGTAATCTCGGCATTGTAAGGCGACACACTATTACCGCATTTCGTACTTTCCCCTTCCAGCCATGAATCTGTCTCTTCTGTTTTGCTCTTTTCTATCTTCCCGGCAAAAGAAGAAAAGTATTTTTTCCTCTCTCCATTCAACAGAGCATTTTGATCCATGTGTGGACGTGTGTGTGTGTAATTGTGCATAATTATATTTGTAATCACGTGGAGACAATGTTTATGTATGGTTCGTATGGTACAATTTATTTATAATCATAGATAATTTTATATAATTATATGTATATATATATATATATATATATGTGTGTGTGTGTGTGTGTGTGTGTCATGTTCTCATTCCACATTATTTTTCAGCTCTCAGTTCTTCCCCTCTAATTCGCGTCTCTGATTCTTTACTTTCTTCTGTCGCCAGTATTATCGTCAAGCGAGAATCAAAGCACTGATCACTGTGTATCCGGAGCTCCAGTCGGAGTACGCGGAGGGCGGTGTCGGTCGATTCACTTATCCGCGACCGATCAGCGAACCACCGTCGCCGTTGTCTTCGCGCCATACGACACCGGCTGCGTCCGTACACGGGTCCGACGATGAGGACGAAGTTGATGATGAGAAGGAGGTAAGCGATCCGGCTAACGTAACGTAACGGTAATTGGTTTATGTAATAAGTAGTGTCAGATTTGTCAAGTAATGCAAAACAGCGGTATCGGGTAATGCGAAACATTTATCTTTATCTTTACGCCCCTTATAATTTTACGGGATCATGATCATTGTCTCAGTTAAAGTTACAACGATAAGAGAATACAGTCGTTTGGTTATGGACGAAAAATCCAAGATTGCACGATATCCAATAATTGAATCAATTGAATGTACATGTAAGTGCTAACATAAAGGCTTATTTACACGCTCTTGCGTGTGCATTTGTGTCGTAGCTAGCGGAACTACGATATCCAAGCAATAACTAAAACAATGGGATGGAAATCGACATGGAGGGAAAGAGAGAGAGAGAGAGAGAGAGAGAGAGAGAGTGAAAGGGAGAGAGCGGTAAGCAATCACAAGCGACAAGCGATCACGTGCGCGATGAAATGCAAAGCAATATAACGAAGAGAAAATTGCATGACAGTAGTGCCAAAATCTTAGTCGAGGCTCCTTCGCGGAGTGGAATGTATATACGTATCTATGTGTTTGAATGTTTCTGACAAAAGTTTTGAAGATATCTTCGTCTCGTTGGCGTCGTCCACACTGCCTCACGTGCGAAATGCAAGAGATTTAGCAAAGTCAAGAGAGAATCGCAGCAATACTTGCAACACGGCTCACAATCGTAGCAATCATGTGTTTTAGAAGTAACAGTAATATTTATTACATTTATAGCTTTATTCGTTAACGGCGCATAACTCGCTTTGTCCGTCTATCATCTAAATTTCTGATCGTGCACGCCACGTTCAGACAATGTTATTATTACTATTATCGCTATTATTATACATATCGCGGCCAAAAGTTGGAGTGCGCGAAAGAAAGAAGAAGAAGAAGACAATATTCGTCCCTGTACATGCATCATACGTCCCACGCACATCGCGCTTCACACTTGTTCGTATGGCAATATAGTCAGTGAATTTGTATACATATTGTAATTATGCGGTGTGAAAATGGAATATGTTCCTATCATGTATAGAAACAATAATATTTTTATTAGAATTGGCACTTGAATAGAAAAACATCTCTATCGTTTTTCCTCGCCGAGTTACCTCGTCCTGGCAATGTTATTCGCGACTCTCTTCCTTTCCCCTCGGACCTTCCATTACCCCGCACCCCGAAAGTGCGGAAAGACGGTATATTGCGATAATATTAACGTTGGGGAAGCAATCACGCACGGAGCAATTACCGCTGAATGTGGGTAACAACTGTTGTCTCGTTACAACGAGCGAAGAGATAATCGTCAATGTTCCGAACAGAACACTCCGAAGAGAACACACTCTCTCCCCTATGATGAATCGCGACCCCTCCAACAGGCACATGCTCCCCTCCTCCCTCCCCTTCCCTCCCTGTGAGCAATTTCTCATGCATCTATTGACCGTAATTGTCGCTGGAAGGTCGTAGGAAGACCTTGCTCCCCATTACATCATCGCGCGACGAGCGAACTTAAGGAAATGTCGAACGTCGGGGGGGAATCCATCGCGATGGGACCAAGAGCCGCTCGAGCCGCTTAATTAGGCATCTCAGCGCGCAAGACGCTGGTCCATGGCCCAGATTCATCACGGCCCGATCGTGCCTTTGCACGATCGGGCCATGATAAAAGCACCCGCGAGCGCATCGCCGACTCGCAGTCGACACCTCGCGGTATCGATTCAGTTTGCGCAATCACCATCGTCGCGCGATCGCCCGCGACTGTCCCCGATCCCCGTCCCCCTCGCAAGTCGCCGCTTCATCCTCGCCTCGATTGTTCTCACGATGTCGCCCGGAGCTGTCGAGCACCGCGAGTCGACGAGACGCGACGTGTGCTGAAACGCATGCTCACGTGCACGATCGTCGGCTGCTTCCTGCTGATACTCGTCGCCGTCGGCATCGCGCTGTTGCTGATCTACGAGCCGATCTTCTTCGTCCGGCAGACAAACGTGCCGCAAACGTGAGAACTCGCTCGCTGAGAGGAGGTATTCGAGGAAGTTTCCTTCCGAGATCGAGAATTTCCAGCAAGATACGATAAATCTGTCTCGATCACTGCAAGATGAACGAGCGGAAGCTCCTCCTCGTATTTTTTATATTTTCCACGGCGACTTTGGCGAGATGCGGCTTGCTCGAGATGTCTCAGATGCTCTGGACCAAGGCGGTGTCGGGGGGTCTCACGAAGATCGGCGACTTGAACCCGCTGCGGGTGCCGCTGATCAAAGTGGATCAGTCCGAAGGCGACACCAGCTACCGAATAATTCTGAGGAACTTGGAGATCGTCGGTCTCAATGAATCCACGTTGGAGAGCGTTCATGTAGCTCGTGGTGGGCTCAAGTCTAACCTGAGCGAGCTCGAGGCCGGCTACGTGAGTTACAGCGATCTCAGGGACGTGGAGTCCGTCAGGTACAGATTCCACACCATGACGAGAGAGGTCAACGCGCCGCAGGAGAGCTCCCACGATGCCGTGATGGCGCCCTCGGGTGAAACCGCCGATCTCAGGAGCCGATACCAGGAGGACCGTCGCGATAGGTCGCGACAAAATCAGCAGCGATTCAGCACCTTCGAGCAGAGTCGGCAGTACGACGACCGACGACCTGACGAGGTGGCCGTCGGGCCTCCCAGAGGCGGAACGCGCAGCGGCTCGGACACGAGCATTCCCGGAAACGTCGCGAGCCACCAATCTCCGGTTTATCACGCTGAATCTATTTATTCACGGGGAACGGAAGACTTCCAGGGGAATTATCGAAGCGACTCGCGCGCTCGTGGCGATGACGCGGCCGATTGCGAGGAAGCGCGAGACTCCCGGGATCGAGCGTATCCGAAGAGCTACCGGCGCTTTGAAGCGTCGCGGCAAGGCGCCGACGGTGGAGGACGGATCGCCGACGCGGAGGTTTGTTCACATACGTATATTCTATAGCCGAGGTCTCGCCTTTCGTTTCACAACCCGATCGATTCCGTCGGAATTTACGTAACTCAGACGACGGCATATACCGCACTACCGCGCGGTCGCGTAATTGTGTTACACTCGCCGAGTTTCCTCTCGGCGCCTCTCTTGTACGTTGATATTTCTCCTTTTACGTAACGTGTTTCACGACGAGGCGGCAGCCGATCGAGCGGGCAGGCGGTAGCGTTGCTGAAGCTGTGCACAATTTGCCGAAACAGGTTTCCGCGTCGGAAGCGACCGGGTCGGCCAGGTCGAAAGATCGCGCTGATGCAAGAGCTAGCGGAGAAGCGCAACCTCGGGCGCGGCTGGACCCTGCGGCCTCGGGCGATCCGAGAGAGACGCCGGAGGAGGAAGCGAGGCGGCGGCCGGGGTACATCGACATCGTCTACGCGGGTGACAGGGCTAACGGGAGCGTGAGGCGTTTTGGTAACTTCGGGGTCGAGCCCAGGGAGGATCGGCGAGTGTACGGCATCGGAGACGTCATGAAGGTATTTGACTACTCTCTCCCCCCCTTCATTTCCGTCTGATCAAACAATCTGACTTATCCTTCGCGTGACAAACAAACGGCTATCCACGAATCCTCGCGAATTCGTCTCGTAGGACATCCGGGAGAGCGCGAGGTTCATCGTCCATAACTTCACGGAGGGCGAAGCTCTGATGAAGAGAAACGACATGGCTCAAGCGGCGGGGGAAGCTAAAGGCTCGAGGGACTCGATGAGGTACGCGAAGGGCCATCAGGAGCAGCAGGGTTACTTTGAGGAAGGGATGCAGCTGATTTATCATTACGGTGGGATGCGCCCGGTGAACGACACGGGGTTCAACGACACCAGGAGAGCGAAACGAGCGCATTCGAAGGAAGCTGAAGTAAGGATAGACATGTCGGGGTCGTTTGGTGCTTTCCCCTTGTATTTTTCGACGTCGCGCTCGCGAATACGTAAGACCCGTAGGACAATAATGTGTACAATAATAAGCCTTCAGCCGTCTCTGCTGCGAGTCCTATAATTTCTCGCAGAAAATGACCATGTTGCCTCAACAGTTGGAAAATGGCGAACTCGCTTGAAAGATTAAGGGTTACCGCGCGCGTAACCCGTTATGCCGACTTCGGATAGCAGCGGGAGACGCTTCTAGCCGAAAATGAAGTTTCTCGCGATTCTCGGCCTCGTGCGAACGATCCACCTTTGACGCGCCTCGGAAATATTCCAGGGCGACGTGATGCACGTGATCCTGAGGATACGCGTCCCGCTGCTTCGCGTGCGATCCCAGTACACGCTCGTGGGGAAAGTAGGGAAGGAAGTGTTGCGCGGCAACGGCCTGTTCGCCGGGAACTTTAGTGAGTAACAAGAGAGGAAAGGAGGGGAGATTAGCGTAGAGGTGTAAGAATTCGCGTCGCGAAAATGAAAAAGTGTAACTCCCTCCTCCTAACAGCTGACCTGACGAGCGACTTCACGTTGGAGCTGAAAAGGGTGAACGGCGAGTTGATGATCGTGCGCGCCGCTCGTGCGAGACTCTCAGCCAGAGATCAGAAGATCACTCTTCAGGGTATGGACGAGGAGGGTCCGGTGCGAGCTGCTCTCAGCCACGGTGAGTGTTCGACGTCACCGATGGCGCGACTCCTCCAACTTGGCGAGCGACCCAACTCCGCGATGCTTCATCATCCGATTATTACGGCCGTCGCGATCACTTCCCGCGCATTCCCGCGCTCGCGCATGAAGCGAAACCGCAAAATTGCGATCGTCCTCGGCTCGGGTCGAGGAAAGAGACAAAAAGAGGGCGCTGCGAAAGAGAACGCGCGGAATTAAATGCGAGTGTCCGATCGGCCGATCGATTACTCGCTCGCTCGCTCGCCGGCCGAAGCCGGTCGCGGCACGGATTACGTGAGACCGCATCTGTTTTTGTTACGGGCCGCGCGTCGCGGCTCTTCCGCGGTTACTCGCGCGGCATGAAAAGCCGCCGCGAATTCTTCCGTGGAAAGTCCGGCCGTCGGCCAGACAACGCGGTGCGGCTCCGCCGGGCGACTCCGCGATAGTCGCGCGCGATATCGCTTATCGAGCGCGACGTGGTCCCACGTCGATTACCCGCAAACCCGGCGGGACAGCCCGGCTAGGAAAGCGAGCGTGCACTCGGAAATTCCGCGCGCGTATTTACGCGGGGATATCGGAATTCCTCCGGTCTCCGCTCGCGGGATCGGGAGGAAGCGGGAGCGAGAGGACGCGAGATCCGAGATCCGAGATCCGAGAGAGTAAAAGTCCTCGCTTTCTTGCCGTCGGACGGCTGACCGTCCGACGAAGCTGCCGGACCGTACGTCTCCCGTGTCCCGTGCGATATTAACTCGTGCGGTTAATCTCTCATCTTCACATTGACTTTCCTCCGCAGGTTTAACGGCTGCGGAGGCAGTCGCCGCGATGCTCGCCGACGACTTCGCCACGAAGGGGCTCAGCGAGAAAACGGCCGACGCGGTCATCTACAGGATGTACCAAGATCTGCCGGTCAATTAGGCAAGCCGTCTGACTGGACAGTCGCCCCCGGAAGGAATCTCTCGCCTTTGTGCCTTGCTCTGCACCTTTCGCCCGGCGCGCGTTTACTTACTTATCCGCCGCTCTTCTCCTCTCCTATCTGTATTCGTTCGAGTGAGTCTGCGCGCGTCTCGGCCGTTTCTTCGCTTATACACGTCGCAATTCGTGCACGATTCGCGCGTTCATTTATTTATTTATTTATTTATTTATTTATTTATTCATTTACTCGCACGTATATATACGTATTTGTGCACTCTCAAGCCTCGGGGTCTCGGGTTAACCGAAACGTGGTGAATAAAGCGACTTTTCTAACAGCAGAGGCACGGACTACTCTTCGGCGAAGTTCTTTCCGACATCGTGCGGCTCGCGCGGAAGAGACGAGAGATTCTCGTCACTCTTTACGTAATTTCGTCATCGTCGTGGCGTTCGAGCTTTCGACATTCCTCGCTTCTTCCGCTACTTGCAGGGAGAGTCTCTTTGTGACCCCGGATTCCCACACGGGCGAACAGGTTTTAACTTACCAAAGAATATCGCGTGCACGACTTTTTCGTTTTGGCATCAGAAAACAGCATCGGGCTGAGATTCGCACGCACGCGACGATCGAAGGAAGTAAATCGATGTCGCAAGTCCGCTTTTCACGTCGACCACCGGCAGAATTTCCCCGGATCGTCCCCTGTCCCTCCTCCATTGACGTCGCCATTCGCATTTGTTTCACGTTACATGCGAGGGAAGATTGCGCAAGATCGCCGGCAAGAACGGCACGACGACGATTTATCCTAATGACAATCCGCGCCCAAGACAACCACTGTCGTTCATTAATCTCAGCCAATCGTAGGAGGAATCCCCGAGGCCAGGGAAAGAATGCGAGAGGCGGGGAAGAAAAAAGGAACAGCCGCGGCGATTAGCGGCGACAGATCGACGTATCGGAATAACCGCACAGTGATGCGTATCTTGGCACAAATATTGATTCCTTACGCGTGTCAATTCGTGACACTCGAGTCGCCGAGGCATCATTAGAAAGCTACGCTACGCTGGCGGCGAATTAAGAAGGAGAAAAAAAATCCTCTCACAGCGAGATTTTGCGTTTAACGACCGAGTGAATTCTCTCCTCCCCTCTCTCTCTCTCTCTCTCTCTCTCTCTCTCTCTCTCTCTCTCTCTCTCTCTCTCTCTCTCTCTCTCTCTCTCTCTCTCTTCCTCTCCATCGAGGGAAAAGAAACACGTTCGGATCGCAGCCGTGGCCTATGGCTTGAAAGTCTTTGTTGACATTTACAAGTTGCAACTATCGTAATCCGCGGTGCAACATTGCACCTATCTTTCCGCGCGCTGCCTGTAATTCTAATCCCGCATGTATAACACTTGTTACCGCGTCTTATTATGCACCCGATATTACGCAATCGCGTAGCGCGCGCGAGCGCTCGTTAGAGCGTTATGCGTACGCGAGAACAGGTGCTTGCTTCACTCCTCCCTCGTCTCTTCCTTCACTCGGCTTGCGGCAATTTCGCCGTGAGCTATGATCCAAATGAAAGAATGTCCCACGCTACGAGTAAAAAGAGGAAGAGATCGCTCTCTCTCTCTCTCTCGCTCTTTTTCAGCGCTGACAGCGCGGCGTATCGCGTACGCCGCGCGAGATCCCGCTGGATTCGACGAACGCGAGCAGAGCAGAGCAGAGCAACGCTTCCAGAGCGACGATTCCGCGCCGTTGCGTCATGAACGCAACGTCGTCCGTGGTCCCACGTGAGAGTAACAGTGTCAAGGTGTGACGATGCAGAATTCGTCGAGCACGAGCGCCGAATCATGAACACTCGGCGAAGGTACGCAGAGCGGGCTCGGTCCGCTCAAGGCGCGAGAAGCCTCCGCAAGGGAGGACGAAGACGAGAGGGACGAGAGGTAGGAGTTGGCGCGGGTTATGCCGGTGAGACGGTAAAACGGGCGCGAGAGGAGCAACATCCTCGCACGCGCGCAATCTCTCCCTCGTGAATTCCCTCGCGCGGAAATGCGAAACTGCTTGCTCGCGTGACTCCGTTAATCCCTGGCGGGCCCGCCACTCGCCAGGACTCGCCGTGCCGTCTGCCGGCGAAACGGCATTTCGCGGCCGCGCGGTGTGTCGAAAGTCAACAATCCCGCCGCGACGTCGTGATGTGCAATTACAGCAGCCACGCGACGCGGCTCCTCTTCACAGTCTTGGACGTCGCGGCGACGAGGATAATTTCTCCTCGCTCGCCCTGCGAGCGCTGCGAGGCATCGCCACCGTCCACGACGGGAGGACGCGAGAGGCTATATAATCCCGGGGTCTTCTTCGCGGTTTCCTCCCCCCCTCCCCCCCGCCGTGATGTGTTTCGCCGGATGTCTCACACAGACACGCGCGCACATGCATGTGTGTGTGTGTGTGTGTGTGTGTGTGTGTGTGTGCCGCGCTTGGCACGGCCCTGACTGAGTTAAGAGGAGAGGCATTCTACCGTGATGAATTCACTCACCGTCGCCGTCGTAGATACGCCCGTGGGGTGGGGTGTACCACGCGCGGAGAAAGTGCGCTTACTTTATATATACCCGCGCGACGGGGCCATCGCACGCATTTTCGATATCTCGCTCCACCGCTAATTGCGATCTCGCGCGCATCCCGCGAAGAGGCATCTCGCGAAGAGTCTTGAGATCGAGTCGGTCGTTGTCGTTGAGCATGAAGACCCTCGGCGGCAGGACGATGCTGATCGGAGTCGTGCTGGTCGTCACGTGGATCGGAAGAGCCGCGTCGCAGCTGCGTAAGTTGCCGCTCTTTCTCTGCGACGCGAATAATTAGCGCGTTGAGCGACGATCGCAGACCCCGGCGATTTCGGCTCGCGATCTCCCGTTGGCTGGGACTCGCGAGCGATGCGTCTGGTTTCAGCGACGCGTCTTTCTTGTCTTCCTTGTCTTTCATTTTCACCACTCGAATCGCAGCTCCGTAACATTGCTTCCGCAGCATTTATGCTTTTTCTGCGTCTCGCGATTTTCTGCGCGCCGATTAGCGCGTGTTGTGAAATAAGCCGATAAGTAAAAGTTTCTAGGAACAGGTTCCTCCGGTTCGATCGCGTTCGATTATCGTGCTGTCGACGCGCCACGCGTTTAATTAGCGTCTAGTTGCGTTTAGTTGCGTCCGAGAGACACCGGCCTTACACGATCGAGGAATGAGGCTTTTTACGGGAAGACTAAGCGCCGGTGAACCCTTGACCCGAATGTCGCACAGAGGCGCGTGAGCGTATTGCCTAAGCGGCGGGCATTTCCCAAAGCACTCGGCGAGTGCTCGCGCCGAAGGAAACTGTCGGTCGCAAGCGGCCCCCTGCGATCGAACTCTGTCTATGATCGACGCGACTCGAACATGAAATGAGATTAACACCCGTGAGAGAATCGAAGGCCGCTCCGGTCGCCACGCTCGAGTCGTCGAGGCGCGATCGCCGCTCATGCGAGACGAGAGATTTCTTCGCCGATCCTACGGATTCGCCTCCGCTCTGCAGTTTCTCCGAATAACAACAATCTCCATTGAGGCGAACGAAAAAAAAAAAGAAAAAAACAAACAAAAAAGTAGCCGACTCTTTGCGGTGACGCGCGCGGCTAATTTATGGATTACGTGGCGCCCGTGAGCGCTTCGCTCAGCATCGCGCGATCGGCGGTAAATTACACGCGCGCGGCGGCGGCGGCGGCGGCGTCGTCGTTTTCGCTCAGGAGCGGTCGCGTAATTGGTCAGGCGGGATCGATGATCGATAGAAAACCCGGAAGCGTCGCGCGGCGACGAGGAAAATCGGAGGAAAATCGAAGGATGGGCGCCGCCGTGGATACGCCTACGTGGTGCGATATCATTACGCTCTCGTCGCATGTCGCATACGCGAGTACACAATGTAATTTGCAATTTGATCGAGCGGCACTTTTACTCGCGAAGCAATGCCTCACCCGGCTTCCCCTCGCCGCGCGCGCTCAACACTTGCGATATAATCTCGAGCGCGTTCCTGTTTCCAGAGAAACTCGATGACGCCTTTGTTTTGCGTTTCCAGCGATTTATTACTGTCATTACATGCGCCCGTCAGAAGCTCGCTGGTTGTCACGCTCGCGGACGCACGCACGGCCTCCGCTCGACGTTTTATAGCCGTATCACACTAACGGCTCGCGACTGCGGCTGCGGCTGCGGCTGCGGCTGCGATTGCGACTCTTCCTCGACCAATCAGAGAGCAGCGAACTCGCGGCTGCGACTCGCGACTATCGTTTGCACGGCTGTCCATTTTTCGAGTCGCAGCCGCAGTCGCGACCAATCACAGAACTCGGTATAATCACGTGCGCCCGCTCGTCGTAATCACATTTATCTGATAGTATGTAGAAGTCGGTGATCATTAGAATAAGGTTGTATTCAGTGTTGTTTTATGTGTTACATATCTTTTTTTTTAATGTCGAAACAATTTAATGAAGAGATAGACTATTATTTAGTAGATCTCGTAGAATGTAAACCCCTTCTCTGGGATTGTACGTGTGACAGTATGTTAACAGTATGTTTAGCCGCAGCCGCGATCGCCAATCGCAAGTGTGATTGGAAAATAAGAGATCGCAATCGCAGTCGCAGTCGCAGCCGCGAGTCGCTAGTGCGATACGGTCTTTCACAAATTGTCCTCGAACTCGCGACTTTTGCGCGCGACTCCGGAAAAGAGATAGAAATGGTAAAATTATATCGGCTCCGGAACGAGCACGTGTACAAAAAGAAAAAAAAAACAGGTCGAAACAGGACCGATAATTCAGGTCGCGAATTTCGCATTGATCACGAATTTCGAATTGATAATTATCAAGAGAGAAAGAGAGAGAGAGAGAGAGTCAATAACGGGGGGGAATTTGTTTTCTCTTATATTTCTCGTAATACAGTTCCTCTCTTTTTTTCTTTTCGAGTGAAAATATCCCCCCCTCCCCCCCAAGGAGCAATCGGAGTCGCGATCTACTCACAGTTCACTGTGTGATCGTCCTTTCTCAGAGGCCGAGAGGCCTCCTCTGGAGATTCAATTATCTAATCAATTTTTTCGCTAACGTCCACGTGCGATACACCGCGCGAATAAGTTCGTCCCATTAACGTCGGCGCGAAGGAAAGAAAGGAGAGAAAAAAAAGTAAAGACACCTTCGCCAGTCACCACTTCGTAATTCCACTTTCTACTAGCGTGCACTTTCGATTTTAGGCCTGCCCGACCGATTGGCCGGAAAAAAGCCGCTCTCTTAGTTATCGCCGCCGGGTTCTTACCGTCTCCGCGCTCAGCTCTTCGCTCAGCTCAGACGTTGTCTGGCAGGACGCAACTAGGGTTGCCAGATGGCCTTGATTTCCGGGATTGTCCCGGAATTTTTTAAAGTTTGTCCCGTGTCCCGGAATTTAAGTCTTCTGTCCCGGAAAATCAGAATTTCAAGAAAATTATAATCATAATTAATACTCATGTTTTTAACTGGTACTAGAGAGAAGAAATGTGAGAGCAATGATTGGGAGAGGGGGGGCGGGGGGGATTTATAAAGTCGAAAAATTTGACGTGCGACCTGAGAAACCATTCGTATAGTAAAAAAAAAGGAAGAAAAGGGTCAATCGTATGATTTATGTCAAAACTTCTCTCTGCTGGTATCTAATTCATACATTTATTCATTGCAAGTATAAGCAACGACCTCTCTTAACCCTTTGAGGTGCATATTTTTTCTACCGGACAGTTTTTTATGAATACGTGTTATTTATATGTTTTTTGGGCCGCTGATTACGAATCTGAAGTCCAATTTTAAACATTCAAAATGGCGGATCCAACATGGCGGACGAGATGTTAATCAAAAGTTTCAATTTCGCTCAAATCACGTATATACAAAGTTTCTTTTTTTTTAGGTCGCCGATTACGAATCTTAAGTTCAATTTTTTTAATTTAAAATGGCGGATCCGATATGACCGCTATGCAAGAGTAAAATCATAGAAATATGTATAGATATGCTAACACCATAAGTAACATAGAATCATGAGTTATTACGATTATTTGGTGTCAAATTTGAAACATTTGAAATTGAGCTAAACCGCGATATAAACCTCGTAAATGAAAAACAATTAATTAAACTTATTCATCAGAGTTCCTTTCAATCGCTTTCTTCAAAATTCATTTATTTATAAATAATGAAAAATGAACAGCGCCATGCACAATAGGATGTAAAGACCACGGGAAACTCCTTTTCGCAACATGTTTTATTATTTGGGCACGGTATGTCGACATTACATTGAAAATAGCCAATTTCAAAATTGTGCAATATTTGACATTTTTTTCTTCGATAATGAGCGTATGAAAAATTCTCAATAAATGATATACTGTACAGTAAGGTAAGCTTAACATGTGTCTAAATCTGTGGCTTTATCTTTCTAGCCCCCTTTGGTTTACGTACAGTTGAATTGATTCGAAAAGAAACTGCTTCTTTTATCTTTAGTTATTTATACAATAAATAACAGCGCGACATATAATTAATGAAAATATAATTAATTAAAAAGTATAATATTGTTTAGACTCTTGGAAGTCCTAATTATGTAATTCTATCTAATATCTAAACGTAACTTTGGCACAAAACATTAAAAAAACCGAGTAAAAAACAAGGTGGTAAGTACACTACCTCACCACTGCGCCGCAAAGGGTCAATCGTCTTACCGCCCCTCTGTCTGTCAAATTTAACAAGAATTCTCCAATAACCTATTTTTCAATGTAAAAAATTTCCGTCCCGGAAATAGTTATTTTGCATCGGGCGACCCTAGGCGCAACGCCTGCATCGAGCCTACATCGTCTTCGCGCGCACGTGTCTAATGCCGATCTCTTCCGGCACGGCGCTTGGCACGGCGAACACATCTCGCGAAAGAGTCCTTGGCACCTTCACCCCCCGACGCGGCTCCCGAAAGCGTAATCGCGCGGCGAATAAATTTCAATGTTAATTTCTCCCCTTCGACGGGCGAATGAATTACTCGACGCGTACATAAATATGCATGCAGGCTCGATAAAATTTCAGCAAGTCGCATGCACGGAGGAACAGGTCCGGTTGAACGAGCGCGACAATTGAATGAGTCAGACGCGCCGAATCTCACTCGCAGGAGGCGATGGCGCCAGGAGTTTTTGCGCCAGTTCACTTGCAGGCGAATTTTCGGCTCGTCCAAGTTCGATTGAAGTCTCCGCGGTTTGTTTCATTTTCTCCGCGGACCTTTCTGCTAAATGCGACCGACTCCTTTCAGCTCCCGGAGTGACGGCGTGCCCGCGCACGGGCAACCTGGCGGAGTACAACGAGTGCATCTTGAAGCAGCTGCAAGCACTGACGCCGTATCTCGTCAAGGGGGTGCCCTCGCTGAAGCTGCCGGCGTTAGACCCGCTGTTCCTGCCGTCGCTGACGGTGGACAGGAACCTGGACTCGCTGAAAATGAAGGCCAATCTGACGCAGATTCGCGTCTACGGCGCCACGAATTACATCGTGCGCGACTTAAAGGCAAACCCCAACGACCTCACGGTCTCGCTGACGGCTCAGCTGCCGCACGTGCACGTGAACGGCGACTACGACGTGCAGGGCAGACTGCTGCTGGTGCCTTTGACCGGGATCGGTAACTTCAAAGGGAACTTCAGTAAGTTCGAGACGCAACACACGCGTGCTCGCGCGCAAATTCACTTTCCCTCAGATGAGACTTGATGGCTTGACCGCGGATTGGGTTTGTTCTAGAACGTTCCGCGATTCACGCGCTGATTTCTACGATCGTGGACGTTCGTGCGCGATTTACGATATCCGCCTGTTTATCTGTCTATATCAAAGTAGCGAATGGCAGCCCGCGCGTTTCACGTCAGAGACGAAGAAACATTCTCTCGCGTGGCGGGAGGCTGTTAATAATGCACGTCGACCGTGTATTAATTCAGTAGTCCTTGCGTACTTCTCTCTCGTTATCACGCCCGTCGCAAACCCGCCCGGGTTGCAATGGAACGCATCGTATTTGAAATACTCGGCGGCGCTAATAAGCTTCGAAGGAGCGAGCAAATCGCGAGCGCCCTGATGTGAGAGAGCGAAGAAACGGCCAAACCATGCCCAATCGCTTCCCCCCTGATTCTTCATGAGCAGCGTGTCATTTGAGAAACGCGACGCTTTTGATCGACGTACCGTCGTTATCTTTCCGTTTAAGCCGACACCGAGGTCCGGGTGAGCGCGCAAGGGAAAGAAGTCACCGATAAAAACGGCGTGCAGAGAATCGAGGTGGACAACTTGGTTACTAAACTTCATGTGGGCGACGGGAATATTAAACTGAAAGCTCCTCCCGTCCACACGCTAGCGGGTAAGTATCGCATCCGTCAGTGTCCGAAAGCTCGCGTTTAAACTGCTTCGACGATCGCAAGCTGTCGCATATTAACGACTTCAGTCTCCGCAGTTGACTCCTGTTACTCGCCTCTTAACTCCGCAGTCCCGCAAGTCAAATCTGACCTAACCCGCAATTCAATCTGCATCTAATGTAATCCAAGTGCCCGAAGAGATAGAGAGATTTTCCAACACTTTTCCTTCCGTCACTTTCCGCATCCTCTTCACGCTCAGCGCCTCCTAGATTTTCTAGTTTAAACGCGTTTAAACACACCCCTATCTTACTACTGCCCGTTTCTTTTAGCCGACGCTGCCGCGACGTTCTTCAACTCGAACCCCCGACTAGTCCTGGACATAGCCAGTCCAATCATCGAGGACACAGCCGCGACTGTGAGCAGGGCTCTGGTAGCCAGAGCGCTCAGCGTCCTGACCAAGAAGGAGCTCGTCCCCTAGTAGTTGTTAAGTGTAATGCAGATGTGCGAATTATCCGAATTCAATCAAGTTCAATCGAGCCGAGTCCGATAAGATTTCTTTCGATTTGAATCCGAATCTTTATTGTTCGAATCGCGCGAGAATCGCGGAAACGTAAATAAATAAACTTAAGACTCGGCAAATGAGGATCGATTTAGGATCGATTCCTGGCTGCGACAAATATTTTTCGCGACTCTCGCGAAAAGAGTCGATCAACGCAAGGTTGAAGAATTTACGTGTACGGACGATAGGGTTCTGTAACGTTTGTAATAATTATAATTCGGAATAGTTTGACGTGACTCCTATAGAACGACATTACCGCCAGCATTGTTAATTAAACCAATTAATTAAATTGTGAGTTAAGAGCTAAATTTCAATTCGATTCGATTCGAAACGGAAAATCCTCAATTCGCACATCTCTATTAAGTAGTCGAATTTCACTCTCGGCTCAACTTTCACAAAAAAGTAGAACGCCAAGCACAACGATGAGGAATAGCCGATTCGGTGAGATAATTGGCATATACTTAACGCGCGCGCGCGCTTGTGTGTTCGCCCATTTTATCTTCCTCCTTTTTCATCGTACGTCTCGCGATTTTTCGCCGTTCGGCCGTTCGACGAAGCGTGCCGTGAGATAATTGTTGTTTTCTCCATTTTCTTTGTTCCCGAGAAACATATTTTATATTTAATTGATCGCGCAGCGAGCGCGCGATCTCGCGAGAGCGCGGCCGCGGCGAGACGTCGTTCATTTTCACTCTCATTCGTGGAAAGTAACGAGACGTTAATTCGCATTCGCGGCAGGACGTGGAATGGAAAACGCGAGCTGATCAGCCGTGCTGATTTCTCGTTTACTTCGACAAACTGTTATTTACATCCTTCGCTTTCTTGCACACGTGTTGTATTGTTATCCTTAATCTTATTGAGCACGACAATACCCCCAAACTGTCGTCGTAATTTCTGCACGTGTCCTCACAATTCATTCTGCCACAATTCATTCTTATTTAAACGATCGTCCATTGTTCGACCATTGTATTCACGTCGCGTCTCTCCTTTTGGTCGTATCGCGACTTTCCTCGCGGAAAGTTCGAATGGACTTTGCGTGATTTCGACATGTAATAAATTTAACGTAATAAAGGATGATCGTCCTACGATTACATACCTCTCGGCATACTTCGCACGCATAATGATGCACCTTTAGTGTAACCTTTAGTGACCGAGAAAGTGGTGTACCGGAGCAAATTGTCTTCTTCTCGTATGAACAAACGTATGAACGCGGCGAGTCGGTAGAACGTACCGATCCAAAAAAGTACCGGCACCTACACTCTCGACAAACGTCGTCGTGCGTGTTGTCGTTCAAAAATTACGTTAATTAAATGTAGATACGTGAAATTACGTGATATCGTATCTATATTTAATTATTACAGTCGTGAGAGATACGTGACGAGACATAATTATGAGGTTACAGCTTTTCAGTCACGATACGTAGTAATTATAGTCCTCTCCCTTTTTTCTCAATATACTACTGTGATCGAAAAATAAGGTGAATTTGTTTATAAAATGAAAGATCTTTATTTATTCTTCCAAACCGATTTCATCGCCTTCAAAGTACTCCCCGTCCGACACACAATGCACTTATGCCAACGTTTTTTCCAATCATCGAAACAGTCAGAGAAGTCTTTTTCCGGGATGGCCTGCAATACTTTCTTCGATTCGGCTTTTATCTCCTCAATCGAGTCGAAACGGTGTGACCCCGGAGCGGTCTTTTGAGTTTGTTGAACAGCCAGAAGTCGCACGGTGCTAAATCAGGCGAATACGTTGGTCGTGGAACGATGTGGCTCGAATTTTTGCCGAAATGTGCTCGAAGAACCAATGCAAGGTGTGGGACGGTGCGTTATCGTGGTGCAAAAACCAAGAATTGTCTGTCCATAATTCTGGTCTCTTGAGGCGAATAGCTTCGCGCAAACGACGCATAACACTCAAATAATATACCTTGGTAACAGTTTGGCCTGGCGGAAGAAATTCATAATGCACAACACCGCGATAATCGAAGAAAACTTGTCAACATGAGCTTGATTTTTGAGCGACTTTGGCGCGGTTTTCAAGTCTTTCTACCACTTGTAAACATTTTTCTGCGACATAGCCTTATCACCAAAGGCCTTCTGCAACATCCTCAACGTTTCCGCGGCAGAATATTCATTCCGCAAACAACATTTAATGCAAATTCTTTGCTCAACAAAATCAGACATAGTAAAAATCGAAAAACTCACTTTTGTATGTTTACAAAAACACGTATAGCTCCGCAGCAATTGAATATATTGACATGAAACTCTGCATAGATGTCAAAGACAGTGCTACCAACCCACCGAAAAATAATTTCATGATTTTATAGTACCCGCGAAGTTTAAATGAAAAAATTCACCTTATTTTTTTATCACAGTAGTATTTATGTAATCCAACGTAATGGTCGATCTTGCTGAAACAAATAGTCTGATAGTCGCCCGAGGAGAAAGAAAATTTTTGCTTCACGTCAAACATGATCGCGATAGTTCGAGTGCATTCGAGTAAAAACGGTTGGACTCTCGGTGAATACTCTTATAGACTACAAATACACGCCCTACGTAAATATTATAATACAAACGAAGAATGAAAACAGAACAATTTGTAAAAATGCGTTCAACTTGTCGACATATAAAGTCGGCGATTATCATTGCTCAAGAATCAACGCGTAAACAATTCAGCCCGATTGATCCACGTTTAAGGATCGATGGTGGCTAATTATTCGGAAACAGTTCTTCATATGTGAAGGTTTGGGTGATTTTGTTGGCGATGTCCGTGAAGAGTTTCTCCAGGGAATTTTTCAATAAGGGAACTATCTCTTGCAGAATCACATCGTTGTTTTCGTTCAAAAGTTGGTTGGTTGCGTCTCCTAGTTTGAGAAAAATGAATTCATTGCATCTACAATTATATGAGACAGAGATAGAGAGAGAGAGAGAGAGAGAGAGAGAGAGAGAGAGAGAGAGAGAGAGAGAGGGAGGGAGAGAGAGAGGGAGAGAGAGAGAGAGAGAGAGAGAAGAGAAATATGCAGATTTATATCGTATAGAGAGAAAATATAAATCTAAAGATATGTACGTACCAAGAACTTTATCGCCATTAAACAAATTATCAAGTTCGAAGAAGGCTTTGCTTATCTTGATGTTGAATTTCATCTTGTCGAAATGCAAGTAAATATTGTTATCTCTGCGGACCTTTTTAGCTTTCATAATCACGTTACCGGAGTAGTTGTCTGTAAAAGGCATACGACAGATAAAATAAATTTGAGTTTTCTTCATTTCGCTGTCCTAAAGAGAAGCGACGGAGATTTACAGGTAAGAGCGGCGCAACTTACCGAAGTATCCGGTGAGATTCCCAACTCCGTCCAACTGAAGCAACAATATTCGCGCGTTTACTGAATATTTTCCCTTGAATTCCAGCTTCTTGAAAGTGAGGTCGTATGTGAAGACTAGTTTGTTTACATCGGTTTTTAAATTATGAACCTCGAACATGGACGGTCCTCTCACCTGTTCGCCGAATGTTTCATTAAGAGGTGTATGTATTGTTAACAAATTAGCTGACATGATACATGAGGCGATGAGCGCGGATTTTCTCGCCGAACGTTATGAGAATCGATGTAACTATTATATTTATATTAATACTCGTTACTTGCTTCACATGAAGTAAGAAAAAAATACCAATGTATGAGACACGTCTGGACACGTACGTATATAGAAATTTAATTTCATTGTTAATCTCAAATATTTCCTCCAGTGTAATATTAACATTTAATTGAAATCTGTCAATACCGAAAAATATTTACATGATGAATCGTTTTAAGTAAAGTTGCAAAAATTAGTATCTAACGAAAAAGAAAATTATAACGTGTGTGTGTGCGATTAGATATGGGACATGCTTTGACAATATTTTTAATATTTTCTTAAGAAATTTGATATATTTGTTAAGACATTTCTTACTTGTTTTATTCTGATTTTATCTTATAAGCGTTATGGTATTCAATCCGAAAATGATGAAGAATATAATTACAGGAATGCATTTTGCTATTAAAAAATAACATGTCAATGTTTATTCACAGTAATGTTCGTGTTGCATTTCGTCGACAATGTTCGAATTTAAAACGAGAAATCGAACGTGCAACTAAACGTGCATACATCAGTAACAATATAGCCTTAAAAAGGCTAAATTCGAATCTAAGTATCACACATGAGACAAGTTTCAACTGCTGATACAGGCCTTAATTTACCAACCTGTATATCTGTGAGGTTCAAATCGAGACTCGCGCTACTCGGGCCTCTTAACAAGCGTAAGTTATCCAACCTGAATGGTTCGATCGCTGGAACGTCCAGTTCCGGAATCCCCGTGGCTAGCTTCTCTCGTAAGTGTTCGATCGAATTGGCAATACACTTATTTATTTCAGGATCATTCCGATTGCATACCTTTATGTACGGTGCTGTAAAAAGCGCAAGAACGCTAATTAAGCGAGATTAATTAATTTTAAGTAAGCATTTTCAGGTGATTTTATAGAGTAATTACACAAATATACCACAATTGATCGATGACTCGATGAAGAAATAGATTACTCACTCGACCGAGAAAAATATCCGAAGTTAACAATCGGATATTTCGAATATTATTTTGTCAGTGTATCGCGATCGTGTTTGCCGAAGCTCTTATTCTCGCGATGCGAGAGAAGCATCATTAATTAATGTCTCATGAGTCATTGAGCAAGGACATCACATTTTTATCTTGTATCGATAAGACAAATGGTGTTGAATATTATGACGACGAGGAGATCGGGAAGACGGTAAAGTGCAAAAAACTGTTCGACTGGTAAGACTTTCGCTGCCACACTGGTGTTACTGGTGAAGAACTAATAAGTCACGTTTAGGTATTCTCAAGTGTACCGTAACATGCAGAGTCACGCACGGACAAGCCTTGAGATCAACAGTTATTGCGAGTTCAAGACCGTCAAGCTAGGATTGTACATCCAATAAAAGTAAGCGAGACGACAGTCACGCTCGAGAAGATTTAATTTCAATACAGATTACTAAACTACGTGCTACGTCCTAAATTTTTCTTTACTGGAACTGTTTCAAAGAACCGTGAAATTCTCGTTCGTATCGCTAACATCACGTGTCCTGCTTGTGCGACTTGTGCTGTATGCGTGTGCGACGAACGTGTTTTTTGTTACAAACAGTATTATTGTGTTTTATTGCTCGATTTCAGTTCTTAAACAGAAGGTATATCAAGAATTGTTTTTTTTCTTTTATAAAATATATGTGTATACATATGTAAAATATGTGTTTGTACATATACGTAATCTGTTTTGTGTGACGAAATACTCGGAAACTGAACGACTAATGACAACGTAATATAATTTGTGCTGGTGTGCTAATGAAGGAAAAAATTATTTTTCAACGAATCGGAAACCGCGACATGGACGAGTGCAATTTCGTTTATTACACATATTATATATAAAAATATATAGTAAAAGAATATAAAATGAATATAAAATGTGCGTTTGTGTCGAGAGTACAAATCGAAGGAATTTGTAAGACATATATATGCGTCCACAACATCGAAGAAAAATAGATTACGTTAACAGTCCACATGTAAATAATTAATTTTTTCTTTGCTATATTAAACGCTGCGTATCATATCGAGAACAGAGAACAGAGAACAGAAAAACCGTTCGTAATCTAGTGTTTGCACATTTGGAATATTATTGTTGTATAAACGATCTTGAAAACGATTGCATACATTACACTTGGTAAGGAGGTAAAATTAATGCGAACATAATTGTCATCATAAACGACACGTTTAGTTAATAGGATTGCGCGTAATCGAATGTTACGTGTCGCGGTAGAAAAGATTTATGTGAAGCATAACACAGTGATATTTTGTGTTAGTGATCGGTCGTAACGATACTCACGTATTACAGCAAAGGTCACCGCAATTAGCGCGCTGATGACGCTGAAAATACCACAGATGGCATTAGTTAGCAATTGAATAATTAATATGTTTAACTAAAAAAGTTAAATCGACCTTTGGAAATGTCGTCGCTGCTGGCAGCGAGTTCCTTGATATGCGCAGTGTATCTTAATCCATTGCTTATTGATGGCAAGCAATGAGAATTATTGCGTCGTATTATTAGCAACAATGGACCCGTGTCATTGATAGAAACTGTCACGTACGGTAACTCGTGACATTTTAATAAATAGTTACGCGACTAGCATTATTTACGCGATGTTTACAATGGTGGAGAAACGAGCTCGCCTGTCCGTCAGTCGGAAATGTAAGATTGCGTGTTCGAAATTTGCAAAAAAAAACACATGCTGGCTCGGCCAGATGAAGTTAATTCATGTCTTTAGCACATTAACTAAACTGTTGATGAGACGATATGTGAAGAAATGTCGTGGGATACCCTTTTCTTGTTTAAAAAATTAATAAATATACTATTTCTTCGAGTTAGAAATATAGAAGGTTCAACCCGGAGTGATCCCGAAATTTTGACGGCTATTTATACATTTTGCAGTTTGAAGCAAATAATTAAACGAAAAGAAAATTGGGTTGTATCTATCATGTTTCCTTTGTTCCTTTTTCGAAGACTACGCAGAATAGATATATTATAAGTTGTTACTGTATCGTGTTATTATATCGGACAAAAATGTTCGACTCGTATCAAAAAGGAGAAGAATAAAAATTGCGGAAATTGCGAAATTTCGCATTTTGAGTGATACCTGTGTGAAAAGACTAATCAATAATAGCTAGGATTATTTATACTTTTGAATGATTATGTTATTTTTCCGTAAAACATATTAATCCACCTGACATGTGTTTCTCTCATAATTTTGTGTGGAAGCAAAAATGTACGCAACTTTTCTGGTACATTACTAGGAAATGTGAAATTATTAGGAAATTACAAGAATATGTTTCGACGATTAGTGTCCGATTACGTCGATATCATATTACATGATTCTATTCCGGTATACTTTAGCGTCACATACATATTATCACTTTTCTTAGAAGGAATAATGCAAATATGATTTTATTGGGATATTATTATTAAAAATATCCGCGATTGCGATCAGTTGCTTAACAGTTTGCCGCTCCTGAGAGATGCAAATTTATATTATATAACAATGACGTCATGTAATATTAATTTGTTTTTACTCCATACATCGAGTAATTTTCAAAGACGACAAAACAAGTATGATGCAATTCAGCAAAAACTCTGTCTTCACATAGCGCTCGACAAGCATCTGTCATGCAAGAATCTGTTTACCAGATAGATTTTAGACCTTGAGTGAACAATAATTTATTTTTTGAAAGAATTGGATTTGGATTTGGAATATATATATATATATATATATACAAATATATATATATATATATACATTATATTTGAATGACTTGAAATCAACGAGAAGCGGTTAAATGATCGTAACGAAATTTCGTCCATCTTCTTTCCTGTAATTTCTGATGGCTCAATTCCAAGTCCAATTCTTTCAAAAAATAAATTATTGTTCACTCAAGGTCTAAAATCTATCTGGTAAACAGATTTTTGCGTGACAGATGCTTGTCGAGCGCTGTGTTAAGGCAGAGTTTTTGCTGAAGTTGCATTATATTGTACTTGTTTTGTCGTCTTTGAAGATTACTCGATGTACGGAGTAAAAACAAACATTAATATAATAATATGTATAATATGTATATTAATTAATATATATACTAATTTCAAATTGGCAAGAGTGAAGATCAGTCGAGCCTCAAGTGTGCAGAGTCGTAGGCGCATCCGCGCATGGTAATTTCAAAGTGATCAGGCAAAAACAACGAGAGATTTGTAAACAACGCGAAGGATACTTGATGGCATTGACGGGCGGTGACGTAAAAACACATGACAAAAGAGCGACACAAGGTTATAAATTTAAAGGTGATACGCACGGGGAATAAATTAGTGCTTCCGATTGGAAAGGCGAACGAAGCTGTATTCGAAACTGTATTGTTACGTATTCGATGTTTTCGTCGCTCGTATTCGTTGCATAATGCCACGGGAGAGAGCGAATAACGACGAGACTGAAAAGGAGAGAGTAGGAGAAGAAAGATTATGTAAAATCGAAATGAAAAAGAATGAGAAGGGGAAAGGATGGCTTTCGCTGCACGCGCGTTAATACTCGATGCGAGACGCTTGGCGCGTTTCTCGACATTTAATTCCCGCGTCTATGTGTGCGGTTCAAAAGCTCGTTCGAGTGAAATTTCTTCTCACATTTCGCGACACGTTTCGAGTATCGAGTATCCGTGTGAGTGCACCGAGAAAAGAACGAGAAAATAGAACGCAGGCTAATTACACGTTCGGCAAATGCGCGGATTAATTGCACGCTCAGCGGAACGCAAAATTTGCGCTTGCAAAATTAGGGCAAATCATACGTCACGTTTAACTTGTAACGCGACGAGCACTATCGCCATACATAGTACCAAACATAGTGTTTGGTCCGTAATTAAAGGTTTTTAAAGGAAATTATGACACGCTGAATGAACATCACGAAATGTAATTTGTCATTACGAGGCAACGATATGAGCCCATTCATTCGTATCTACTACGTATAATACGTATCTCTGATTGTATAATATTTAATTAACACGTTGAGAGTGAAAGAGAGATAGATGAGAGAGAGAGAGAGAGAGAGAGAGAGAGAGAGAGAGAGAGAGAGAGAGAGAGAAAATGTTATGTCACTCATATCGGAATTATGGGTGAGTTACTTGCAAAGGCCCCTCCTCATCTCTTACTTACTGATTAGAAATAATTTTACCAAGTGCTCTTGCACTATTTTTACCGAACACCTACAAGAATGAAAGTCGCGAATGAAAGCAATGAAGTATCACAAAAGTAGTCAAAAAATGAAGCATTAGCCGGACGTAAATTCAACTTGGCACATGTTAAATATATGATACCAACTATATTTATAATATTGAGAATTATACCGTCGTTATTCACGATCATTTTTGTCGCAATTATGTTGATCATACAATTATTTGTCGCTATGTACGATTACAATAGACACGACTAGGTACGGTAAATTATATCACGTATGTGATGTAAGATGGATTTCTCTTTCCTCCTCTCTCCCACTTCACAAACACGATATTGCGTTACATGTTTTTTTGCTTAAATACCAATGAATAATTTATAGTACGCATAGATGTAGCGATTCGCGATAGATTCACAGATCAGACAGCTTAATAATAATAATAGTGAATTATAAATAGTTCTAGGAAGCAAATAATTCGATAATCGCCGGCATTAAGATATAATAATAGAAGCCTGATGCACATAATGTGAACGTCACCGCTCATATGCATATATGCGTATGAATTATTAAAATTTTTGAATACACGTAACTCAATTACGTAAAGTAACGAGATGAAAGACACACTGTTAAAATTTCTGCGAATATTTCGCGATATCCTCGGCGAACATCCACGGTGCGAGTGAATTATTATCAATTACGAAGCGGTAAAGCGCTATTACGTCATTATTATCGAATAATTGACTATTGACGAATTATCATTAAAGAGTTATCATTAGGAAACATTAGACCGTTCCGATCACAGCGGTCGTCCGTTCGATCGCGAAAATTGAAGTTGCGAAACACGAAGGGTAACGCTGACCCACTAATCGATGTGATCGCGAGATTCGCTCGTTTCTCACGTCGCTTCGATTTTCACGTCGTAGCATAATCACCGACTATACAATAAGCACAGAGTACAACTCCACACACACACAGTATGGCTACAATAAACAACAATGGCAATAAATTGCGAGGCACAGCGTCTGGAGCAGCGTTTGCGCGCTTCACAGCTTCAATCGTCGTTGGCTAGCTTGACGTGGCGGGGATCATCGTGGCTATGTTGATTGACATGCAGACACGACGAATCGAAGCCGCGAATCGAACAAATCGCGCGAACAATCGGCAATCGATGATCGATGAAAGTGGCAAAAAGTGCCGCGATTGATTTACCAGGTGCAAAAGGCGGAAGCGTTCATGGCGCTGTTCAAAAATGATCCAAGGTTCAGTCACTACTGGCGGGGACGTCGCTTGTCAACGTTTAAAAAGAAGATGTGTGACGTTCGTATCGTATGTGCACCGATTAGTCTCCTAAGCCGTAGGTCGCTGGAGGAGTGGGAGACAGACGGACAGACCTCGGGTTTTTACACCTTTTCATTCGATCAGTTGATTGCCTCGTGCCACTTGCCGCCCATTGGTGCAACCCTGTTGTGTGTGGCTTCGACGATTAGAAAATGCACGAGAACGTATGTACGCTTCGAACCCGCTCCGTCGCGTATCACGACGTCGTTAGATCGTACTTTTCATCGAACCCGCCGAGTGGTAGCTGATAGCGAGTCGCGACTCTCCCCGGTCTCCGTGTCTGACTTCCGTTGCAGCCCATGTGCGGCTCTTGCGCGAACATGTTACCACGTGCTCGTGCTGTGGGTATACCCTTTCATCGCGACGCTGAAAAGCGAATAGAAAAGCGCAAGGCGCGATTCGGCCGCATTTTCACACGCGGCGTTCCCGCCGCTCTTACGAATCGGCATCGGCGTTTCGTAATGGCTCGAAACGCGTGCTCTCCTGCGCCAAGCTGCGCCAAGCTGCGCCAAGCTGCGCCAAGCTGCGCCAAGCTGCGCAGAAGCTGCGCAGAAGCTGGACGTGTGTTGCGGTTCGAATCTCCCGACCGTATGTATACTTCCGACGATGCGCGCCTCTGAGCGCCGTGATGCAGGGTGGAAAGAGAAACGGGGATGGAAGAGCTCGTCGTGTTCTCTCCTCGCTTGGAGACCGAGAGAATCTCCCTTAAATCTTGCCAAGTTGTGCTTGCGGTGCTTGTCTGAGACAGCAATGCGTTGACGCTCTCAGTGAGCTCACAGTTGCTCACACTGAGAGCGTCTCCGAAATATATTTCGGTCGGGATGTTGAAAAACTCGAACATGGTTGCTCGAGTTTTCCGCTTCCCTTCGAACCTTTTTGCCTGTATACGTTCCCGATAGAAAGATTAAATTGTTAATTTATTCCAACTTCCGCTACCATTTCCTGCATGTTTTATAACGGCACAGCGTTTTTTTACCTGATTATTTACATTCCTGATTTAACATTCCTGATTTCCGCTATGATACGAGCGCACTGATAGTGTTAAGAGTCGTCTAACGTACGTGCGAATAAGTAAGGCACGCAAGACGTAAGGACGGGCGTAGTATTGTATATAATCACATCATTAATATGCGGAATATATTGCAACGTATATGCCTTAAGTAACTTACTGGTAGCGAGTGCGTGCGTGACGATAATATACCGTAGCCTTTTAATCGCGGCTTCGCGCTGCAGACTTTGGAAGTGCCTCCTGTGGGTAATATTTGAAAGAGTAAATCCAGGCAGGAGAACAATAATCCTTAAGAAGCTTTTTAATTGAAACGTTGCGGAAAGAAGTTTTATAGGTTCGCTCTTTTAATATTTCGATACGATCCGATACGATTTTTTCCGCGATTTTATGTACGTTATTGAACTCATTCGTAAATATTGGGTGAGTGCAAAAGTTCGTGCGGAGTTTGTGAGTAAAAGTCACACAGTGATTAGGCAAACAAAAATCTTTATTCAATCAATGATATATTCTCCATCGTTTTCTATAATCTTTTCCCAACGTTCTGGCAGCATACGGATACCTCGATCATAAAAACTGCGCGGTTTAGATTCGAAGAACGAAGAGACGCCGTTTTTTAAGGCCTCCAAAGAGTCAAAGTTTTTTCCATTTAAATAATTTTGCAATGACCGGAACAAGTGATAGTCAGATGGTGCGATATCAGGAGAATACGATGGATGCGTTAAGACATCCCATTTCAGGCTCTTCAGTTTGCGCAGCGTCTTTTTCGAAACGTGTGGTCTGGCGTTGTCGTGATGAAAGACGACTCCCTTGCGATTTGACAAAATCGGACGTTTCTCTTTTATTTCTCGATTCAGATTGGTTAATTGGCGACAGTACTTGTCCGAATCAATCGTTTCGCCAGCGGGGAGAAGCTCGAAATAGATTATGCCCTTGCAATCCCACCAAACAGAGAGCATCACCTTCATCGGCTGCAAACTGGCCTTTGGCATTGCGTCACCATGCTCACCTGATTGTTTCCATGTCCGTTTGCGCTGAACATTGTTGTAGAGGACCCATTTCTCATCGCCCGTCACTAGTCGATCCAAAAACGACTCGTTATTGAGCCGCCCGAGTAAAGAAACGGCTGCAGAAATTCGCTTGATTTTGTTCTCGGTCAGCAAATGGGGCACCCATATATCGAGCTTCAAATCGAATCCCATCTTTTTTAAACGCCGAAAAGCGGTTGATCGGTCAACGTTTAGTGCTGTAGCAACTTCTTCTGTTGAAATTCGCGGATTATTGAGCACTAAAGTACGCAAAACATCGTCATCAATGTCAGAAGGTCGACCAGAGCGTGGCTCGTCTTCAAGGTTAAATTCTCCGCGCCGAAATTTAGCAAACCATTTTTCCACAGTTCGTTTAGCTGGTGCTTCATCTTGATAAACATCCTGAATGTTTTTTACGGCTGCGGCAACGTTTATTCCCTTCCGAAACTCGTAAAGCATAACATGCCGTAAATGCACCTTATCGATACTCATTTTTAAAGTGATATTTCTCGAAGCAGTTTGTATGAAAACAAATGATTTTTTTTTAATAACAGCTGAAGACGTCACCTTTCCAACGTTATACAATATGTAGATGGAAGTATTAATGACAACACTTTACGACGCTTATAACTCCATCTATTGAAACTCCGCACGAACTTTTGCATTCACCCAATATTATTTCCGAAGGGAGGGGGAAGATTTAACCGAAACTTAACTTTTCAAAACCAGAATTTTGTTCTCCCTCTCTCACATATCTCGGCAATTGATTCTCGATATAATACTTCCTGCTTCCCTTCGCAATTCTTTATATTTCACCGGACGCTCTTGAGAACGTTATATTCTGAGAAAAGATTCTTCTCCATTGCGCCGTCGAAAGATGCGGTTCGAGGATAACCAAGGACGATCCACGATTCTTGTGGTAGTCAGCGTGATAAATTTTCCGAGACCGCTCTATCGCTGCGAATGTGTCACGGTGTACTGATATCAGCGATATCAGCAATTTGAATAAATCTGCGAGAGCTATATGCAGAGTATCCGAGATCTTTTGGAAACGAAAAATTGTGAGGATTAATCAGATCAAACTAGGAAGAAAAGTCAAGTATCATTTTGCAAAAATCGCAATAGTTGGCAAGTGATCGCGCCTAGCGACAGATTCAAGATTCGGGGCTTATAGTCCAATCTATATTCATATCCATCGCTAGATACAATAGCCTATAATATAATTGTAGATTAAGTCATTCTGAAGAACCTTTACCATTTTGCGAATAAGTAAGCAAATTTTCAAGTTATCAATTAAACAAGTTTTTAGATGTAATCATTTTCAACCATTAATAATTTAATAACGGTTTTGCAAAAACCGTACTTGACTTTTCTTCTCTGATCAGTCTGATCTGAGTAATCTTCACGATTTTTCGTTTCCAAAACCGTCTCCCGGACACCCTGTATATACAGAGAACAATTTTTACTCGGAGCTCGAGCGGAGACACAGAGCGGGTTAAGGCAAACATAAAAGTCCTGTACCGTTTCGCGATATTCACGATAATTATATATTTATAGTTATTAATGGCAGAAATCTGAGGAGTGGGCGAGGAGTCGACATGGATGACTGGAGAAGCGTTGCAGCCGCTCGAGCCACAGCGCGGTCCAATCAATCTAGCAACTGTTGCGCGACGAGAGGAGGAACAACGTGCCGCGTTATTCGTTTTGTTTTATCGTCGTTTTATCGTCGTCGTCGTTCCTACGTCTCGCCGCATACCGCCAACAGTTGCTGGATCGACTGGGCCGCACTGTGGTTCAAGCGGTTGCGACGCTGATCGCTAATCATCCCTCGTCAGACTGCTGTGATTATGAAACCTCGATAATTATTGCGAATAACGGCAAAACGGTATGGCACTTTTTTTATGTTTGTCTTGACTCGCTTTGTATTTCCACGAGCTCTGTGTGTAAAATTGCTCCACACCAGCCGGGTCACCCGATCGCGTTTTTTACAAACGCGACATTTCACAGAAAAATGTTTCAGACAAAAGTTGTTGAGTAATTAATTAATTGGTAGGAAAAGATGATGTAATAAAAAATCGGGATTTCCATCTAAAAAAAAAAGTAACGATCCGCGGTGAATATCTCGCGGTAAGTGGTTGAATCGGTGAACAAAGGCCATCTGTAAACAAATCAAATCACAGTTGTTTTATGTCCCGTTTGAAGCCATACAACTTTTGTCTGAAACAACATCTTTCTCTAAAATGTCGCATTTACAAAAGAAAAAAAAAACGAGAAATCAGGTGACCCGGGTGGTCTGAGACATCCTGTATATCTCGACCTCGACATATCGAACTCGTTGGCTGTAATTTCTTTTCGTTTCCTATCTAAAATATGCCACCGATGATCCGGCGATCGCCGAGCTTCCTCCTACCATCCGGATTCCGGATTACAAAATGTCACATACGTCTCGCCGCAAGGAAGCTCGAGAAATGCCTGCGAGAAATGCCGAGGATCATTCGTCAAGGAAAGACGTTGCAGCTTGAAAATGCAGCTCGAAACATACCTCGAATCTGACGTAACGGATAAATTGCGGGCCGCCTGGGCGGCGTGGAAAACCTGGTAAACACCTGCTCTTTCTCAGCGCTGTCGTTAGAACGAGCAAAAATTGCGGAATGGGGCTGCTGCTGCTGCTGAGAAGCCGCGACCCGTGACAAAACTTGCACAGATTTTCATGTTTCTCGCACGCCCGTGCGCGTGCGCGAGCGGACAGCGAACGAGCCGGTCTCATGATCGTTTCCGTCTGCAAGTTCGCGATCGGGAAGAATATCTCTCGATGTCGTCCGCTCTCTGTAATCCGCCTGCGGTTCACGAGGGCATTGGCTCTCGCGTGGCAGCTTGTTCTTTCCTTCACGGCCTAGGCAAAGACTTTCGTTCGAGAGAGGTCACGCGGATAAGTCACACCGATCACGCACGAAGTGCCACATGTTTGAAGAAGGCATCGAGCGTTACGTAAGTTCATTCATTTCAGGTTACAAACGCGATGACGCGTTTTGCCTTGAGTGTAACCTACTCTGGCATGAATTGGCATGACGGGGATTCGTTGTGGCGATATTAACGACGCTGAGAATGTTGTAATTGGGATAATAGTATTATGTTTGATATTATGTGTGATTGGATCAACGTGCGCAAAACTTTCGCGATTTGGGCACGAAGAATCGGCGCGTCTAAAGACTTTTATATGCAAAAGTGATAAAGTGCCCGTGCCTTGTCAGAGGCTGTTCTCTCTCACCCTCGCCGTCTTTTACATCTTTTACAGTCTCGTGTTGTGTCTGAAATTCGATGAATCGCCGCGAGAGAGAAGAGAGAGAGAGAGAGAGAGACCATTTACCGACCAAGATAGCTGCAAAGTCATCCCGTATCATGACAATGCTGACTCACGTGACTCAAGTGCCACTGAGCAAGTCCTCTTCAGCTCGGTCTGCGAACTTCTCTCTCTCGTGCGACGATTAATTATCAGACTAGTCAGCGCGCTGTCGCAATTACGATTAGTTTCAGCTGCTAAAACAATATCCTGCGCAATCCGAGATGGCGTCTATTACCCGACGAAGCGTACCATTTTACCTTTCATCGTCTCAAGACTCAAGAAGGATTCAATAGTTGCTCGACAGATGGCACGAGATCGTTAGCGGCGTTTGCGTCTTCCCATTCAAAAATGATAAAATTTACAAAACGGAAAATGTAACAAGAAGACAAAAGAAATATATTCGCAGGTAGATTCGACGTTTGTAACGCAAGTACTTCAAATGAATGAATGGGTGGCATTGAAAAGGCATTTAAATATTCTCGCTTGAAAATTATGACAAAATCTTATACGAGATATACTTTCTGAGAATTCAATTTTAAAGAATGTATGTAAAATCACTCAGGCAAGAAATTGTTTGCGAATGAATTAAAGATTTCGCTGCTCCGCTCAGGCTGGTAAATATTTTCGAGGTTGAGCGGCACTCTTGCGTACGCAATCTTGCTCGTTGATAAGATGCAGTAATTATATATGTTAATTATGCGTGCTGTTCGTAGTTTTTTTCGCTGGAGCAACTCGAAACTTGCACCTACGCAAATCCATCGGACCACTAACAGGTCGCAGTAGCGGATTGTATTTTCGAAGCGCCCGCACATATAAATCGCAACAGCCTTGTGTTTATGTGCCAATTGTTAATTGTCAGATTTTCATTTTCATTAATCTATTACGATCGAAGTACTCATTTTGATCGTTCGTGTTCTTCCTTCTTTTCTATCTTCTTTCCCAACTATATCTCGTACGCATGTTCCAAAATCGGTTTCGAAAACTCTGACTTTAGTTATACGATTTTAGCTATTAATTTTGTAAGATTGAATAGAGAAATGGAGAGATTTTTATTACTTTTGTTATCTTACCGAATCTCTCAATCGTATGAATCAGCCGATCAATTAAAGAACTAACTCCAAGTTAGTTGAAGGCCTTGTAAGGCTTATAACCAAAGATATAATCAAAGTTTCCGAAAGCGATTTCGAAACAGGCTTTGTAAAAAGCACCGGGACAGCGAAATATCTCGAAAACTAAACATTTTAGACAGAAAATATTTCAGACAAAAGTTGTTAAAATTAATTGGTAGAAAAAGACGGTATAATAAAAAATTGGGATTTCCATTTCGGGCGCCATCTGTAAATAAAAAAGTGATAGTTGTTTTATGTTTCCCTTGAAACTATACAACTTTTGTCTGAAACATATTTTTCGAAAATACTCGGGTTTCGAGATGTTTCGTTTGTCCCGTTACTTTTTACGTATCCTACGTCAGTCAGGTAGGTAACACCTGGAACAAGGTAGCACCCGCAAGACAAGCTACGAAAAAAGTGTCTGCTACTTGTGACTGCAATCGCATAATAACAAAATCACAGCCAGGCGAACCATCTTCGCAATAAGTCTTACTACAACGTTAATAATGAAATTGCTCATTATCTTCTCCTCCAGGCAGTGGCAGTGGGTCTGTTCTTGCCTATGAGCTGCTGTGAGGAGCTCCATCATGTGGCTATACCATCAACAGCGCGAGCGCGATGAGTAAATCTGATGTGTACGTTGCCAAGTGCTTACCGATACCGTGTGCTCGTGATAATCACAATTCACGGCTATTTATAATCATAAATCATAAAGTAGATTTTCACCTGGTCATTCTGAATCATCAGCGCGCGCATACACACACACACACACACACACACACCGCACACACGACACTGTTGCCTGTAGTGTGGCTGAGTAACCGACCGAGTTCACGCCTCGTTTATCGACGCTTCTCAATTGGTTTTCACTCGCGCGTAGTTCAAACAACGTGGCTATCTGACGACAAGCGACTGCCTCAAGCTAGCCGCTTATGCAACTTCTTGGCTCTCGGCAGCTCTGTAAACTTTCCGATAGACAGCGTTTCCTAGTACGAGGAATTAAATGCGACATTGAAATAAAATTAACACGCGTTTGCGCGCCGGTTATTAGCGGAAAAGCGGGAGATCCTGGTACGAGATGTGTCGACGGGACGAACCTTTTTACCACGAACAAATCTTCATGACGCATCCCGTGTCGCGACCTAATGTAGTTGATCGCATGTTAAACACTAAGATCCGAACAATCGAAGATCCAACGAGACGTGGTGAAGTCGAGACCGTAATTTTATCGCGTATACGCGCGACGGTAATTTCTCGTACGTTTTTCGGGATATCAGATTTATTATGATTCGCAGTGCCGACTACTGCCTGGTAATAGCGGCATTGCGCAATGGCGCAAATGATTAGTTGCGAGAGGTAAACTGACGAATATATTTATTGATTGCTCCGACACATAAAAAATTTACTCGGCAAAAAATTTTCTCCTATCAAGTATCCAGTATCGCGACTATTGAGTGCCGCACTTCGACCAATTCCGCTCCTTGCTGACAATTCTGCTCCGCGCTTACCCGATGAAAGAAACGAATGTCATCGAGTATTTCCTGCAACAAATAACCACTCGCAGTATCAAATGCCAATAATATAGTGTTACGATTCAAGATTCTCTCCATTGGTCCTCCGAGTTTCACGAGATTCACACGAGATTGACCCTCTGCCGTTCGACTTGTCTGCGACGTTTTTCTCCAGGCGATTTCTTTTTGAAATTCCTTTTCGTTACTTTGCGACAGTTTCGTGTAACTTGTATTTACTTTGATATTTCAGTATTTAACTAGACGCAATATATTTATTATAGCACTGTATCTAAATCGAATATCAATTATAATATTTTTATAATAATATGTAAAAAATCAATTTGGAAGATCGCCCGGAGCAAAGTACGATGTCAAACTCGACGCCTGCTGGAGCCCAGATTGTCCAGCTCAGATAGTCGCCCCTGAACCAATCGATTTAGGAAATTTAAATGCTCCCGTCATGTGTATATGGCAAATCTGGGAAAAAGAGCATATTTGTGCACGATTTCTTGCTCTATATTTTTTTGCCTGAAGTGCATAATTGTCCCGATGTGTCACCGGTGTAAAAACATGAAACTCATGGCCAATTCAGATTCAAAACTGTGTATTAAGAATGACGCGATATGCTTAATCCGTCAGTATAATGACAGGCTGCTATGCCGTTTTAGAAATCACACGTTTCTTTAGCCGGTTATCGATACTTTCTGCAACACACAATGTTCAATCTCCGCGGCGCGGATTCAAAAGTAATAAGACATATTTGTAAAGATTAATGAATTTTTGATTAATGAATGTAGAAGATTAATGAATTTTTTGTGTCGTCCTCTTGAAAATATTTAACGACATTTGTGCGCTGTATCAATCAAGATTAGACTCTGATACACTCATTTATTATATACTAACTAATAATTGTAATATGTAGCTTACTTAACGATAATTATCTCTTACATTAAGTAGTACCTTGCGAACTATACGAATTAGAATATTAATTATATTTTTATTATTATGTTCTCATTATTATCTTATAATTATCTTATCTTATAATTAAAAATTATTATGTTTCAGTTTTAATCTTCCCTATCCGTGTGTATAAATTTAATCTTTTTCCCTTTCTTCTTCAACTCTCGCTTTTTATCATTTTCCATCTGGATGGACAATCGTAAGTATCCCTGTAACCAGTTCTATGTTCAGATTATGAGAAAAAACAAGGCGGGAGAATATATAAATGCCACCAATGCGTATAAATACGAAGAGGAAGAATGCGCAAAGAGCAGTCGAGGTCTGCGTTTCCTACTATTATTACCGATACCATTGTCGCGCCGGGACATATCAACTCTTGTGCACGGCCATTGTCAGTCCGAAAGGAAAATGTTTGTAGCAACTGTTACTTTGGCATTTGTCGTAGCTTACGTGTCGGCGGAAATACGTAAGTAGATGTACCGTAGAGATACGTAGTTGAGCATACAGCACGCAAAGAAACACACCAGGAAACAGGGAGAGCAAATTAACATGTCAATCTTAGGCGTCACGGTTAATGACAATTTATGATAATTTAACAACACAACTGAATCATTCATATTTTCAAGTCCCGTTTTAAATTAATTCAAATAAACTCTGCACAGCCTCCTATATTCACGTGTGCGGCCGCAAGGATCCGAACCTCGATGAATGCATCTTGAAGAATGTTGAGAATCTCAGAAGTAAAATATGCGAGGGCATACCGGAGCTTAACGTTGAACCACTTGAACCGCTGTACATCGACAAAATTGACATTATCAGCACAGACAATCTCAAAATATCCGTCACGGACGTGTACATAAGCAACCTCTGCAATTACGAAATAAAATATTTCCACTTGGACCTCGCGAAGAAACATTTCGACGTTGAACTTTTATTTAAGCGAATCTATATCAACATGACGTACGGCATGGACGCGAGAATATTGGTGCCTGTTGCCATGAAAGGGAAAATCGGTATTACCTCAGGTACGTAAAGTAGTATATAATAAAGTTTATTACAGGTAATTACGGAGAGAAAGAGAGGAAGAGAGAAGGAGAGAGATAATTTCGAAAGACGTTAAAGAATCTTTCACTCTCCGCTAGAGAGAAAAGGTTCAAAAGTTCAGTTTCATGCGTCACCAACCGAGAATACCGGTCTATGATGATACCTTTCCTGTAGATAACGTGGAGGCGAAAGCAGGCATTGACCTAAAAGTGATAAATAAGAACGGCAAGGAATACGTATACGTGTCGAATATAAACCTGGATATCGATATCAAAGAATACAAGGCGGATCTCAGCTCGATTAACGACAGAGACTTAGCCCTGATGCGTCAACTAAGTGAAAACGTCATAAGCAATAACCAACAGGAGATGCTCAGGATGTTGAAGCCGGTCCTCGAGGATGTCGTTTCCAAGCAAATCTTTCGCTTTGCCAACGCGATAGTTAAACATTTCACTTACGACGAGCTCTTCCCCGACCGAACATAAGGTACGTCGTTATTGAAACGAAGATTTTGTAGATAACGTAAAGAAACCGAAAGAGAGAGAGAGAGAGAGAGAGAGAGAGAGAGAGAGAGAGAGAAGAAAGTCTAATCGAGTCTTTTGTGACCCTTGAGTATGAAATAAACACCTGAAATTAACCCTTCGCGGTCGCACGTCTCTTTCTCTCTATTATCTTCATTACAGAACCCATTTATACCACTTCGGTTATTAATGTTGGAGCATCTTCATACATCCATCATAAGTCGATTGCATAAGTAGACGGTGGAGTTGTACAAAAAATGTGAAAACACTTTCTTATCTTGCATGAGCTTGTTCAATTTGATCTAGTTTAATCTAGTTTAATGTTCACGTGCGACATCGTTCAGTGTGAGGTAATGTCGACCGGTAAGGGTGTCCGAGGTAAAATATGACAGAAAAGAGTCAAGTGTCTTAGCGAAATCGCTTAATTAAATATACACATGACAGCGGTCTTCTCAATCGTTAAACAACATTCAAGAACATCACAGCGTCGCGACATATCGCGAGAAATCGCGGCTATTATAAAAGACAGTTCGCGTTGTTTTCAATTGGAAGAAATCGGGATACGAGTCATGACTCATTTTTCTCATTGATTATGAAGCTGAGTTTTACGGCCAATCATATTCCAACTCGTATCTCAACTCGAGCCGAGCTGCGTACGTTGCGACCAATATAGATCGTGAACGATTGATTGAGAGCAATCGGTCGTTTTTGTGCCGTCCGGCCTGATGCAACTGAATTCGTTTAGACGCGAGATAATTAAACGCGGTGACACTCGATAACGTGATAAAACAAACCTTCGACCCGTATCACGTTATCCTTGCGACTAGTCGCTAACTACTACTCGCGCCGCTTTTGCGAGCGATCCTCGGAGAAGAGAACGATGTTCCTCCTCCGTCATGCGATTAGTGCTCGTGGCGATTAATATTTATCATAGGAACATGAAAGTACAAGAAAAGTATATTCTTTATAACTGTACTTCCCTGTTATTTATTTATCTTGCAGTCTTCCTGCCTTCTTCTTCTTTCGTCCAACTTGAGCGTCGTCGGGTATGTATCCACTTCGCTTTAAGCATAGCACTAGAATGGACGAATCAAAGATGGATGAGTAACTGTTGTTCTTACTGTACAGTTTTACTTTGAATATCTTCGAGATTTCTTCAACAAATTGTATGTATCTTCTGCTCAACAAATACTCGAAATCGGGCAATAAAAAACACAAAATGTTTCATTATTCAGATAAATTTATTTTGTCGCCTTCAAAAAATAGTTCCCATTCTAATGTCACGATCAAAGTCCCACGACAGGCATATAAAATATCTTTCCGACAAAGTTCGTTGCCTAAGATCTACACCTTCTCACCTTCGGTTCGGAAATGATTTAACGGAATCTTGAAGATTTGCCTTTTGGCTCACGAGATGAAGTACGACAAGAAATAAAGGAAGAAGACTGCCAAGTGGTTTAACAAATATTACAGCTAATAGCTTTGTTCAACTGACTTGCGTCTCAATGACAATGAAACGTCACGATAAATTTCACTCGCCCCTGCAGATCGCTCTCTGGATGCCCTCTTGATATCTTGCTTACCTCTCGACGACTAATGGACACGCAAGGAAACTTGCGTGGAGAATCGCGGTGTACGTCGATATGAGTCCATGTTATCCTTGTTCCGATACCGACTCTACACCGGTCGGGACGATAACCTTCCTTCGACCGCGTCGTGTCGATAACCGAGAAATCGGGATCGCAGCGAAGAGAGAGAGAGAGAGAAAAAGAGCGGATCGTTTGAAAAATATTACGAAACATGGCTCTTGTCGTGCCTGCGACGGCATCATCGGATGACCTAGTCTCGTCAAACGAGAATCCTTCGTCAAACCCGATCCCTGGGTCCTCAGCAGGTAACTCAACTAGAAATACTTTCCGCATCTCGGAGCTACGACCGATAACTGAGCGATAACTGCAGCTCTCTCGCTTTGATGAGCGAAGGTCAGCTCTGCAAGATGTATCTCGAAAATGTATCGCTAAATTCACCAAGTTTCCTCGCACGTCTCCTCCGTCCGACCACAGTGAAATAATCTAAGAAAGCATCAGGCTATTGTTCAAATATTATAATGCCTAAATCCGGAACGCTCGGCTAATCTTGCCTATCCCTGCGTTTAAATTCAACTTAATTTTTTCCGCTCTCCTTTGACTTCTCACATTTTATTATTTTCCACCTAGATGGACAATCCTTGTGCATCCTTGTAACCAGTTCTATATACAGGTTATGAGAAAATCAAGGCGGAAGAATATATAAATGTACCTATGCATATACATACGAGGAGGAAGAATGCGCCAAGAGCAGTCGAGATCCGCGTTTCCTGCTATTAAGATCATCACCGATATCATTATCGTGTCGGGAAATATCAACTCTTGTGCGCGGCTACTGTCAGTCCGAAAGAAAATGTTTGTCGTAACTTTCATTCTGGCATTTGTCGTAGCTTACGTGTCGGCGGAAATACGTGAGTAGATATATGTAAAGATACGTAGCTGAGGATACAGCATGCAAAGAAAACGTAACAGCGAGAGTAAATTAACATATCAATCTTAAGCGACACGTAAAAGCATCACGGTTAATGACAGTTTATGATAATTTAACAACTGATACTGAATCAATCACATTTTAAAGTCTCGTTCGAAATTAATTCAAGTAAATTTTTCACAGCCTCCTATATTCACGTGTGCGGCCGCAAGGATCCGAATCCCGGTGATTGCATCTTGAGGAATGTTGAGAATCTTAAAAGCAAAATATGCGAGGGCATACCGGAGCTTAGCGTTGAGCCACTTGAACCGCTGTACATCGACAAAATTGACGTTATCAGTGCAGACAATGTCAAAATATTTTTCGCGGACGTGTACATAAGCCACCTCTGCAATTTCGAAGTAAAATATTTCCATTCGGACCTCGAGAAGAAACATTTCGACGTTAATCTTTTATTTAAGCGAATCGATATAAACATGACGCACAACATGAATATCACCAAATTATTCGGATTGACTGTTGACTTGAAAGGAAAAGAAATTCATATTACTTCAGGTACTATATAAGGTAGTACATAATAAAATCCATTACGAGTAATTACAAAAGGAAAGAGAAAGAGATTGAGAGAGAGAGAGGGAGGATTTCAAAAGACATTAAAGAATCTTGCGCTCTCCGCTGAAAGGAAAAATTCAAAACTCCAGTTCCATGCCCACCCATGCATCACCAACCGAGAATACCGATCTATGATGTCCTTTTCCGTAGATAACGTGTTGGCGAAAGCGGGCATTGACCTCAATGTGGTGAATAAGAACGACAAAGTATACGTGTCAAACATAAACCTGGATATTGATATCAAAGAATATGAGGCGGACCCCAGCTCGTACAGCAAAGAAGAATCTATTCTGACGTATGGAGTAGGTAATAGCTTCATAGGCAATAACCAACCACAAATGCTCATGGTGTTGAAGCCGGTCTTAGAAGATGCCGTTTCCAAGCAAATTTTTCGACTTGCCAATGCGATAGTCAAACAATTCACTTACGACGAGCTCTTCCCCGATCGAACATAAGGTATGTCATTATTGAAACAAAAATTTTGTAGATAACCTAAAGAATTCGCGAGATAGAGAGAGAGAGAGAGAGAGAGAGAGAGAGAGAGAGAGAGAGAGAGAAAGGAAGAAAGGGAAAGGAAAAGGGAGAAAGGGAGAGAAAGAGAGAGAGAAAGAGAGAAAAAAGTCTATTCGAATCTTTATTTTAGTAAATAAACATGTATTACTTCAGATTCACTACATTAACCATTTGCAGTTGCATATTTTTCTCTCTTTCTCTCTCTCTCTCTCTCTCTCTCTCTCTCTCTCTCTACTTTCTGTCACAGAATTTATACCACTACGGCTATTAATGTTGGAGCTCTTTTATCGATCCATCATAAGTCAATCCGCCGTCTGACCTGATGCAATTGATCGTTTATATGCAAGATAATTAAAAACGGTGACACTCGATGGTATATTAAATTTAACCTTCGACGGTAAATATTTCGTTATTCTTGCGAACCACTGCTAACCACTATTCGTTCCACTTTTGCGAGTGATTCGCTGAGAGGAGAATAATGTTCCTCCTCTGTCATGTGGTTAGTGCACATTGCGATTAATATTCATCGTAGAGACATAAAAGCACAAAAAAAGTCTATTCTTTATAATTGTACTTGCCTGATTTATTTATCTTGCAATCTTTCTTCCTTCTTCTTCTTCCCTCCAACTTGAGCGTCGGGCATGTATCTACTTCGTTTTAAGCATAGTATTAGAATGGACGAATAAAAGATGGATAAATAACTGTTGTTCTTACTGGTACAGTTCTTTGAATATCTTCGACATTTTTTCAACAAATTATATGTACCTTCTGCTCAACCAATACCCGAAATCTGGCAATAAAACACAAAATATTTCATTGTTCAGATAAATTTATTTTGTCGCCTTCAAGAAATAGTTCCCATTCTAATATCACGATCAAAGTCTCACGACAGGCATATAAAATATCTTTCCGGCAAAGTTCGTTGCCTAAGATATACACCTTCGGTTCGGAAATGACTTAAGGGAATCTTGAAGATTTGCGTTTCAGCTCACAAAGTGCGACAAAAAATGAAGGAAGAGAACTGCCCAGTTGTTTAACAAATATTACAACTAACAGCTTTATTTAATAATTCATAAGACATTGGTAGCTCGCCAGGACCTGCGCGCGCTCTCAATGACACTGCGTCACGATAAATTGTACTTGCCCCTGAAAAAGGTTCTACGTACTTGGTCTCTCGATACCTTGCTCACCTGCCAGCGCGACTAATAGACAAGTGAAACTTGCGTGAAGAATCGCGGTGTGCTTGACTGTGGGTCGATATGAGTCCATGTTATCCTTGTTCCGACACCGACTCTACATCGGTCGGGACGGTAGTTCCTTCGCTCGCGTCGATAATCGAGGAATCGGAATCGCAGCGAAGAGGTCGGATCGTTCGAAAAATATTACGAAACATCGCTCTTGTCGTGCCTGCGACGGCATCATCGGATTACCTAGGAGTCTCGTCGAACGAGAATCCTTCGTCAAATCCGATCCCCGGATCCTAAACAGGTGACACAACGAGAAATACTATCCGCATCTCGGAGCTACGACCGACAGGATAATCACACGCGGATCAGGAGGATCATTGAGCGCTCTATCGCTCTATGAGCGTAGGTCAGCTCTACAAGATGTATCCCCGGAAATTTGTCGCTAAATTCACCAAGTTTCCTCGCACTCCTCTCCTCCGTCCGACCGGAGTGAAATAATCTAAGAAAGCCTCAGGTTAGTGTTTAAATGCTAACGCCCAAATCCTCGCGAACGCTCGCGGCTAATCTGCGCCGCTCTCTGTGAGATAGCACAACGCGTAACGAAAATGAATGTGAGAAAGATTTCTGGCCAATATCGATGGCTCCTAAAACTTGGCTCGTACGATCGCCGACATTTTCCGCTAATCGACAATCCAAGGTCTCCGAGAAACACGAGAGACACACGTGATCGTCTCGTGATCGTCTCGGCGACCGATCTGTTCGCAGTCCCTTCGCAGGAAATTGTTTTTCCATGAGTCTGTGACAGAATCTCGACATATCCGGCCGGTCGTGATGAACGATCCAGGTTTACGCGCATGTGTGTGCGATGAGAGGAAAATGTTCTGTGTAGTCGTGAGTAGCGATGAGTTTTCCTGATACTTATCGTTCTCTGATCACCCATTACGGACAGAATTGATTCTAATCTGTGTCGATCGCGTTTGTCGTCACTGTCGCAGTCTGCCCGATCCTGTTCGGTTCTCTGGGTAGTTTGGAAAGAGTTGCGCGAACGAGAAATGTTCAACGATTTTGTTGGCCGTATGATTGAACGCGTTGGACAGTACGTCCTCCAAGAGTGGCAGCAGCTCAATCAGGAAGAGGTCCAAGTTGTTGTTGATGGCTGAATTGATGATGTCGCCGAGCACTTTGTCGCCGTTGAACAGGTTGTCTATCTTGAACGTAGCTTTGCCCACGGTGATCTTCATTCCGAATTCGCTGATATGTACCTTCTCCACTCCTTCTGAGTCCGTGTACCTCTTACCTTGGATTGTGCAGGCACCTGGAAGATACGAGCGTGAGATGAAACGCGACAGTGGAATATTTTCTGGCGATAAGAAACGATCATTTCCTCGCTTCAATTCTTTGGTTTTATCGATACGACGCGGCTTCACGTGTAGCCGGACGGTCATCCTCTGTCGAGGACGACGTTGACGAATCAAGCGAGAGAATCAAATAAATGGAGAATCGGGAAAAATAATTTATTTGCCTCTTCCTGTGGGTAAAACTTTTACGTCGCGGGCAACGTACCTATGCAGTTGCTGGCGTTGACGTGCAAATTGCCGGAACCATAAACCGGCAGCAGCAATATTTTGCCGTTTATGTCATATTGAGCCTCAATGAGGATATTCGGCAGAAAGACGTCCAGTTGGAGATGCAAGTTGTCTAAGTTGAACCTGAAAGAAGAAACGAGCGGCGTGTATATTATATCTCTAGTGAAAAAAGTCCGAGGAGACAGACAAGTTTCCGGAGGGAAGACGTCGGAGAATTGGCGTTCTTCGAAGTCGCCGTACGGGCAATTGCGAAGTTCCACATCGCGTTATACAATGTAATGACGGAGCGACGCGAGAGAGAGAGAGAGAGAGAGAGAGAGAGAGAAATATGCCGATATCTCATTTACGCATTACGTGTTTCATATTAGCGGATATATTACGTCACGAGAAACCACAAGCTGATCATCAGACAGCTCGGGTCAATAAACCTCGCCTTCGCGATTCTCATACGTGGGAAATGTCATCGGAAATAGCCGACAATTTCAGCGATCACAGCAGGCATCGACCTCTTTTTACCGTCCGCGTTTCAATACAATGCGTACTCGAGGCGTCATCTTTTTCTCTTCCCGCCGAGTTTTGCACGCCATGAGGCAGCGATAAGTGTCACCGGCGCGACCATCACTTCCGTTCGATTTTCATTGATTATCCGTCATTCTTGCGGTCGTCAGAATACTGCAATCGTGCGATTGTTCTCTACTTTTGCGGGCGTCCATGTCACGGCCATTCGCGTACAGAATAACAAACGATGGCGATCATTTCTCACTCCTCCGTTGCATGACTCAACGCAATGCTTCTTCTTCTCCGTGATAAGAATAAATCCGTCGCGATTATCGCGGCAGTGAGACGCGTCGGATACGATTTAAAGCCGCGGAAATTTGAAGTCTCTGATCGGCAAAATTGTCGCGCGTAAAATGAAGTCGAAGCCTCAAGCTGAACATTTTCAGCTAAAAAGCGAAGCTGCTCTTCCTCTCTTTCGCTCTTCCAAATTGAAACAAATCCCGGAGAAATCCCTTGAAATCCCCTCTGAATTTATTTCTTTTTCCCTCAAAGTTACACATTTCCAACTCTAAATTTAATTAAATTTAATTAAGTTAATTTTTCAACTCTCTCTCTCTCTCTCTCTCTTTCGTCCGCGGACAAGTGACTTCGATCAAGCGCGCGTGAGCTTCATTTATTCCCGATAAAAGTCATCGCGACGCAACGAGAATTAAATCCTCTCAAGCGGCGACGGATGCACTCCTACCGCGAATGACTCAATAATCTCAAAGGTGTCCGGCACGTGTTTTTGAATACTTCTCGTTAAATACTCAAATGTCGCGCGAGCATATGAAGACACAAGTCAACGACAGAAAAAATAGCACGTGTGAGCGCAATTAACTGTTTTGTAATTTTTTGTGTGGTTTGGCGTGTCATATCGCGACGATCAATTTACGTTCACGAGCGGCACTTAGGGCACCATGGCACACAAACAAACTTAAGCAATAAGACGTAAGCAATAAGGAAATCAACCAATCACAGTCGAAACTTAAGAACGCCATTTTAAAACTTGAGAGAATAATTGACTTTGTTTGGTCAGTTTCTTTACTGCTTACGTCTTACGTCTACTTAAGTTTTTTTACGTGCCATCCGCTTTACCGTCGTCACAAAATGCCGTCGTTTTGCATTTAACAATGCGCGACCCATGACCATGACGTTTGATTGGGTGCAAAATTTGCGCAGGATCACGTCCCGCATCTAATCTAATCTAATCTACTTCCACGCCTCCCCACCAGACCTGATCCTGATTACTTCACAATTTCCCGCGCGCGACGTTCGCGTTAATTGCTTGCCAGAGCTTGTGCTTCAGTGTTCAAATAATCTCCGCACATCGTCGCTCTCTCTCTCTCTCTCTCTCTCTCTCTCTCTGTTCCCACTTCTGTACTCACTTCAATTTATTGATCTTGAAATTGCTGGCTTGGTATATGTTGAGATTCTTTGCTTGCATACGCAGCCCGGTCGCTGGATTAAACTTCAGCCGCTTAAGTTTGAGCGGTTCCAATGACGGGATGTTGTACTTCTCTACGCCCGTCTGCAGATACGGCTGGAGTTTCGAGATACTTTCGATCGCGCATTGCTCGAATTTCTCTGTTTCCATACTGGCGTCGCAGATTTGCAGAAACTTGGCTGCAATTACCGAGTCCGAAAACATGAGATGATCGGTGGAGTTGCGAAAGAATGAAAGAGCGATCGGCGGGTGCGCCGTCGCTGCGCCGAGATTTTCCGATCCATGTCCCCGCGACATGGTCTGATTTTTACGCAATATGCATTTTGCACACGCTGCATTTGTGTTACTTCGACCGTAAGCACGTTTAACACTTAATACGTCGATACGTTTCAAACGCACGTGCGTGTGTGCGTGCATGCATGCATGCGTGGGTACAGATGAAAAATCGATCTCGTAACGACCTCGTGAGCTTCTCGCTTCTAGCGAGATTCATGAGCTTTGTCGATGATATTGATAGTTATTACGAATCGAAGCAACACGCAACGTTCCGACGAGTCTCACGCAACTCTTGTTACCCCGACTCTTCGGTCTACTCTTTTAATCTAGCCGAACTAGGTTGCACTTTTCGTCATTAGAATGAAACGAGCGTGTGACTTAGCGTTTCAAGCAAAAGGAATAAAGTTCCCGTACAGCCGAGTTGGTTCAGCCGAGAGATGCAAGTCTGTTACGATCTACAGTCGAACAAGGACAAAAATGCACTCAGTTATCATTGGTGTCTCTTTTGCATAAAAATTTGCATAAAAGATAATAATTACTCGTCTGTCGCAAGTATGAAACAGAATATCCGTGCACAATCTTATGCATCCGATTACAGTTACGCAATTTCTACATAAGTAGAGTTCGAATTAGCATCGCGGATCGATTTATATCTGTTCGTTCTCCGCGATAAAGCAGATAATCATGGCGTATTCAAGAAACGTAAACATGTTAATTAATGCAGACAAACATGGAGCTTGGTTAAAAGAATTAGGCCGTAAGAACTCGCTACTTCAGCAGTAGCTTCGGAAGTGATGTCGAACGCGATGACGAAGAGCGAAGTCGCGTTTGGGATATTGAGTCAAATTTACAAGTTCCAGCACGATCGGAAGGCACCCAAGAAGGAAGGATCCACGAGTATAATTACCATAGCGCAAATTTTTAAAAACACACTCGTACGCAACGTAACGACACATCAGCCGATATAAAAAGCCGAAAGAAAAAGCTCGCTCGACCTGTCGCTCGTCGGCTCCCGTCGTCTGAATTACACCCTCCACCTATACTCGTCTTGCACACGTGCGCGATACAGATGCAGCACGAGTAACGATTATTATTAAAACTTTATGCAAAGGAGATTCCTACGACAACCGAGTGCATTTTCCTTCTTCATTCGATTCAAGACTTCAATAACAGACTCGTATCTTTCGGCTGAATTAGCCCGACCACCGCCTGAACGCCTGTCTTACTTACGTATCTCTTCCAGAGCTGTCGCCGCACTGATCGTCGCCACGGCCAACAGGATCGCGGTGAACGTTGCCTTCGTCGGTGCCATCTTCCACTGGGACATGACAAGAAGCTCAACGTGCGTATCTTCCGGGATTACCTGGGGCGCGAGACTCGACGAGACGGGAGTTGCTGTCTGCAGCCGCTGACTGCTGATTTGCGGAGGATCGGGCTGGGAGTGGATGGCCTGGACGACGATCCGTCTTATAACGATGACCGCGCGTTTCCCGCGCGCTCTTCCTCACCATCCTCTCTCCTATCACCTATCAACACACACATCACGTGACAGTTCGAGATGACAACTATTATATTCTATCGATGATATTTGCCTCCAGCGGCTCTGCGAGTACCTCCCACGTGTCTAAGCAGGCTGGCTGCGCAACACAGGCAGGTCCTGTCTTAGCGCGTTGACAACAACTCGTTGAACCAGCGGCATGTGGCTGACGATCCTCGCGATCGGCCATGTACAGATGCAGTTTCGACTTTGTCCTTTGCAGCGACACAATGGACGCATTCAATGTTCGTACTTGTTCGCTCTCTCTCTCTCTCTCTTTCTCTCTCTCTCTCTCTCTCTCTCTCTCTCTCTCTCTCTCTCTCTCTCTCTCTCTCTCTCTCTCTCTGTAAACTCTCTGCAGGTGAGCGTTTGGACGCCAGATCGGTGCTTGTACTTTTAGATCTTGATCAAATGTTGAAGGTACACTGAGAGAAAAGATATCTAGAGAATACGAAATGTATATTCGGTGGGCTGACAGACTAAATTTCTAAGTTCAAAGTTTAGAAAAATGTGTATTTGACAAAAAATTTATAAACATAAACATTTTTTGGGCACTGTAATTATTATTAACGATGATCATCTTATGTTCGATCGGCATCGCAAACCAGCATTTTAGAGCTCTCAGTTTCCTTTCCAACCTTTCCGTTTGTCAATAGAGGGGAGTAGGCAATAGGGGCCTAATAGACAGAGCTCTGTTTTATTATTCAAACTTATATTCCACCGAAAAATTGTTAATAGTTTCGTTGTTGCCAAATAATAACTATCTACTGTATTTCATTTTCAGCACGATCTCACTATGGTTAAAAGTATTATTTCAAAAATGTTTGACATTACGGTCAGGTAACTCCACAGTGATTGTGGCGTCACTTGGAATCACTTGGATCGGTTTTTATGGGTCTCGAAAATTGTGTAGCATTATTAAGATACAAAAAGATGCGATCCCGAACGTATTGAACAACGATGTTGTTTACCACATATATCGTAAAAATTGTGACGCTTGTTATACGAGTCAGACAAGTAGGCCGAGTCTGAGAACTTGAATTAGAGAACGCAGCGAATTAATTATTTAATCTACAAAAAATATTTATTTAACGTTTGTTTAATGTATATTTTACATTAATTTTTCATTTAAAATGATGTTTTAAAAAAATATTTATTTAACGTTTATTTTACATTAATAACTCGTTTAAAATTACTCTTATCATTTAAAAAACGTTTTTTAAATGTTCTTTTAATATTTTTAAAAACATTTTTTTTAAATTGTATTTTTTGCTGATTGTAAGTTTTTCTGATTAATAAGTAAAAGTAAACATTTTTCTTTATAATAATATAGACGCGTTTATAACCTGTACGGGCATAAATTAGCCATTGTGTAGCCATTTGACTGTAAAAATTAAATATATTTTTTTACATGAAAAGGATATGACTTCCAGTGCGTCAATGGTTTTTATCGCAATCACGATTGACTTTAATATTAAAGTGTTTGAGCGTGCGTTTGACGAACTACCGACGTAATTTTTTCTTTTGGCCTTAAAATGCAGCTTTGAGACTTTGTCTCTTACGAGGCACACGAGTGCGAGGTAACACGACTCGCGAGCGTCATCGCGCTTGCAGATGTGACATATGTGACATTCAACCGACACTTTAATTTAGAGGGAGAAGAAGTTCATGAAAAAAGAAAATCACGAACGATTAGTAACAAATGACTTTACCATCCGCTCTCTGCGGATTTGATGTTGCGCAAGCATTTTTATCGTGAGATTCTTACGATCTTCTTACGATCTCGCCCAAGGTCGGCAAAATTATCGGACATCCTCGTCGGCATCGCTTCGACGATATTTTTATATTATCATGTGCAATATCCGCATAACCGCATGTGCTAAATGATTCCATCAGATTGTCATCTTAAAGGGAGCCGTCAGATTTTTTCCATCGCTCTCGCGTAGTTGATATCTCTCGCGAGCGATCATCCATTAACGAAAGATAAAAAAGAAGAAAAGGCCTGCAATGTGCAGAATTGCATGTCGATACGCACGAGTATTCGTTCTCTTTTCCAGGAGAACGCTCTTGTTTTTTCGAAGTGGAACATGAACCGCAGTAACATCCGACGCTCTTCATTTGGGAAATCTCCTTGGAAAATCACTTTCCCATAAACGATAATACTCGTACGAGTAATATAAAATTACTTGTTATTACTTATTACTGCTAGTGGTAACAGTAAGTGATTACAGCCAGTAATAAATTTCTGTTAGGACGTACCTTGCCGAAAGAGGATTGAGGATGTTTAAGAAGAAAGAAGAAGATCCGGCTCTTTCGAGGAAATGAATTCTCGATGTTTAGAGCTGATGAATATGCGAGTCTAGAATTTCCGGATAGATCCGATCGAGATGACAATGGAAAAGTGAAGCGCGGGATCATGATAAAACGATTATGAATATAACTTCGACCGCGGCAAGTACGTAATACAAAAAGCAGCTTTCAAGCAATTCATTAAGTTATAAAAAAGATGGATATTCCCGAGGTACCGTATGACGCGTGTGTTACATAACGCTCGGCACATTTCGCAAAAGAAGTCTCACAGCGATCATGAGCGCATATCGGCAGGAACGAGCGCATGCTTAAGCATGCGGATGAGTCTCGCAGAGCGGAGCGGAGCGGATACTCGTATAGTCGCGAAGAAGCCGTGAGAATTTCTTGCGAAAAGCACAAAGACGTACGCAGCAGTGAATGGCGAGTGAACGGAGAACAGACGAGTGCTCGTGGATGAGGAGACTCTTCGGTGATGAAAGAGCGGAGAACAGAGACGGTGATATCTCTGTTACCGCGACTTTTGCCATGATGTAGCTTCTCAAAAGTCTACCATTTCGATCGCTCCGCCAGAAACGCGGATCGCGTTAATCGCCTAATAGGCTGTACAGGCTTTGCATAGGCTTTGTATAGGTTGTTAACGTACGCTATTGCCTTCGATAAGGCATCATCGTGAACGATCATCGTGATCGATGATCTGCGGACTCGTCGTGGAGTCCCAGTTTACGCATATCATGTAATAGCAGGGGATCGCGTAGAGAAGGATAATAAGCAACGTGGAACTAGAAGGAACTACGTCTTCTCCGGGGCAGCGGAGCAATATCCGGATGCACGAGAATGATTGTTTACGAGCTGCTGGGCCGTCCGAGTTTAATGAAAATGCCATAGTCAGTGGTCAATAATCACATTAAGAGAGCGCTCTGACATGACTAATCGACATAATCGCGCTCGCGCGCGACGCGTAATTGCCATCCTTACGCATTAAACAAATTCCAAAGGTTCACCTCAGCGTAACGACGGACGAATTGATGACCCGAAGTCAAGTTGAGTCACGTCATAACTTTGATTTCGGATTTGAAATTTCAACTTCCGCTTGACGCTTCGAATTTGCATCTCGATTGCGTCTCCTTCGACTCGACTGGACGAACAACGACGGAAGTGCAAATCCACGCGAGCTTGAATGACGTGCTACTCATTTGTATGTCATTTTAATTACAGCTTCTTCGTCCGTATGATTACTTGCGTCTATGTAATAATTTATGCACTATGTAATAATTTATAAGTTTACGCAGCTGACGAGGCACATATTCGCGCGCCGCGAGTAAATATTAGGTTGATTAGGTAATTACGGTTTTTACATATAGAGACGCATATATATATATATATATATATATATACATACATATCAGTTAAGAATTATATTTATTAATCGAAATAAAGACCATTTCTGTCTGCATACGTTTCTCCCAACAGGAAACAAGTTTGTTTATTCCTACGAGATAGAATTCTGGAAAAGATCACGGTAATTAGGGAAATCGGCGCCAAACTTAAAATGTGAAAAATCGCAATTGTTTTTAATTTATGACCTAATTTATAATTTAATAAATAAATCAGTACCATAAGTACCGGAAGCACCTGAGAGAGAATCTTACATATTTATATTACGTATCATTCAAGGCTGCAATCTGTAAGGCGAAAATCTGTAAAGAAGTCGCCACCGTTTCGTCATGATAATTACAATTTAAAATCATGTTCTCACATACACGGGCGGACGGACTTTATCGTTCCGCATCTCGAGCGGATTATCCTTTGGCGCGACCGCGGCTGCAACATGTGCAGTTTGAAAACTGGCGACGATCGGACGAGTCGAATTGCGGACGGTCTCGATTGCGACGTCGATTTCGAAATCTCACGACGCGTGCAAACACGTCGCCTGTATTTTTTCGTTCCTCATCTCAGTAATTAATTGATCGGCTATGATAACAACGACCCAGCGCGCGCTTACGCGGGCTTCACCGCGCAAACACACTCGAGTGACGTCCATGTAATCCATTCCACGGTTCGTGTGGAACATGCAGCTATTTGCGACGATAATGATCTTCCACCGCCATTTTATTCGACAATAATATTTTGGAAAATAATCGTGGTGAACGGGGGACGGGAACGAATGAGAGTGCGATGAGGGAGGGTGAGAGAGACAGAGAGAGAGAGAGAGACAGAGAGAGAGAGAGAGAGAGAGATAGAGAGAGAGACAAAGGAGAGAGGGGGTAACGATGTATAGTTGACAGACACGCGAGCATATCGCTCGAGCCGGTAATCGCGATCCTAATTTCCGGCTTCCGTCGACCTATTAATTCGTGAAACGCGACGCAAGCAAGTCCCGCACCGCCCGCCACTCAGCTGAGCAAATCCGAAAGTCACGAGTCGTACGCATCAGCGAAAATCACCGGTATTCGATAATCGAGAGAACGTAATGCTCGTCGACAGAAGACAACGTATTTACGAACGTAGATTTCGCTTCGCAGCAAGTGGGGTCTCAATCTCGCATGAGACGTTGCCGGGATGACTGATTTCCTGTGTCATATTTCCTGAGAACGCAAACACGAAGTTATTACGTGGACACTCTTTTTCCGCGGAGCGTTAATTCTATTTGCCGCGTATCGCAGTTTGTAGGATATAAGATGCGCGGCGAGCGGATAACGATGAGTCCCCCGCCCCCCTCCCATTCGGAAAGTGCAGAAACACGCTAGATCATCGCTTGATAGCACTGAAACAGCACTGAACAATTAAACATACGACGAGAGATAAAAAATGGATGACGGAGACGGGAGCGCGAAGAGAGAGAAAGAGAACTGAAAGACTGCACAATATGAGATAGCGAGCGGCGAGAGAAGGATTATTACCGCGGTATTATTAATGCTATAATAAGCGTCGCTTATTCCTCGCTGTATCCGTAAGTAATTGAATGTTAAATATTTACAAAACTCTTATTCTCGATTACTTATGGCTAGCTTTATGAATGAATGGAAGTAGCTCGTTTCGAGCTCTCCACGAGCATTTACGAGAAGATACGTGCTTTCTGTTTAGTTTTTCTTAGCTTCTCCGCGGTATGGCTGACGCTCATAATAAATGGACGAAGGAGGTCTTTTCAGACCTTCTTCTTCCTCGCGGGGAGAGCTGCTGCTGCCGAGATAGCGCGTATCTTATCCGTCGGTGATACAACATCCTTTACATCATCTTTTCCTGCTCCATATTAAAATCTGTTTTTTTTTGTTATATAAGATTTATAAAAGTACTTTAGTGTAACTAGTAGTTATTAGAAGCTAATCATGCAGTTCTTATCGCAGAATCTACATTCACGGTGAAAAAAAGTAATTGGGCGGCTGAGAATGTAAACTAAATAAGTACTTTTAACTACAGTCTTTTTCAATAATATTTACATAATTTGTGCGAAAGAAGACATCATAAACAGAAGTGCGTAATAGTTTTGCCGCAATTCTATATATCTTACCACGCATACATGTATGTAACAGTGTGATGTTGAAATCTTGAAATGTTCATCGCATCGTCCAAATCGTCCAAACCTTCCTTTCTCTTCCTCTTCTTTACGTTATTTTTTGATGACAATGTCTGTTATCATGGCAAGAAGGACTATGGAAGAAGAGGGCATCCGCAAACGAAAAAGAATTGAATCGACAAACCGTCTCAAAACTAGATCTAGATCGTCCGCAATTTTTGAAACTAAATATAGCTTGTATCGAGGTAAGGAAAAACTGATAATGGACCAATCATGCGTATTCTATCGTCTGGGCAACCTCAATTAAATATGATCAACGATGATCATGAGGTAAATACATCTTTTTGTCGAACTTGCGGAAGAAAAACATGATTTTCCGACCGAGAAGAAGTAGACGTAGAATCGCTCGTATCGCATTGTTATGCCATTTATGCTCGTTCAAATCGAACTTATTTTTCTGCAGTGATTTTCGCATTTATCTGTAATCTCGATCTGTAATTATCGATCCTATTTGCGCTTGAATCTGTAATTACCGTGCACACAGTGACACGTTAGAATTACGATTGGCGGTGCACTCATCGATGCACTCGCGTCAAACATCCGATACTCTCGACATACCATTAGTGATTTATGACAGGAGACGCACGGAGAAGATGCAACGCGCGATTAACAAACATTCGAGTCCCGGTCTTCAAATGCGCTTGAAATGCGCGTCCCCCATCTCCGCGTCTTCCTAAAAGATGATCGCCGCGCGCAATGAGTCGATCGGTCGGTCTCGTTCGGAGCGCAAGTGAGCCCGCGGTTTCCAATTATTCACCCTGCCGTTCTGCGGAGTGTCGCGTGCTCTTCTCGCGGACTCTCATTTATCACATCAGCGTGCCGCGCGACACCTCGTCGCGACAAGCGTCGCGGGAATGCAAATGACGCAATTTTGCGGAGCGAAGCGGAAAAACTGCACCGCCGAGATATATGTGCTGAATTTCCAATCGATCGGTCCCCGCGCGGACTCGCGGTACGTGCGGAGACGAATTCGCGAATCCCGCGAACGCGCAATCCGCGCGGTGGAACGCCTTGAACTCGAGCTTTGTCAGCAACAGGAGGTTACAACATTAATCACGACGACGTCGCAAGTGCTCCGTCCGGAGAGGGACTCGGAACGATGGCGCAACGAAGATGCGCGATGGATGAAACGATGGCCCATATTCTGAACTCTCTTTCATCGCTAAAACTGTACCGACTGTAAAAGCGGCTTACAGCCAATCAGCAGGCTTATCATAAGCCACTTTTAATGATGAAAGAGAGTTCAGAATATGAGCCGACGAATAAATCAAGCCAAGCACCGCGTTCTCTTTTCCCGGTTGACTGAAGCGGGACGCGGTCGAACGGCATCATTCACCCCTGCAGCGATAGCATGCTTTTTTCCTCTTTATTCTTTCCTCTCTGGTAATACTGGAGATAAAGGATGACATATGCGATATGTACATACATGGTGAAAGTAAAAAACTTACGTATACACCTAAAATTAGAAATCCCTCGGATTCAGCAAATCTCACCTATCTCTGAGTTAAGTTCCGAATAAAATGACGCGCGCGAGTGTTACACCGAGTGACGGTGTAGGCGGACTTGGGTTATAACCACCTGGCCCAGTGATACAATCACGTACGCACGCCCAGAGCACGCAGAACTGAGTGTGATTCGAGTGACAATAATAGGTCTTCACGGTCATGCTCTTTCACGTCGACGGGCCGACGCCCGTCAATCAGACGAGTGAACGAGTGAATCATCAAGCGGACGCCAGGGTAATCATCCATCGTCGTCTCACGGTCACGGCGTTCTCCCTTAAATTGCAGGCGTGCAGTGCGTGCGTGCGTGCGTGCGTGCGCAATTATGTCATGTTACTCGGATCATCGTTATGCAGATATGTATGTTAGAACGCTTCCGCAAAGGCAAAGTCGAATCTCGCTCGCGCGCGAGCCTTAAACTTGCCGGATCTTACGGAATACCCTGTATCGTGTATGTGCGACGCGACAATCGCACGAAGCAGAACGCCCCCCCCCCTCCCCCCCTCCCCCGCCGGACGCTTCTCGGACGCGCGCCCAGACAATTATTATATCGGAGACCATCGATTGTTGCACGTATTGTTTTTCTCCTCGCGAGACACACTCGGAAATAATCGCCGAGAATAATCGCTCGGCTAATCGCTCGCCCATGTCGCGCATTCTCGCCCGGTATTTCCGTTGCAATTAGCGCAACGAGATTATCGTCCATTGTGTGACGGAAACAATGTTTTCGTCGCCTCGGGCCCTCGTTTTTTCTCTCTTTCTCTCCCCTCCCCCCCCCTCTCTCTCTCTCTCTCTCTCTCTCTGTCTCTCCCTCTCTCTCTCTCTCTCTCTCTCCAAGTTGACGACGATCGAGTTTCGCTACCGCGGCGATCCGTCGGTTGCCGGCATCTTAATCCGTGATCCAGGCATCGTACGGCACTTGCGCGAACAGTTTCTCCACGAAAGCCGACATCACCTGCACCAGCTTCCGCCTCAGGTCCGGTTTCATCTCCTTCAGCAACTCCTGGCTGTTGCTGTTGATGAAGAGATTCAGCGCCGCCACTGCCAAGCAAAAGTATCATCTTTGTACATCGCCTCGGTTTTCTCGTCTCCCCTTTCCTCCCTTCCCCCCATTTATCTGTTAATCTACCTCTTTAGATCGCTTAATTCAATGTTCAATTTTTTACTAGACGCTTCGAAGCATGCACGATTATCCGCTGATCAAGGCTGAAGCAAAATGCGAATGAAATTAATGACCGCGTATATCGTCCTGCATTTTCCTTCTCCGTGTTTTTTTTTTTGCCCCTTCTTCTTCGTCTATTCACAAGTGTCACTTAAGAAACAGGAGAGAAAGAAAAGGAAGGATGAAAAAGAGCAAACAAAAGAGAGAAGGAGAGAGAGAGAGAGAGAGAGAGAGAGGAAAAAGAGTGGCGTTTCAAACATGTAACTGACATGTAGATCTCGAGAGCAAGATCAAAGAAATGATTACGAGCGCAAGATGGAAGCGTCAAAATGCGCTACTTCATCGCGAGATTTCCTTCCTGTGCTATTCGAATGCAAAATCGGTCTGAAAGTTTTGTGGCGGATAGGCCGGCAAATTGAATTACTTACGTAGTATAGGATTGCTGTCGCGCACATTCTCGACTCCCATCTTAATGTTCTGCACGCTAAAGTCCATCTTCAGTTGCTGCAGCCTGAGGTAACGGCGGCCCTGGACCAAAAACGGCTTCGCCCTGATGAAGACTTTGGCCTTAACGCCATCTACGAACGGACAACAGAATCGGTGAATGAAATCGTTTCGAAAGTCGAAGCAGCGCGTTGTACTCTCAATGACGACAAGCGCAACGCGATTCGCGGTGCGAATCGATGCGAATCCCGAGCGAGCGTAATGCACGAGAGACGCCGCGAGGTCTCGTAGAGTCAGTCTCGTAGGTCAGGTTGCCTTTCGGTAGGAGCGAAGCGAGCAACGGCTTGAAGAAAGACGCGAAGAGAAGCGCTTTGCTTCTCAAGGGTGCCCCTTGCTCGCGGCAGGATAGGTCGTATGTTACGAAGCGTTGAATAGAGAAGGTGCAACGACAGCTGCTCAGGTTGGTGGAATGCGGAGGAGATGCTTACGCGTGAATTCGCTTTAGGCTCAGCCTGCCGCAAGTATAGCGTGCCTTTAGCCGCTCGCACCAAGTTCTAATTTGTGGCAAAAGAATATTTTCTCCGCCGCCTCAGCATGAATATAATGAGCTCGCTTAAAACTCGAGAATTACGACTTTGGGCGCGACTTTGAGGAACGGCTTTCCGAAATTTCGCCGAAAATTCAGCTACAATTTCGGGCTCAGGGCTGAAGACCGAAGGATCACTATGCTTATTGTTGATCGGCTTGAATTATTCCTCCTTATAGTCGGGAATAATCGCATCGACGAAACTCGAAGTGACGTCTTTATTGCCACTTTATTACCGCGAAAGGACACTCGTCGCGAAGTAGCGATAACTCGCCAGCGAACTTTGTCGTGCAACAAATGTACATTGCGCAGGTGGTGAAAGTCACCGTTATCGTGACACACTTGCGCCACTGGCACTTTACGACGGCCGGCGAATTTCATCGGGGAAACCCGAAGGCACCGCGCGCGATCGTGAGCAAATAAATTCGCACGAGAGACGAACCATCAGATCGCCCGCTCAGATCAGATCAGATCAGATCAGTTCACCGTCGTCGACGACGCTGAGCGTCGTTGTTTCGCTGGCTTACCGTATTCGCCCCAGTAGTCCCCGGCGCCGCTAGCCTTCACCAAGATTAAGGTCCCGCTGGACCGGTACCTGGCGGCCGCTCTGATTTTGGGAATGCTGAGCGCCAATTGCAGCTGCACCTCGTCGTCGCTCAGCCGCGTCCTCAGGCCGGTCACTCGCAGGGCGGAGACCCCCTTCGCGGTGATATCCTTGAATTGCGCCCTGTAGCCGTCTGGACCGCCACCGAGTGCAATGTGCAACTCGTCCAAGATGATCGGCTCTACTTCCGAATAGCCCAGCTGCGGGAGACCTGCGATCAGAGCGACGATTACAGTATGGTCTCGGCTCTCCCCACCCTGCCGCGGGGAGGACACGCGTCCTGAGCACGAGTGCGTGCTTTCTCAAAATATATAGCCTCGGCTCGAACCTCGGAGAGAGATTCTCGTGGATCGAGTCTCGACGAGGACGACGATTGGTTCGAGTCTAATACGCGTTATTAAGATGACTCGCATCAGCTGACTGGTTGGACTGGGAATTTGGGTTGATAATTTCTTTTGTCCAAGTGTCGCTTTTTACAGACTGATCTTTTAGACTTTTAGACGCGACATTTGGACGCGCGCGTGAGGTGAACGCGAGACTGTGAGTTGCGAATCTCTCGTTGAACGTTGCTTTGACCTTCTTTTACTTCTCTTTTTCTTTCTTTTTATCCTTTCCTCCTTTTGAGCGATAGCTTCGAACACGTGCCGACGCGCGTTTGAAGAAAGCTATCGCGCTATCCGGAGGTGTGCTGGAATAATATCGTACAAAATGAGCGGAATGTAGGACACTGGGTGACCATTCCAATGCACCGTTATAACCTGCTTCCATCGCTAAGAAAATCATGGAGGTAGAACCGGTTAGGTGATTTTCGGTTTTTCAGGGAAGTTCTCACGGAGTGAGGATCCTCGCGTATCCTGATTGTTTGTCGTGTTTATAATTAAAACAAAGTTGCAAACGTTGCGAAACGCGTTGTATCTCGTCGTCGATAGAAATTTCGCAGTAGCTGCCAATCAATTTCTCCGTATAGAGACAGCGCGTAACGAGCGAAGAAATTGCAAATGTTGAAGATTATTAATTGATCGTCATGTTCAGATTGAACGTCGGGGAAAACGTCCGACCGATTGGGGATAATAGCGAGCGCAATAAAGTTATTAACATTCCGTGCAGCGCGAAGTAAAGAGACTTTAATAAGTGAGAGAACCGCGCGCGCGCGGTATACTTTTGCGAGAAACCGCAATTCTCCAATCACCCGCCGCGCCTTCGTTCGACATCGCAAGAAACGCGAGCTTAACTGTACTTTACTCCGGACGACGTCTTTCGATTTATTCCACATGGTCGTGGTAAACGCGTCGAGAGTCATCGCGGCGAGATGAAAAACTCGCAGAATTCACATCTTTCAGCTTCAGCAAGTAGCGAGCTGAAATCATTGGGAAATCAAACCTCACGGCGCGGCGCGGCGGTGACAACTAAACGGTGTATATATCGGCTGAGGAAAAGAGAATTTTTCCGACTCTCAAGAAGCGAGTTTGCTTCGCAAGCAGCGGAAATTCCGTCACCTTCGGTGTTATTGTCAAGTTGTTGTTAATTCGACCGTTCGATCGATCTGCAATTTTGCAATTCAGATCAGATCGCGCAGGCGAATTGGACGAAACGCGTGCGCGCGCGATAACATACGCAATATCAAGTCTCTACCACAACCTGTTTTTCAGTCAAACTAGATCAAGAACGGGCTATCGCGTGTGTCTCACCTTGACGGAAGTGCTCGGTGAGTACGTTGGCCGACCTGGCTAGGCAGGCTTCCAGCCTCGGGTCCCTCTTGGAACATGACTCCAAGAACTCCAGGCCTCTGTACCTGCCGACGGCTCCGACGCTGATCAGCAGCGAACACGCGCACAATAATACGGCACTCCTCATCTTTTCGGCTACTTCGGCGGCAGTGGCGACAGCTCGTTGCTGCTACCCGTTCTCTTTTCGTCCTTCCTGCCTTTCTTTCTTCTCTCTAGTCACGGTCAACTTCGTGGCCCGGGGCCGGCGGTGAACTCACGGTATCGATCGGGTTTCTCGATGTGGAGTGATCGGCGGACAGGGATGCGGCTGGCCTTATAACACCTTGACATTAACTCCCCCCCCCTCCCCCCGCTATACCGGCCCCGGCCCCGGCCCCGGGGACGAAGAAGTAGAAGTTCGAGGTCATCGAGAGCGAGACGTCGCGGTCGATGGATTACTTGATGTCCTCGGACCTCAGAATGGACCCACCGGACATAAAACCAAATAAACAATTTAAATGTGAACGTTATCCGATTCCAGCATTTAAATTCGTATTGGCGATCATTACGTGAAACGCAATTTTTTGCACGTTTTTTCATGTGAGGCGCTCAGATTTGAGTTTAGAGCTAGACGTGAACGGTTTCGGTGGAATTGCGATCGCAAATCCGATATATCATGTGATTCAAATGAGAAACTTCTCTCCTTCTTTCTTCTGTTTCGAATTTAACTCCGTACTCGACTTATGAGTGTCTCATATGAGGCAAGTTTCAAGCAACGGCTACCGATTACGGAGCCTAGATACGTGATTGAGAACACTTTTGTTCTCTTCCTCGGTTGATCCTTCTTTCTTGAGCGACTCGACTGGCTGGTGGATGTCCGAAGGGCCGATACGAGAACGATGCGTAATAATGGATTGCACAGTGTGAGATTCCGAGTAATTAACGTCAGCATTGTGTGCTCATATTCGCGCGTTAAAACCGCGCTTCTGTGCGGTAAACATCAATTAACAGCGACGTTACATCAGTATTACAACTTCGCAGTCAGCAATGTAGGCGTGTAATACAACGCGAGCTGTGCATGGCGGTTCCATCGTTGAGCAACAAGTTACAACATTGATGCAATGTCACCGTTGATTGGTGCTTAGATTATTTTCGTCATCTACCGAGCTACTTACTGTTCGAATTTTCAATAAGTGTTACTTCTTCTTACGCTGTCGGATAAAGCTGCATTTTTTTCTTAATTCTTGGTTAATTGGTCGATCTGGTAGACGAATGATCGATGTAGTCGCAGTTACGACGAATTTCGCCGGAAACACACGGTAGACCCACACGTAGATTTTACCTTGGTATAATAGAAAGGATGATGTAAAGGAAGAGATATGTGTGAGTCTGACAAAAGTTGCTTATGAGTTTCTGCCAAGGCCAGGTAAAAAACTTAACCACGTTGCTGCGTCGTTGAGTAGTTATAAGGAGGCCCGCTTCGTCTTGGCGGGATTTGGCCGAGCGAACGGAGACGAAGAAATGCCGATTAATTTAATATATCAGCATGTTTGGCTTTCCCGACAATTGCCAGCCGTTTGTTTATAACTTTCTTCTTCCATCAGCCGTGGCAACAGCGGTAAGTGGCGCGCGCTTAACGATCGACGGTGGAACGACGGTGGATCGCGTCGAGATAAAGGGAGAGAGAAAAGGAGCGCTTTCCTCCGCCAGTTCTGACTGGAGTTAGGAGAGATATAATTGGGAAAGGGGGGGGAGGGGTTAGGGTAATTAGGCGGCCCGATTGGCGATCGCGTGCGCTAAATCGAGCACGGCCCGCCGACGCGATCGGTCGCGAGAGAGCAGCGGTCTATTAAATTGCGCAATTGAAGAGCGAGTAGTCCGAATATGCCGCCGCGGTCTGAATATGACGCGCGAGCGCGCGTCGGCCGCGAGCGAAGAAGAACAAAAAGGCTGAATGGAACGCGTTCAGGATGTGTCGCGGTGACGCGATGATCGTCATGTATGAAAATGCGCGACGAGTTCGGCTCGAAGAAAGCGCCCGACGGACGTCAGCGACGGTCAGCGCGGACGTCAGAGACGGGCCGAATTAAGAAGCGCGAAGATGTTAAGCACCGTTAATCGACTCGCTCACGTTCACGTCTCGTGTCACGCTTCCGATATGCACGCGCGCAAGATTTACGTACATCGCGCCCCCGGCTTTCCTATTGTCCCGTCGTCTTCGGGCTCGACTAGCATCCAAAACGATCGGAAAGTCCCCGATCGGTGCGCGGTCGCGGGCTTCGCACGAGGAGCGCACGAGGAGCGCGCGAGAGCGCGAGAGAGCGAGAAGAGACGGAATTTCGGCGCTCGGCCTCAGCAGCCCCGGGCTGTGTTTGACTTTTCAATTGTCGGGAGGACGATAGGACATTCGAGTAATTCGCTCGAGCAAGCCGAATCTTCCTGCAAGGCGGATCGTCACTTTCAGTGTGATTTCCTGAGAACGAGACGCTTGTACGGACGCTGGACAAACGTTTTACGGGGCGACGATCACGCGACGCCCGCGGCGACCCTGAATTGGGGTACGACCTCGTGCTCACGACGACCGTGTGTCCTTGTGCGCGAGCTTGAATCAACGCGGCTGCCGGAAGGGCAGGGGACACGATCCCTTCCCGCTGTTTCCCACGCCACGGAATTTGGACTCTGCATTAGCTCGACGAATTTCGTAAAACGCGGGAAATTCAAACTCAAAGACTCGGTTAGGTTATCTTGATGTTTTAGCTGCACTTTTAGCTTTATTCTCAGTTCGAAGGAGCAAGGTATCAATTGTGAAGCTCAAGTGCGGGATATGTACAGTGAGCAAGTATTACGTAATCTAACGAAAGTCAGCGGCAAAGATAATCAAGAGAGGTAAGACAACAGCTTCCGTGCATCTCTCGAGATCTGTCGTCGGTTCTTCGAGTTTAGCCGAATTTGCAAGGCCAACGCCTTGCAAATGAAATCTCGATTCGAGTTCGCCCAATCGCGCGAATCATCATCCATCAGCATGCACCTCACTCGCGGACTTTTTGGGCTTAGAATGTGTTGAGCGAGAAGCGCTGAACGGGACGGGACAACTGGTGCGCGCGACAACGCTAATCGACGAATTCGACGGTTTCAGCGTCCGTCGTAATTCGTGCCTGATACACGCGGTGTCAATGCACTTTCTCCCAATGCCATGACGACCGCGATGTTCCCACGTGTCCTGTAAGAATGCTGGGTCAAAGACCGCGGCTCCTCAAGGCGAGCGACTATTCCGCTAAAAGAGAAGCATTCGTCCCGCATTTGCTCCGATCAAAGGCTCTTAGCATTCCGCGAGTGTGTACGTGTGTGTGTGTGTGTATGTGACGCGACGTGGAAAACGTGCGTCGGAGATTTTCAGGCTGGGGACGCGCTCAGGGAGACGACAAGACCGTAGAAAAGAAAGATCATATATTTGCTGGATATTACGTACACTGGACGAGCGCGCACGAGCGCGTTTCACGCGCTAATTCGAGCGCGCTCGTCCGCTCCTGCACGCACACGCACGTGAAGACGCACGAAGACGTACGAGGTTTGATCAAAAAGTAACGAGAGAGTTTGTCTGAAATTTTATGTTGAAAACGGAAGGTTAAGCGCAGCGAAAGAAGGCCTGTGGCGACGATACTGTGTTCACGAGTTTATGAATGCGTACAAACGCTTTCAGAAAGGCACCGAGAAGACATCGAAGATGACGCGAGGTCTTAGCACTAGTTCATCAGTGATGAAAACGTGGAAAAGGTTAAAGAGATTGCGCTTGCTAAGAGAAGAATCACCATTAGAGAGGTTGCTGAAAAAAACAGGAATTTCATACGGCTCATGCGAAGCGATTTTTACTAATGTTTCGAGTATGAAACGAGTGGCAGCGAAACTGCTGAATTTTCAAGAAAAACAGCATCGCACCTTATTCTCCAGAACACATGGCCCCCTGTGACTTTTTCCTATTTCTTGAACTCAAAAGGACACTCTAGGGACAACGTTTCTCAACAATAGATGAGATAAAGGCGAAATCGCGGATCCAGCTCAAGACGATACGTAAAGAGGCGTCTCACCAGTGTTTCTCAAACCGGGAACTACGTTGTATGTACATAAGTGTACATAATATCACAGGGGGACTACTTTGAAGGAGATGGGATAAACATTGAAGATTAAATAAATACTTTCCGAGAAAATTAAAAATTCTCTTTACTTTTTGATGAAACCTCGTGAACCTCGTCCGGCGATCGCACGAAAAATTCACTCGCGTTTCGCTTTCGCTCAGCGAGCCGCGAAGCGGCTCGCCGAGCGGCCGAGCTTCTCTATTCACTCGTCAGATGCGATCCATCAATTGAACAAAGTGTCGGCGCTGTCTAGTATCGTCCAGTCGCCGTCCGGCTCGTGGTCGAAGTCGAATTAGACGAACCAGGGCTCGGTTTGAAGATCCTCTCGAAGGGGAAATTGCGGAAGCTGGTGTTGAAGATCTCCGTGAAGGCCGTCGAGACGAGCTCGTTAATGAGACCCCGCGTCACCACGAAACCCGGTTGCCAGGCGCCGTTGATCAACTTGTCAATTATATTCTCGAGGAACTCCTTGCCGGACAGGAGGTTCCTGAGGTGGAGCTCCATGTCCCGGATATTCTGCACGTCCATCCGGGCGCGTACCTTTTGGCCCGGCAGTTTCGTCACGGTGGTCGTTTGTATCAGATCGTCTGCAACGTCGAAGGAGACCTTTCTGTCTTGCGAAGAAGAAGCTCGGTCGGTGCTCGCTTCTTGACAACGCAATTTCCCAAACGTTCGTCGCTTTTCTTCAGATCTTTTGCAAATTTTTCGATTCTCAATCGGTAACAATCGAAAAGACGAGAACGTGACACATCGTGGGAACACTTCGCGAAGATCTTCGTCTCGAGAGATTTCTTGGCTTTCGCTTGACGCGAATAACGGGATTTTCTTTTTAATGAGAAAAAAAAATGTAACATACTTTCGACGCATTCGTCTCTTCGACCGTCACCGAAACCAAAAAACAACTTCGCGATGAGGAAGTTCCCCCCCGAACGGAATCGATCAAACGAATGCAAATTCTTGGAGCACTTACACAGAACCATCGTGAACGTTCCTTTACTGATTATGGTAGTGCTGAAAAGCACAGCCTTGAACTCGTAGCTACCCGCCAGCGACTTTTCCGGGAAACTTTGCGTGTACACGATCTGGCCAATGCAATGTTCAAGGATTACTCAACTTCTTTATCAGCCGACGCAAAGAAGATACAACCGGCTCGTTAGTCCCTCCCACCATTTTTGGCGAGACAGTCCAGAAATCCAGATATATCTTTGTCGGACAAATAACATGCAAAAGTATCTATATAACCTAAGTGAGATACGCATATTTCTTTTCGAATAAAACGCGTGCATCCGCGAGGTGTCGCACGATACACCCTCATGACCTCGTGACTTGTAGCATGCAATTACACCGACACCGACAGCACGCGTATGCGTATGCGTGCGTGTGTAGTACCTTGTAATTGTTCAGATCGGACACGAACTTTGTCACTTTGCTGCGAGTCCATCCGTGCTCAGTGATGTTGCGAAGCGTTAAGGTGAAGCCGAACCTCGGGATGCCTCTCTTGGCCGTAATCTCTTTGGCAAAAAAGGGATCGAACGGGAGTACATTGTACTGTGGCAGACCGGTTTTGAAATAAGGCTTAATCGCGTTCAATCCTTCCCGGATGCAAACGTCAAAGCCCGACGTGTTGGGGTGGCAGTTCTCGAAGTGGTCCTCTATAAAAAAGAAGTCGTAATGCGTGCGTAACGGAGCGAAGCCATTCGACTTTCTTGCACGAAGAAGTTGTTTCAGAAGCGGAAAGATGGAGAGAGAGAGAGAGAGAGAGAGAGAGAGAGAGAGAGAAAGGAGAGAGGGAGAGAGGGAGACACATGACCGTGTATGAACGAACGCGCGATTGATGGAGAGAGATGTGGCGCGATTAAGCGGCGTAATCGTATGCACACGGAGCATAAGCAAGATCGGCAGCGCTTCGTTCTCCAAATCTTTGATGATTTATCCGTAACATAACGGGTCGAAAAAGGAGTGCTCTCTAAATCGGCGCGAATCGGTAATTTTCTGCGTGTCGGATCGAACTGACGAGATATTAAACCTCCGCGATTATTCGAAATCTTCGAATAATTCGGCTTCAAACGGTCAAATCGCATTTCGACTCTAGTCGAACCGAATTCGATCATTCGATTCGATTCGATTCAAATGGTTCCCACCCACATTTCCAGCCTGCTCTCACGACCCGCCTCTCGCGTCACGATGAAGACAGACATCGTGGACTGGAGGGACTCCCTGGCCGGGAGTCACTTCCGCGAGGATACGAGGATACGAGTCAGCAATCGCTCGCATGATTGTTCATGGATTATCTCGTTCATTACCATCGAAATAGTTTGCACACGATCGCGCGTAACACGGCTTTCACCCGCCAAGAATCCCGGCCTCGACGGCGAGGTGTGCGGCACTACCCGAGAAACAGCATTTCGCCTCGACGCTTTGCACTTTTCTATTACAAAATAGCGTCGTTATATAATACCGCGGTCGTAATACGGCATGCCTAAGCCTTTCGTCGTGCTACACATTGAGTCGCTTTTCATAAAGCGTGATCTTCTCCCCGCTCGCCGTTTCACACAAAAATTGTTTGATCGTTCACTGACCGTCCGGTCAGTACATCGTTACATTTTCATGCAGAGTTTACATAATATCTCCATTCATTTATGGAGATCATTTCCGAATTTTGCGATATTTCGAAGGCGACACGTAAGTATGTACACGTAGTGTAATGTGAGAATTTCAACGAGAGGTTCAGAGAGAAACTCAAAGAGAAATTTGCGAGAGGAAGATAGAACCTATTTCCGTTCGCGAACCGTCTCGTTCGCGCACGCTGTCTCCCGATTCAACTGAGTCATGATGACATTCGGAGTAACCAGAACTAATCCATGTTTGCAGCATTTTTATTCTCAACAGCCTCCCCCCTTCTCCCCCCCCCCTCCCGCCGAGTTCATTATAGTAAATGAGTAATATTTTCTTAGTGCTTTTAGCGCGAGTAAGGAATTCAATTTCTTTTATCAGCATATCGATATCATTATTTACAAGATAAGAAGAACCACATAAAACTCTGTACTAAGGCTTCTACAAATACGCGATTACTAAGAATTAATTTATAAGAGCTGCGTGTTGGAGCGTTGACAGCGAGTAATGATGTCTTGACGTAATAATTATGTCGACGTGTGTCGGGACGTTTCGTCCCGTCTTGAACGCAATAATGGAGGCTTCGTCCACGCTCCGCACGCGTTTAAGTGTGTCTCATTTGAAATTTTTTGTTTATTTATGAGTAGCGATGATAAATGGCGAGCCTCATTATCGAATAATCGACCGTCACTGCGAACGCAGCAAGTCACGCAGCGCACAGTCACGTGTCAATGCGAATTTTTCACTCGTGAGCTCGATTGTTTTTGCAATGCGCTTTAGAATGACCAGTTATCGCAAGGTATCGATGCAGGGTCTCAATTCTGTACACGCTTACCGACAACTATCGATGTCGTTAACTGTATCGCGCAGCTTTTGTATATCGTAGAAAACCTGCGCAACTCCGTTAACGATATCGATAGTTGTCGGTAAGCGTGTGCAGAATTGAGGCCCTGCATCGATACCTTGCGATAACTCCCGTGTTTGTGATCGTGACCGAACCGGAAACGTGTACTCACCGAAATCGGCGGGGACCGGAGCGCCAAGGAGCAGCCACGGCAACGTCAGCGTAAGCACGAAAGCCCTCGGCTGCATTTCTCCGTGAAGTCCGCTCTGCTGGATGAATCTGTGGCACGTGATCGAGCTATTACCGGACGGTACTCGACCTGAGTCGATCCGTCGAGCGACGACACACGTCGTGAACCTCGGTTCACTAGGAGCACGGCCACGCGGACGCGGAGGAACGTTCTTCGCGCTTTCACTCCCTGCGATATATCTGAGAGAAGGGTGAACCATTCGCTTCCGAGTCGAGCATTCCTGGCCAGGTTTATGTAATTTCGCGTACAGCTTCGGAGAGGCGTACTACACGCCAGGGGTGGGGACGCGAATCTCAACGAGATTCTCTCCTTTATCGCTGAGCTAAACCGGTTTTTGTTCATGCTTGAGGTGGAAAAAACCGAAACGAACGAAATGATCTTCATAATCATAACGAGTCGTTAGGCGCAACAAAGTTACGAATTTAATTGGAGAATATTTGGCACTCATTATTTGGTTTCTCTGAATCTTTCGCTCGCCCGCAAGAGCCGTCTCGTTTTTCAGGAGAGAAACGTGTAAGTCTCCACGTTAGTAAGTTAAATTTAGTTGAACCAGCGATTCCGTGTGAAACAATAGGAAATCGTTTCCTAAAATCGCCTCTATCTACTTACCGGACGATTTCAACGAAAGGAACGAAGGAACCTAACCAGGAGATGTTAACTTGACGACGGGAGACTCGGTATTACCTTAGGTCCCGCCGTCCTGCGAGATGCTTTCCTCCCCGTACTAGCACATCCGCTAATGATACACAGACGAGTCTCTGAGAAGTGTAAAACGACGAAGAAGGATACCAGATATACCAGTTTTAAGGGAGCGTTCTTGCTCGCTTCTTGTCGTAGCTTAATCGCGGATTTGCCTCAGGTACAGTAAACGTACGAGCGACATGCTATCACGTGAATCTTCCAGCGATGTTTGCGCGAGTAGTGCATTTCCTTCACGTACGATATCACATTCGTCCGAAAGTCACGTAGAAGCCAAGAGACGCTCGGAGAAGACGACTTACTTCATCAAGAGAAGTCAACGTAATTGTCGGTAACATGAGAATTGTACCGACGAGAGTAAATTCTAGTTTGAGAAACGAAATTCCACCATCTCGGTCGTCTCGGAAACGACAGTTTGTTCGTGTACTGTCATCTGTGCTGGATCTTGGCATGCGCCATTTTATGAAAACGTTAATTACCATCGGCGCATTATAATTGCGCAATTCTCCCAAATAACTTTGCTTCTCCGCAAATTCTGCGAGTGTATCCACGAGTTCCTGTGGATACACAACCAGTCGCACATTTCTGTCTCGCGGGTCGTCGTCACGTTTCTCGTCCCGTCGCGAGTAAATGGAGGGGGGGAAGGGGGGCTGAAGAAGAGTGGAGAGAAAAAAAGAGAGGTGAGAAAGTCCGACTTTATTATCGGTAATATCAAAACGTTCATTATTAATGCCTAGTAATGCCTATCTAGTCTAGTCTAGTACATCAGCAGAAAAATTAAGAAAAATTGGTACGCATGGATGACGAAAGTGAAGGCTAAGTGAAGGAATACTGAACACTTTCACACATGGCAAGTCGCCAAGTTGAACGATGAAGTATTAAACGTCGTCAGACCTTATTTATGAGGAATTAATAGCAGACGACTTATTGAAGCGATGCCTTGGATCTTTCACCCAAAACAATAATGAAAGTAAATTCAGTAATCTGGACAATTTGTCCGAAACATTTGCACTGTTGTAAAGAGACTGTGGAAATTGCAACACGTTCTTGGCCATTTGCATTTTTAATGAAGGGTTTCACAGAATTCTGCAAATCGTGAAATGTGATGGGACTAAAACATCGGCCACAACGCTGAAATCTACGCAGATACCAGAAACAACGAGCGCGTCAAACATTCTGACGAGCGGGCGTCTTACTAATCTAAGGAGGCAAGGATCGCCAGAAGAGAAGAAGCGGCGGCTGCTCAACACGACTCCTTCGAAGCTGAGGAAGACATTCTGTACGGCTCTGGTATACTAAAACTGGTCGACTAAAAGTAAGTTATTGAAATTACCCATTACCCATTACCCATTATCCATGAGAAATTTTTAAACGCGTTTCTCTCGAAACGATATTTTTCAATTCGGTCGTGTATTTTTCTCACCAACTAGTAAGTCGATCGACGTACTAGTTTTGCACACACACATATAGTGTATATATAATTAGGCTATCGTACCGAAATTTTTTTCCGAGTGAAAAATTGGAGTACTTTCTTTCAAGCGCCGCCATTTTGTCATTTTTTCTTCACATTATTTGTTGGAGGGTCCAACGACACATTTACATTTGTAAAAGATAAAATAAAACAAGTTTCGTTTATTTCAGATGACGAGGACGGCGGCAATCACCGCGCCCGATATAGAAGAAATTTCGCGGCCACATGCGACCTGTGCGTCCATTTATATCTTGCACAGTTTGCATTAAAAAGCTTTTAAAAAATTGGAGATGTTTCATTAGATATAAATAAATGTGAATACAAAACCTTAGATTTGTAGGTTTAAGCAATTTTGTTAATTCAATTGCCAAGAATCATCTTGAAAACTCGAGGCTCTTGAGCAATGGAAAGAACTGTGTGGTAAGAAGAACTTCTGTCCAGCTGCTAGGCACACAAATCTGTGACGTCATACGGGACACTGTGTTTGAACGCTTTATTCTATAACGTTCGTTCTCTTGTACTTATACGTACTACTACACTGAGAAAAATATCCGAAAGATCCGACTGTTAATTTCGTTATCCGGTCAAATATCCGGTGTATTTAATCGGATATTTGATCGGATAACAAAATTAACAATCGGATATCTCTGATATTTTTCTCCGTGTAACAATATTGCGAAAAGTAGGCAATCACCGCGCGCATGTATGCATGTATCCTTTTTAACATCGGCACTTGCGCTTACGGAAACTGTATCTACCGATAGAGTTATAAATAAAAATTCTAATAAGTCTAATAAAATAACTCTAATAACAATTCTATCTACCGACGGCGCGGAGCGCTTCTATATTCGGTCGTTCGCTTTCATGTTTCCGCTACGTACGTACGTATTTATCGCTAGACACAATAACCGTCATATAATTGTAAATTAGTTCATTTTGAACAAAAAGATTCTTCGTCATTTTGCAAGTAGATACTGAAATTTTCAAGTTATCGCAATTGAAAGAACTTTTTGATGTGGTCATTTTCAATCATTAATAACTCGGTAACTATTGCGATTTTTGCAAAACGGTACTTGACCTTTCTTCTCAGTTTAATTTGATTAATCTTCATAATCTTTCGTTTCCAAAAGATCCCGGACATCCTGTGCAGATTTTACACATGTATTAAACATTTATTTTATAAATACGAATAAAAAATATATAATACATAAATATACAAACTTCCAATGTAGAATATACTCCATGTTAAAATTCGAAATATTCCTATTTAAAATATCAAAAAGAGTACGAGTGTCCCAAGTTAAATACGCACTACGGCATTGACACTTTTTACTATTCGAAATGCAACCATCGTCGCAGACTCCGAGTAGCACTCCGAGAGTTTACAAAAAATGAGGCCCGTAAAAAATGAGGAAAGCATCCCTGGCTATTTACGCGGGTTCCAAAAGCGAAACGACCGATGAAATTCAATCGCGCTCTCTCATAATTATTTTACAACGATCAGCAAGGCAGCGGATACTTCGGAAAGCGCATTCCGCAGCTCTCACTCGAGTTTCCCAGAATTTTAAAACAGTCGCGCGCACTGCGTGGTTTTAGCGATCTCGTCGATTAAAATCAAAAATATTTATCAAGCCAGGACGAACCGGCCAGGGTAACCAACCAATTGATCGATTGATCTTCGCGTGATTTATGCTCGAGTGACGTTGCTCGAAAATTATGCCCGAATGACGTTGCACCGAAAGAAGAAACAGTTATGCAACCAATTTTTACAAGCTTTATATTATGTCAAGGACAAGTTTCGTCTTGTAGATTGAGGTAATACGAGGACAAGCACTGTCGAATCATACACAGGCGCGTGCTCCCCTCTACCGAAATCCCATTGCGTAATTGCGGCCGGCTTAATTGCTGCAGTCGTATGCAAACGACTCGTTTCGTTTGTTACGCCATCGCACGGAGGAAAATACTCCGCCATTCCCTCGCGTCCGTTATTGCGCTTTATCATCGTGAACACCTGTTGTTTACATTGCACGCAAGAGTGCATTGTCTTGCCTCACGCACTACCTTTTTCACGCACGGAACCGACGCTCGTGCGGCCAGCCGTTCGTATCGAGCGAGATTCTCATGATTTTTCCTCTCACCGGTTGAAAAAACAAAAGAAAGAAAGACAAGGAGAAAAAATCGTCGCACCCTCCGGAGAACGTCTGCACCGCCGCGGTGCAGCATTATCTCGTACAATTCAAAATCTCTCTTTGTCGTCGCAACGACGTGACAGGTCGTTTACAACGTCATAAAAAGTTGAGCCGGAAAAAACGCGAGAATAATTGTACATGACGAGATCCACCATTGCACCGAGACGTGTCTCCATCATGTGTATTTTCGTCATGTGAATTCTTTTCAAGCTGAAGGACCACCCTTCACGTCGATTACCGTGTTTGCGATGATGACGCGCGACCGTAGTCATACGCGATATCCTCTTGATTATTAAAATTCACTATAAAAGTTCAATGTACGTGTGTGTGTGTGTGTGTGTGTCTGTATCATGTTGTACTCAATAAAAATAATAACGCTAATAATAATAATAATAATAATAATAATAATGATGACAATGATGATAAATGCATCATTTTGTGCTCAGTAAGGGTAATATTAATAACAGCAATAATAACGATAATGATGATGACAAGGAGCAGATGAGCAATGGGAGCCATTATTGATTATTAATAACGGCGTCCGTTATTTCAGGGAAGCAGTCGCAATTCACGGAGGACGCAGTTTCGATTCGCAGGTGCAATAATGCAGTAATAGCACGCTCTCTCGGCGCGTCATTCGCAAACTCGGCGAGGATCCTCGGCGCGACGGCTGGCTGCGGCTGCGGCGGCGATTTTCCCATTGCGCGGACATGATTGACGCGCACATAACGCACAGACACCACAGCACAGAGAGCTCCTCCAGGTGGGACGCGCTTTCGTCCAGCCGTCTGGGGCTCGGCCGCGCGGCGCGAGTCTCCGGCGGCCGAGATTCGTCTGCCCGCGCGGACAGCGAAGACGAAGGAAGGTGCGCACAGGTGCATGTTGCAGCAGTGAAAGTATCCGAGCGCAGCTACGATCTGGCATCTGTCAATGCCCTCTTGCATAGTCAGTCCTGCTCTAACGGCGCCGTTTACGACGGGATCCGATCGGCGAATCGAGCCGCTTCAACCGCGAGCACCCGCTGCCTCGTGATCCCCGTTGGTGGCGAAGGCCAGCGCACCGGGCCACGCTCGCGCCCGGCTGATCTCGCGGAGAAGCTCGTCGGAGTCGCAAGGGATCGGACCTCGCGGGAGTCTCTTCTCGCTAATCGAAACTTTCGCGAAACTCGCCCGTCCTCGTCCTGAAAAATGAAGACCACGCGGCTGTGCGCTATCCTTCTTCTTCTCGTCGGCTGCGCAGCGACTCTCTCCGCCGACTCCAACCGTGAGTACCCCGGCCGACGCTCTCGGCAAATTTCACATCGCCGTCTCGCTTGTTTCTCCTCCCTTTTTCTCCTCTTTCTTTCTTCTCCTTCACCATCGAGACTACCTTTCTTTCCTTTTCCTTTTTTCATCCTTCTTTTGCGATCGACATCTTCATCATCGACGTCTCTCTGATAGCTCGCACAATTCGAGGTAACCATCCCCCCCTCCCCCTCACCCTCACCCCCCCGCTTGAAGTCGGTACTTTATTACGGCGTTTGCTACGAGCGATCCGCGATTCTTCGACAAGGCGATATCGACCTGTGTGTGTTTCGTTCGAATCCAATGTTTTTGTTACGTGCCGGAGAAACGCGCCGGCAACGTGACTAAGACATTAGACTTTAGATCTTTGCTTTAGAGAAGCTCGCGAACAAAATATAAAACGAAGCGAAGTGCCGCGGCGGTTCTTACGACTTCGGCAAATCCGTGCGAAAATTCAATAGCGGTGTACACGGAGTCTCGCCGTGTCGGTCGTGTTTCTATTCTTTTGTCCGTTTGTTTCGCGCCAATAAGCCGTGCGATGCACTCCCAAAGTGGCGTATTACACGCACGCGAGGATCATTGCGTTAGCGCGACGAGGTCGAAGCTCGATTCCCGTAAAAAACGCCGAGTATGTTCAAAGTCCGCGGTACGGGCGCGAATTTTTCGCGCACACGCAGCGAATCCGGCGCGCGCGCGCGCGCGAATACCGTTGATCGACGTCGCGCCGTGAAATGCAAAATTATCATCATTGTGTCGCCCTGTGAAAATTCCGACCGATATAACCGTAATAACCGTAACCGGGCGGCTGCACGTCGCACCCGTGCTCGTGTTTGCATTCGTGTGTCGTCCATGTGGCCGCGCGTCGGATGTACCACACCGCATACCGCCCTCCGTTTCTTCATCGCGTACCGCCGATCCCGGTAATTTATTCATCGCGATTAGCTGCAAATTGCAAAACGTCTTGCAAAATCCGGCCGAGAGAAAAAAGAAGCAACGCGTAAGTGAGCGCACGCGCTCGCGCTCGCGCGACCTCCCGTCTCGCAGTCGTGCACCAATTCGCTGCAACTCGCACGTCGCGACTCAAAGGTGCATTTTGTCGCGAGATAACACTTTCACTTTTAACGGACTAGCGGCTGAGACGCTTTTTAGTGACCGACACTTTTACTCGGCCGACCTAGAATACGCACAATTTCTCCCGTCTTACAATAAAGGAGCAGCACGAGATGCGAGACACACACACACACACACACGCGCGCGCGCGGGCAGGAGGAAGCATAATTATAACTCGCGGCTCTGGATCGCCCGCTGACAAGCGTAGTTAAAGTAATGTAGCGAGCATCGATATTTATTTGCAACAACAATCTGCACTTTACAGCCGAGTACGTGAAGCAATGTTCCCGGAGCGATCCGAAACTGATCACTTGTCTGATCGACGCTCTGCACCACCTGCGGCCATACCTGAGCGCCGGGATACCCGAAATCGAGCTGCCCGCGGTGGAGCCGTTCCGTGTAAGTTCCATTACTCTTAAGAAAGAAAGAAAGAAAGAAAGAAAGAAAGAAAGAAAGAGATACTCGATAGCGGGGCTATTGCAAATTTTGCCACAACAATGTGAAACGCACGTTGAACATCCGAGGCGCAGAGCAAGAAGAAAAAGAAATACGTTTCTTTTACGAGTTTGCGACTTAAAAAAGTAGGAAAAAAGGACCTTGCGGGTCTGGGTTGAGTTGAGACAAATCATGCCGCTTGATGATGATGACGATCTCGGAGAGGTCTCCTTCCTGTATTCATGCTGGCAATGTTTGCTCCAACAGATGGACGAGCTGACTCTCTCCCTGACAGGCGGCGTGAACGGCTATAAAGTTCAGCTCCGCGACCTGCTCATAAGGGGTGCGAGCAACTACACGGTGGAGGACATCAAGCTCGGCTCATCCTTTCAGGCTATCGTACGAATGCCGGCCCTTATATTAGACGCGCATTACTCCAGGTACATTCCAGGACCGACTATTCTCGAATGCGATTACCATCGAGATAGGCAAGAAAATGCGGCCGAATGAATATTCTGTTTCATTCTTCTCTGAGATCGCGAACCGAGACCAAGACGATCGATTAGATTATCCACTAATTCGACAGTCGCGACGCGAATCTCATGGAAATTCGAATTTCATCAATCTTGAATCTCATCATTTGTGTAGCTCCGGGGTATTGATAATTCTACCAGCGAGCGGGAACGGCACGTTCCACGCGCGTTTCGGCGACGCCCGTGCTCTAGTTAAGGGGAACGTATCGACGAGACCGCGAGACGGTAAGACGTATCTGAATGTCGACAACCTTGACGTCGACCTGCGGGTGAAGGACGTGCAGATGCGAGTCCGCAAAATCTTCAACAACAATCGGATACTCAGTAAGTATACCACGCAGGACAGCGTCCGCTGATCTCGAGAAAGTGAAAAGCCCAAGGGAAAAAAGGAACATTCCATTCGATGCGCAGTTCCTTTGATCGATTTTAATTCCAACGCGACGGACGCTTCTTAATGATTGACGTCCGTCGCGTCATCGTCGCGTTACCGCTTTTCAATCCGATTCACTTTCCTTCAGCCGAGGCGACCAATCTCTTCCTGCGGGAGAACGGCCAAGAGGTGCTGAAAATAATGGAGCCGCAGCTGAAGAGGAAGCTGTCGGCCCTCTTCGCCGGGATCGTTAACCAGCTGCTGCGACACGTGCCGGTTGAAACGTTCCTCACACCTTAAGACACCTTAAGTCTGCACTCGCGTCTTCGTTAGTTTAATCGTTATACATACCAGTACCCGCTGTGAATCGACAAACGATCTTACACGTGCACACGTATAACAAGCGGTGGGGGAGCGACGCGTCGCAAGCGAAAATAGAGCAGCGCATTAGGCATTCTTTTTCACGATAGGGCGGCGAGAAAGATGAAAGATCGAAACGGGATACGCGTAATCTGTTTCTTTCTCCATTTCAATCTTAACACATTGACTGCCGGCAGGTTCTCTCGTAGCTCGACGCGCGCGTCGCGAATTCTCCGGTTGAAAACACCGGTGAGTATTTCTTTTCTTTTTTCTTATTTTCTGCAGAATTCGTGCGGGTATTTTTTTTTTTATTCTCTGCAAGGAATTTTTCAGCTGTAACATTCCCACTGCCAATTTCTGCTGAGTAGTGTGCGCACAACTGATCAGCGTTACTGCAAAACTGCTGATTCGAGTGATCACGATCGACCAGCGAAACAAGAATCATCAAGTAAATGTCACGGAGGTTAGGCAGTCAACCTGTTAGTCAAAAAGATAACGAACTGTGCGAATTTCGCTCTGGCAATTTCGGCGACTCGACGGATCGGAGACGAGCGACTGCTTTCTTGATTGCTCGTCTTCGTGGAAGCGAAACGTTAATTGCAAAATTCCGAAATTTTGGAAGCTCTCTTCGAGGTAGACAATCAAGAGAAAGGCGGGAGGAGGGGGGGAGGGAGGAGGAAGGGGAGAAAGAGAGATCCCAAAATATATAATATTAACGGACTTTCTTTTCTGCCGGACACGCTAATTTTTCACAACTCATTAGCCAGAGACCGAGACAATCGCTCGTTCGAAGTAATCAGGCTCGGATGATTACGCGCGAAAATTACACAGGGGTCATCTTTCCTTTTTTTTATTGATATTCCCTTATTAGCGGGCAGAGCGATAATTGTCGCTTGGTGTCGTAGTGAGGCGAAAGTAGATGATTAAATCGGGAAACGCGCTACTGTATTAGCTTCAGCGCACGCATAGTAATTAAATATCGATATATCGATGGAGTATATAATAAAGGTACGACACACACACACATACACACACACGAAATCGATTCCGTCCTGTCGCGGATCCCAGACTCCATCGCGATCGATGGTGTCGACACGGCGCGGCGACTCGTGGGTGAGCGGGAAGTCAACATGCATTCGTTTGGTGATCTTCGTGTATTTCACTTGATAATTCTCCGTTGTATCACTCTGTCCTCGCCACTGTCTCCAAAACAAACTCACTAAACAATAGCGACAACACAAGGGGACAGTAACGATTAGCCAGAGGTAGTCTAGTAGTTTGACGCGTTACGCAGTTCTACATATACGGCTGAACTCGCGCGTTAACTTATGATACGCATGTCGACGTCGTGCGGATACAATTAAAGCAACGCTATCACGATACAATGGGGGGAGAATGAGGAGGTGCATTGTCATTATCTCTCACCCCCCGACTAATGTTCGCAGGCGCGTGGATGAAAAAAGAGGAGAGAAGAGAAAGAGAGAGAGAGAGAGAGAGAGAGAGAGAGAAGAAGAAGAAGAAGAAGGAGGAGGAGGAGGAGGAGGAAGCTCCCGTGTACGTGTTCCTCCGCGCCGCTCTTTTCGTGCAGTTCCGCTTAAATAACTCGTGATTTCTACTCCTCGGCGACGTCTCGTCCGCGATCGAGCTTCGACTATCGCTACGTACTCGCTCTATTAGCGCAAAGGGGGGATCCTCCTCTCGAGGACTTCAAGGGAAGGTCTTCGAGAAGGAGATCTTGGAGAATACATTGTTACCGAGCTCGGTGAAACGCTCGTCCCAGTTCTGCGCGACGAACGGCAGCATCGACCGGTACAACGACGGCCAGTACTCGTTGACGAATTGCAGCGCAGCTTTGTCTGGAAGAAAGGAGGAAAGAAATGTTATGTCCGTGGTGTAGATCTCGAGGACCGACATGCTCTCGCGAGTTGATCCGCGCGGCCGGATCCGACTTATGTAAAACAGGATTACGGCGCATCCGTACTTCCCATTCGCGATAATCGTCGCGAAATTGCTAAGTGATATAACGAGATGATTAGCGGGAATGGCGACAGGGACAGGGGGACGAGGTATCGGCTCAGAGCGCGCAGGCGCGTTACATCGAGGTCTTTCTGCGTCTCTCTTCCTCTTTAGCGCGGTTACTAAACGTAATTCGTAACGTTCGAAAGGTCAGTCTGCTCAACGCGCAAAATCGCTCGGCTCGCGTTCGCGGGGTGAATGGAGTCGCGCGCGCGGCCGGTCTTCAAATTCGGAAATTGAACAGCGACAAGCTGTTCGCAATCGCGAATGTCTCGCGGGTTTACTCACTGAGCCCCTCGTTGCCGTTGAAGATGTCGCTAAACCAGATCTTCATTTTGCCGACTTCGGGGTTCAGGTTGAAGTGCTCGATGGTCCATCGGTCGTTCGCCACCGATCCTTCCAAGGAGAACGTAGCTTTGATATCCTCCATGCTGATATTAAAGAAGCCTAAGCCGAAAACGGCTCGTGAAATTTGCGCATATATCTTCCATAAATATAATTTTATGTAATTTATAGTTTTGTCAATAAGAGCATTCTTCGTGTATTCGTTATTCGGAAGATTCTAAACGCAGACTAAAGCCCGTGGACGCATCGTCTGCGGGAAAACAGAATTTAAATTGCGGAAGACACGGATCGAAGAGACGGCACGACAATCCCGAGATCAAGCGATAACAACGTCGAAGCAACGTCGGAGAAACGAGAAACGGTTGGTAAAGATAAACGCTGAATAATTTGAAGCAAACGCGTGCAGCATCTCTCTCATTGATATCGCCGCGCCGTCTCTCGATTGCTCGACAGAGAGAATGTTATCTTTTCGTACACATTTTTGTCAGTTTCTCCACGTCTTCCAGTAGTAGCAGGAATGAACTAGTAGTAGCTAGTAGAACAGTTCATCTCGCTAAGCAACACTGAATTGTTTAACTGTGAATTGTTCAATCGCAATTTAATCGAGTTGCGCAACAACTAATTTCGGATCTGTCAGTTCGTATGTTAATGTCGTTGTAATTTTACGAATCGATGTACGCGTCATTCGGATCTTCTATCATCCTTCGCGAAATTGCTTCACGAAATCATAACGGCGCAAAAGTATAGTCGTTTTATTACTGAAGGACACGAAGTTATACCTGGGCGCGTAATTCAAAATATTCCTAAAGCATATAATTGGGCGCGTACGAAACGTGTGAGAAAAAAATAACCGCTATTAAACGTACCTTCGCCACCGATCTGGAACGCTCCCATCGACCCAGCCGCCTTGTAGTTACCCTCGATGAGCACCTTCGGCACTTCGACGTCGACCTCCAACTTGTAGAAGTCATCGGCGTATGTCGGTCTCACCGCCAAGAACTTCATCTTCGCAAGCCCGTAGGTGTTGACGTTCATCACCGTGATGTCGGCGTTTATGTCGTCGACCTGGTATTTAGTGTGTTCCTTCTCGGTGAAGAACGGATCCAACACCGGGATGTCCAACTCCGGTATACCTTTTCGAGAGAGAATTCAAATTCGGACGACGCACTCGACGAATCAACGGTGTGCTCGTGCGAATCGTAAAGGATGGGGCGCGCAATCTGAGACGAAGAGAGCTGAAAGTCGGCGAAAGTAGAAACTCAACGCATCGAGACTGCCGAGCACGAGCTGTCTCGCAGTGCGAGAAAAATTCTATGCCGTCTATGCGCCAACTTTCAGTCAAGTCAATCCGCATCTTTCCCGCGGGTCTTGCCGAGTGACGAGTGCAATTCACTCACGTGGTAAAATAGTACGCTAATTTTTTTTATAATAGCACCGCGGAGACCCGCGCGCGATGTCACAATGTGTTGAATAGCGAAATACTACCGTTCTCTTGGCGATACCTGGGACGAAGTTCGGCCATGCCTCTTGTATGGCGAGTCTCAGGCAAGACGAGTAGTCATCGGCATCGTGCTTGCAAGTTTGCACGGCTGTAAGAGAGAGAGAGAGAGAGAGAGAGGAATAAAAAAGAGCGTATCAGTATCTCAGTCGCCTCAAAACTACCAACATTAACGGTACGAACAACGGTAAATCAACCCAACTGTATCGACGTTTCACTGAAAAGCGGCGGACAAAAAATCGTTCACATCCCGATTCCATCGTTCCGATCGCTCTCGCTAGTCTTGAAAGTGACTTAATTCAGTCCCGATGAATCTTTTCCCGGTCGTCGATTTATCCCTGACGAATGGCCCCGAACCAGAAACATTCTAATCACATTTCTAATCACAAACATTTCTAATCACAAACCGACAGAATCTCTCGCGCGAACCAGCTCGACGAATTTCGGCCGCGCAACGCAAGAAGGAAACCTTTCCTTTCGCCGACGATAAAATTGGCCGTCGATTTTCGTGGAACGCGCGCGTTTCGTTCAGTGTTTCGCGCCAAACAAAGAGCTGACCGCTCGCTCGCTGCATTAATGACGTCACAACGCGCGACTAGCGGTCGACGTTACGAGAAGGGAGAAAAAGTGACTAAATAAAAAGAGATAGCGTGCGTGCGTGCGTGCGTGCATGCGCCAGGTGTGTATGACTAATACGCGCATAAAATTATGCAATTGTTAATCGCTCAACCGTGAACACGGGCACTTACATTCGAAATTATTAGCCACTCGAGCGTAAACGTAAACACAACTTCGTGCATGTGCGCGAAATTATAAATAATATCTTAGGGCATCATCTCGCTCGCTCGTCCTCCGACCTTTAATTCACGCATCGCGATACGCGTGTCATTTCTTTATCAGCTGTGTGTTTCTCACTGTCATCGCGCTCGGTACTTCGCGGATAAAGCGCTCACGAAAAGACGTTCCGCGACGTGATTAGCGTCAGCCAATCGGCGACAGCGCGATTGATTTTATCGCTCAACTGAGCGACGCGTCGTGCAGAAATACACCGACAGTAGTGGGTGGCCGCCGATCGTCCGCGATCGTCGGCATCTCGAGAAATTCTACGTCGTGCCGAGAAAAATTCGTCGCTCGCGGGTGAGAAGGTCAACGAGTCCCCTTTTCCACACACTGCAAGGTGTGCCATCACGTTGCCGTGAACGTTAGTTCGCAAGTTCGAGCCTCGGAGACTCCGAAGATTTCTTCGGCTCTCTGCGCGCTTTCCAGCCCCGAGGCCAGAGAAAGACGGACGACCGATCCAATCGGGCCCCTGATTTAACTTAAAGCCGCGGTGTTAAACCGAAAAGCTCAACAAGTGCACACCTTCTGTCACACTGAACAATAAGCCACCGGGGCCATCATTAGGGTAAACGTTCCTCCGAGAGGCGTAAGGCTCCTTTCGAGCTTTTCTGTCGGCTCGCAGACAGGGGACCAGAGAGAGAGAGAGAGAGAGAGAGAGAGAGAGAGAGAGAGAGAGAGCGATCGTAATGGAAAGCCGAGCGAGCAGCTGAGAACGAAGACGGTCGACGTTCACGGGGAAACGCGTCCTTCTCGGGGCGAAGGTGAGGGCGAGGGCGAGGGCGAGGGCGACTAGCGAAAACGCTAAACTGAAGTACAGAAAGAACTTACGAAGCTCGAGATCCTGAGCCGCGACGAGCGCGAGCGCGGTGGCGCAGAGCGCGGCGAGCGCGTAGAACGACATCCTGCCTGGTTAAAAATCCTGGCGGCTAGCCTGGCCAATTATAAACACTCGGTTTATATAGTTTCTCGGCCCAAGGACTCGGCAAAGATACGTTGCAAAATTGCATGTCATTAATGCGCGCCGACACTGTGAGAGGCGAGCAGAAGTAAACACTCTGCGTTCCCTGTCAGGCGGCGCGGGCGGCGGCGGTGGCGGTGGCGGTGGCGATCTGTGAGAAGTTCCAGAACGCGGTCGCGACCGCGACAACACCTTAGGAATGCGCTCCTCTTTTGTTTAAACGACATCAAGGCACGGTGAAGGCTGCGGAGTAACAATGTCTCCCTCTCTTCGCGCCTCTCGATCATCTCGATCATCTCGGTCATCACATCGGCATCTTGGGCTCGGTACAATCGGTTCGCCCTGAGACAGCCGCAATTGTCATTCTTTGTTTAACATCGGTCTCGATGATCCGGTCGATTCCGGTCGCGATGATGGGTCTCACGATTAGGGAAATAATTAACGCGGTAGAAAGAAAAAGTAATCGTCGCGCGTAAATCGTCATTAATCGGCGTCGAGCCCTACGACGAGCCACAACGGGGTTTAATTCGATTTAATTTGCAATCGTGGAGAAAATTGTATATTAAATTGTAACTGAATATTGCATAGCGATAAAAATTGTTGAAAATGTATGTTACATCCCGGTTTGATCGGTTAAACGGTATCGTCTAATCTTCATTTATTCATTCGTGACGCAACCTGCGGTTTTATAAATACAATCGTGTCTAATCGCCAACGGAGAATCTAAATATGGCAGTCTCTTTTAATGAAGCGTCTTGGAAGGAAAATGAATATTATTACGAGCGCGCTCATAATACCCATCATTGTGCGTCGGCTCGTCGAAGCTACCGGTATTATCGACGTCTGCCGACAGAAATAGAAAAGAAACAAAAGTTGGAAACCGCACGGCGGTAAGAAAAAGATTTCTCGATTTGCCGAGTGTGATCTAACGAAGACAGTCGATGAATCACCGCGGCGAATCAATTGCTTACGCATCCTCGTCGGCGAAGAAAAGTCTGCTGTCGACAGCCTGTCGACAAAAAAAGGTACCTCTCGCTCGGACATTCTTCGCGCGTTCTTAAGGCTCTTGGTCCTTCGCCGCGGAACTTTTGGTTGATGACGTCAGAAACGAAGGAATTCGCTACAAATATTATTGCTGATTATGTCGAACTTCAAAGATACACCCAAGCGATCGATAGACGGCAATTAACGCGAAAGATCAACACGACGAAATCGACATGGGGAAAAGCAAGTTAACGAGAAAGCTTGCGTGTTGATTCTTGACAAAAGACAAGTTTTCGAAACATCTTGCAAAAATATGCTCGATCGATCGATCGGTCGCAAGGGTCGTTTTGTACATGTGGCTTGTTGACTCGTAGGAATTTCTCTTTGGACGTCATCGTCTGCGAACGACTGCGAGAGACAGAGCCTTAAGGTCGCGGGGGCGGACTTCCGTGACCTTGTGACCTTGTGCGCTGCGACCCCCGCGCGCGCGAGCGAGCGAGCGAGCGATCGACGATCGCACAGGTGCGACTCGGTGCCATTTAGCTAACTAACCTCTCTAAATAGAATTAAAACCAGAACGTGAATGCGCGCGAAGTAGCTACCCTTGGAACACATCGCGTCGGCACGAGAAGAAAAACTCGTTTCTTTAAGGACGCGTAACAACGAGGTGCATAGACGCGAGAGAAAGAGGGAAAGAAAAGGAGAAAAAGAGAGAGAGAGAGAGAGAGAAAAGCCAAGAAAGATGCCGCTCGGCGAGACTTTGCCGTGACGTGGGTACGGCGGGTGGCCGGCGATTGTGTGCCACGCGGACTCTATGAATGGCGCTCCTCCGGGTCTTTCTCGTAACGCGATCGCGGGCCGTCCTGAGGATCATGGCGAAACGTGTTTTTTTTATGTCTGTAATATTCGAACGAGTGAATTTTCAGAAAGAACCGTTCGTATACACATCATGCTCATGGTGTACAGACGTGGTCCTCAGGATCGCCGAGGCAACTTGCCCGCGAAGCGGTTCGGCGAAGGACTTGCGGTCGGAGCGAGGATGTTGTCGGATGTACGGTTGGTAATATCGTATTATATCACAAAATCACGTCAAACATTAAAAGTCATGTCTTAACCGTTCCTCCGTCCATGAACAGGATTCATCCGGATGAAACAGACGATGCAGGATTGATAATTAGCCGTCCAGCCGCACACTTTCCTCGTATAATTATGGACGAAGCGGATACACAAACGACCCGCGCTCGCGCGGAGTCACCGCCGCGGTGCTATTATCGCTCGATAAGGAGTAAACAAACTGCGATATAATGCGACACGTATGAACGCCACGTAGCGTTAAAGTTCCGCCGAAGCGGAGCGGGCTAAGAGCAGGCTCTTCGTGCACGGTCACGTGTCTCTAATTTTATTGTCACACAACGGCGGCCGGGACTGCTGTTTAAGCGCGATGGACAGCATTTAGTGTCGTCTATTGAACATGTGGCGTGCAACAGTGTTGCGTGCGGCAGCTGGAAAACAACGAAGCCGGGGGAAGGTGGGGAGGGTGGGGGGCCTGATAGCGGACCGGTCGCACCGCAGAATTAAGCGAGCAAGCTTGTGTTTCGGACTCGGCGCGATGTTTCCCCTCACCGGCTTATGCGCAAGCCCATCATGAGAAACCGCGACGTTTAACACGCGCCAGCGACACGCACGCCGACACTCTCTCGCGTCATGACAGGTTCCTCCCTACGACACGGATTGCATCTGCGTAATCTGCATAAATCCAATCGCGTGCGTGCGTGCGCGCGCGGTTCAATGAGCGCGGGCGATAGCGCAACGAGTCCTTGTTGGGAAAAAAAAAGGAACGGTTCATGTCGCGTTAAAAATGGATGAAAGACGCGCGCAAGCAGCGGATCGGAGGCAAGGAGAGGCGCGCGTCTTTTCCCTCCTTCTTGCACGAAATCCGGGTGTATATACATATATATATATATATATATATATTTGTATATTTTTGTCAAAGAGAGAGATACGACGAGTGAAGATGTTCACTCATTGTATAATATGAGCGATATCTATCGCCGATTCACCCCGATTCTGCCTCGTCGTATGCGATGGGGAGAAGGAAAACCTTAACCTTCGTGACTCTTCGCGTCGCCGAAGCCCTGTTTCTTTTTCTATAAAAATAAGTCGAAAAATAATAAGACTTTATTTCCCGCAGTCCAATTCACGAGCTATAGGTCCGGACGACGAAACGTTCCCGTCGCTCGTTCAGTAGAAAGATATGTAGGTCTCGCGAGTAGCACGATCGCGCTTGTTTATGCCGATCTCCGTTCACTCAACGGTGATCGCTCCAAAGTCGCACCCTGCTTCGGCGTTGCCACCGATGAAACATACACACAGGCGCGCATGGCGCACCGAGTGCCGCGCGCGCTCCGTTGCACAATGATCGATATAATTACGTTTCGCGATTGAACGATCCGCATTTGGTAGCGAACGAAACAGGAGGAGGGGAACGATTGGACGAACAAACGACTTCGTTGAGGTGGAGCCGGGCTTGTCGCAAACCGCGGAACAGAAAACTATCGATCTTGCACGTAGTAGATATTCGTCGATTTCGCGATGCGCTATTGCGCAGATGAACGAAAAGAGAAAAGAACAAGAGAAGTCGGAGTTACACGTAATTGTGCGTGTGCCGTAAGTTTAATGAACGCTAAAATCAAATTGAAGTGGACGTCTGCGCTTTTGAAACCGTTTGTTCTTTTTCTTGCGAACTCTTTACGTCAGCTTCTCACTTTCATCATGTAAATGTAACAATTTACTTTCGATTATGTTTATACAATATATTTAAAGTATGTTTTAATCTGCATTAGTATTTATTGCAGTCACTTTTTAATTTCTCTAAATTACAACAACAAAAATTCATATGATGTTCAAGAAACTAAAAAATAAAAAGTTTACATAATTGCTTTCTCTCTCTCTCTCTCTCTCTCTCTCTCTCTCTCTCTCTCTCTCTCTCTGTCTCTCTCTCTCTCTCTCTCTCTCTCTCTCTGTCTCTCTCCTTATCGATCTTTATTGAAATAATATAATATTTTACAAAGAAAATAACTTATCTGCAATTGTATGACAATGAACAAAGCTGGGCAAACAATAAATGGAAAGAAACATCATTTGCATAGTTGATGAATCCACAGACTAGTTAATGTCAGAGAGCGGCCATTGAACTGGATTCCAAGAGACGTATCTTTCGACGCGCCACCTAAGAAGATGCATATGAACTACATTCGTCCTCATGATAACGACAAAATGAGCACGGTTCCCATTCACTTTTCTGTTAATTATTCTATTTTCTCTCAATTAGACCTAATATTTTAATGAGCCTATAAAATCTATGGTATTATTAGGACAATAAATTGCACATCTCAGTTTCATATAAAAAAAAACAATTTTTCTATAACCTCATACAAGACAATTCTATAATCCAACAATAATGATATCGCTCATCCTTCAAATCAACGATAAAATATAAAACACGCTTTTACTTTATCCTAAAATATACGCAAAATTGAACAAACTATAACTTTCATAAAAATAACGACAAGATGTTTCGAAAAACATTTCGCATATTAAAGTCTTAAATTTTTTAGACTTTAAGATGTGATACTGTTATTGTGTTTTCTCGCATTATGTCGAGAGTTCAGCGTCTACTTCTTCTTTGGAGATAACGTAATGATTTTATTTCGTTTAAATCGTACCTTACAGGGCATTGCAGGAGGCCGCCACATTCGACGACCTTACTTTGACTTTGGGCTGCCGACTTGCAGCGATTTCAAGTTCTCGCGGTTGCATCTTGCGGACGGTGGTGGACTACGTGATTTCGTTACTTGCTCTGTTAATAGAAGATTAACAACACTCCTCGTACTTGGTAGTATTTCCTCGATCTTTCGGAATATCGTCATAAATAGAACTATAAAGAAAAACACCGTGGTTATGGCGCTCAACAAGCTCAGCGTTGATAAAGTGGAATTGACGGATAAGAGAGTGCTTATGCGGTATGTATTTATTGACCAAAAGTTGAGATACAAAAGATTTTACAGCAATATATTAACACTTTGAGCACAGTAATTAAATTACAATTTGTATTAGCGTTGTAAAATTGTTCGATGTTCTTAGCATTTCTATACATCTAACGATGTTTCAGAGTTGATTTTAATGTACCGCTGAAAGAAGGAAAGATAACAAACAATCAGAGAATCGTTGCTGCATTAGACACTGTGAAGTATGCCATTGACAAGAAAGCCAAGTCAATTGTTCTAATGTCTCACTTGGGTCGTCCTGATGGAAAAAGGAATGAGAAGTATACATTAAAACCTGTTGCTGAAGAGCTAAAAATATTACTGGGAAAAGAAATTGTATTCTTGAATGATTGTGTTGGACCTGAGGTAGAAGCTGCTTGTGCCAATCCAGCACCTGGTACAATAATTTTGTTAGAAAATTTAAGATTTCACATTGAAGAAGAAGGCAAAGGAATAGGTCCTGATGGAAGCAAGGTATATATATATATACATATATTATCATATAAATTATCAAATAAATACATATAAATTATCAAATAAAGATTGAATCATTTTTATAAAGAAATTTAATTTATTTCAATCCAACAACTGTCAAATATGAGCATAGAAATGTAAAGAGTTTGAAATTAATTAGTCATTTTGTTTTAGATCAAAGCTGACAAGGATAAGGTTACAGAATTTAGAGCATCCTTGAGAAAGCTAGGAGATGTGTACATTAATGATGCTTTTGGAACTGCTCATCGTGCTCATAGTTCCATGATGGGAGATGGATTTGACACAAGAGCAAGCGGTTTCCTCCTTAAAAAAGAACTTGAATATTTTGCTAAAGCTTTGGATAACCCAGCGAGACCATTCCTGGCTATACTTGGAGGCGCCAAGATCACTGATAAGATTCAGTTGATTAACAATTTACTAGATAAAGTGAATGAGATGATTATTGGTGGCGGTATGGCTTTCACATTTTTAAAAGTGTCCAAAAACATGAAGGTATATTGTGATATATAACGAAAAAAGAAATGACAAACAACAGTGTGATATTAGTATCTATATATATATATATATCTTTACATGATTTCAGATCGGAAGTTCCTTGTTTGATGAGGAAGGCGCAAAAATCGTGAATGAGCTATTGGATAAAGCAAAGAAGAATAACGTGCAAATTCATCTGCCAGTAGATTTCGTGACTGCGGACAAATTCGCGGAAAATGCAGCAGTGGGAAGTGCTGATATCGAAAGCGGTATACCTGATGGTTGGATGGGACTCGATGTCGGCCCACGTTCGAGAGATTTATTCGCCGGTAAGTATATTATTTCGCACTGCTCATAATTATTTCTACTTAGTACGTAGTCTTCAGGATATGTGTTTAAACAGCATTATTATAATCATAATTATTGCCTCACCATAGAGTCAATCAAGAGAGCGAAAGTCATAGTATGGAACGGTCCGGCGGGTGTGTTCGAGTTTGAGAATTTCAGCCAAGGTACAAAGAGCGTAATGGATAACGTCGTGGAGGCTACAACTCGGGGAACCACTACTATAATCGGAGGCGGCGATACGGCGACGTGCGCGGCCAAGTGGAAGACCGAGGATAAAGTGAGCCATGTGAGCACCGGCGGTGGTGCAAGTTTGGAGCTTCTTGAAGGCAAAGTACTGCCCGGAGTCGCCGCCCTTTCTCCGTCGTAAATTCTGTTCTTCATCGCGAACGTTGTGATGTGAAAGCTGAAAGGCCTTGGTCGGGAAAAAAATATGAGATCGTGAGCGTAAGATTTCAGTGTTAACAATTCGTTAGATTGTTAGATTCAGCGCTAGCGGGACTAGTGTAGAAAAATGAAGGAAAAAAATGTATCCGTTCTTCAGTGTTATGTTCTTTCGCGTATAACGCGACAGGTTACCAGAGCCTCAGCATCCCGACGGTCGACAGGCATTCATTCAAGCATTGAATGATTATATTTTAAGATAGACCTTGTCTCCCTACATGTACATTGCACGTATGTATTGTACATGTATTGTACGTATGTTTAGAATGTCATACACAAACAACGTGTATGCTCTATCTATAAAATATAATGTACAATAAGACAATATTATAAAGCTCCCGGTTGCTAATTAAGAAAACTCATAATCACAAGAGGAAGCAAACGCCGCGATTAAATGTGTATAATCGTCGTCCCCGCACGGTAAAAAGTTCACTCATAGTTTCAAACACCGACTTCGAACCAATTGTTATCTCTATAAATGTAATCTTTTGTTTACCAGCGTAATTAAACATTTCGCTCATGTAACGCGTCAGAAATAAATATATTTATCGCGTTTTCCCTTAAGTTTTTTTCTCCTCATTTTGAATATATCCGGTAGGTACGATCACTCAGTGAGGAGCTCTTTTGCGTCTCAACGGCATATATTTTAAAATATAGAAAGACGGGCTGATCAATCGCGTTTGGTCTATCTATATCAATATTCTAGAGAATCTAAAGTAGATATATTCCATCCTTTCATATTCGAGTCTCGGTTGAAAACAATTTTTGAACCGAGACTCAAATCACAATTTACTGACCTCCACATAATCTAGACTCAAACCAGTTTTACCCAAGATTCGGTAACAAACGCGCATGCGTCTGACATCCAACTTCACAAACGACATACACCAGACTTTATCGAGCATCATCAAGTATGGCGACGTCCGTGGTAGCGAAAGATGTGAATGTCTTTCTCAGCTCAAAGCAAAATGTTCCTGACAAGGAACTGGCTGCGGAATGGTTACAGCTCGAGGAACTGTACGGCAAAAGGTAATTCAATTACACATTTATATTTTATACGGTGGAATTTTACACTAGAAAAACAATTAACGTTACCTGATTGTTCCTCCCGGTGACTTGCAGGCTTTGGCATCAGCTGACACTCAAATTAGAGACGTTTGTAAAACATCCAGCACTCCAGCAGGGAGATAATCTTGTGCAATTATATGTTAACTTTCTATCGACCTTTGAGAACAAGTGAGTATTGCTGCCTACGACTATATTTTAAACTTAAATATACATGACCTTATATGGGATAACTGTGCATCCTATATTATCATTTAATTCTACTAATTTTGCTTCTTATTATTCTTATTTGCTACTAATATTAATACTTTTTATTATGTTTCTATATGTAGAATAAATCCATTATCGTTGGTAGAGATACTAGCTCATGTAATACAACAGTTCCAAGATAAGCAGGAAGCAATTAAATTCCTGGAGAAAACCGAGACTAAAGTTCAGAGTAACAATGAGGCTGTCGCTCTCTGTAAAGTTCTCAAGGGGCAAATTTTGTTGGATAAATTGAACAACCAAGAGGAAGCAAAAAAAATCATAGAGGAGGTGGAAACTATGCTAGATAATGCTGATGGCATTACAACAGTTCACGGGCGTTTCTATCTTCTAGCCAGCCGGCTATATAGATTACAAGGCAAACATGCAGAGTATTATCGTACAGCATTGAGGTACTTTCACCTGTGATTTGTTTATATCGATCTGAAGAATATGAACAAAAAATATCTAATTATATCTCGCATAATTTGTGTCTTTCATTCTTAAGATATCTTGGATGCATCGAGCTAAACAGCTTGAGCAGGCAAGAGCAAGAACAACATGCTTTCTTCCTCGGACTTGCGGCACTTCTAGGCGAAGGTGTTTATAATCTTGGAGAATTACTTGCGCATCCAGTTTTGGAATCATTGAGGGGTACAACAAACAGTTGGCTCGTTGATCTGCTACAGGCTTTCAATGCAGGCGATATCGTCGCGTTGGAAAGATTAAAGCCACAGTGGAGCAAAGTGGCTGATCTAGCTGCACAGGAGTTGAAATTGAGACAGAAAATTTCCTTGCTATGCCTCATGGAAATGACTTTCAAGCGGCAAGCCAATAATCGGTGCGTATGATTGAATCTTAACATAATTAACATAATTTAATTTTTCACTTGTATGCAATATAATAAAACATTCCAAGCGTTGAAATAGATGATATCGTGTTTAAATCAGAGTATGTAATATATATCAGTATGTATGACACACACACACACACACACACACACACACACACATATATATATATCAGTAATTATATATGTTTCTTATTAAATTATTGTTTAATTATTCACTGACACGTAAACGTACTTTCCATTTTAGACAGCTGACATTTGCGGAAATTTCTCACGAGACGCGCTTGCCTCTCGGTGAAGTGGAACTATTGGTAATGAAAGCTCTCGCCCAAGGTCTCGTGCGGGGTGCTATAGATCAAGTAGCAGGTACTGTTAACATGACGTGGGTACAGCCGCGCGTATTAGACCGTAGCCAAATCGCAGGAATGGTGCAACGCCTTGATGGATGGTGCAAGGATGTTAGCTCAATGGAGAAATTGCTGGAATCTAGAGCCTCGGAAATTCTTACTCTTTAAAGAGTTTCTTCAGTTCGTTTTGGTTTCTTTGTATCAGTGCTGATTCATGTGTACACACATACACCACACAACGCATGCATACGTTACGATTGTGAAATCAATTAACCTATCGTCAGTGAATATAAATAAATAATTATTTCTTACATTTGATGCTTACATGTTATATTCCTCCCAATCCTTGTTCCTTTTTTCGATTAAGTGAAAACTGCCAGAGCAATGGCAAAATTTTTACAGATAGTTACAAATAAGAAACTGAAAAAATAAATGAAAATTAAATGTCATATGTGAAAAAGTATGTGGACAAGTGATACATTTTTCATGTTTAATTTTTGGTGCGTTTTATTTATCACATTCGTAGATATCGATCATTATAAATTGGTTTGGTGCTGCTCTCCTTTACATAATATTAAGTACTAATAATGGTGCTAATTGTGCTAATAATGGTACTTAATTATATTAACATTGAGTAAAATTGACGCGTTACAGTAAGTACTGCGTCGACTCTGCATTACAAGGGATTTATCATCGCAATCATTGCACGTTTATAACAACTTAACATATACAAAATCTAAAGGACGTAGTTATCGATAATAAAATTCCACATAGCTTTATGGTAAGTACATAAAAGTTAATATACACTAAAAAAAGAGAGAAAGTAATAAGATACAAAGACAAATAGCACACTTTCTTACAATTTACATGATTTTGTACACTATGTAACAGCCTTTTCGTTTCCAATTGCTCCTACTTTATGAAATTATGAACAGCGTTTCTTGATTGTAAATATATGAAAATTATAAAAAAATTATATATATATCTATATATATATATATATATATATATATATATATATATATATATGTGTATGTATATCTATATATCCTTGTATTCTTCCTGTTAACACGAAGATTCAACGAACACGATTAAGACAGTAAACGGAGATTCATGTGCTTAACTCGCTTATTCTATATCACATGGTCGATCTTCCATTTACTTTTACTTGGTTCGTTTGTTCATCTGCTTATTCATTACATCGTATTCGCGCAATAATGTTGTTCAGCAAAACGCAGCAAAAAATTGCTTCTCAGGCGTTCGAAATAACCTGTGCATTCACGGAAAACAGCAGGACACATTATTTCACGAGATTGAAAGAAATAATGACTTAATATATCCTGTAAAATATCGCTGCTTGCCAAAGCTGACAATCCAATTGATCAAAACTGGCAAATAGAGGGCTACTACTTTTATTTAGCAAAACGTATAAAGCTGCATCTTTTTTTCTTCAGTTCAATTTTGCGATTTCTCAATCGATATCGGTAGATTTTCTTTTAACGCTACCGTCCGATACTGGTGATCCAGAAGTAAGCATTTTCTCTTTTAAATACATATAATTCTTCAATCTGGAAGCGGCATAATCCTAAAAATGTTCAGTAATGCTGTTAAAATAACTATAAAAGATCGTAAAATGATAACAAGGTACAATAACAGTGACAAAGCGACTTAATTAAATATACGCAGATCTAATTAGTAGATACGCACCCAATATCCAAACGGAATTTGGGAAATTTTAACATTTATGATACTCCAGAGACCCCAGAACAAATGACTAGCTAATGAAAACATCTTCATCTCCTTCATGATACGCTCTTCCTCTGCAGCCCCTTCCTTCCCCAATGCTCTCAGGTAGGATCGTATGAAGTTGAGCTGTCAAAAAAAAGTCAAGTTGTAAAATATGTAAAATAAAGAATTTAATAGTTGTTAAAATATCTTTCTTTCTTTCGTCAAATTATATTGAAATTGTGATGAATTTTACAGAGATTTGTTGGTAATTATTTAGTAACCAAATTTCAAAAACTAACTGTAAAATCGATAGATATTCACGAAACTTTAGCTACTAATAAAAATGAAATATAATCAAAAGGATACACAAGGACTAATTCAAAATGCATCATACATTATTTAATATTGATGTAAATATATGATATCACTATTACATATATAATAGTAATATATATATATATATATATATATATATAACTAAAAAAATATCAGGTATATTGATTATACTATCATTCTAATTATATATATTGTATATGTGCACAATTAGAACATAAATATTCCTTATTCACTTGATAATTCTAAATCCCTGACAGAAATGTAGCGTTCTTTGTTAACAAGACTGTTAACTACTGGCTTCTCAATTACAGCTCGCACAATCACACTGATTAGAATCGCGCCATTTAAAGTGCTCAAATCAAAGCGCTTGTAATCGTTACTGCGAAACGACACGTTTGTACAGATATGTTGATTATGAATTGTGAGGGCGTGTACAAATACTGTAGATGAGCGGATGTGGATCTGATGATGCCAAGATGGTAGCACTGGTCAGTATGGTTCCACAAATGCAGTGCATCAGTCGAGATCCATTACATGGACAATTTCACATCCCGTCCATTTTTTTCATTGCAGGCATCAGCCTTGTCTTGATGGATTGCAGTCCTGTGAAACTAATATATACACACGCAGCACACGCCAAGCTGACACCTAATTTACTGTGCAGAGGCTGGCACAGTACAGAATAAAATATTTACGGCTGAAAGCTACCTCCTCGTCACATAATAACGAATCTAACGAAACGTTTTACCTTGATCAAATAATAGTTTGCGCACTGCATCTCTGTGAGGTAAAATGCGCAATGTTTCTTTTTCTCTCATCGATAGATCTCTTCCAAAATTAGATATGAGCATAATAAACGTTCGATGAATGCAATAATTATCGAGTAATTGAAAAGGGGACCGAAAAATTAACTAACTAATAAAAAAAAAAATCTACTTTGATACTAGATGTTTTTAAATTCGGAAAAATGTTTATCTTATTTGCTACAATTTCTTTTATCAATTGAATTATATACGCCACTTTATTTATTAGCGATATCTATTTTTAAGTGATACTATTTGCGATCGTTAGTTTATCAATGCCTCAATAATTTACAAAAAAAAAAAAAATGCATAATACCGGACGAAACATACTAAATTTATAATTATAAAGAAATCTTACCGAGATTACTTGACTTTCCAGATCTTTGTTTGCTTCAAACTTACCTTTTGCTCCCTTGTGGGACCGGCGTTGAGAAGTTCATGAAAGAAAGGATAATTTGGTGTTGTATAGTTGTATTGCCATTCGACGAAATGGTTAGCGATGTCAAATCCCTGATAGTTGTAGGAACAATATTCAAAGTCAATAACTACTAACTCCGGCTTTTGCATATTTTCACGCAAGAGTATATTGCCTTCTTGCATATCGTTATGACAGAAGACAACTGGTAATTTTTGTTGTAACACCAAAGTCCTAGAAATATATTAGATTTATATTCCTCAGTTCATGTGAAATAAGCATTAGTACAATTATGGATTATTGCTACTCTTTTACTTACTTGAGCCACTTGATCTCATGCTCCAAGTCTATACATTTTATAGCATTAACATTATCAGAATGCTGAACATCAATATCCCCAATATTTTCAAGGATATCGGTTGTAGACTTGAGCCACTTATTCATTGTATCCCACAACCATGTAGGCTCTTTGCTGATTGGTACCTGCATCCTATGTATTTGTGCAAGTTTTTCAGCAATCATTAAGCTCAATGTTGGATCTGATAATTCTTTTGTGAGCAAAGGTCGTGCTGGTATATATTCTTCTATACGGCCACCAGGGAAAACACCGTGTAATTTGGGACCAAGTTTTCTCTCAGAGAGCAAAGTAAAAATAACAGATTCTGTGATAAGTCCTTCCAAAGCTCTCTCTCCATGTACTTGCCCGTATAAACGTAACAAAACTTGACGAGGCTCCCCCCTAACTGGAGTTGTTCCCTCAGGAAGCTGAACATTGTATAACCAATTGCTTAGACCACCACTGAAAGCCATTTGTACTTTATCGTTCTAGTATTGCCTCTAGTATAATAAAATTGTAATATGTATATCATGTATTACACATATATATCATACACAAAACTTTTACAAACCTAATACGTTTAAGAATAATATTCTGCGCTGTGATGTGTTTCCAAACACCATGCAAATAATCTCGACAGATTCTCGCGGCGGTCTCTCTCATTTCAGAATTCTTTTCAGACATCTGCCATAACAGATATTAATTATACAATAAATCCAGTAGTGTACAATTACTTTTATTTTCTTAAAATACAATTTTCTCACCGGATATTAACAGATCATTTAAATAACAATCACGATGATAATGCAATATGACGAATGTGACAGAAACAATGAAGCGTGTTACGATGCACCTGTCAAAACTGTCAAAGACTTTACAATGAATCTTTGTTCCGTTTTCTTTTTGCGATTGACAAAACGGGAAAGTTGAGGCTCGTGATAATTAAGAACGCAGTTATATATTTCTAGAAAAAATGATAGATTCAATATTGTACAGAAGATCGTGCGTATACAATGACGACCGCAACGTCATCTGCTACTTCGAAGGAAAAGCACGTTGCACCACCATATCACTTGACGTTCGCCACTTAACAGTGGATCTCAATCAATTCCGAAAGCTGCAAATTACAGTATTACGAATTTTCGTTTTTCGTGTTGATAACTGATCGTGTTTGAATAAAATATGAATAATATCAAATTCGCTATTTTCGTAGGAGTACTTCTATTTATTCTCAAAGAACAAATTATTTCGCAGAAGCGGAAAGAGCGGCGAAGAATGTGTTCGAGGAGACACAATTAGTATTATATAACTTAGATTGTTTGCAGAGTTAGATGATGATAACGTAAACGCTAGATGATAAACGCTATCGTAGCGTCACTAATATGTTGTACGTGATGATTACGCGCTATCAATGTTATTCCTTCGGAAGTAGTGGAAGTAGTACATCGATAGCGCTAGCGTTTGTGAGTTTCGTGGACACCCGCGATACTGTGAACTAAACGTTACTGAACGTTACTGTCATTGCACTTGAATGCATTGCACCTACGTCGTATTTATTGTTTTAATACTTACGCGCATTTGATATGGACAATTTCGTGGAAATAAAGCTAAAGCTTGAGGAAGAGTTTAAGCCGCAAATCTCATCAATTGATGCTTTTGGAGCGGTAAGTTTTAAATCGATACAACGGCATGTAATGCAATAATGCTAATGCTACACTATTGCTGTTTGCGGAGTTTGCTATCGCTATCGCGCTTCGCGAACAGTTTTGATAATGTTTGGCGTTGCGTAGCGCTAATAGCGCCTCCCCCAAACACACGCAAATAATCCAATGAATTATGAAATTTTATTTGATCACCCTTGTACACGCGATAAAGCGTCCATTGACCGCGTTATCCATTCGAGTGCAAACATGATAAACATTTTTTTACAACGATAAAAAACAAACTCGACGAGTCTTTGCGTTCGACGACGGAATAGCTGAGCAAAGCTTAATTTTCCGTCGCTGCTCGAAACATGTAGCTCACTTGTGCGCAATAAATTATATATATGTAAACTTTTTATCGGAGAATCAAGATAAAAAAAGCGATACACCCTTCCATCTTGGTGCAAACAAGTGACTAATATAGATAGGCTCAAGAACAATGGAAATATCCAACTTCCAGATAATTAACTTTATCGTGAATCTTGGCACGAATGAGTAATAAACGCTTGAAACGCCAGTAAAACGAGTCGATTATATCTAGTTGGTGCACGTCAAGGTTAAATGAGCCTCGTTTCCAGTTTTCCGTGAAATGATTAATAAACGTTTGTTGATGTTGCAACATACGATGCGGAAAAAAATAGTCAATCGTCACCTCTCTCGGCATGTGAGAATGAATTCCAGGCGAAATAAAACGAAATATAGCGATAAACCGGTATTTTTATTACGTACCTTGTTTTCGACGACCATCTCGGCAGCCTCTCAACGTTTTCAGAAGAACCGTGCAAGGTCGATTAAACAGCAAGGCAGCGATTATTTTCTTTTACTTTCAGGAAAGATAAGCGAAGATTTTTGAGTTGCTACAATCACAGCAAATTCTCCACTGACAATTCCTCTTGCGCACGTGCAATGATGCACACGTTTATACTCGGTCGGACTGACGACAGACACTCCTCCGATGGAACCTCACCGTAACTCACGAATATTGCTACGTTTAGTCAGACGTTAAAGACACTTCTAAATGCTACTATTTCGAGCGTTTGTCGAGCGACAAATAAAGATGTGACCTCGTTAACCGAGGTTATCGTTACGTAGTACTTAATGTCCGAGACGATAGATAAGCAGCGACTTCGACGATGAAGAGGGGGGAGAAACGCAATCTGACCTTCGCAGCAAGAGTGCATGCAAGAGAAATGCTCCTCTATCGTGCTCGAAATAACCGGTCGCGTTGGGCTGCACTCGATTTTGTTGCTCGTTGTAGAAAGCTGAAGAGAAGGGATCTCTGAGGAAAACCGCGACTGAACATTGGAGTTACGTATAGAAATTGCGCACACGATAACAATCACGCGATGCCTATCGTGTTCGTTCTATTCGCGTCGCGAATATAAAAATCACGTCGACGCGACAACGTAGACACGTTATATATGTGCGAGATACAAGATTACGCGAATCGACCGAGCTCGCAAGAAGCTTGCTTAATCTGTCGACAATTGGCCAAATATCGATCGAAGCGTTACTTTTCTGCGCTGCGTTCACCTCGCATGTAACAATCTCTAACATGCACCAGCGCGAAGTAAAGTACGGAATTGCTGTAAATATAGAAAGAAGTCCTACAACAATTCGGAACTGCTGGTAATCGCGTTCATCGGCGTTCGTATAAACAAAGGACGGAGATCAGCGCTATGCCGACGCATACGTACTCTATGAGAAGTTATTGGTAGCTTTATCACGAGTACATTTTATCGATTCAGAGTAAACAAATACGGTTATGTCGATAATCGATAATATCGCCACGTGCGAACAATCGCTGTCCAGTATAGATGTCGGAAGTGTACCGCTCGTGTAACGATTGTGTGAAATTATAAAAATATAAAAGCAATGAAAGTACGGGTGTTCACCAGCAATGATATATATTTTGGAAAAAGTATAAGATGATCATTGTGACTGGAGGGGGGGGCGTTCGTTTATTACAGGACAATACACACTTTCTGATTAGTCTCCCTAACGGGGATTTTTCGTTCCTCTTTTCTCTTGTCCATTAGACCATTCCGTCGTTCGCCGATTGGTTGCTTACCAACGGCTTTCAATATCGCTTGATTCACTGGTTTCACTGGTTTAATCTGATGTCGCCACACTCGAAAATCGAATGACTGAGCAAACTGAAAACTGCTGAAAAGAATTGCAAATACGAATTTCCTCGGGGAGAAAGATGGAACATTCTTATACATGATGCAAAGAAATATCTGCTTGAAAGATGTTCTAAATGCGTAATAATATTGACAAGTGAAGGAATGTGATGATATTTGTCTCATGTATACTTTAATATCTTTTGATACTTCATCAACGTATACTGCAACGTATACTGATACCTTCAATAATGTGACAGATCTTGCAAATGACTTTGCGCTCGACACAGACTTCACCGACGATATTGCGGTTCAGCAAACGTCACATTAAGCAGTATGAGTCATGTATGGGTGTGAAGATGAGCGGTGTAAAACACAAGATATGGTTCGTAATCCTCCGTCTTATACACTGTTTACCAGTATCTTATATATTTATCTTTTATTCGCGACGTTTATAGTATCCGTGTAATATACTGTTGTAGCATGGTCTCGGATTTCTTTTACCCAAACATGGGCGGCGTCGAGGAGCATATTTTCAACTTATCCCAATGTTTGCTAGAACATGGGCATAAAGTGGTAATACTCACACATTCCTATGGAGATAGGGTAGGAGTGCGATACATGACAAATGGCTTAAAAGTATGTTTTATTGGTCACTATTATGAATTATTTGCAATAAGTTGTTCAATGGCTTAAGTTGCTTTCTTGCATTTGTTTTATTCAAGGTGTATTATATTCCTATAAAAGTATTCTACAATCAATGTGTACTTCCGACGATGGTGTGCTCTCTTCCACTTATTAGATATATCTTCATAAGAGAAGATATACAGATAATACATGGCCATTCTGCATTCTCTGCTTTGGCGCACGAGGGAATGTTGATCGGTAGATTAATGGGATTGAAAGTAAGGCTTAGTTATGTTAGTGGTAGTATATACATGTATGCTTAATTTAAACTTACATTGCGTGCAGCAAATAACATCATGATTTGTAGACAGTTTTCACGGATCATTCTCTCTTTGGCTTTGCGGACGCCTCGGCTGTTCTGACAAACAAATTTCTTGAAATATCATTAGTCGATTGCGATCATTGCATATGCGTGTCTCATATTGGGAAAGAAAATACGGTATTGCGAGCTAAAGTGCAAAAAGAGAAAGTCTCGGTTATCCCAAATGCTGTTGATACCACATTATTCACACCTGATGTCAGTAAACGAAGCAACGATTTTAGTGAGTTTGCAGCTCTAAGAATTCCTTACTATATTAACACATCATTGTAGTTATTGCAATTGTAATTGTCCGTTTCAGTTACCATAGTGATAGTATCGCGATTAGTGTACAGGAAGGGTGTTGACCTCCTAGCCCATATAATACCTGAGGTTTGTTCACGCCATAAGAATGTACAATTCTTAATCGGCGGGGACGGTCCGAAGAGATGGCTTATAGAGGAAGTGCGAGAAAGAAATTTGTTACAACACCGAGTTACCTTATTGGGCAGCTTGGAGCACTCGCAAGTTAGACATGTCCTGAACAAGGGTCACATCTTTCTAAACACGAGTCTTACGGAGGCTTACTGTATGGCTATTGTAGAAGCAGCTTCTTGCGGGTAAATCATGCAACACTTTCATCCTTCCTCTTTCATAAAAATTTTTGAAAATTACTCAGTTAAATTTCAATTTTCCGACGCTCTATCATATTTCTTTACTAATAACTATTTCTTTTGTTTCGAATAATGTAAACAAATGTAATAAACATACGCACATTGTCTTACAGTTTGCAAGTGGTGTCAACAAAGGTTGGTGGGATCCCAGAAGTTTTGCCAGCAGATTTAATTTACCTGGTGGAACCCACTGTACCTGCATTAATTGAAGGATTGGAAATAGCTATAGCAGACTACAAAAAGGGCAATATCAAATGTCCGTTTGAAATGCACAGAAAGATAGGCTTGTTTTACAATTGGTTCAACATCACTAAACGTACCGAGATAGTGTACAATTTGGTGAAACGTGAAGCTAAGAAGAATCTGGGACAGCAGTTGACGAATCAGATACGAAGTGGTGTATTGGCCTATTTGCTCGTAGTGTCATTGTGTTATATAATATTACAGATTTTGGAATTCTTCGTTCCTAGAAAGGTAACAAAATTGTGTTAAAAAAATTGTCCAATTTTATAATAATACACACGTATCACTAATCTGTACGCACGTTGCTTAATTTCAGTACATCGATATTGCGCGAGATTATAGTGATATTCATGTTGTACAATCCAGCGGGAAAGGGAAAGAAGATTAGTCAATTGTCGAAAGCCCGAAATGCGAAGTTCTCAATGTGTTCAAGTATTTTATTCTGTACTCTGAAACATTCCAAAACTCGCGTCTCCCCTGCAAAAATTATTGTTACAGGTATAATCAAAGTACACCTTCATGTAAAAGGAACAATCGTCGTTGCATTTACCAATGAAGTTTTTAAGGAAATATATATAGATGTATATATAGATGTGTTGTACAGGTAACAATGTATAAGTAACAAAAACATGCGCAAAGTACAAATATCATAATACTTGTTTGTAGAGTTACAAGTGACGTAACGTATCGTGATGGTTTCACTCGTGTCATCTTGCTCTTGTAACTGTTATTGCTTAAAGCTAAACGATAGCGCGCGACGTGTCGCCTTATGTTGAATATTAGATCGTTTATGAAAATAATGTAACATGTCCATTAAATGATTTTTATTATGATACATGACATCGTATGATTCAATGCGTCTGTGTAACATGTTATAACAATTCGGTAACGATATTCCAACTGCAACGTCGCTCAACCCGCATACATGCAGTACATATGCTTAAGAAAGATATTGCATCTCACTGACATTACAAAATATTTGTGTGTATTAGAAATCGCGCTTACGTTTAAAACAATCCGCACTGCGTTTTAAGCAGTTCAAGTGTAGCAATATATAGAATAGAAAGGTTAGTTCTTGTTCGCATAATTCAGCACGATAGTCCAATTGTCGTATTCGTTTAGTATTTTTCACAAATTATCTTCGAAGTATTCTTTTTTCTCCTCCCCATAAAAACTAATAAAATAATTTTATTTCAAACGCGATTTCATCACAAATCCGTCGTACTTTCATTCACAACAGTCTCGTCATTCACATACAGAGCATATAAGTACAAATTTATCTTAAAAGTCGCCTGGAAACATATATCAATTTGCAAAAGAAAGAAACATAAAACATAATATATATATAATACACACACACACACACACACACACACATATATATATATATATATATATATATATATACACGTATCTAAATTTCGGATCATTGTGTGCGTGGCGCATTCAATATTATAAAAATATCTCAATTTCGATACAGAAAACAATTTGTAAAACAATAAGAAAGCCAGATAGAAAATATAATAATATTTATTTTATTATGACGTACGTTAGATACAATAATAGAATATTAATACAATATCAGATATCCGTTCTTTAATCATTACTTTAATCAATTTGTTTAATCATCACGGCATTTCTGTACATTAACTTATTTATACATAAATCTTTCATGTAAGGCTCCATGATCTTCCCTTGAATTAAACTTAATTAATTAATTAAGGTAAAGACGTTAATTTTAAGAGGAGATCAACGAACCTTAGTTAACAACCATTATAATATTACGAGCGGTCAGATCTGTCACAACGTTTCCACGTTTACGATCGAGCATCCGTGTCGTGCTGTTGTCAATGCATATTAGTCCAATTAAGAAAAATGATGTAAATGTTCTTAAAAGCGCTAAAATGAGGAAAAGTATATTTACGAGTTTCCAGCTACGACATTTACAGAGTTATGAGTAAAGTTTTACAAAAGATACTGCTTTCCTGCGCGTTTTATTTGCATCAATTGAACCTGCCATAGATGTTTCATACTTCAACTTTATTGTTAGATCGACCACAGTGTACAAGAAGGCTATGCCGACGACAGTGAGATCCACACATAGGCACATGCAGTAATCGTGTGTCAGGATTTCATGTATGCCGATATTCCGTGGAGTTAGTAATACACGAATATTACCTTAAATCGCTACTGTCATTTCTACGGTATAGAACAGCAAAACCAAAGAATTTCTAATGAAGGATGCTATGCTGGAATCACTAGTTTTATTTTTAACAATGTCCTCGTAATATCAAGAAAGTATGTTGAATCGCTTTCTCTCTCTCTCTCTCCCCCTCTCTCCCTCCCTCCCTCCCACTACCTCTCCCTCTCTCACTGCCTGTTTTTCCATTATGAAATACGTTTCGTATTTGCTATTTGCGTCCTTTCTACCTTCAGATGTAAGATCTCAAATTTCAAATGCATACGCAAATCATTCATGATCTTAATAGTGTTTACCACTACCGCGTGTGCTTAAACTTCTGCTAAGAATATCGTTACTACAAGTATTATGACGGCGAAAAGGATATTAAAAAGTGGGGAAGATTCTTATCGTGCTCGAAATGTATGTTAAATCATTTGCAAAAATCTATTACGAGTAATAATATAAAGCAAATCTCCTCGACGCGCGTATTCGCGACGAAGCGAAAATCCATAGGATTCACATTACATTAAGCACGATCAGTAAAAGAAGTACTGACGCACCGTATTTCATTAATAATTGTGCTTGACTCAGAGAGACGATGCTTTCTGCAATTCCCACAAGCACATTTTTAACGTTACCTTTTTTTTTTTTTTTTCGTTGAACACCTTTACATACATATATTGCTATTGACTGCCATGTCTCCACGTGCATGATTATTATCGGTCGGCATATTTTTCTTTCTCTTGCGTATCTTAAATGACGATGACGATGAAATGTTATAAAAGTTTTCAACCCTAATCGTCGCTTACATAGGAAAAATGAGTCGGTCTCCTTTTTCTTCACAGTTTCTTTTCTCTTACGATATATTTTTCTTTTGAGTAATATGTACAGTGAAGCCTTTTTGTCAGTGTTTTCTCAGTTTTGTTCCGTAAGAAAATAACGCCACGCTCAGCTGGCCCTGAAGACCATCATCATCGATGATCGACTTTGAGAAGGGACATGTTCTTCTTTTACGCGTTGGATCGTAAAAAGCCTTTATACGTTTTACATTTTAAGAAATACCCACTACAGGGTCCCTCTTAGCATATGTGATAAATAAATAACAAACCGTTTGATGAATCGAGCGTAGCATCATTTCCGCGAGGATTAAACTGGTGTGATGACTTCAGTTCAGACGCCCTCGCCATAATCGCGATCGCCTACATTGATACGGTCGTGGGACGCGGTTACACTGAAGCCAAGTATCCTGTTGTCCACTTTGTACATCTTTCCTTTCTTTGGTTTCTTAGATTTTCCCTAAACAAACGAGAAAGAACGCTTAGTATCTAGCGTCGCATGCGGCGACGCGCAAATACTTGGTGCAAAAACTTCGGTTCCGTTCCGCACTTTGATATTAAGTCGACAACTGGAAACTTTAGACCACAAATACCTTTACTTCTTGAAAGTCCGTAGTTGCATTTGGGTTGACAGCTGGTGCTGGTTTGCATAGATCGTCCGCTTGCGCCTGAGGTCGTTGCGCCGATCGCCACTTGCTACGTTTCTCGAGGAACTGCTTTGCGAATTCTGTACTTTGCTTGGTATCGCCGAGGTAGACGCGAACGTACTCCTTTACTTCGTACGCCGATTCGATGTCTCGCAAGAATCCAACGAACGTGGGAACTGCAAATGTACGGATATGCGCGTAAGAAAAAGTTCTGACCACGACGATCTGCAAACAAACCCGATAGTGCGTGACACATACTATCCACAGACGCCTGTAAACCGTTCAACGCTTTCGTACACCATTGCGTGAACTCGTCGGTCTTGGCAGTGTTCTGTTCAAACAATTTTTTCACTAACTCCTCTTCTCTCTTATTCTTACTCTTGGACGCCTTGTTATTCTGCTGCTGCGACTGCTGTGGCTGCTGCTGCTGGCTAGGAGCAGATTTCGCAGTCACAACTTGTTTAACCGATTGTTTTGTAGCCGTAGTCGATCTGACCGGTGTCGGATCGTCCCAGAATCCGGTAGCACCCGAATTGTTGGACCATGCCTGGCTCGACGTGCCAGAATTAGCCCAACTCAGACACTGCGATGCCGTACCCCATATTCCAGCACTCTGCAGCACACTCGCAGACTCCTTCTGGCCGGCTTTCTCTTGCCTCTCTCTTTCCTGTTGCTGAAAGTAGAACAACTTTCTTATTGCTGTCCGTCCTTATCTTATTGCCGTATCGCCTACCGCCGGGCGATCAGCAGCATTTGTATTACGTCAGTCACTCGTATATTTGAGAAGCAATAAGTACCTTTACCTTGGCGATACGTTCCTGCTCCTCCTGCTGAATCTGTGCAAGACTCTTCACTTGGAGAGGTTTATTGGCAGCGGTGGCTTTTTCCGCCCATTTGAATTGCAACCTTTTGGACGAGTCAGCCGCCGAAGCCTCCTGAGCCGCTTCCATTGCTTTCTGTTGTGCCAATTGTTGCTGCATCAGTTGCTGCAATCGTTGTTCTTCCTGTGGAGTTTACACAGATGGAGGTTGCCATAGATGAGAGTGAGAAACACGAATGTACGCGAGGGAAAGCCAGAGAGCTAAGAGAAAAATACTCACAACTTTCTTTTCTCTCTCGAGTCTCTGAATCTCGGCGAGCGATGCATGAGCTGCAGGAGCAGGAGCGCGTGGAGCTTGAGCCCACGGTGCTTTGCTTCTTTCTTGCAGCTTGCGCAACGCCTCGGCCTCTCTACGTCGTTGCTCCGCGCGACGCGCCTGTTCTTCCGCTTCGGCTTGTCGTCGCGCCTCTGCTTCTTTTCTATATACAAATATAAAATTCGTTTATTTTATTGCTTTATTCACCGGTACTACTAGGCTACGTTATTACTAGGCACAATTTTACTCTTATACCTGAGTCTTTCTTCTTCTTGTTTCTTCTGCTCTTCTTCTAATCTTTTCTTTTTCTCCTCTTCCTTCTTTTGCTTTTCCTCCTGCTTTCTAAGTTCTTCTCGCTTTCTCTTTTCCTCTTCCTGCTTTTTCTTCAAATTTTCCTCCTCCTGCTTTCTCTTTTCTTCACGTTTCTTTTCCTCCTCTTTGCGTTTCTTCTCCTCTTTCTTCTTTTGCTCTTCCTCTTGCTTGCGTTTTTCTTCTTCTTTTCGTTTCTTTTCTTCTTCCTTTCTCTTTCTTTCCTCGTCCTTACGTTTCGCTTCCTCGGCTTGTCTAGCTTGCTCTTCTTGCTTTCTCTTGGCATTCTCCTCCTCTTCAGCTTGGCGTTGCAGTTCTTCTTGCTTTCTTAACTCTTCCTTTTTTCTATCCTCCTGTAACTTAAGATTTTGTTCTTCCTGAGGAGGAAGAACAACATATTGATTGCTTTAAAACTACTCGAAGGACAACGTGATGAAACGTAAGAGTTGATTTACCAATATCTGTTGCTCAGTTTTTATTTCCTTAGTGTGCAGGTCCCACAGAGAACTAGGTAACTGACCAGGTGGCATTGCCGGAATAGGCCCAACCTGAAAAGCAGGATACTAATAGATGAACAAAATTAAACAGTTTGTCAAATATATTTGATAACTACATGTATGTACACTGTGTGCGTGCGTGCGTGCGTGCGTGCGTGCGTGCGTGTCTCTGCTTCCACAAACACATTTTATATGCAATAAATAAAGTTGATGCGATGATGCAACGCACCTGCGCTAACCAGTTTTGTGCATTGAACTGTGGAGCCATTTGCGGTGGCGGTTGCGGCCATACAGTGTCCATATGAGGTGTTTGCGGATGGCCGTTTGCGTTGACATTGAGTTGGCGTAACAAAGACTTGATCGGATTATCCTCCTGCGCCGGCGCGGGAGTTTGAGTGATGTTCGGCTGCTGAACAGTAGGCAAATTTTGTATACCGCCCATTTGTTGAATCAATTGTTGTATGGGATCCACCGTAGCCGGGTGTGCCGGTGCGGTTGTATGTGGATTCGCCGGCAAATGAGTTTCAGATTGTGTCTTTGCCTGTAATATCGTGCCTGTCATTATCGTGACGTTTAAAGAAACGACCTATGCCGTGCCCAAAAACAACCAATGTGCGACAGAAATTTATATTAAAAAATACCGACACATTACCTGCTGCATTTGTGTGAACAGTTGCATGACAGGATTAGTCGCCGCTTGAGATGCGAGATGAGGCACAAACGGATTTGTCGTAATCGGTACTTCCGGGAAATCCGAGTCCTGTATAACGTATTGCAAAATCAATTGATTCTGCTCTACGGGACTCAATGTTGCCCAGTGTTCAGATTGCGACAACTTCGCTATAGCCGATGTTTTCATTTGCCTTAGCAATAGCTGATTCTGCAACAACTGCATCTGCTGATACTGTAGCAGCAGCAACGGATCCTCTATTGCAGTCTTCGATAAAGCACCAGCAGCAGCAGCAGCAGCAGCCATTCCAGCCGGAACGGTGCTAGGAACAGATGGCATCACCTGTTCTGCTAACTGCACATAAAGATATTTCATTTGATTTTCATACACGTAACTCATACATGCACTGCGGTGGCACTAACTATATTAACAATCGCCACACCTTTAACGGAGGTATCGATGGTCCAGGCGTGAAAGGCACTCTGCCACACATTTTGATAAGATCACCGAGTGTGTAGTACCTTTCGTCGCATGTTCTTCTCACCAATAACCCCGCGGTAAAGTAACCAGCTTTGCACCATTCAGCCATTTCGCTAGCTAAAAATGGTCCCTGAACTTCGCCCTGTGGATCACGGTAAAACCATTTTTCCTGATTATCCGTAGCAGAGACTGCGGAAGATTGGTTACCAATCGCGGGCGGCACGCTAGCGCTTTTCTCTTTGTGACTCTCCTCGTCCATTAATTTTGCCACTAGAGCGTCAGCCTCCTCCTTCATTCTATCCAAGTCGTCCTCCATTCTCTGCCTGACATTAGAGGTCCCCGTGTTATGCGCCACCGTCTTGGGCGGCTGCTCCGTGTGCAGAGGAACTTGTCGATTGGTCACGGCGATTGGTATCGGCTCCGTTTTAACTTCCGTCTGCGAGTTGTTCTCCTTCTTGTTGTGAGCTTCAGTTGGAGACTTGCTAGGCGCTGTGCCGCTGGACTGCAATTTCTCGCTCTCAACTTTATCCGAACTCGCGGGTCCGACAGCCTTCTTCTGCAAGAGATCCGAGGATGTCGTTAAGGGTGTCTTCGCGGGAATACTTTCCGTCGACAGTACAACGGTTGATTTAACCGGCGAGTTGCACCTCCTCTCCCTCCCGACAGAGTCGTCCTTGTCCACGAGCGGATGCAACGGTTTTGGTCGTTCCTTGCTTAATGTACCGGCCGTATTATTCGTATGGCGATTCAACGATTGAACAGAACCCGTGCCGAAAGCTAATGGCTTGTTACTAGACTTGACTATGTTAGAAGCACTGCCTTCCGACACACGTCGAGTTCTGCCATGTTGGGAAGCACCTGCCACACCGTCGTCGTCATCGTCCGAATACATGCCTCCGTGAAAAGCGCCCGAAGCATCAAAACTGCCGCCGCTTTCGCTCGGATTCTCCGTCGCCCTAAATTGACGTTGAATTCAATATGAATAACATGATAATGGGAACGGTGACGAAGATTTTCAAATCATAATTACGAGTAAATTGTTTACCACTCAGGCAGATTGTCATGGTTATCGTGATGATTCGATTCCCAAGTACGAGCGGTGCGAGATGGCGCATGGTGGGCCGAGTCGTGGGAAGATCTGTGATTTCCACGATGGTCCCATCGTCCGGGCCCGCTTCTGCTTTCATCTCCATCACCCTCGTTTCGATCTAGCCTGTCCCTGTCCATACTTCCACCTTCGCGCCAACTGCTCCTTCCTGAGATAAACATTGCTTTGTTCGGCATATAACGGTCAACGAAGAAGATCATCGAAGAAATGTATAGGATAATATTTACCCCACTTGCGCCATCCTTCGTCCTCCTCTCCGCGATGACGTCTCCAATTACCCTCCATAAGAGAACTACCGCTATTAGTTCCACGACTGAGCTCCTTTCGAGGACTACTTGATCCGTTCCATTCTCCCGGATCCGAAGCACCGTTTCTTTCTGACCAACCACGTTCGCTTTGAGATCTATCAAACGGCCTATTTCTCCCCTGAAAAAATTTATGATACATGAAACATTGGGACAGGGAGACTTTCGTTTAGCGGAAAAGGAACAAACAAAAGCTTTATACCTGGAATGATTGGCCTTCGATTCGTATACCATCGCCGGAGTCGTCGAATCCAACCCCACGCGAGTAGTGAGACGAATACAAGCTTCCTCTTCCGCTCCTACCACGTCCTCCGCGATCCACACTACTACCTCTTCCCCGGCCACCGATATTGGCTATTCCTCCATTCCACATACGCTGTAAAAGCGCATACATACTCAGTGTATTTCAATACAAAATTTATCGTAAAGTAATATTTCAATATATACATTTCATGCATCTGAATATAATAATTTAACTGAATAATTCATTTGTACAATTTTTAAAAATAATTCTCGGTCATTCCTCATCATCGATCATATCATTGATTATATAAAGTAAAAAAGAGAATACTGATGTGTAAAACTAAGAACTAGCACAAGGGCTCCAGTGTTATATTTTTAGAACAAGTTGATGACATAGTTCTCAATATAGGACACAACAAGAATATACAATTTAAGCTTTACAACGTAATAGCTTCATTGATCGAAAATTAATAAAATTAAACTTTGTATAAGTATTTAACTGTAAATGTATCATTAAACAGGTATATTAAATGTATATTAAACAGGTGTATCTATTATCCCTAAGATTATTAAAATGAAGATAATTTAAAATAGTTACATACATCATTGCCAAATATTGCGGGAGTAAAAGCACAATTATTTGAAAAAAGCATCTATAAATGTATTTCACATATTTTATTTCTTTTCTTTTCTCTGAATATTGTGTTGATATAAAAAAATTTATTATATTAGAGGAGAAAAAGAGAAAGAGAGGGAATGTGAAAAGAGGCAATTTAACATGAATTAATGCATACGGAATATAAATATATATTTAGTAAATATATAGTTACTGCTTCATCTTCCGTCATCTGTATAAGAGCCAACGGAGGTTGAGATTTCTCCACATACAATGCTGCAAAAGTTGCCAATGGCTCGGGAGGTTTATGATTGCGATCGTATAAAGCCAACATCTCTTCTCGACCATATCTATATTCTGCCAGTTGATACCGAGGAGTACTCAAGTTTGTGGTTCCTCCACCACCTCCACCTGTATTACAACTGTCACCTGACATGTTGCGCAACCTGTATATCACAAATTTTTCAATTTCATTTAGAGTAACACTACTATATGACAGTATCTTTTAGAGCTTAAATGTCTATGCTTGGATATCTACTTTTTAATACAACAATCTACATTGCGTACCATTCTGGACCAAATTTCATGGAATCCGTCATGATGCACTATCTGCTGAAAAGATAACATCAACCGTTCAAAATAATACAATTGTAAATATGCTGTGCTAAAAATTTAATATTAAGAGAAACTACAAAGATTTTCTCTCTTGTGTAATACACATGCTGCGAACTATTTTTATCAGATATTAGACTATGTATAAAAGATAAAAATTTTTCAAGGTAAATGTCTGAAAAACAAATCGAAATTCACAGGATAGAGGAAAGGAAATAACAGTAATACATTCTTCTACAAAGGAACAATAGTAAGTGGAAAGATCTGCATTATATAGCGGGTAAAGACCCGTCATCTGTTACATCCGAATACGAGTGAAGCGTGTAAGAAACACTGCAACGATTTGGTGAATCAATACCGATATCGCAGACAATATTTGTACCTGTTGCTCGAAGGAAATATCGCACGATCAGCGATCGAACGTACGAGTTCGACAGTTATTATTTTCGGTGAACAAACACGCGGGACACGTGAGGGAACGCCGAAGAAGTGACGGATGTAGAAGGTAGTACAACAGACAGTAGCACGATGGCCCGTTAATTATACGTAGCCGGGGAAGAAAGAAAGAAAGAAATCGAACTTCGGGGGAATTTCCGATAAGTAGATCGAATGATCGAGATAGTGCTCCTTGAATGCATTATCGCCTCGCGCGCGAGACAACATGAGTCTCGTATTTGCGACATGTTCGCGTAAGCGCGAGTGGAGCAGTCTCTCCGCGCGAGGCCAAGGTGGCAACATTAACCAAACTTTTTTTGGTGACGAACGTCAGAGAAAATACGCTCGTTTGGTGGAGCGCGATCGGGACCTGCGGTTGCGCGAGAATCATCGTCGAGCGAATCCAACGCGGCCGTTACGTCGAGAACGGTAACGAACGAACAATCGAGAAAAATACCTTTACTGCTCTTCAAAATTACTGAGGACAGCGATACAACACACCAATATGGCTGATGGTTTTTTTTTGGAATGGAGCGCATGCGAGAGCTACATCGGTGGTATGCCTGGACGGGGGACGCGGAAAATCACTAGGTGGTGACGTGCGCCACATCAGCTGAAGAGAAGTGAGGAACCGGTTCTCCGTACGTACGCTCTGTTTTCGTTTTTCCGATTTCGACGCGCAATGTTCATTTACCATACCAGCATTCGACCTAGAAAAGTGCCTAACTTCAGACAGATGTGGCCATTCGTGACACTGGGTTTAGTTTTCTACAACTTTTCTCGCTTTCTACAGATTCACAGTTTTTAGCCTTAAAGCTGCTGTTATTAATTAAAAAATTCAACTCTGTTGCAGCAAAAGGAATAAAAACGTATCGATGCTCATTGAATGAGCACCATCATATCAATATATGTTTTGTAAAATAGTCACAGCTGGACCACAGAGCTACCAACATGAAGTTTTCTTGTTGAACATATAAATATATAGGTTTGTTCTTTTTTAACTATGTTAAGTAGGTTTCGTTTGACGCTTTAAAGTATTTTAGCTACAAAATTACATTATTCATCGTGTGTGTTAGAACTACTTTGAAGTCCGTACGCAACATCGGATAATCTGCTACCATTGTCTTTAATTTTTTCAGTAATTATCAGTGTTTTTTCAAGTTTGCGAATGAAAAAATGGATTCGTATCGAGATTTTTTAATAATATTTAAAGAAGCTCTGTCTACTAAAGATTGTCAAACCTTGACGAATATTTTTAAAGAAGCCAGGAACCAACTCCAAATTGTTTCGACTGGACATCTAGGTAATGTATTGGAAATGTTTAAACAGCTATATTAATAATTTGGACAAAGCAGTTGTAATCAGAATTTTAATTTTTGTTATAAAACATTATCTTTCATCTGTATCGTATAATTTAACTATGTTCTATATACATGCAGTGTATATATACATGCGAATTAAGAATATAACTATATACATTTATTTCTGTATTTGTCACATATATTCATTTATTTTATTATAAGCTGTATAATAATATATTTGTATATAAATATAATATGTATGCTTCTAGAATTTTTTATGGATAACATACTTAGTGAAAAGGATGGCTTACTATATTTCCTTGCATCAATACTTAATAATTATCGTTCAAAGAAAGATACTGATGATATGTGTAGGAAAAGTTTCCAGTTACTTAGTTCACTCATTGAAAATTTTCATCATGTTACATGTTTCAAGAAGTATATCACTCAAATTAAGGTAATATAAATATCATCAATATACAGTATGATAAATGTTAATAGAATATAAGTTCCACTTGATGAGATTATATAGTTTGTATACTATATGTATATATTTCTATTTTGTATGTATCAAATATATCTATATTACGAAATAAAAATCTTAACTTAATTGAAAGATAAATAATTTTCTTTATAAAAACAGACTCAATGATTATATATAAAGATTAGATTAAATAGCAAGCAAAATAAAGATTAGATTAAATAGTAAGCAAAATAAATGAAATATCTTTTATAATTGAGAAAATCATAACAAAATTTTGGGGAAGAGATAATTTTTCAAAGACAAATCTATAATTTGTGAAGATACGATTTTTAAAAATAAAACTTTTCTTGTTTTTGATAAATAGTGATTAATGCATCCGTTATATTTTTGTAGGAAATCTGTTATGCAGTATTGCGTATGAAATGTAATTTCTACATCCAGAAAGATGCTAGTTATACCTTCATAAAATTGATAGAGAGATTTAGCCACCTAAATTTAATGCTAGATGAAATATTAAATCGATTTTTAACACATGTATTTCGTGTAAATACTATAAAAGGTTAGTATAAACATGACAATTTGAAACAAATCATGAAGGCTGATATTTTTTTACAAGTCTTTGTCATTGTAGAGAGAAAACTTATATATTGTGTGATTGGTAAAATAATTAAACACAATGGAAATATCTGTTTGCCAGAGGTTCATGTCAATCTACTATTCCGCCATTTTTGTACTGATGCATCGAACGAGGTAAAGTCAATAATAATCATAAGAGGTAAAGTCAATTCAGATATTTATATGTTTTTATTGATAGATATTAGAGAAAATATAATTTGTGTATAATCAGTATCTTTAGAAGCAATTTAAATTTAATATTTTTGCAGAAATTATGCAGGACTTATGTAAGAAAATTTTATTATATATTTGTAACTTTTTTGTGCAGTGTTATTGTTTGTGTAGTTATTGACTATATATATGTAGGATATCATATAACTGTATTATAGTATATCCCATATTTGCATGTGTTATATTCACATGTGGATTTAGTTAACTCATTGTTTATCTTGAATCGAGCTGTGTCATAATATCTTTCATATCATTTCAGTTACAGTTTGTTTCTGATGATGTGGCGAAAACAGAAGAAAAAACAGGGTTTAGTTTTCACATGTACTTCGACGCTATCGCAGACATATTGGAAAATATTCAACCACCGAATCATATAAAAGACAAACTCTTTCAAAATTTATATGAACGGATAAAGGTTATTAGCAACTTGAACAAACCGCAGATGCTGTTAAAATCCGCGATTGAACTTCTGGATCGTCATATGAATTATTTTCAAAACCTTCTGTATCCCGATTATCAGCATTGGCATAAAGTTCTTCAACATTTATCACATAAAGAAGCTATTTCAAATTGCGGTCAACATGCTCTGAGAACATTTTACGAAGTTATCGGGAAAATTCTCAGGGATCAAAGTAAAGAAGAAAGCGAAATTGTGTTACGGGTGAGTAAAATCAATATGAAATTATCGGTTTGCAACAGTGACTTGCTACAAAAAACTTATCGCGAAAGAAATAAAAGATTAAAGCGCTTTATTTTTCATTTTGCTCTGGTTAAATATGATAACCGAATTCTCGATGCTTTTAGCGTTTAAGCGGTTTTTGGCGCTAGTTTTAAGATACTGATTTCTAGAATATCAAAACAATTTGTATCTACTATCGCTTTGTAAAGAACTTTGTTAGATATATATATATATTTTTTTTCTATTATTCATAAGTTAACCAGTTTTTGCGTTTACATAGTAAGTGAAAAAAAATATTCTCTCTATTAAAAACATATTATGCATCCCCTAAGATATTTTTGCTTTCAGTATTTTCTGGATACATTTTACGGAATATTCGCAAATACCAACTTGAATTTAATCACGTTGCGACTAAACGTCTTTGGATATAGTCAAATGATTATACCGTGCAAAATGCATCTACTCGAATGTGATATCAGTCAGATGTACTCGACTATTGCTAATTATGCTCTTCCTCTTTCTTTCAGGTAAAACGATAAAAATATTTGAAACATATTCCTGGCGTTACGTAACATATAATTATGATTCTATAATATTCTATAATTTCATCTTATTCTCGAAATTAAAGAAATAAAATCAAGAGTGATCTCTCTTTTGATACTTTTTCTTTCCCAAGTGAACAGGACGATTCGGCGAACGTGGAGAATGTCTGTTGCTATCAGGAAGCACTCTCTAACATACTATGTCACATGTCTGACGTTACGGACGAAAAGATAAACGTCCTCGTACAACTTAGTATCTACACGATCAAGAGATTTCCCGACTTGGAGATATTTAAAAACAGACTCGCAATTTCATCCTTGATTAAAATTATCCTTAATCTCGCGTCTGTTGACAGAAGTTTACTGCAAAGATATCTCGATAATATAAGTAAGTAAATAAATCGTTTGTGTTTCAACGGTAATAAACTGTTTGGAACTGTGTGGAATTAAATGGAGTTAAATTTTCGTTATAAATTATCATGGATAAAACATTATTATGAATAATTCTCGTCGTAATTACAGTTTACGACGGTATCGCATGGAGCTGTTCGCATACGTTGGCACTTGACGCGGAGCTACAGCGGGAACTAGGCTACTTGAAGCAGCCACCGATATGTTACAAGAACTATCTACCGTTGTGGACGCAATTGTTGAACATCAAGAAGTACACGCTCTATTGTACCGTGCAGCTAATAGCGGAAACTCTGATGAACGTATGCATAATGCTGATCAAGCGACTGGACATAGATGTGAAACAGCAGTACGAAGATACCGTGCTTTCCGACGTTGCACTCGTACAGGGCGCTGTGAATCAAGCAGACTTCCGTGTGTTCACGAACCTCGTGGACCTCTACGTCGATGTGATAGACGCGACGGATGCATCCCTCTACTCCAGCATCATACCTGATTTTTTGCATGATATTATCAGACTGTCGTACAAGCATCCATTGATATCCGGTTTCTACAGACTAGCGCGGATTGCTCTGAAGATTCTCGATTGCACAACTGAAAAGGAGGAGAAGAGCGAGACTAAAAACCTAGTATCCAGCTATTTGGTGAACATTCTCGAACTGCTTCCTACGTTCTCCAATGAGCTACTGATCACGTGCCTCTACTTGATCCTGGACGAGCCCGGGATCTCATACGTCGCGACTGCTGTGTCGTCCGCGCGTCTAGTTTCGGCCTTCAGGATCGCTTTCACCATGGGTTTGAGCGATCTGGAACTCGCGTACAGCGCGCTCGACGCTCTGAAAACATGGACCGATACCCGACAGTCGCGGGAAGACGAGTGTATGAACGAGTCGCTGCGAGAGATCGTGCCACACTTGGAGTCGTACTTGCGCAGCACAGAGAGCGCCGTTGAAATGTTGCAGGAACTAACGACGAAGAAGAAGGCGAAGTTTAAGCGGATAGGCTCGACCGACAATGAGTGCACGTTGCGCAATTTCCAGCGACGAATACTATTGTTTTTCGGCTCGCTCGACCACGACGTATTATCCAGCTTCTTGTACGAGCGTTCGCTCAACACCGGCGCGTCCTGGGACCGAAAGGATCTGCTCAGGTGATAAAGAGATTATCCATTATCGTCATATATTACTTAAGAGTCTTTAATTGATGAACGAATGACGTAATTTGCTTGCCAGGTACTCCTTGCTGCTACCGGATGTGCGTTTAACACTTCACTTCGACCGGATACTGCCGCGCGTGATCGCGCTGGCGCGTGACTCCAGCGACAGGCGCACCAGAATCGCCGCATGCGAAGTATTGCACTCGATGGTCACATTGGTGATCGGTTCGATGAGAAATTCATTTCCCAATTCAGACTCGTTCGTCAGATTATACGCGTTACTATGTCCGATTCTGCTCGCGCTCGGTTGCGACTCCGACGAGGTGGTACAGAGTCTCTTTCAGCCATTTACGCTGCAACTGATGCATTGGCTGAGCTCGCAACTCAAATCACTGCCGTCTGTGATATCGCTCGTACTAGACTCCATCTTCAATAGCCTGTGTGACAATGCGAATCCGTCGTTGCGTGAGTTCGCCGGTACGTGCCTGGCCGAATTCACGTCCTGGTCCATCAGACAGGCTGATGAATGCGACATGCAGTCGAACGTTCATCAGATCGTACGCAGAATCAACTACTTTGCGCAACATCCGTCTGTACGCAAACGTGTAGCCGCCGCCGTGGCATTCAATCATCTGTACAGGATCCTGCGCGAGGACGACGATACGGTGTCGATTTATTGGCTGGAGATGTTCCACTGCTTCGTCCGTAGCATGGACGGGTGTGGGGACTCGTCAATCAGGAACGCGCTCGACCATATCAAAAAGGTGAGGAAGAACTAATATGTATCATAGAAGTTAAATATTTGATGCGCATTAAAGAGGTATTTGTATATTTCAAATTTGTAAAGGTGATGAAAGTCAAAGCAGATATTCTGAACGTAACCGCTAAAGACAGAAAGAAACCGCACGATTTCGATGATACGACATTGACACACGCTCTCTATTGGCTGCTGTCGCAATGCGGCGTTCTCGATGAACATTGCCGTGCCACGTGTAAGGAATTGTACGTTGATATCTCGCAATATGCAACCTGTGGATCCGCTCAGAAGACAACGCAGATTTTTGTCGACATTTACGGAATAGGCCGATTGAACGACATCATCCTGAGAGGTTTAAATCCAAACGCGGAGGATATTTCGAATGATAATATTAAGCTTCTGTTGAAGGCTTTGGACTATTATACGTGGTTGATAAAAGAGAAACTGCTGCCGATAGAGATTCTCTTTCCGAATAACGTGCAGGAACACTTAATCTTTGCTTGTATTCGCAATTTCTCTCGTCAGTTCTTACAAACGGCCACGACGACAGTGGCGAAGAGGCTCAGAGAAATTGACGAACGACCAAACACGTTACAATGCAAAGCTGTAATAGCCACGTTGAACTTCGTACAAGTGCTATTGGAGTGTGTCAATAATGTGAGTAGTTTATTAAGCGAGAGATTAATTGTATAACGTCACTAATTAAGAAGAGTAATTGAAAACTAATAGCGAAACTAATTTTTTCGTTTTCTCTGTATTTTTTTCTTTTTTTTTTTTTTTTTTTTTCCCTTAGATAGTCGACCGGATAGTTCTACCGGAATCGCTGTGGTACGAGTCGTTATTCGCACTGACGATTGAATGTGTGATGCATCCGCGTGCGATCGGCTTCGACGTTAAGAACATCAAGATGATGGACGAATTACCACATGTTTTGAAGTCTTTATTAAATAACATGAACTCACAGTTCAGCTATACCTTGAAGTGCAGCTTCCGGCGATGTGTGTTGAATACTATTCAAAAATATGTTCCGCAGATGCTCAATTTACGCGACATCGCACAGAGCTACTCTTGGGACGAACAGATTCAGCATGTTAACGGATTGATAATGCTTGAACAATCTAGTTTGCTCGATCAATCGATTCTGGTAGATATAATATAAATAAATTATTTACATACATACATATATACATACATGATAGCTTGGTAACTATTTGTCGGAAGAAAAATGTCGGGTATCAACCTTTTTACTCAATTTACTCATTTGGTCTCAAGAATATGCTGTTACAACAGTGCTCTAATTTTTGTTAACTTGACGACCTTTAGAAATTTCAAAATTATCAGAGAGGTGAATATAGAATTTATTCTCGTGTATGTTTTCATACTGAACATTAATTCGCCTAAATATACAGGAGGAGATAAGTGATCTCGTGAATCGCGTGAGCACGATCGAACAAATTTTCAATTTTATAACAAGCAAATATATGATGGGATTGACTCGCAGCGATTTAAGTGCACAAATGTTCGACTATCTGCGAGCTTTGATGGTATTGCAACTTCGACACGAGGTATATGTATTATCAAGTACGGTCTCTGACTGACAACTATTAGTTTGTAATTAGTTAAATAATTTGGATGATTTCTCCTATCATTTATGCCATTACGTAACCGATCTTAAACGTCGATCGTCCACGTCTTTTAGGCTCCAACGATGGAGCTATTAGTGAGACTGATGTCCAACGACACTTTGGTAACCGGCATAGACTCAATGAACATCACACACGGCGAGTATTTTCAAACCAAGTTCAGCAATGTGATATTCAATCATATATTGGCAAATGTAGACAGTATTACATTCGTTCTCGACAAGCTATCGCAGAGCAATCCTGTCTTCCTGCTCAAATGGACCGAAAACGCGTTACTACATCTGAAACAGAACAAGCGTACATCGCGAGAACACGTAGATCACGTAAACGTGATAGACGTGATCCTGCAACGATTCGCCTGTCTACAGAAAACCGCAATTGATAGTAATGTCGGCAGTCACAGGGAGCGACTAATCAGTATTTATAGCACCGCGGTACATCTGATATCCAAGCCGGTGGAGATCAAACGGAACCAGTTATACAGCGAGCTGCACGATTGGATCGTGCAGCAGTTGATCGAAGATCACGACATCGAATACAAGACGCTGATCCTGCGAAACTTCCTCATATGTCTGACCGATGCGACTGACCGCGTGGAAGACAAGCGTAATATGTATTACTTGTACTTGCTGAAAAATGACCGACCGTCTCTGTCCAGCAACGCCATGAAGGTGACCAATTGCTTTGAGACGCTATTAGTGCTGCTGTCAGTCACCGGATCGATCATCGTGCTCGATTGCCTAATAAACTTTGCCGCTGGCGCTGGTAAATCTCTATTCGGCGATAAGCTGAAAGAACACTTGCGCAGGTATTACTGCCGGGAGATACCTGACGCTACGGAGCGCGTTTTGTGCTCTCTGGAGATGACATATCAAAGTTTTATAAGGAGCGTGAATGTAGAAGAAAAACTCGACATTCTGCACGAGTTCCTCTTACCGGCGTTTGATCACTGCGACGCGCCGACGACCGAGCGCTTCTTTGAACGTAATATTCGCGAGTTGCATGCGATCAGTCGAAGAAACATATCGGACTCTATCAACAGCGAATTAGATCTTGTGTCAAAGATCGGTTGCTACCAACTGATGGCGATCATGTGCACCCGGCTGGAGGAGAGCAAGATAGTCGACGCGAACGGCACGATCGTGCGGAACGCAGGTCTCGATAATGTTCAAGATGGCCGGGAACTTGTTCAAAGTTTGTTTAAGGACGCGCTAAATGTGCGCAAGCTGAAAATCCAGATAAGATGTCGTGACATCGTGCGGTTGCTACACTGCTCCGCGTACAATTTGACGTTGGCGATCACGAGTCTGAAAGAGGATGAACAATTTTACAATATAGTGTTTGCAGAAAATCGCGATCGCGGTATGTTCATTTGGAAAAACATTATAGACTGCGAGAAGCATTATCAGCTTAGTCAGATCTGCGGTAATTCCAAGAGCCACTGTCGTGAGACCACCGTCAATATAAAGTCCTCCGTCATTGATGGAGGAAGAGAAGGGCAAGCGAGTAGCCAGCACAGATACTCGCACATTCACAGTTATGATTTGTTGACTTGCTCCTTGAATGAAGAAATTAACGCTTACGACTTCAACAAAAGTGTCCTGTTACCGGCTTCTGCCGCTATTCCCTGCGGACGGAGTGCGACGATAAACGTGATACTAGAGAGCGACGATTTCAATGAGCACGAGTGTATGCCGAACATCTGCGGTATATTACAGCGCTTCAGCAGTCTGAAGAAGCCTGAAAAGATGACCAAACTAGCCGAATGTCTGAATTACTTTGTCTTGGGCTTGCAGAAGGACGTTCCTCGTAATATTCAACTTTTCATGCTGAAGATCGTTGATAACACGGCCAATACGGTGTTTAAGCCGTACGCTAAGTTTATGCTGCCGGGTATCGCGCAGGCAGTCGCTAATTACTTGAAGGCGAACGACCTCAACTATATCATCACTAACGTTCTAAACATACTAATATCTTGGCGAGACAAGATAAACGACGAAAGTATAGGCAGAAAGGAAGTTCAGAATCTGTTCGAGGTACTCGTCCAAAGAGTACTTGTCAAATCACAAATAAGTAACAAACATATATACAACAACAATCTCGAATTGATTCGTACGATAATGAAGAAATGGTGCTTAACGGAATCGATAGTCTGCTTGACCGAGAGATTAACAATCGCAATGGAAGCCACAGTAGATCTCATTGTGAAATTGCTTTGCGACAATGATGAAATGGCGCGCGAGATCGTGGACAAAAATTTGACAGAGGACATCGTCAATCCTCTATTGACACCGTTACGGAACTGGAACGCAGCCGAGCAGGATATAGTGCGGTATTGCGAGTTTTTTGGATGGTGGTTGAAATTACGGCAGGTAATATATCATGAACATTCGAATATTAAAACTTATAGAATACCAAAGAATGAGTATGTAATTTAGAAATGTTTAAAACATTGGAAACTTTTCAATTTCGAGTAATATTTCGAGAAAATTCGAGTCTCATTATCTATTCGCAGTTATTTAGTCTGGTATTCGTCACCGATTGCAGGAGGACAAGCGGGACGAGGGCATGGAAAGTGCGACGAGAAAAAACCAGATACAGGACGTGAAGCAAAAGATCTTCAATATCCTCAATTCGCCGCCAAAGACTACGCAACGGTTAGTTTACATCGAGAAACAGCTAAAACGCATCGTCGTCCTGTGTAAAATTTGTCCTGATCTGGCCGTTGACTACATTACGATTGTGATCGACATCACGTCCACGGATAAAAATCGAGATTACTGTCTGGAGATATTCGCGCTGGCGATGCCACAGTTCTGCGATGCGACAATCATCTTGAGTAATTTGCACCGTATAGAATTGCAGAGTGTATTTACGAACCGAGAGGTACTTTGCGAAGCGAAAGCGCTGCAAATCGTTCACAAGTTAGTTAATACGGCTATCTCACCGGCGGATCTATTGCCCTACGTGAAGCTTACAATTTCATGCCTCGAGGACGATTCCACGGAACACCGAAAGCTCGTCTACAACGTGCTCATGAGCGTTTACAAAAAATACTTCGCTGACTCGGATGATGAAAACGTAACAATTCTGCGGTCGGAGAGCGCGCGGAAACTAGTGGTTGGATTGCTGGATCCCTCAGAGGAATTGCAGACGCGTATACTGCGTTTCTGGACGGAAGAGACGGATTTAAGCACGAAAAAATCCAAGGAACGATTAATCGCTGTGCTGAATTTGAGGACAAAGATGAATTTACATATGAATATTAAAGAGGAAGACGCGTACACGTTGTTTGTACCTTTGTTGATTCTGCAATTGACTAAGGAATCCAGAGATTACAATGAAAAAATGTTTCATCCCTTGCACAACTGCACCTACGAAGACTACGAAATCTCCGTATTTTGGCGCAGACGAAATCTCAGATATGTCACGCCGATGTTCGTCGACTCGCTCGCCTCGCAGATGAGCTGCACCTTATCGCAGAGTGTTGATGACGATCGTAGGATTTACAAGCATCCAGCATCGTCTCATTATCCTCCGTATGGTGTTCCGAGACTTCGCGCCACGCAGGACTTGCAGTTTGAGCCGACTATGCTGGACGACGAAGTTGCCATGGACATGGACGTAACTGCGACGTTAAATAATCCACTACTCGATGACAGATTCCAGCGGCCGACAACATCTTCGGGACGGTCTTCGCAACTCGCAAATTCGCAAAGTAGAAGACTCCCTGGGTTTTCGGCGAGTTCATCGGATGTCGGGGAATATATTCGCCGTCAACACGTGCGGAAGAACATGGAACGGCAAGAAATGATGAAGCAGGAGCACATCAGACAGAGAAACAGCGTGAAATTGTACAGGTGAGAGAGATGGGCTGTTGGGAACATTTGGGAATAATCTAATATTAATTAAATAATTAATTAATTCGAGTATTATTTAGTAATAAATTTAATAAATTAATTAATAATTCGAATATTATTTGAAGATATTGTTTGATATAATGAGATGACCAAATATTCTTTTCGTTTTGCCACAGGAAATACAGAAGTGGAGATTTTCCTGACATTGCAATACCTCACTCAAGTCTGATCGAGCCGCTTGCACAGCTAATGAAATTAGACGAAGTGATTCGCAAGGACATCACTGTGTTTTTGTTCCGCTCCTTGGTCGAGAAAACCATGGAGAAGGAAGATTCCGACAATTTCCGTCAGAGCATTGTCGAGAATCTGAAACAAATCTTACACGACAGCGAGAAGGGCAGTGCTTTCAACGCCGTGATTTTGGAGACGTTATTGACATTAAACGTCAGCGATTACGATTCATGTGACATAGTAAAGGTTTCCAAAGCGAACAATTTGAACGCTATCGGTATCCTTCTTCTAGAACGCAGTTTACATCCTGAAGCGAGCTACTTCGATGATTTCTTGCCCACACCGGAGAAGAGAATGAAGAAAAATGAGGATGACCCAGATAACTGGGCGGAGATCGATAAATGGTCACAATTGGCATCTCTCTATAAATCAATCGACGACGTCGACGTCGTCTTCAGTATCTTCCATGAGCAATCCTACGACAAAAATATACAGGTAATTCTTGTAAGAATTAATTTAATTTATAATAATCGATGCTATTATAGAAATATGATTTAATTTAATTTAATTTGTACAATTTATATAAATAATAATATGAATATCACTTACCATTCCTGTATTGTGTAGAAGAAAAAACTCGATGATCATTTCTTCAGTTCATAGTTATGAAAGTTTTTCAGAATTTATAAATTTTTTTATAAAATGACGTATTACTATATTAACTGGCGGATTGATTAACTAAGACGTTGATGAAGAGATGAAGAGATATTTACGATTAATCTCAGAGAGAAATCTTTTATTTTTAAACTCTTACAAATTTCTCTCTGTGACTGAAGAAAAATATACAATGACTCTTTTTTTCTGCGATGTGAAATTACCAATATGTCTCCATATGATTTTATTTTATTTTAGGAAGCGACTATCGCGAATGCCGATGGCGACTGGTTGCGCGCGAATATGGCGTTTAAAAGAGCTTACGAGTCGACAATGATTGTACCGTCGATGCACGAATACTGCATGGAGGGATTGTTCGAGCTAATGAACAATTTATGCGACTGGTCAACGACCAACGAGCTCATGGTGAGAGCGAATGGCGACTTGATGAACGTGTGGGACAAACCATGGCGAGACTGGATGATTCCACGCTTATGCGACGCTTATGTGTACATGACGGATGACAATTGCAGAGACTCGAATATTACCGACCGTGATCTGGAAGTTATATACAAGTTGTGGATCCTAGCTGATAACAATCCTAGCCGATTGGAGCGTATCAAATCGTTGGTGGGTGAAGATTTGGTGCTATCTCTGCTGAGGAAGAAGATGGAAGCGAACGATCTACTTAACGATCTATTGGATAAGATAGGAGAGCAGTGGGTTAAGTTGAACCCACTTTGTACCGAATTGGGAATGCGCAAGTTGCGAAAATTGCAAGTTATGAGCGATTTGCACGCTACACTGAGAGTCCTTCACTATACCGATGAGATGGATTTCTTCTTCGACAGAATGGTCACCTTGCTAGACTTCTGGACGACGAAAGTACCGACGACGCGAGACAATCTTATACAATGGACCAAGTTAGCCGCTTATCGAAGCTACTCTTCGAGACTGTTTAACAAAATACTGGACAGTAACAAATCGAACAAGTATGCCGAAAAAGTTCAAGAAATCAAGACACGGATACGTCAAGTGGATCACTATTTGCGATTGGGCATCGTTGACGCGGCATTGAAACAAAAACACCAATATATTGCCCAGAAGCACTTGAGTCACCTGGAAGATGTTTCAATCAGTTTGCAACCTCGACGAACATTGTTCGAGGCGAGGATCAAGTATCTGTGCGCCAGTCTCGAGACAGACGCGCACATGAAGATGCGCGATTACGTCACTTCTTGGAAATATTCGCATCAGTTGTTGAACCAGATAAGCGACGATGACAACGTTGACGTTGATACGAGTATCGCTGTAAGGGAGCACATCGGCGCTTTGGCCTCGACGATCGAACATCTGACTAACGAGAACGACGTTTTCGCCGCAGCGTTGCTGACAGGTAGCAATGAAGCTAGCATAATTCTTCAGGACATAGACGCGGAACAAGGAGACAATCCAGCCAATGTGAGAGAACTCTTGCTACACTATAGCCTGGACAAGTTGAAATCCTGCAGCGACAGCGCGGCAACGGCGACACGGGCAACGGCCAGTCGCAACGTCGGCGAGCACTATTACGCCTTAACCAGACACTGCCACAGCCAACTAACGAACGGCCGAATTATGAGCGAGGCCGAGAGAAACGATATCTTCCAGGTCTTTGTATTTGCCACGTTGCGGGCTATGTATCACGATTACCACGAAGCAACTCACTACTTCCCCTGTCTACTGAGTGACGAACAACTGCTGCAAAACGGAGCGGCGCGACGAACATTCGAAGGGGAATGTACGAGGCCGCAGCCGTGGTTGTTCTTGCGCTGGCGGGACCTGCTGTTCTCTCATCTTGGCACGTCGATCGCGGCCATAATCGCACCCATTGTCGAGAAGCTCGCAAAGACATATCCTGAGGCAATCGCCTACACGTACCTCTTAGCGACGGAGAAGCGATCCGTTATAATAAATGATCGTAGAACGCAGAGAATACACGAGATCCTGCAAGACAAATTGACCGAGATCGAGCAGTTTTTATCAGCGATGCAATACGTGGTACAGCCGGAGCTCTATTTGAAGTATTATCTTAACGAAGCGATGGAGCTGTTGCACAAAGGAGACAGATCGGCCTTCGAATCATTATTAAGCAAAGTCTACACGCCGATTTCCACTGCGGCGAACGAGAAAATTCCCCGACCGGGTAGCGTGTATAATGTAATCGCGAAGCACAAGAGCGGGATTGTGGCGTTAGATCCTGTCAATTGTGACGCCACACGAGAGAGTGTCCAACGCATGAAGGATCTGTTGGACAAGTCCCTTCGGGATCGTGCTAACAAGAAGAGACTCAAAGAATACAGTCCGTTTTTGCACGCATACGCGGGCGGCAATATCGAGATACCTGGGCAATACACCGGCAATCGAGAACCCATGCCCATGCGTTATCATGCCAAGATCGCGAGGATAGAGCCGATCGTAGAAGTGATGCATTCGCTGCGCAAGCCGATTCGCATCAGCATGATCGGTGAAAACGGGCGCGAGTACAAGTTCCTGGTGAAATTCGGCGAGGATCTGACAGTCGATCACGGCCTGCAGCAGTTGTACACCACTATGAACAGGACACTGTTCAACGACGCCGCTTGTAGGCAGAGACGGCTGATGATAGACACGTACGAGGTACATAATTACTATCATTATTTCTATCGTACTTGATTGTTTCATGCAACATTTATACCATCCAGTCAGTACTTTATACCATCTTGCAAATCTCTTCGTTACAGGTGATACCGTTGTCGAGATCGTTCGGCCTCATACAGTGGATCGAAGATACGAAATCCCTGGATAATCTGGTGTCGTTCACGCTGTCGGAGTTGGAGAGCAATCAGTGCGATGACAATCGCGCGAACTACACGAAATGGATAAAAGGAGCAGCACCTCTTTCTACACGGATCAGTGATCAATACACGGCGGCCACGGCCAAGTATAGTCGGACGGAAGTTGTGACGAAGATGAAGCAATTAATCAGTAACACCAAGCAAACTGCTCTACGTGATACCTTCATGGCAATCAGTCCGTCACTGGAGAGCTTTGTGACATTGCGACGCAATTTCGTGGCGAGTTACGCGACGATGTGCGTGGCACATTGGATCGCGGGTATTGGCGATCGCCATTTGGAGAACATCCTGGTAGTTGTGAGTTCCGGACGATGTCTCGGCATCGATTTCGGCCGTGCTTTTGACAGCAGTTTACGCATCCCGGTGCCAGAACTTGTGCCGTTTCGTTTGACGCCACAGATACTAGAGTTAATGCGACCCTTCACCGAGAAGCATCTCTTCGGCACGATCATGACTCATGTGGTGCGAGCTCTGCGAAACGACAAAGGCCCTATACTCGCCTGTATGAACATCTTCACTCACGAGCCTATCAACCGTTCGAGTATTAACGACGAAGACACCGCTATAAATAATCTAAAAGGTAAACAAGTTGTTGGTGAAGCCAGTTGTTGCCTAGGTCGCATGCAAAGTTCAATTCATCTAATATTCCAACATTCCCTGTTAAGGAAACTTCGATTCCAAATTGGTCAAAGAATCTGTTATTAAAAAATAATGTGACAAAAGTAGAACATTTATATGTAAATGATAAATAATCATCTCGGGAAAGAATAATTCATTCCAAAGATCAAATAGGAAAAATATCCACAGAAATTAACATATTATTAGACTTATTAATATGAGATAACAATGTTGGGTAATTTCCAGAATCAACATTTTATTTCAAAGACATTATTATGACAGTTGAGAAGAAATTAAGCGGGATCCATCCATCATATATCACATTGAAGCAGTTAAAAAGGATGCATAAAGATGAATATTTCACGAGATATGAAGCAATTATTACTGGCAAGGATGAATCTATTATACAAGCACGGGCACTAGTGCAAGACGATTGTTTGACAGTCACTGAACAGGTATTAGTTACTATGATTATAAACAAGCAATCAATTGGTATTGTTAAAAATAGTTTTCTATAATTTAAAATTATTTCATCTAAATCGACTTGCTATTAAACTTTCTATTAATAATTTTGATTTATGAAACTTGATATATAACATGTGATCAGTAACCACAATATATATTAATATTTTCTATAGTTTTTTAAAATTCCTTTTTGGAATTGATATTAATTATGTTTTAGGTAAATTGTTTATTGGATCAAGCAACAGATCTCAATATTTTGGGTCGTATGTATGTTAAATGGCATCCTTGGTTGTGATTCTAAAATTTAGCATTAAAATTTAGCTTTTTAGCATTGTTCAACATTAAAGTTTCACAAGCAAAGAAACAGAAAAGTTCAAAGATCTAAACAAGAATTTTATGTATATCGTTAATTGTATATAATATCATACATTATATATATATATATATATTTACTAAATATATATATATATATATACTAAATATATATATATATATATATAATATATATTAATCCACCAAATTATATACCAAACATATATACTTTAGGATGAGTTGCTCTATAAGAAATAAAATAAAAACTTGGTAAAAGTGATAGTTCTTTATAATGTATTTTTTTATTTAGAAGTGAACCACCAAAGTGTAAGTCAAGTATTTTATTCTAAGCTAGAAACGTGTCTAGCATCGTTGATAATAAAATAACGTATTTTGCATGTACGCTTCATGTCGAATTATTTTTATACGCATTTATAATCTGCACGAGCTAATAATTCCTACAGACAGAACGTAGCAAGAAACATGATAGTAAACAAATTTTTTATTCTTTTTATTTTTATGAAAAAATGGTAAATCGGTTGATAATGGTTTTGCTTCTTGCAGCGCTTTACCTGAGATCTATTGTATATTATAATCTTCTAACAAAATAGCAACACGGTTTGTACACAAAGAATCCATACAAGAAAAATATTCAAGTCTTTATTATGTATCACTTTTCCACAATTTAATGGTTTTGTCACTTTCGAGGGCAGCGGAAGCTATTATATTCTCTGTTGGGTGACAGGTTGTACAGAGTACTACATCTGCAAACGCATATTATACATTTTAGCATAAGTATACATTTATTTGTTGTACAACAGCACTTTTACTTATAAGATAATTAAATTTGCAAGCTTACCTGTATGACCCTGTAATTTCTGTACAATCTCTTTTGTTTGTAAATTCCAAATATATACCATATTGTCTTCAGAACCAGACACAATCCACTGCATTAAGAGAATGTAGAAAACGTAAAAGATATTAAATCTCCAATTTTATTCATCATATCATTGGAAAACTAGTATGAAAAGCTACATACCTTGCCACCTGTTACAGAGAAGTTTGCAAAGATGCAATATTTTTCGTTTTTGTGACCAGTATAGGTTTTTAAGCACTTTCCTTTACTGTAATCCCAGAGTTTCAACGTGTTGTCTAATGTAGCGGCCAAAATGTATTTTCCATTCGGCGAAAATTTAACAAACGATACTGGTGGATTATCGTCATCAATCAATGTTTTTAGGCATTGTCCTGATGCTGTGTCCCAAATTCGACTGCAACAAATTTTAATATTGTTATATTTTAAATATTTAAATGTATTTATATATAAATTATTTTATACAAATCAATAAAACTGTTGTTTTATCTCTAAATTTTAAGATCCCTACAAATTGACTGAATTGTTATTTTAAGTTAAACAGAAGTTCGGTACATACCATAATCCATCATAGCTACTCGACACGATTAAAGAACCATCTCTATTGAAATGTACTGCACTTACTGGATCTGAATGAGCTGGCAAAGTTTTGAGACACTTTCCTGTTCTAACATCCCAGATACGTACACTTTCATCGAACTGAAAAACCAAAGGTCTTACATCTATATTTTGTGTAATTTAAATGCCTAGTCATATATAAAAAAAAAAGATTCCAAAATATACATAATAAATAACACCACAGTAAATAGCAATAAAGTATATAATATTACTCTATAGAAATTATATTTTCACTTAGAAAATATTAAAAAATAAAGTATATAGCTCTAGTACATAAAAATTACATTATATTTAAAAAAATTGAAGAATAGTGCATTTATGTACAATTCCAACATTTTCAAATGTAGTTTAAAAAATTTATAATTTTTTTAAACTATTCAAAATCATTGTACAAATATGTAAAATTATATACACAAAGAATATTTTTAGAAAAATGAAGATTATATATCTTATTTGAAAATTTCTCTCTCTTTCTCTGTTTAAAAATCTCGAAGCTTATTGTGGATCAACGTACAATCAATACATATAATCAATATATTAATCAATATATTAAAATTTAAGTTACTTACAGAACCAGATACTATAAGATTAGACTGTGGATTAAAATTACAACAGAAGACATAATTACTATGTCCTTTTAATGTTTTTAAACATTTTCCCTGAAAAAATTAGAATTTAAATGTCAAAATATTGAATGATATAAGAAAAAATTAATATTTTCAAGTAATTTTAAAATATTGTGAATGTGTGTACAATACTTACAGAGCTCAATTCCCATATTTTTAAAGTTTTATCGTCAGAACCTGATACTAACAACCTACTGTCACTAGACCACGCTACGTCTGAAATACCAAGTTTGTGACCAGATATGGTCTTCTCAAATTTTCCATCATAAGATCCCCAGATTTTGATAAGTTTATCAGCGGCTAATAATTAGAAATATATTATTATGGTACGTATAAACTACTATAAATTAAAATATCCAAAAGCTATTTACCAGAACTTGCCAACCATTCTCCATTTGGACTGAATTTTACAGACGAAACCGCCTTAGTATGACCAGCTAAAGTATATTTTAACGTATAGTTAGGTCTCTGCAAAAGATGGCAAGATACAATTTATTTATATTTTTTTTCTTCAAGGTTTTCCGTTATCCTTTTCAAATCATGCTATATATATTATTGATAAGTATTATTAATGCATCTTATAAGTGTTATCAAACTTTCCCCTTCTAACAACTAAAAATTCACAGAGAACCAGTTATACGACACTTTCCAACGATTCCATTAAATAGTAAACTTTTTCCGATATAGTTTATTAAATATATTTTCATCACTCACCACTATTGTGTTGCTTTTTGTACTACTAGCAGCTGCACCTGTAGAATTACCAACGGACGTTTGATGGCCCGGCGATGGACCTAGAGGTACCATTTTTCCTTAATTGATACCGTGTCGAGAAAAATATAATAATAATAATCGCATTTATTTCAGGAGTTTATAGTAAAATCCACGCCGAAGAAATTGAAAGCTGATAAAAACTGTTCACTCGCCAGCCAAGACACGTACACGATGCGTAAATCGTCGTGAACTCAGTATAATATTCCGGTGAGAATCTCACGAATCTCGTCAACACGAACCACACACGCCAACACACTACTGTTTTGACGGGACCACGCGTCTTTTAGCAACACAAAAATTTTTGCCGGTACATGCTACATCACGGAACACATAACATGACGCGTTCGCTGAATCCCACGTGGAATCTGCATGCCCTCTGCTTCGTGATGACAACTTCTGTATCTGCACTTTTTATTTTTTATTAGCTTGTATGGTATATTATTACACTTCCCTTCTGTCTATATCACTAGGCTTACGTTCCGTCAACCGATTAATGAGGTAAACACAATTTTCTCGACTTTATATATCACGACGACATAAACAACTAACGGCGAAATAGGACAAATATGGCTGAATATCAGTATCAGAACGGTTGAAGATCAGTGCTGCGAGATCGGGAGCATTTCCCATGCTATAGCGCATGCCTGAAGTGACGTAGGCGCTACATACATGTCAAAACCCACTGACGGTTTAAAGCGCATGACGGAGGAGCCATGAAGGATCCTTTCTATTCTCCCTACAATTCCTTCATATTTTCTTTCACACGAGGGATCTTACGCCCGTATTAGACTATAGATTGAAAATTACAAGTGGACCAATTTAAATAACCATAATAAATAAATAATTAGATTACCTGATTTATCCGATTGCAATTTTCAATCTATAGTATCATACGGGCGTTAAAATACCTTTAAATTAATACGGTACTGAGACCCCCATAGCGTTTGCTCAATGCGCATGCTCGGAAAATCTCCCGATTTCGCAGCACTGTTGAAAATGGTTGATTACATCATAGACTGTGCAGGATTTAGGGCCAATTGTTCCAACTTCGTGGTAAATTAACTGATAGTTAAATCATATCCCTGTTTTTGTTTAAGTTGAAGGAGAAACGAAGACAAACATATGATTTGACTGTCAGTTAACTTACCAAGAAGTTGAAACAACCGGTCCTTAGATCAGTTGCACGTAGGCCGCAAAGCGGCAGTTGGAAATGTCGCAGTAGCCAATCAACGTCCCACGTGACACATATTTGTTTTGTATTCCGGGCAAGCAAGATGTTGAACGGCTACTGCCGATTGGCTACTGTGATATTCCCTAACCTAACCAATTTCCGCCGCGCGGCAAGCGTTGCTGCATATTGTACATGCAACCGGTCTAAATTGCAGTAGTCGCAATGGCAATTGTAAGCGCGCTTCTTTACGAAGTATATTATATGTATAACCGACTTTATATCACGTATAACTATTGTCAGGAAGGAAACTGAATGTAATCGAATTCGTTAAAGAAATAAATGAACGTATATTTAAGACAAAAATCGTCTGCAAATAACGACTCGGCGCACGCTATACAAGAACGCTCTCAAGCTCGTCAGTAACTCGAGAAAGCTTCGACAGGCAATCGACTATGCTTCAACTGTGTCTCGACAACGACTCTGCTAAATCTTCTCTCTCTCGCCATCGGCTAAGGCCCGGTTCCACAACTTATTAGTAAACGAAGTTTAACACGTTAACCCTAGTTTAGATAGAAAAATTGCGTTCCACAACTGTCTTAAACCATAGTTAACGTTGATTTCTCACAGTTAAAGTTAAACCCAAAACGTTGGGCGTTTAAACGAAGTTAACGGGCGTTAATGGGCGGTAAAACGAATTTAAACGAAGTTTAACACTGTAGCACAACCATCAATTTGAGAAAAAAATTTATGGCTATCCCGGTTTTGGAGTTCAGTTGACAAATATTTTGAATGTTTGAACACCAAAGAGATATATGGCTTTAGAATACATATTATCTTCATTTAAAGATGAAGATTTTGAAAACTTAATTTATCGATGGACAAGAGACGTAAGAATAAGACGACCATCATATTTGGAAGAATTTGATAATGTCGATTTTCATGCACGATTTAGATGATCAAAAGAATCTGTCATCTGTTATATCTGTTATGCAGTTCTAGCAGAAATCGAGCATGAAATTTCTCATAAAACAGAATAGTAAGTATATAAATTTAATTTAAAATATTGGGTTTTTTGCTTCGACAGATTATATTCTAAAACAGAGTAGCAACTATATACAAAAGTCAATTATTATATGATAAATGCAATCAAATCAATAATATAAACTAATTAATTATTATTAACACTGGACTTCCACCTTTTAATAAATTAATACTTATATACAAATACAGCAAATCTTAATGTTGGTTAGTGTTTACTTGATACGAAACAGATATATTGTTCTCTACTATCGACGTTATAGCATCCAGCTTATTTCAATTTTCCCTCTTTTCACTATTAGCAACAATCATATTACTATTAGCAACCATATTACTATTAGCAACCAATCATACTCTACGTTTGAAAAGAAAGAGAAGTTTCTGACAGTTTCTTCATACAGACTATAGGTTTAAGTAAACTACAGTTAAAAACATGATGTGGAACGCGATATAAGTTTAATGTACCATGCTGTTAAATGTACCGTCAGTTCAGATAATCACGATTTAAACTTGATTTTGTGGAACTGGGCCTAACACCTCTTGAATTCCCCTCCATCTCGCCTGAGACCGTCGGTCTTCGCCTGAGTTATTATCGAGATGTATCGATACGTTTCATTAACCTTACACAATATGGCTATCGTTCTGCTTGGAGCCATCTATTAAACTATGAGCAATATGGCTATCATTTATTACGTCATTGACGGAACTAGATGCTGTCGCAGCACACTGCATGCTAATAACGGAACAACTTTTCAGTACTGTCAGTAAATATTGGAACAGTTATGCGGGAAGCACACACTCTTACATAAAGGCATAATGCACAACGCATAAGGAAATGGACCAATCAGAGTCTTTCATTTCAAGCGTGGCAATAGAAATGAGGATTCTGATTGGTTTATTTCCTTATGCGTTGCGCATTATTCCTTTTTGTAAGAGTGTGTGCTTCCTGCTTTATGGGCCTTCTACAATAAGCTATTAGTCATAAGTTGTAACCAAATTGACCAACCACAGTCGATTATTTTAAAAATAATAATTATTTAATTATTTCAAAAATAATCGACCGCGGTTGGTCAATTTGGTTACAACTTATGAACTAATAGCTTATTGTAGAAGGCCCATTAGACCTACCAATCTTATGTTTAAACCAAAATTTTCGAAATATATTTAAAAATATGCCTATATGTATCTTTAGTAATTCTTATTTGTTTGTATGCGACTCAAACACGAATACGCAGTGTAATTTAAATTGATAGTAAAGCATAAAATGTTGCATTCACTAAAATTTTAAATTGAATAAACATGTAAACTTACATGACAAGAATTAAGTCAAAGTAATTATTTCATTTCATATATTTTATTATATATATATATATAAACTGTATTTAATTTCTATAATCACGCAAAATAACAAAAGGCACAAAGTTCTTATCATAAATATATTTTTAATTTCTCTCTTTCAGCTTTTCTTTTCATTATAGAACTTTATTGCAAATAATATACATATAACTAAACATTTTACGTACCATTTTTTTTGAGATCTTTTCTGGTAAAAATTGTACATAGAATGTAATATGATTGATAAAGTTCCATATAAATATCATAATTGGAAGCTACCTTTGTAAAGAAGACAGTCTCGCACAGCCCTAATTAGATACATTAAGTATCAGCATAGCGCACCGCTAGGAATAGTATATACAAAAACTTTTAAATATTTGAATTGAGCAACGGTTAATTACTAAATTCTTGGTGGAATTAGATGTGTTACCTCAAACAAGTACAAATCGCTTTTCAAAAATACGTTACGATTTCGATTTAGCATTATTGATACTCAGTCTATACATACATACATACATGTACACACACACACACACACATACACACACATATACAAATCAGTTTCCCTTTGGTCAACTTCATTTCCACAATTTGTTGCAAATTTATGACAGGTAACACATATTACATTCAGTCTCTAACACGTTGACTCCATATACTGGTTCTTCGAATACCTACTGTTGGCCTCGCAACTGAACTGTAGTAAAATTTGTTAATTTCGAGTTTGCGATAATCATCCCGCAGTGACTTGAGTATCGTATCTGTCATTAAGCCAAAAACATCTAAATATAATAAAGACGGCATCTGAGCTAATCTTGTGTATGCTGTCTGTGGAATACTGTAACAACGACTCAATGACAAGTGTTCCAACTTGGAGAAATTTAATAAAGTATGAATGCTGCTTATCGTGAGTATAGCACAATCACTCAAATCTAATTCTATGATGTCTGGACATCGTCTCAGTAAGTCTTTCACGTCTGAAAATTACGAGTATTGATAATTAAGAAAACAATATATTCATACGTTACAACTGATAAATAACAAGTTTAGATTATTACTTACTGTTATCATTCATTGTTTTTCTACAGCCAGCTATATTTATACGTTTAATAGATGATGGCAATGTTCTACAAAGTACAGACACACTCTCGCTATCCAAGCAACACCATGCTATATTGAGGGCAGTTAAACTACAACATAATTCAAGTATTTAAGCCAGAATATTCATTGTGAAATGGCCGCATATATATACATACATGGATTAATAAACATACCATCTAAGTTTTGCTAAATCCATAATACATCCAGCATCAATATCTTCACACATTGTTAGATTCAAAATTTCTAACTCTGTGTTTTGTTGGATTTCTTTAAAGCAAGCCCTATTTACTATACACTTTTCCAGTGACAAATTTTTCAATGATCTACATTTAGACAATAATGTGGCTAAACCGTTTGGCGATATAACTGCCATAGACAAATCTAAATATTGTAATCTACTGACATAAAAATCTCTAATATAATCGCATTGTATATTGGATCCATGAAAAATAGGATCCGCAATTTCCGCTTGTGCCAGTCTTAGGATTTGTACTCCTCGTGGTAATATGAACCCTAATGTGCCTTCACTTAAAACTTTACCACCCAAATCTAATCTAGTCCATAATGCTTCGTCACAAGCCACTCGATACCAACGTCTGCACACCAACATAGAGCGTACCTATGAAATAAATAATTCATAGGATTATTGATCATGCAAACATGTCTATAACTTTTTATAAGCATTTAATATACTATTATTCTTACCAAACATTTCTTAGGCAGCCATTTTAATATCATCAGAATTATCTCATCTGACAACTCATTAAATTTATTTTCACCAACGATCATAGGTTTCTTTTTTCTCCTATATAAACAAAATTGATCTGAACCAACACTATCAATAGAGGTGTTTGTACTTTCTTTAACAAAATCTTCTCTTGATCTTGAAAGGTTGCTGGATTTACTATCCGTACTATTAAATACAGCTAATTCATAGATGTTTGAATCTGACTCTGTTCTATAAAAATAATAATATAAAATGTACATATAAAAATTTAATTTATATTTTAAATGCTTTTTCTTGTATACCTCTCCATATTTAATATTCCATTATCAACACTAGAATTCACATGAATTCCTCCATGACATTCAATGCCATTATTTTCATACGTTTTGTTTGTTATGCTTCTTTTATTATTTGTTTTTACAGGTGATATTATGCAATCTTGAGATTGTAATTGTTTTGTACTTTCATCATTTGCTACTGGATCTTCCAACATACTAACACCCATATCCTCCAAGATTTCAGGTTCTACAAAACTAGTATTTCCAGAATATGACCATCTTGCACTATTTTGAGATACATTATTGTTCAGATTATTATTGCAGGTATTTTGCAGACGTATTTGTTTACTGTGGAACACAAAAGGATTTTTCTTTTATAAGTAACATAAGTTGAATATAAGTTCTTTATTTTATCAATTATAAATGAATAAGCAGTTCATATATTATAGAAATCTATGTTTCATCCGAATAATGATAAAAATCTTTTGATGATTTCCTATTTTACCACTATTGTATGATGAACATTTCTGAAATCACAGAAGTTTTCTTGATATTACTTAATAAATTATTTAAAAAATTTTTCATTTAAAAATTATAGATTTTCATTTAAGAACTTTTCTCTGAAAATCTTAAGGACTCTTTCATTCATAAATGTCACAATAGTGGTGAAATATATACACACATATATATATATATATGTGTATGTGTGTGTGTGTATATATATATATGTATCAAGATTAAGAGAAAATATAATATATAAATATAATATAATAATTATATACATATATATGATAAAAACATAATGTAATAAATTTATATATCAATGCTATTTTATAAATATCAAAATCATTTATATTTATTACAAGTGTACTTAAACTATGTTTGATATACATATTTTTTTTTTAAACAAAAAGAAAATATATTTAATCAGTTGAAAAATAGACCACACTATCAAGAATATCCAATGTACTGTAATTGTTTATTTCTATGCAGATAAACACAAGGAAATATAAATTTAAAAATTAGCATATTTTTATCATAATTTTTTCATTGAAAGGCAAAATAATAAGGAATTTTACTCAATTATATTATTATCATTATTGTAATATAAAATAATCATTTGAAAACCAGATATTGATCAATTTGGAATTCCCATTGCTATTTAGAATGTTCTCTTTGAATGAGAATTATATATGAATGAATTTCGACATTTCTTAATCTTATCCATTAAGGGAAAGAAAACGCACGGATATATATCTGTCTATCGGCGGGTGTTTACCTCATTTTTCCCGCTATAAAATAACAAAAATTTTACATACAACCAGCAACCTGACCATCTAACCAAAAACATCTTTATTATGGTTAAGATGGTTATTTTGCCTTTGTGTAGAGCTTCGCCTCACCTATCAGGTGGAGAAGATTCCTCGGTATTCAGCGAGCAGCTGATCTCGTCCAACAACATGTGCTTGACCGCAACAGAATCCATTTTTGACAAAATAGCGTGCTAGCTTCTTCTTGGTTTCGTATTGTACGGCGAACAATTAAACACAATCCGTCACTCCGATATGAACAACCACTCGTAACGGCACGGCGAACCGTAATTGCTCCGTGGGCTAGTCACACGGCAAAGTAGTGGTTGAAATAGGCTGTCGATTGGTCTACCGTCGTAACGGCGGGAACACGTGCAATGAGGACAGCGATGAGTCCATGTGGCGAGGGTAAAAACGCGCGCGAATGTTAACGGACTAATCTAAAGTATTTCATGCATCGCTGGCACAGTTAATATGATTATAGAAAATTTATATATAATTCAATTTACAAGTTTTTTATAATTTATGGGCGTCTTGTGTTAATAAAACTTTCATGGTTGAATATGGGTGTCAAAGTACACATGTGTCCAGCACCAGAGAGAAACCTAAGAGCGGCTATTGAGCCGGTTACGCCGGGACGTTTTTTCGGACGCGCCCTCTGAGAAAATGTGTGCACACTACGTCCTGATGATAATGACAAAGCGTGCATGGTTTTTGTTTTCTCTCTCTCTCTCTCTCTCTCTTTCTCTCTCTACTTCATTGCAAAAAGAGTAAGGTTAGAAAAGCACAGACGACCAATCGCTCTCCGTCTTTGTCTCACTACCGATGAGCTGATCGAAAGAAAAAAAAACAAAACAACTGGCAAGGTTCCGAAACTCTATTCTTCAAGGTAACAGACTAGCTACTTGCTTTTGCGACCACTACATACTCAGAGCTGCGTTCCGATATTCACTGCCAGTACTGAAAATCTATAATATATGTGACATAAAGTATATATTTTCAATACTGGCAGTGAATATCGGAACGCAGCCCTGGTCACAGAGGTTTTAGTATCTATACTTGAGGATAATATAATATCTATATACTAAACTTAATTTGTTCACTTTTCTTTCGCAAACACTCAATAACAATCCATTATATAATTTTGCATGTTGATTTGTAAAAACCTCAAACCTACAAAGAAATTTTTTCGAGAGGGGGTGCGTCGGAAAAAAGACAGTAAACGACTCGTAGCGAAGATTTGGAAATTAATTTACAATCGTTAGCCAAGACTCGAACCATATTTAGCTGAGACTCAAATGAACTTTTCAACAGTTTTCCCACAACTGTTGTTAGATGATGCAGGAAGTCTGTTGACCATAGAGACCCTCTATTATCTCGAGTGTAATATGTGTGTTGAGATATACATTGTTTAGATTAGATTAGATAACATATTGAATAGCGCAGCAGTTAAATTTCTATCTATATCTACTATAAAAGAATATATATAAACTTTTGTTTGATATAATGTTATATTATTGAAAAATTAAAGTCTGCCATGTCAGGGAGACAGGTTCAAGGTAATACAAATGAAATACAAATATGTGTATTTCAATGTTTTAATATCCTGTTTGTATATTCTGCAATCTTTCATTTGGGAAGGCTTCTGAAAGTATTGTTCGTGGGGCAACTTCATATAGTCTCTGAACAAACGCAGTCACGTTGTGAATGGTATGCGTCCCTGCTTCTTTTGATGCCTCTTATTGTTACTACGTTAATCAAACGTATCGTTGCTTCTTCAATCTCATTTCGTCTGCGTCTTCCTCAAGGTAGAAACTGTCGCATCGCCGATCAATCTTGTCGCCGTTACTGATGAACACGATTCTTCTTCGCGAGAACGAAGAGGAGAATATCGACGTCGCCGACCGGATCACTTACGTGTCCGGTATATCAATCGGGACATCCTGTTTGTGCTGAGAATCATACGCTTCGCGATCGTATAAGCGCGTAGTGCGCTTGCTGCTTTCGCTATTACTGTTCGATCGCTCGATAACCAAGAGTGTGAATTCTGTGGCACTTTTTTTTTTTTGGTGCGACTTTGTTCTTTCAAGAATCGCAGCAGCTTTGCTGGCAAAAAGACTGAGTTTATCTTTCTTCCTGTGGCCGGTTAGTGTACCAAAAGTAAGTGATATGAATTTTTGTTGGTTCACGGTTGTAGAATGTGCAAGAGAGAAAGAGAGAATGTATGTAGTAGAGAGAGAGAGAGAGAGAGAGAGAGAGTGAGAGTGAGGGAGGGAGGGAAAGAGGGGGAGAGAAAACAGAAATGGATAATAAGACATAAATTTTTTTATGTACGTATATAGAAATAAGTTAAAATATATAAAAGGGTTATGTTTATGTGAGAACTTGCGATTGGATGATGTGTAATTGCGTGAATGGATATAAAGTTGCGTACTATATGTACATGATGCGTCGTGCTGTGATAAGCAGAATGACGTATAAGATGAGGTTACACACAAGAAAGGGAAAAGTGGCCGTTATCACGGTAAAATATTTGGCACTTTATAAAATTGGCCAGATAAGAACAAAACGTAATAGAAAGAACAAGATGCAGTAATTAGATCAGTGAGTCGAGTTGAAGGTTTAATCTGTTTTACGTGTATATAATGTCAGTACGAATATATATATATATATATGTATGTATAGATATACGTGTATGTGTGTGTGTGTGTGTGTGTATATATATATATATGTACGTATGTATTTGCAATAGAGTGACGTATAAGCAGAGGGAGAACGCGAGAGAGAAGGAGAAAGAGAGAGAGAGAGAGAGAGAGAGATATGAATAGAGTGAATGCAAGAGAAAGAAACAGAGACAGAGTGAGACTGCGAGAGAGAAAAAGAGAGGTTTCGTCTCAGACGAGTGTCCTTTCCTCAAAAGATATATTCTTTGTTGGGAAGTGAAAGAAATTGAAATGCTAAAGAGGTTACATCGATCAGAAAGTTAAACGATGAAATAATATTCAAGCGTAGCGACATGGTTGACGAGCATTACAAACAGAATGACGTGTGTAAGGTTATAAGACAGGTGGGAGAAAAGAAGGAGGGGATGCGCGTTTTCGTCCTTGGGCGAGTTCTCCTGGAATGAAGAGGAAAAGAAAGGAGAGAAAAAAAGAGTGCATCTGTTAATTATCGATCGATTTAACCAAGAACAGTCATCATTGAAAATCGTATATTTTGTGTTATGATCCTTAAATGAAAAGAGAATAGAGAATTGTGATTGTGTGTATGTGTGGTATTTAGATTATCAGTTTGGTAGATTTGTATATCATAGGGCCGTATTCATAGTCGGATCTTATATTTAAGACCGTCTTGAATTCATGTTCAAATATTCTGTAGCCAATGAAATGATCTATACAGCACCTAAAGATGAACTTAAGACGATCTTAAATATAAGACCGGACTATGAATATGGCCCTTAGAATTCACAATTCTTCTAATTATAATTTGGATTTTACAATTTACATGATTTCAAACATTTATTACACTCTATTTATACAGAAGACTCAAAGATGAGGGCGAGGGAAGAAGCGGGTCCTTCAAAGCCATCAGGATCTGCCGAAGAAAAAGAGAAAGAAAAGGATGACAGGATGTTTGAGTGTAACATCTGTCTGGACACAGCCAAAGATGCGGTGGTCAGTATGTGCGGCCACCTGTTTTGGTAAATGTCCCATTCAATTTGATAAGTAAAGCAGAAAATGGAAAACATCTGTGACAATATCAATAATATGGGCAATAAAACTGCAGTTGGCCGTGTTTGCATCAATGGTTAGAGACCAGACCTACCAGACAGGTCTGTCCAGTCTGCAAAGCTGCTATAAGCAAGGATAAAGTCATTCCATTGTATGGTCGTGGTGCCACGAAACACGAAGATCCCAGGTAATCTTTCTTCCATCAAAATTGGCAATTCTTATGAAGGTAGAGTTATATATGTTCAATAAATTTAACTTGTAATTATTCCTTTGGTTTACACGTGTGCAATAATATGGTAGCTATCTTATGTAAATTTAGACTGCTACAATGAAACATTTTGCTCTTCAGGAATAACGTACCACCACGTCCGGCCGGTCAGAGGTCAGAGCCTGAAACCAATGTCGGCTTCTCTGGCTTTGGTTTCGGCGATGGTTCCTATATGTCGTTCGGCATTGGTACTTTTCCTTTTGCTTTTTTCACTTCAACTTTCAACTTTGGAGAAACACGGCCAAGCCCAGGTAATGTTTCGTCTCCTGATGCAAATCGTAAGCTATTTCGGTAACGATAAAAGATTAAAATTTAATATCCGCAATTTCAAAAGATAAAGATGTAATTTTCCTACAGCTCCCAGAGGCACACCCCAATATGAGGAGGAGCAATTCTTGTCCAAGATATTTCTGTGGCTAGCGCTGATATTTATTTGCTGGCTGCTGATGGCATAATTTCTACTAAATCACATCAGTCTGCCTCGTGCAATTTGTACGATTTTTACCTAATTATATATCATTTGATTCGTGATATTTAATCATCGCTACGTCTCTTGGTCTCTGATTTTGAAATCAAATTCTTCGGAAAAAAAAAAAGGAAAAGAAGTATATATATATATATTTATGCATGTTTCAGAACTGATTAAGAAATTGCAATTTATTATTTGCTCTTTCCTATTTTCATGTTGGAGTGAAGAAGTTAAGTTAACGGGAAAACATTCTCCGCATAACTATTTAATATTTCGTCGGTACTTCTGCGTACTTCGAGTGGGACAATTACTCCGATTTTGGACAACTTTGATATTTCAATGTGTCTTTTATGTAATATATATATATAAATATAATATCCGTAGAGAAAAGTGTATAAGAGCTGCCATCCAACATATTTAAAGCATATATATCGTAAAGCTTAAGAGTGCGGATGCAGAGAAAAAGAATATTATTAAAAAGTATATCTTTAAATAGAGACGTACTTTTTGCGAGGAACTGTAAGCAGATATTTGAACAATGTGTATATATATATTCTAGAGAATTTAAGTTAAGGTATATTGTAATATATAACGCAATGTGAAACGCGGATTCTGCTAATATCACTGGGGATAATGTCGTTATTCAATTTTTTGTTCCTCGAATTTATTTCGCCCACTGTAAAAATTCCGCAGAACATGTTTTTCATGAATTGTGATATAAATTATGAGTTGTTTAAACTACTTTATATATTTTATGGCAAAGATTTCTCAAGTGACAAAAATGTGTCACATATACTTTTAATTCGATAAATCGAAAAATAAAACGGGAATAATTAATCAGGGACTATATCATTTATTTGTACATGCTACATTATTTGACTAATTATGTATTTTTAGAAATGAATAATATAACTGAAAAATAATCGTGAAAGTATTATTGTGATGGTAAGTAAGTAAAATTGGTTTTAAATACAAGCTTATAATTTGTAATCAAGAACACAAGTTTTACTTCTGTTGGTATAATAACATGATTACAAAGTTAAAAATTATTTGAAATTAATCATATAAATGTAAAGCACCTCGTGCATAATGTACAATTTTATCCTATCATGGATCAATATATTTTATCACAGGTTGCACAGTTCTGCAAGAGTATATGTATATATATGCACATACACATATACATATATTCCTGTTCTTATTAACGCAGCAAAGAGACAACTAGAACTTAAAAAAAAAAATGTCAAATTATTCGCTATTTTGTGCAATACACCAGTTATGTTTGAGGTACGATCAGAATGTGACTTTTGTACTCAGATATCTATGGTTTGTGCACAGAGAAAGACATATATCCTAAAAATTATTATCGAGTACATATATATGTATATGTAAAGCAACAGAAACAAGTTATAAAATGTAATATGATTTTCATATTTATACACTATTGTCGAAAAACTAAAATAAAATTTGAATAAAAACTTCTATATAATTTGTTAATATACATTAAATTATATGTATATATATATATATATATATATACATATATATATATATATATATATGTATATATATGCATATCTTATGTTTATTAAGTTAAAAATATATGTACTATACAATTTCAAGATACATTTCAAAGTTATTCTTGTATCTAAGGTACCATTTTTTGCTTGCTATTCTCTATGTTTAGATTTTTCGACTTTAGTGTAAATGGCTTTTTAAGAATAACTTTTCTTTTAAGTTCCTTAAGTTCTCTTAAGTTTCTCTTAAGTTATTTTTGACCAGTTTCAATGAGCTACATCTGAAATATATATATATATATATATATATATATATCAATTGGAGCTTTTACATCTCGTCCTTGTTATCCTTATACTTCTTGGTGAAACCTTTGGAAACTAATAAATTATTGCACTCTTCCCGAGTCAACTTGGATAGCACTAGTCTCTCCACTTCCTATAATATTTTCAACAAGTTACTTTTTACCATTTTTTAAATTATATATATATATATATATATATATATATATATATATAGTTCTACCTCTTCATGCTTGTTGAAAAGTACAAGCTCTGGGATTGCACCCTGGATTTGTTTGAATTCCACATTATCGCTATGTACATATTAAGGATCAGAATTCATGGAATTTCAAACATGAAAAAATAAATAATATAAATAATAATAAATTCTCTATGCTTATTTTTATAAATTGTTTCTTTTTGTATAATGTATATATATATATATATACACACACACACACAAGTATTTAAAATGACCAATTATATTCATGTGTTGTGTCATATCATATAGAAAGAATATAGTTATACAAAATATCAAAAATTACAAAATATAAAATAATGTAAATAAAGAATTTACACAACAGAAGAATGGAATAAAATGTCAAAAATGGTACAATGATAGGATGAAGGATACTATTGTGGCAGATCCTCGAAGATGAACTGCCTGACATCTGGTAGCCGGTTTAGCGAGCAACCGCTACAGCTCTAAAAGATTAACAAGGAGTGCGATAATAGTATTGTAAACATCAACTTATGCCAAATACATGTATGATCTTTCAATATATGAAGCGTTATTTTAATGACAAATATCTGCTAATAATAGTAGGAATTCGACATGACAATGTCAAAAACTTGGCGGCAGGTCGCACCATATTTATTGAATTTGCGTTGAACAATCGTGTTGTACAAAAGTAGCATAGCATGAACTTGAATGCGTTACCTCGACTTTTGCGGATGCATAATATCCATTCGCGGAATTTCCGAAAGAAATGAAGGACAGGACAAATATAAGCACGAAAGCATAGCAGACAGCCGCGGTGGGCGCCATGTTTGTCATTCAATTTCATGGTTCATGGTTCAATAGATGGCTCCAAACGGATCAATTCCGTTCCTACGCCAATCATACCCGTCATTCAATTTCAAGGAAGATTCCAGTGGTGCGATTCTGTAACTTGTTATTGGAGTTAACGACACTTTCGTTATCGTTGCGCAGTTTTTGTATACCGTAGAAAAGCTGCGCAACAATAACGAAACTATCGTTAACTCCAATAACGAGTTACAGAATCGCACCACAAGATTTCCAGGCCTGTTCCGAAATCGGTTTCGGAAACTTTGATTTTAGCTATGCAGGTTGATAAGCATTAGGGTACAGTCACATGGAGTTTGAAATAGCGGAACGAAAGAGAAGCGAAAGAGATAAATAGTGGAAGTTAACCAATCAGAACAATTCCGTTCCGTTGTTTCATAAAAGCGTCAGTGAAAAGTAAAACACATATATATATACATATATATATATATATATATATATGTATATCTTGATGTATCTAATAATGTTAAAGTATCTAATATTTTGTAGATATACTGTAACGAATACTTTACTATACTGAAAGTTTAATGTGACATGTCTACTATAGGTTATGTATTTTGTTTCGTTTCGTAGAAAATATTTCTCATGTAAAACTTATTACCCATGAAACAGCGGAACGGAATTGCTTTGATTGGTTAACCCCTACCATTTACTTTTTCTATTTCTCTTCTCTTCCGCTATTTCGAACTCCATATGACCGCACCTTCATTCTCAGAATTAAAAAAAGGAAAAGAAGGGATAGATATACAATTGAGACTTATACAGATATATAGTTGAGAAAAAGATAGGGAAAAAGATAGAGAACTAGTGCAAGATAGTGCAGGAAGTGCAGCGAAAAAGGATAAACTGATTACTGTATTGAATGAATTTTAAAATGCGTTCGAAAGGATCCAAAGCGTCCCACAAAAACGAGTGTGTAATATTTTATTAATGTTACGAAATTTATTTTTATTTCTAGACAAAATAATAAGAAAATAATTCAGTAATACCATGTCTTAAAAATGTGTAGATATGCATTTTAAAGGGACAGAAGAAAACATTTATTTAATTTTCCGCTAATATCTATCAGTTATATATTGTTTAAGTAACCGAGTCCAAACTTGGTTGTCTCGCGGGATATTTGAACATCCAATGGATATTCACAAATATCTACACAAGTTTGGTATAGTACGTGTGGAACAGCGGCTGCGCCGGCTGAACTACGTGCAGCCGAGGTGTTGGATAATCAATACTAACGTGTGTCGTCAGTCTGGACCAAAAAGTGATATTGAAAGAGCATATATCCTCGATCGACAACATGAAAACTACGGCACATAACTGCATGCCCGGTAACGCCAGTAAGTTCAGTTTTTCTAGTATTTTGGGCCATTTTCCGACATAGGATTGAAACTTACCTAATATTTCGATAAATTTTAACGTTACAAACATGCAAAGCTGATCGTATTCACGCTTAATGGAATCGCGACGTTCGGTATAAAGAATATTCCTTCGTGAGGATAACAATCTGAAATGGAACATATTTAATTCGCTGAGATAACACCAGTTTCAGTACCCCCCGATTCTTTCACCTCCTCTACAATCTAATTCCAATGCTTTCGCTCACTCATTTTATGCACTTGCGAAGTCGTTAGATATCTCAATAAATATCTCGACGAAAAATATTTTGTTTTGTAAATTCGTTCTTGAGATATATAATTAATATTTAAATTTTTCGAGATTAGTTTATCCCAATTTATAAACACGCTCAAGTTTATAAAACTTTATAAATATTAAATGTAAACAGTGTTGGGAAATTTTTTGTCCTCTTAGAACGCAAAAATATCACTCGCGGGTGTGTTATAGATTTATTCGGTGAAGATTCAATCGAAGAAATCGCTGAGTCAGTGGATGAGCTAAGAGAGAAACTCGCGAATATGAAAAAACTTATGGAACAGCGGAAAGGCACGACACTGGGCGAAATTAGCGCCCGCAAGAGGAAGGAGACTTCCGACATAATAGATGGCAATTTTTTGTCCTGGATTTTTGGATCTGCCCTTATAGTGATCCTAAGTGTGAGCTTCTATGCTTTCTACAATCTTTTCCTCGCAGTATTGAGGAAGTTTCCATCTCATCATACAGAATTGTAAAAAAGGGTATGTAGGTGAATAGTCATTTGTAATTTTCACGAAAAAGTCTGACACATATAACGGTCGTTATTTCGAAATTAATTATAATCAGGTATAATAAAATTAATAATATAATTGTACACAATGTGTATTTGGTTAACAATCAATGAATTTTAAAAAGACATACCCGATTAACATCATTAACGTAATTAATTGTCAACAGTGAACAAATATCGTGTAACTTAATGTACAAATGTTGAAGAAGATCGGGAGAACTTTCAATGTAAATGGTAAACTGTACGTACTTTTGATAAAGGAAAATGAAGTTTAAATTTGAAAAAAATATTCTGTTTATTCAATTAACGACTGATGGTATTCGTAGCGATAAATGGCCCGGTATGCTTTTTTTCAATATATTATAACATTTAATCGATATAGCATTTGTATGCAATTGCCAATACAACCAATAAATCTTCAAAGTGGCAAAAAAAGATATAATCGTGATGTCGTCATACTGATTTTCGAATTTCATAATACGAGGTAAGCATCCTTGGCACGGAATATATTGGGTTGTAACAAAAATTCGTAGTGTTTTTCCTTCCTTCCTTCTGTTTTTAATGGAATTTTAAGATAATTATTATATTGTGCGTTTAAATATTTATTCAACCAAATATGCGCCATTTTTGTTCCATTTTTGTTCTACCATTTGCCCATCTTCTGTGGTAGCTTCATGATTCCGTTTTTCCAGACCTTCTCATCTTTCTCGTCGATGAACTGCTCAAGATGGTTTTCTCAGACTACTAAAGAAGTAGTGGAGTTTTTACCGTTAAACGAATTCTGTAAGGTTCCGAAATAGGTGATGGTTCAAAGGTCTCCGCTAAGTCAGAGGTGAATATACGCGGCGGATGTGGCAGAATACCCCATTTTTAATGGGGTTAAATTTTACCCCAGGTTTAAGTCACAATAGACTTTGACGAGTCTGCAGAGAGGTATGAAGTCTGGCATTGGTCCCGTGGAAACGTAACGGCTTTCCGAATTACCAGTTCCGTAACGCTTCTCCTCGATTGTTTCTTTTCAACGATTCAACCGGACACAGCGAATCGCTTCTTAAAATATATCTCAAAATAGATTCTCAAGATAGAAATGTAAATGATTAAATTTCTCTCGGACAAATCGTGAAACATCCAAATTAATCATTGCGATTTGTATTTCTAAACGCCAGTTCAGAATAGGTTGCAAACACCAATTATGAGTTGCGAAGAATGGCAACTACTAATTACAAAGTGTTATTTTCGGTCGTAAGACAGTTGCGGTTGCTAAAAGAGAGTTGCCCAACTCTTAACTTCTTGGCGACGGTAACCGGCAATCGCAACTGTCTTTTACAATCGAAAATAGCACTTTGTAACCAGCAGTTGACATCCTTCACAACTCGCAACTGGGTGTTTGCAACCTATTCTGGACCGGGGTTAAATGTCTTATAACGCTCATACGGGATGTCTCAAAAATACCGGAACCCCGCGGATAACTTTGCAGGATCAAGTTTTCATGAAAAACTTTAAATACGAAAGCTGTAGAAAATCGAGTAACGGACTTGATGGTGACTTTGAATTTGACCTTGACCATGACCTTCAAGGTCATTTGGAGGTCAACTTGCGTTTTTTAAATGGAAACCCTTATTTTTTATTAACTGTTTTTTTTCTACCAATTAATTTGAATGATGACAACTTTTGTCTAAAATATTTTTTTATTTGCCTACTATTTTTTGAGAATTTTTGAGATTATTTGAGGGGAACTTGATAACTTTTTCAATATTTAATTTACGATATCTCGCTAACTATTTGTCGGGAGAAAAAGTGGTACTGGACTTTCTCGCTTTATTTAGTCTCAAGAATATATTGTTATTGGGCACAATAGTGCCCTGATTTTTGTTAATTTGATAATTTTGAAATTTCCAAAAATCAATAAGTTAACAAAAGTCAGGGCGCTATTATAACAATATATTCTTGAAACTAAATAAAGCAAGAAAGTCTAGTACCACTTTTGCTTCCGACAAACAGTTAGCGAGATATTGTAAATTAAATATTGAAAAAGTTATCAAGTTTTCCTCAGATATTTAAAAAAATATTAGGCAAATAAAGAAATATTTTAGACAAAAGTTGTCATCATTCAAATTAATTGGTAGAAAAAAAACAGTGTAATAAAAAATAAGGATTCCTATTTAAAAAACGCAAGTTGACCTCCAAATGACCTTGAAGGTCATGGCCAAGGTCAAATTCAAAGTCATCATCAAGTCCGTTACTCGATTTTCTACAGTTTTTGTATTTAAAGTTTTTCATGAAAACTTGATCCTGCAAAGTTATCCGCAGGGTTCCGGTATTTTTGAGACACCTCGTATATGATATATAGACTATTTCTTTGATATCCTGTGTCGTGTAACATGAATCAACTTTCAATTGGCGTTGTGATTTGATCATCATCAGCAATTTAAGGCCTGCCTGAGCGTTTCTGATTTTTGAGATTAAAATTACAACATTTTAATGAATCACTTGCGAACGGTGCTTTCAGCTATTACATCATTTCCATAAACATATCCACATATATGTCTTGTCGCTTGCACCGTATTGTTATCTTTCCGAAGAATAACACAAGATATCAAAAGATACATCTTGTTTTCTTCCATTTTCAAATGGATATAAAATAAAATGCGACTTAATTGCACTTATGTTTACAAGACACGTTGAAATGTCACCTTTCAGAAGATACATACATATCGTATAGTCAAACCATATGTGACAAAGTTTCATGCGTTTTAACACCATTTAAACGACACAAATTTCATTACAACCCAATAAACAAGATCAAACTATAGCATACCCTGATAGCACATGTTCTCCTGGGGGACGTCCTCTAGACATCTGTGCTATTAGGGTAATAAGTATTATAAATATTAAGTGTACTTTAAGAAACTTTCTGCTTTCTGATATGTGTTGTATATTATTTATATTATTATAACATGAATATAATAATAATAATAAATTTATTCTATATGAATGTAATAATAAACGGCTCCTTATTTTCCTATTAAATTTGAAATAAATTAGGTCACATATCATACATGCACAGCTTATTTATATTATATGTAAGTATTTGTTATTGTAACTGCTAACACAACAAATGCCGGAAAGACATTGTCCTGAAAAAATTCAATATTTCGTACCTCACTCTTTCAAAACTTGTCTGAAATAAATACAATGTTACTAAAATATTGATTGGCCACCACAGTGTTATCTAGCCAACTTCCGCTGCGTTGCCGCTGGTTATCGCGTTCTGTGTGCAACCGGACTTTGCGATTTCTATTGTAGATAGACCGCTTTAATGGTACATTTAAACTTTAAACGATACTTTTGTATCATCGTTGGCACGGACGAGATACTATAAAGGCCGGTATTTATAGTTAGGTCTTATATTTAAGACCGTCTTAAGTTCACTTTCAGATACCCTATAGCCAATGAAATGATTTGTGCAGCATCTGAAGATAAATTTAAGACGGTCTTAAATATAAGATCCGACTATGAATACCAGCCCTATAGTCGATTCAATGACTACGTTTACACGGCTTCTAACTTCGACTTAGTAACGCTAATGTTATAACTCCTACTTAAGGTGAGTTGCGTTTACATATTTACGCTTATCTATTTGAAATAACTTAATAACTTTTGAGTGAGTCAAGGATTTCCATTAGTACCAATATAAAAGGCCGAAAAATGAAATGATTGTGATTGTAGTCTGAATATAAAAGAATTAGAATATGAAAAGAATAGTATGTAAATAAATCAACAAATAAAGTGAACTTTTAGGTTATATTATGAATTTGAAAATTATAAAATATGTATATATCTATATAGTAAAATTTATATAATAAAATATAATATTTAACTAAAAATGAAATTAAAATTTTAGGTTATCAATTTTGGAAAAAATTAATCGTGGAAAATATGGAAAGCGTACGCTTGTTTGTTGCTATATATTTGAAAATAGTAGAAAATATGACGATGCAATATATACTATATGTACGAAATATTTTGATTAAACGGCGAAAGCGTCAGAAAGAAATTATATTACAACATTTGTTGAATTTAACACCACCAAATCATTTGCTTGATCTCGGACCCGTATTACAATTTTCACGACATAAATCAATTTTACAATCAAGTTAAGATGTTCAATTTTTATATTGGTATTATTGTCATATTTACACTGCGTCCGTTTACACGTCATCCTTACGTCGATGTAGAAACTCTAAGCCTCTTCACCAAATGACTTTGAGTTACTACATCAATGGATGCATTCAGTACTACAACTGTTCACTGAGCGCTCAATGAGCTTTTACATTTGATTGGTATATTCCTTTAGATTTAAAAATATATACCAATCAGATGCAAGAGCTCACTTAAGCTAAGACTCCATGCATACAGTGAGCTGCGGCAAACGGTTGCGGTGACCAATCAGGAGGGAGGCGCAAGTCCGGTTGCGGCAAGCTCCGGCATGCGTCTGTCTCCTGATTGGTCACCGCAGCCGTTTGCCGGAGCTCACCGCATGCATGGAGTCTTAGCTTTAGCACTCAGTGAGCGGTTGTAGTACTGAATGCACCCAATGTAGGCTATGTTCCAATATTCACCGCCAGCATTGAAAATCTATAATATACGTGACACAAACTATGTATTTTCAGTACTGACAGTGAATTTTGGAATACAGCCGTAATAACTTCGTCGTACAGGAGTGTTTACACGGCATCTAACGTCAGTAGTTATAACATCGATGTTATAACTTTGGCGTAATTTGGGCTTTGTAGTCAATAACTGCTGGCGCAGCGTGCATCGAGAGACGCAGGAGCGGCGAGATAAAACATTGGCCGCGTTCAGTAGAACAAAGTGATCAGAGAGCGCTTAGTGATTATTGTCTGTGATTGGAGCATACTTTTAGATTCTTCATAGATCCAGAAGTATTTACCAATCAGGAGCGAGATTCAGTGGAAAATCTAGTAATGTTGTCCAACTGTTGAGTCTGCTGAATGCAGCCAAAGGCTGCGTTCAGCAGAACAAAGTGATCAGTGAGCGCTTAGTGATTCTCGCTCCTGATTGGTAAATACTTCTGGGTCTATGAAGAATCTAAAAGAATGCTCCAATCACAGACAATAATGGTGTATTATTTTCTCCTCGCCGTGCATCGGCAATAATTGTTAGCTGCGTTATCTTGAGTGTAGTTAAAGCAGTCAGTATTATTATTGCTCTTCAATTACCGTCTGGCATAGAAACCAACTGTGCATAGAGAGCAACTGTGGTTGCACCACGGACATAAACCGTCTGAAAGTGGATGTAGCATGGACTTCCACCACATGCAGATTTTACCACCGAGACCTGAAAGTGGATGTAGCATCGTAGTTCCTCTCTCAAAATGGATGAAGACGGCGTACCCTTACCTAGTGCGGAAAGTCGGTGTCGCAGAAAAGAAAATGCCGTGTTGGCCGCTTTCAGGTTTCTCTCTGCTTTATATTACCTCGTCGGTGTCGTTGGTGGCCGCGTTCAGCAGAAGAGGCGCTCAATGAGCGTGATTGTGGGCCAGAGCACAGACTTCTGCATAACACATAATACACAACGCATAAGAGAATCAACCAATCAGAGTCTTCATTTCTGTCCTGAGGAGGGAAATGAAGAAAACTTAAGCCCCTTGCACAATGCCAGGCAACAAGCAATAAGAATAAAAATAGACCAATTACAATAGATTATTCTTGTAATAGTCGATTGTGATTGGTCTATTTTTATTCTTATTGCTTGTTGCTTGGCATTGTGCAAGGGGCCTAAAGGCCTATCCAGACAAACTTGCATAAGCGCGTAACGCATATGCATAAGGAAATTGACCAATTAAGCTAAAGCTAAGACTCCATGCATGCGGTGAGCTGCGGCAAATGCTGCGGTGACCAATCAGGAGGGAGGCGCAAGTCCGGTTGCGGCAAGCTCCGGCATGCGTCTGTCTCCTGATTGGTCACCGCAGCCGTTTGCCGGAGCTCACCGCATGCATGGAGTCTTAGCTTAAGACTCCATGCATGCGGTGAGCTGCGGCAAATGCTGCGGTGACCAATCAGGAGGGAGGCGCAAGTCCGGTTGCGGCAAGCTCCGGCATGCGTCTGTCTCCTGATTGGTCACCGCAGCCGTTTGCCGGAGCTCACCGCATGCATGGAGTCTTAGCTTTATGATCCGTGTAGTAAAAAAATATTTTTTGTATTGAACATACGATTAGTCAATTTCCTTATGCATATGCGTTACGCGCTTATGCAAGTTTGTCTGGATAGGCCTTTATGCAACCGTGGTATTTTCTAAACGTTTCTGATTGGTCTATATTTTAAAATCTTGGTGTGAACCTGCCAATCAAATACAAGAGCTCAGTGGACGCCAGTGGACGCTAAGTGAGCGGTGTATGTACTAAATACGAGCAAATAGTCACAGGAATTCAGAGGCACGATAATTGCGATTTACGTGACGATTTTTACGATTTTAGTGCAATTATGAGCGTATATCGTGAGAATCGTACTAGTGGCTCGCGCTAATAATTCGAATGTTACGCGTTACAAGTCAACCTGAATAAACTGCACCACCGATAGTATATTCCCGCCAACGCGATGGCAATGGCGTGCTAATCTTGGGATTTTTGGAACCGGGAACTAAAACGCATTGGGAATGAAAACATCTTATTTCGAAGTTTATCAATTCTAGCAGATCTTCCTTGAAATGGCTAGTAATGCGCGAGAAAACAGTAACATCTCCATCAATGAGGATATGGAGGTTAACTTGGAGAATATGGAGTGCGACGTGGACGAAGAAGGTGGTTTGAGAGTGGATGATGAGATATACATCCCGCCAGCACCGACAACCTTCCGAGAGGTTGATACGAATGGGCCTAGACTTATGATAAGTAAGATAGTCAACAAAAATTTTAAGAGTTATGCTGCTTCACAGATGGTTGGACCTTTTCACAAGGTAGGGGTCATGAATGTCACTCGCATGTGCTATGCATTTCTTCTCTAAGTGTAAATTTAATTAAATTTTGTGTTGTGTGTATACAAGGTAATTTCTTCTTTTAGCACTTCTCTGCTATAGTTGGTCCTAATGGTAGCGGCAAAAGCAATGTAATAGATTCAATGCTATTTGTATTTGGATATCGTGCCAGCAAAATTAGATCAAAGAATATATCTGTTCTAATACATAGTTCCAGTCAACATGCAAATTTAGATAGCTGTACTGTCTCCATACACTTTCAGAGGATTATTGACCAGGTAGATCATAGTTTATAATTATCCATTTTGTGATCATCCTAGTTTTATTATAAGTGATATTATTTTTTACTTGTTTTCAAGCCTGGAGATGAGTACGAGGTTGTTCCAGATAGTGAATTTGTTATATCTAGGACAGCATTTAAAGATAACTCGTCATATTATGAGATCAATAAGAAAAAAGTGCAATTTAAGGAGATTGCTAAGCTTTTAAGATCCTATGGAGTTGATTTGGATCATAACCGGTTCTTAATATTGCAGGTAAAACTATATCAACTTGTTAATTTAACTCATCCATGAGCAGCTTACTGCTAAACCATTCAAATTTCATTTTCAAAACATACTTTATACAAAGCATTTTTGGTAGGGCGAAGTCGAGCAGATAGCAATGATGAAACCTAAAGGACAAACTGAGCATGATACAGGAATGCTGGAGTATTTGGAGGATATAATTGGTACCTTTCGCTATAAGGAACCACTACAAAAATTGAATGAAAAGGTTGAGATATTGACTGAACTTAGGATGGAAAAGCTACATCGTCTTAGGATTGTACAAAAAGAGAAACAAGCTTTAGAGGAGCCTATGCAAAAAGCAGTGCAATACCTGAAAGCTGAGAATGATATAATCAGTTTGCAGCATCAGCTTTACCATTGCCAAAGGTGATTTGGCAATCTTTATCTAGTAAAAGATGTGTATTACAGCTCCGCGATTGGTATTTGTAAAATATAAATTCAGATGGATATTGAGAACTGTAAATATTTTTCTTAGACACGAAGCGAAAAAAGAGCTTGCCGAACATACAGCGAAAAATGATACTCTGGACAAGGAGCTAGCTACACTAGTAAACGAGATGAAGAGTGTTCATATACAAAAAGAGGAGAAGATCAAAATCATTAAGGAAGAAAATAAGAAGTGGGACGAATTGCAACAGCAGAAGGATGATGCCACAGCAGTGTTCGACAAAGTACGCAAGGAGGACGAGTCGTTACACGCTGAGCTGGTCGAGACAAATAAACGACGAAAAGCTCATATGACACACATCAAAACGGTAGTTCTCTTTGTCTATTATAATAAATCTGTAAATGGAAAGAGAAAAGTGTTTTGATACTATATTTACCATAAATATACACAATACATAATTGTTTTACATAATATTCGTGCAACGGTTGTAGGAAAAAGGCAAACTGGAGGAATATCTGAAGATACCGGAGAAGAATATAAAGGATATCCAGGAATATGAGCATCTGGTCGATATATATGTGACTAGCAAGGAAAAAGAAGAAGCATCATTGGTGACTCTGATGGCAGAACTGAAAGAGAAGGCAAAACCGCTGCTAAATGAACGATCAAAGTTAGAGAAACATTTGATATTATTGCGGAAAAATGTGAATCAGGCGAAAGCGGAGCACGACATTGCGCAGTCCGAGCTAGAGTTGTACACATCAGTGGAGAAGGTGGAGAAAAACAAGTTAAACTCTCTCCGCGAGACTATTGAGAGGAACTCGACCACTATTCAGGAGCGTTTGGAAGGATTGTCGTTATTGACGACGAAAATCCCGGCTACCGAGTCTAATCTAAATCAAACACAGAGTGAGATGAACAAGATGAAGGCGCACGAGGTAGAAATGACTGCTCGATTGAAGAAGTTGCGAGTCACTTTTGAGGAGCAACGGTCCGCCATGCAGACTAGCAGGTCGCAGAACCGCATCTTGGACTCTTTGATGCGGGAGAAGCGAGAAGGACGGATACCTGGAATATTTGGAAGACTAGTCAGTAAATTTTGAAGCTCGAAGCGCGATGACAAAACGTGACACGCTATATATATTAAATATATATATGTACACACACACACACACACACACACACACATATATATATACACGGTTAAATGCGTGATAATTAATATTAAATAGCAAAAACATTATTGTACAATTTGTGGAACAAAATTGCCTACAAGTTCAGGATCATGTGATAAAATCATTCTCGAATTAATGTACATAACCTATTTCAATTTTATTCCATATTTGATTTAATTACAAGTAGATTATATGTTTGCTCTTTCTGAGATTTTTCTTGTTTCTCGTTCTCAGGGTGACTTGGGCGCCATCGACGCTAAATATGACGTTGCGGTGTCGACAGCTTGCGGCCCGTTGGACAATATTGTCGTGGATACGATGGCTACGGCGCAAGCGTGCGTTACATTTCTGCGACAAAACGACATAGGACGCGCCACGTTTATACCGCTGGAGAAGCAACAGCGATTCCTGTCCAGATGCAGCCGCAGCATCGATACGCCAGAGAACGTGCCCCGATTGTTCGATCTGATACGGGTAGAGGACAAGCGCGTGTTACCGGCGTTTTACTATGGTCTGCAGGATACTCTGGTGGCGCAAGATCTGGATCAGGCGACTCGTATCGCATATGGCAGGATGCGTTACCGCGTGGTGACGCTGAAAGGTGAACTGGTTGAGCTGTCGGGCACCATGAGTGGCGGCGGGCGGACGGTATTGCGCGGTCGGATGGGTCAGAAGGTCGTGAGTAACGAGCCGTCGAACGCAGACATCGAGCGGCTACAGTCGGAACTGGATACCGTTTTCAAGGAGTGTAATGAGGCGCGCGCTCGGCAGCACACACTGGAGAACCAGATCTACGTGTTAACGACAGAGCTCAAGAACTTACGAGTGAATGAGAGGAAATTTAGCATCGAGCTGAATACATTGAGGGAGCAGGAGCCGGCTTTGCAGGCGCAGCTAAAGGAGCAGGAGAGAAAAGTCGCTAAATCGATATCGGACCCTAAGAGGGTTACACAGCTGGAGAAAGCTGTGCAAATGACCAAGTCTAATATGGACGAAGTTAAGCAGAGTTCAGCCGCAGTGGAGAAGGAGGTGGAGTGCATCAATCATAAGATAAATGATATCTCCGGCAATCGGGTGCGCGATCAGCAAACGAAGATTACCAAGCTGAACACGTCGTTGGAAAAGACAAAGGCGGAGATTTGTCGCTTGCAAGTGACGATCAAGACTGCTGAGCGGAACGTCAAGAAAACGGAGAAGAATATAGAGGGTTTGGAGGGCGAGGTGCAAACCTGCGAACAACGACTGAGAGACATTCAACAGCAAAAGTCTAAGCTAGAGGAACATGCTAGAGCGATGTTAGATGAGCTGAAGGAACTCAACGAGGCGCTGAAGAGGCGCGATGAGATGACGTTTACGATAAAAGAGGAAGTAAATGCTTTGCAGGCGCGCGAAGACCAAATGAAGGCGGTGAAGATCGACTTGGATCAGAAATTATACGATAGCAAGAAGCTCCTCAAGGAGCTTCAGCAAGTGATCCCCGAATACAATCGGAAAATAGCCAATTTGAAATTACGCACGATTCCCAACGAGACGGAGCAATTGACGCTGAACGATCTAGCAGAGGAAGAAGTCCTCGAATTAGACGTGGAGGTGGCGACGCGAAATCTACATAGAGCCAAGAAAAAATTACCTCCCCAAATGCCCAACATGAATGTCATCAAAGACTATCACGAGAAGGATTCGTTGTACATAAGCCGCGCGGCCGATCTCGAGAAGGTGACTGTGTCGCGTAATCGGATACGTGATATTTATGAGACAGCTAGGCGTAATAGGGCACAGGAATTCGTGCATGGTTTCAGCTTGATCTCCATGAAGCTGAAGGAGATGTATCAGATGATGACGTTAGGCGGCGACGCGGAACTGGAGCTAGTTGACTCTCTCGACCCGTTCAGCGAGGGTGTCGTCCTCAGTGTGCGCCCACCCAAGAAATCGTGGAAGAATATTGAGAATCTCAGCGGCGGCGAGAAGACTCTAAGTTCGCTCGCGTTGGTGTTCGCTTTGCATTACTACAAACCGTCGCCGTTGTACTTCATGGACGAGATCGATGCGGCGCTCGACTTCAAGAATGTCTCGATCATCGGCAATTACATCAAGGAGCGCACGAAGAACACGCAATTCATCGTGATCTCTCTACGTTCGAATATGTTCGAGCTAGCGGACTACCTGGTAGGCATTTACAAGACGCACAATTGTTCCCACTGCGTCACTCTGAATGTGGCCAAGTTCTGCAAGAAAAATGGTGTCGCCCCGCCTATGCAACTCACCTCGAGAAATGCGTACGCTTCTCAGCCCGGCACGCAAAAGCCCACGTCGCAACGCAGTTGTCCGACGGCAACCTCGCAAAAGGAGAAGATCGCGCAGGAGAAAACGTCGTCCGTAACTACCAATAATAATGCGAATGGGACGCAAAATCGCGAACAGACGAGAATCGAGCATTCAGAGTGAGTGGCAATATGAGTCTTCTGCTACTTGCGCAACAGTTAATAGCTTTACAATTTTTTCATTTTTCCTCGTGTCACTTCGCGTTAGGAAGAAGTTATTTTTCGTGTTTTTCTTTACACTTCTAGGTTGCGAGTACCAATCAATCGGTCAATCGATAGATCAATCGATCAGTCAATCAATCAGCATGACTAAAGCAAACAGATCGAAATAATCGAGTAAGAAATCGAAAGCACACGTGCAAGCAAGTGCTTGCGCGCTTTTCACGGGCAGAATGCCTACTGAATACGGAATTCGAATTCGCGATTCGAGATTCGCAATACGAAAGATTCAAAGCAATTTTATCGCATGCACTCGCAAATCTCGCGATGAGGTTTACCAACGATATTAATTGTGTGACATAATTGTTACAGCGCTTTAGATTCGGAGGAACATACGACGTCGAAGAAAATCCTACGGCGCTCTGGTAGACTAAGCCGTAGTAGCAGCAGGTCTAGCCTGGAGCAAGAAACATACAACAAGATGCCATTGGCGAAGAAGAAGCGAACAAAGTGAAGAACGAGCGCGAGTAGCTCTGGAAAATCATTTGCGGAAGACAATCGCGAGATTCCGTGTCAGTGCCTAGTGTCAATATTCTGTTCTTAAACAGAACAATTTTGTGTAATGGTAAAAAGGGAGGAAGCAAAGAGGACAGAAGAGCAGAAAAAGGAAGGAAAGAAAGACACAAAAACTATCAGAATCTGCAAAAGATATCGTGTTATATGAAATCAGTAGAGTGTTCTTGTGTTTAGCATATAAAGATGAGGCAAAATCACGATAGAGACAAAGCAAAAGCCGTATTGCGCGGATTGCGACTTTGTGCGCGAACGAACATTGTGTGATCACGATAGATGCAGATCAATTGATAGACTCTAAAACTAAGTAATTACTTAGCTTTAATCAAATGACGTTACATACACACACGTCACCTCCGATTATTGCGCGCGACTCTCTTGGTATGATGAATGTAAAATGTAATGTAGCGAGAGTGATGTTGGCGAGACGTGGAGACGAACAATTGTAGTAAGGTACATTCTTCTCTCTGCGCTCTTTCCATATACTCCCTTTTATCTTCGTTCGACATAAATGTATATTTCCTCTTTTTCGAGTGCGGGAATGCAGTTAAAAAGAATGTACAATAATGCGAGCGCTGCAAGTGCACTCAGCAATATTTTTCTACATTTCTACGTATCGCAAGATTATTAATAATATAGATTTACGAACAACAGTGTTCGATTTCCATCGTTCCTAACGTATGAAAATCCGTCCTTTCCGCATGTCCAGCATTTTAATCAGTAGAATGATTGCGAGAGACGAGAGGAATATCCCGAGTCTAATCGTGAGAATTTTATGCGCGATTGACGATTTTCAATACGCGCGTATTTAAGACCTCACCCATGATAATGGATATCGCCAATGAATGACCGACAAGTGGAACGCGCGAAAAGTCGGAAAAGTATCTCAAGGCTGGATCGCAACGTTTGTCATCAGGAAACGGCCTCGGTCCTTTGGACAGATATCCGGAAACGCTGTGAAGTTTTTCCCGAGGAGGGTCCACCGCTGGTGATTTCGACAGCACCGGTCTCCCCGGAATTTTGTTAAGCTGGTTATATTTGAATGATTTAACGTGTCGATCCTATCGGATAAATTGTCTACAATCATCAAGCGGTCTGAACGATAGACAGACAGACAGACAGACAGACAGACAGACAGACAGAGAGAGAGAGAGAGAGAGAGAGAGAGAGAGAGAGAGAGAGAGAGAGAGAGAGAGAGAGAGAGAGAGAGAGAGAGAGAGAGAGAGAGAGAGAGAGATGGAGGGAGGGAAAACGACGAAGCAAAAGGAAGGGGCGCGCCGTATAAATATCGGTGCGGCGGGTGAGATAAAATTTTAACGGTGCGGTTAACGAGACGCGGCGATATGGCAATCGGTATCGGCAAGAAAGACGAGGACGTCGAATCTAGCGGCAAAGCGTCGCGGAAAACATCGACTGTGGCGGAAAACCCGGCCGGAAGCAGTTGTAAGAAAAGCGACAGTGACCGTGAACAATCAATCGTCCGATTCCCAGAGGATAAGATTAAAGATTAATTAATTGGCGAGAGAGGGGGAAGGAAGAGAGAGAGAGAGAGAGAGAGAGAGAGAGAGAGAGAGAGAGAGAGAGAGAGAGAGAGAGAGAGAGAGAGGCAAAGGGAAAGAAGAACCGAGATAGATGTATCCTGGTTTCTCCAATCACACAAATGTTTACACCTTCTTCTCTCCTTCGCGTGGTGACGGGACAAATCATGACTTGGCGCGGTGATAGTCTGATCCTTGTATATATCCATGGTCATTCGGATTGTGAGATCGAAAGTGCATCATTAGATTAATTTTTCAGTGTTGTTGAGCTGCGATCATTTGACAAATAATCATGATGTCGAATCGCAATGACAATTCGTGAATATATTCGAACACGTAATCGTCAATATTCGATCGAGGAAAAAAGGCGCTCTCTTTCCGTATATAACAATTCTCGCAAAAATGGCATATTAAATAAAACGTATAGAGGTGGAGAAATGCCCGAGGGAAGCAGCTTATCGCACCTGCCAAATTATAACTCTCGTGGCATTACTATTTCCGAACATATACAGACATATAGACATACACACGCGAGTGTAATTGTGAAATGACCTTTGACTACGCGTCGTTGAAAGGTCACGCAACTTTCTTTTCTTTATCCTGATGCGCAATTTTGTCCGGGACAAAATGTCGCGCGTGTTTTATCGCGGAATAGCATCGTTGAATTTAGCAATTCGACTTGGGTTATCTCGACGATTAAATACGGCGAGATATACCTACAATTTTTAAAGTTAAACCTAAGCAGCACTACTTCGTAAATGTTCAAACGAAAAAGTAGCTTTGAACTTGTCGTCCGTTTTATCTTGAATTATTGCATATACGATTACGAGTGATTTGTATGTTTGTTACATAAATACTAAACAACTTGTTCGGACAAAATATCGTACAGATCCCTCGTGACAGATATCGATCGCGTGATATGCTATCATTCACGGATCTATCACGAGACGCATTGTTTTACGTCATTCAGTAAATCACAATCACGATTTGTCGTGGTTTTATCCTTATCACATATATCTCTTTCGGATCTTCTCGAATCCACTCCAGATTACGAAAAAACGTATCTAGACGATGTTATCGTCCCATTTCATTAGGAATCCAATCTAAATAATCGATGACAATGCACAGTGGCGATATATGTTTTTTCTTTTCTATTATACGAGATTATACGTATCAACAATTGCGCCATAACGTTTACTCACACTGATCACATTTTTCCTTTTTTCTGCAATTGCTAAACCAGTATTACGCGATGCAACATTGCGTCTTTTTCTATTTCATATGATTAAAATGACACAAAGGAATGAAACACGCCAATTGTTCTTTATCGGGCTTACAATCACGAAAATTTTCAGGACAGTGAAGAGATTTTCCGGCGAATAAATACTGAGAATTGTACATTGCGAAATATTTTATCGTCATATGTGTTATCTATATATCGGCATAATTATAATACACGTTCAATGATTGCGCGATGATTCGCAAACTACTTTGTACCGGTATAGATGTTAGTATGCGAAAATTTTTTTTCTCGAATTTGTTATAATCTATATGAGCGTATTGAGAAGAGCAGAGAGAGAGAGGGAGAGAGAGAGAGGGAGAGGGAGGGAGAGAGAAACGTAGTTGAACAAATTACCGACAACTTTTGTAAAGACTCATAAAATTGAGTTTTGTGATAAGAGAAAGAAGAAACCAGAACAGATCGTTACTCTGTTACGTGTCAAATAACTTATCTCTATGTGAATCAGAGTATGTTCATTCCGATCGGGAAGATTATCTGATACGCGAGGATCGCGCGTATCGTACACTTGGTCTTGTGTAAAACTTTGCCGATCTTCTTGAGTGAATGTTGACGATCCGCAGAACTGCACGGGCGATTTGTTTACCACTTGCCTGTGGTCGCGTTAATTCCATGTTCCATCGTCGGTAGACTACCGTGCAATTAACATTATAGATATTCGCTATCGTTGTACTTACTCATTGCGAATGCAAAACACAAACGGCTTGTTATCATTGTTATTATCGATCACTTATCGGGTGTTTAAAAGTTTTGGCATAAGAATATAATACTTTGGGGTTATCGTGACACACCTGCTACTTAAGTGAAATTATATCGACTCTGTCGAGCCGACTTGCGCGCGAAGAATGCCAAGAGAATGAAAACTTATTTCTCTCTCATTTGACGTACTTAAATGGCTTTGTTGTAACTTACTACCATCAGTAATGCTGTTAAAATCATTTCCCACAATCGACTGATTGAATACTTTGAAATTGATACACGGCTCTCTGTAATTTTTTCTCAAGGACGCGGTGAGTTGCATCCTTCTTTTTTCTTTCGCATCCGAGCAACTTGATTATAGCTTACTTAACTCGGTTATTTAACTATCGGTAGCAGTACTCAAGCGGACATTAATTCTGACATCGACAACGATCATCTCTCAACATTGCAATGGCATTGAATGAATTCTTACGTGCGTGATAAGTGAAAACGGTGCGCGCCTTTGGTTGGATCGATCCTCGAGCGAACAAATTTTCCAGCTCATTTTTAGGCATCTACCAATTCTGAAGTTTTGTTATTGTATCGTGAATGTGCAAACAGAACAGTGTGTCACAGGTGAACTGTGAAACTGTTCAAGAGAAGGAAGAGATGGATCGCGAGGGCAATTAGTCAGATGCGATAATCCGCGTCGACGCGGATGCGTTTATCTTTCATACTAATAACAGGACGATCCTTTCGCAGATAACCTTGGAACCAGGCACCTTCAAACACTGCTCATGTTCCTGGGCATGACGCTCGGCTACTGCCAAAGGGTCGGGATGTCGGTGGCTATAGTGCCGATGATAAATGCAAGCACCGCGAATCCAGATTTCGAGGTAAGAATCCTTATGGCTCATTGCTCGTTCCCTTTATTTCATACGCCGACTCTTTATCGACGTATAGGATTCCGTCCGACGTATAGGACATAGGATCCAATAATATTGACTCTGAAAGGCAAAGTATATTTCAACGATCGTTCAACATATACCGAGTATCCTGTTATATAACGATGACAATGCGACGAATTTGATATCTGTATTCACTTTCGCAAAGAATACCTTTAAGACATCCTGTATAATTGAAAAATGTCGAAAATTATTGAATTATTAAATACGACCGATCAAGCGGAACCGCTTACGTCGACTAGACGTTGCAGTCGTTGACTGGTCAGCGGACTCTCAGTCACGGAAAGTTCCGTAAATTTCTGGGAATTCGTGGGGTCGCCGTCACTACGACGGAATCTGTGTCACGGGGAAAAAAGTTTCCTCGCGTCTATTCGGAATGGGGGGAGTAAAGTGCATAGGTCGAACCGCGAACCGATGAAATGCTCTCTTGGTTTACGACAGATCCCGATAACGAGATAAATCTCATCGAGGCGAATCCCGCGCGAGTGTGTTACTTTTCGTCGCGGGTATCGCCGCGGAGAACAGCAGCAAGGCTGAATACATTCACTCCCGCTATTTCTTGTCGGACCGGCAGCTAAACACCTCGTGTGTGCGAATAACGGCTGCCGTTGTTCTTACAAGGTCACTTATAAAGATCGACAGATATCAATTCGTTCCGGATCGTAATTGTCGTTATTCACTTTTCACACGATTGTTGTCACGATCACACGTTGCGTGAATAAATTTATCTATCGTGGAGCCTATTTTCCTTCTCGAATTCCTTTGAACGAGTTGTGTCTCTCTCTCTCTCTCTCTCTCTCTCTCTCTCTCTCTCTCTCTCTCTCTCTCTCTCTCTCTTCTCTTTTCCTAAAGAAGAAAGTGCCTTGATACGTAAAATTAATAAATTCTAAGAATGAAGGTTACTATATACGTTAATAAATTGATTAATTGACATTAAAATGATATCGGGGCAGATGTACGCGTGCGTGGTTTGAAAAATGAAACTGATAGAATTCAGAAATTACAACAACACAACTTGACGAAATAATGTTTATTACCAGGACTATAAATGGGATAATACGGAGAAGTCGTTGGCGCTTAGCTCGTTTTTCTGGGGCTACACAGTGGCGCAAGTGCCGAGCGGCTACGTCGCCGGTATTTGGAGCGCTCAGATGCTCCTGAGTGTGGGCATGCTGCTATGTGGTATCTTCAACGTAATCACGCCGTTCGTCACTCATCGATGGAACCTGGTAGCCGTCTGTGTTTGCAGGGTAGGCATGGGTCTCACTCAGGGTTGCCTGTTACCTTGCGTTCACACCCTCCTCTCCAAATGGGCGCCGCCTCCCGAGAGGGCACGATTGGGTGAGAATAGATTCAGAATCCGTGCTGGGGGTGTCTTTCGGGTCGAATTCGGACCCGCGACGTCGAGACCAGAGTAATTACGATTCGTTGTTCTTGCGCGAAACAAAGGAATTTAGACACAAATGGACTACTATATTGCTTATCTTTGATTTTTGAGATGTGCGAGATGTGATCGCGTGACGCGCGACATTGAGACGCGATCGAAAGATAAATTCTACGTGCGGTGACGTACTGGTCACTTTGCTGTTGCTGTTAAATCGCAAAACCAATCGCGGCGGTATACGTATTTCAATAAGATCAATTCACCTACTCTCAGGAACGTTCGCTTACGCGGGCGCCCAATTCGGCACGGTAATCGCCCTGCCGATTTCCGGCGCTCTCGCCGCGTCCGCTGGTGGTTGGCCCAGCATCTTCTACCTGTTTGGCGCGTTAGCGATCCTCTGGAGCGTGTGTTTCTTTCTCCTCGGGGCGGATTCGCCGTTCAAGCATCGCAGCATCTCCCAAGAAGAAAAAGAGTATATCGAAGAGAGTCTGAGGACCACTGAACGAAAAGAGGACCCTAAGGTCAAACAGGTAAGCGTTAATTCAAAATATCGCGATGCGTTTGCGTGACGATCTTTTGTCTTCTTTTTTTTTTTTTTTTTTTTTTTCTAGAAACTACGAACCCCATGGCGAGAGATCTTCACCTCGTGGCCGATGTGGGCCATCATCCTCGCCCATTGCGGTCAAAATTGGGGCTACTGGACTCTACTGACCGAGATGCCCACCTACATGAAGAAGGTGTTGAATTTCAATATCGAGGGGGTAAGCCAGTTGTCACTGAATATGAATACGCAATAAGCGAACTGACTAACAGCAACATTACATCAATTACATACAATTCCTCGCTCAACAATGTGTGTTATATTACACATACTTATATTGCTCTGAATGGAAAATTATAATATCGATGTAATGTTACTCTGCCTCAGCTAGTATCTACTAGGAAGTAAATAGAGAAGATTCGAAGCTATTGCACTTCTTCACTTTGCAAAGTTGCAAATTTTCGTCTATAATATTTTCTGTGACACGCTCGTATCTCACGCAACATTTATCGCACAGAGTGGCGGATACTCCGCCTTACCGTACTTAGCGATGTGGATACTCAGCTTCCCCGTCAGTTGGCTGTCCGACTTCGCTTTGGAGAAGGGCGCGTCGCGAGGCTTGGTCAGGAAGCTATCCAACACGATGGCGTTTTGGGGCCCGGCCATCGCTCTAGCCTGCATGTCGGTTATACCCAGAAACAATTCCACCTATGCCCTTGCCCTCCTTATCGTCGCGGTAGGCCTGAACGCCGGTTCTCTCTGCGGCTTTCAAGTGAATCATATCGATCTCAGCCCAAACTACGCCGGCACCATGATGTCCATCACCAATTGCATAGCCTCCGTGGTTGCCATACTCGCACCGTTGATCTGTGACCAGATTATCATCACCGACGAGGTAATCCTGAAAACGTACCGTGTGTTCAATCAATCGCGGTATACTATCGACGGTCGAGGAACAATCCTTCTCGTGAACAAACGACTCGACTAGTATACTAGTATACTAGTAGCATACTAGTTGCATACTAGTTGAAAATTACTCTTTCACGGATCGAGGAGCGAATTTTTGGAAAAATTACCAACTCGGAGATATATCGCTCGTTTTCTTTGTTTTCTTCCTTCAGACCAACGTACATCAGTGGAACAACGTGTTCTACGTATCGGCGGCGATCTACTTCTTGGGTAATCTAGCGTTCGTGATCTTTAGCAAAGGTGAAGTGCAATGGTGGAATGATCCTGACGAGGTCGAGGCGCGACGGCAGAAACGGAGAAGAAAGAACGATATGATCGAAACGCAGACCTGAGAAACTTTCATGTTAAATGTGATGTGTTGATTTTAATGTTATGAACGAATGTTCTATGGCACCAGACTTCAGAATGAGAATTATGGGACCATCGTCATATATTTATTGTCGCCTTTGACGGGCACGTACGCGTTGCTGTGTGTACTGATCAGTTCAGTTTTATATTAACCGATGTTACGTGCTCGTCGCTCATTCCCTTTGTTCGTTCGTTCGTCAACGCTTTCATAATCATTAGCTCGACCTTTGAACGTAACGGATCTTTTAATCGCTGTCTGCGTTAAGAACGGTTCTTCATTTTTTATCTAGGCCGATTTTGTGCACTGCCGCATACATTTAATATATGTATATATGCGATATATCGAAGGTCGCGCATATATCTGTGCTTTAGATATGTTAGAGTGAGATATAAGTGAGATATAATTGAGAAAAGAACGATCAGAAAAAAAAAGGAAGGAAAGAGAAAAGAAAAAGATCGTTCCTTCTCACAGTCGATGATATATTTTCCGGGAGATTAGTCGTAAGAGACCTGTCATGGAGAATTTCTTTGTTTTTTGGAGTAATTATAAAAATTATTTTATCATAAGACGAATGTGTGTGAAAGACGATATGCATTCGGTGCGTAACCGAAGTGAGTGTTCTATAATGCAGCTCACTGCGTTATTCGTCATCGAGCGTTATTTAACGAACATTCACTGCATCATTTGGCGCAAATAAAACTTGATAACTTCTTTTTAATGATACGTTGATAAACAATTTGATGGACTGACAGATTATTTGAAATAAATTGATAAATCATTTTCAATTACATACAAGTTTATAATCTTATTCACCTTACCGATTGTTCTCAAAATTTTTCCTTATCTCTTGGCGATCAAAGTTGATAAAAATGTTACATGTGACCATTAATTCATTAGTATTACAGATAATTAAATAATAATCTTTGAGGAATTAACGGTGTGAAAAAGCTACTTACTTGACTCTTTAATTACAAGCATGTAATTATCTGACGTGAATAGACCGATATAATGATAATATATACTACAGACCTCGATTTTCACCTCGATGAAGCCATCCACTTCAGTTACTCTTTATCTGACAGAATGTAAATATTCGACACTGTATTCGAATCATATATTTTGCACTAGGTACGTTATCTTAGTAGGGCAAAAGAAAATGGCGATTCCGATTATTATGAATCGTAAAATCGAACGCGAACGAAAGAATGTCGTGACACAAAATCGTTTATTTGAGTTTAAGGTAGTCGTCTCGTGAGATGTTCCTTATTTCTAAAGAAATCGCTGTAATTCTGACTATATATCAAGTTAAATATTATCTAATCACTTGCGTAATTAGCTGAAGATCGACAATTTGACAATTGAAGTATTTAATATTTTAACGAAAAATTACTATACGTATATATGGAAGATCTGTGAACATTGTGGACAGAAAGAAATAGCAATATTGACCATTTGGTTTTGAAGACGCAGTCGTAAAAAAAATACAATTTATAGTAATGGATCAGATAATGAAAATGAAAACAAAATAATATTCTCTCTAATAGAAATAAATTGGAAACAGGAGCACATTTTTTGACAAATGTTCATCAGCTGCAAAAGGGAAGAAACAAGAAAGAAAAAATTATTTCATTACATTCTTATTAAGTCTAACTTTGATTCTTTAATCATATCTCCTTTTTCAATCAAATATTAATATCAATATAGATTAAAGAAAAAGCAGCCCTACATAGAATAAACACAATTAATTCCACTAATTAATTAAATTCTAGCTACTGTATAGCGGCTATATTTCCATGTACTGAGCGATAATACGACAACGTGCTTTACCAGTGTTTAAGTTAAGTACGTTTAAGTGAAAAGAGTGGGAGTGTCTGATTTCGATGATGGAGTATAAAGCTACGTGGATGCGATCGGCGAATCGTAGTCGTTCTTACCATTTGTGCCGGACATCACTTCACAGAGAAGCTGATAACAGAATGGCATCGTCTTTCCGAAGAAAGAGAGTTTCCATCATTTCGCTCTCGGAGAGGATGAAGATCCCACCTAATAGACCGAAAGGTATCGTTAGTGAAAAGAGTGGCTTGCTAATTAACTTGTCAGAATATTTCTTCACCCTCCCTCCTCCCCCCGGTTTGGTTCCCTCCGGAAGAAAACCGTCGAGCACGTTGTGTGCGAATAAATCTATCCATAAAGGCAGAGAGAGAGAGAGAGAGAGAGAGAGAGAGAGAGAGAAAGAGAGAGAGAGAGAGAGAGAGAGAGAGAGAGAGAGAGAGAGAGACAGATTCGTGATGAAAAAATTGGAATTGATTGGTGACTTATCGATATGGACCTGCGTTTGATTAATTTACAAACTCGATATGTCTCGCGAAATTCTTTCGTGTACTTGTAAAGAATGAATTTCTTCATATATACGGTAAAATGTGTGTGTTATTAGTGAAAAAATGCAATCACTCACTCGCGATGTCATAGCATGCAATAATGATACTCTTCGCTTTAATAATTTTCATGCAATAATGATACTCTTCGCTTTAAAGTGCCTAAGAGGATAATTTTATCACTCTATTGAAATTCTATGACATATAAAAGTAACATACAGGAAGATTAGAAGAGAAAAGAAAATTCCATTATTATCGATCAATATGCTTGTGCCTTAATTAAAGATAAGACTTCACTTAAAAATGTGCAACTTGAATTATGTCAATGTGCAGTAAATCCCGACACATTGACGCTATAGCGTTTGAGTTTTATCGATGCTGTTATCGACGTTTTGTTGACAGGAAAAAGTATCAACATTCCGCACATATATTTGTGTATTATTTACTTCGTCATGATTTCGAATCATAAACACACTTTATCGTATTGAGCACTTTAGATTTTTGTCATTTAGAGCAAATAAAACTTCAACGAATGATAAAGAACGTCATCGATGTGTGTCATTGTTGAAAATTAAAAGTGATAAAATCGAAAGATAGAGCGAAAAAGAGAAAGGGGGAAGATCTCGATATCTCAGGTCTCCTCGTTTATTGAATTCCGCGAGTATTCTCATCGGGTTTCTCCCTTTCTGTCTCGGCCAGTGAGAGCTTTTTCCTCAAAAGTACACTCGCTCGCTCACTCGAAATGATCTCGCATGTCGAAGATCACATGTCGTAAATAAAATGGCGGCATGATCGATCAGTAATTTATTAATCCGCATTTTGCGCGTTCTTCGACCTCCCTTTCTCGGAGGAGAGGAATCGGACAGACGATTAATGAGATTTTATTGACCATTCGCGTACACTCTGACGCAACCAACGATTGTTGGAGAATTCCAGACGCAAATAATAATGTGCGAGACTGAACGCATCTTACGCGGGCGCGCGCGCGCCCGCGTGGTCTTGACGACAATGCCATCATTTGTATGCTGTTCTGTATTGATGCGTGATGTTCATGTTAACATATAATCACCGGCATTATAACGAATTGCTCCGAGTATTAAAACACAAGCGAGCGTTCAATGTGGCAAAAAAGTTGCTCTCGTATCTGTGGAAGACTTTAAAAGAACAGAAGATAGGAAATTATTATTCAACGATAAGAGAATATACTTTAAGATCACATCCGTATGCCTTTAAAAATATTCTGGAAAGTTATGTGACTTTCCATTTGATTATTGTATATTACACACACAAGCATTATATTAGTACAAATTCTCGTAGCATGGTACGGATGCAGACACACGCAAGTATTGCTCATGTGCTTGTGCTTTCTCTGCTGCTACGGGATCAGGGTGACCATGTCGGTGGCCATAGAGGCAATGACCCAGGCGGCCACTGCCAATCCGAATTTCGATGAGGTGCGTAAGGTCGAAAACGACGGAAATCGAAGCGAAACGGAGAAAAGCGAACGTCGAAGAATACGATTGATTTTCCAAAGTCAAAAGTCAAGTCAAAGGTTGCTTCTCTTGGAAAATCTCTTGGAAAGGCCTGCCACGCGCACGCGCGCAAATCTTCAATCTGTATTTTCGTGATTTATTCTCGCACATGAGAGGAATCGCCGGTATCTCTCGTTAGTTGCATCGATCAGAAATTATCGCCACATGAGATCATTTCGTGTACATAGTGTTTGTATAGTTGTACAATATCCGCGAGATTCTCATCTCCCGAGATGATAAATCCAAAAGAAATGTTATCTCAATTACCTTCTCTAGCTTTCCCCGAAGAAATACGACTGGTCCGAGTCGGAGAAGCGGTTGGTCCTCAGCTCTTTCTTTTGGGGCTACATCTGCACGCAAATACCCAGCAGTATCGTCGCCCGGCAGTGGAGCGCCAAGAAGCTGTTCTCGTTGGCGCTGATCGTTTGCGGCGTAGCGACGATCGTTACCCCTTTGGCCGCCTATTACGGCGGTTGGCAAGCGGTCTGCGCCACCAGGGTGATCGCTGGTCTTGCCCAAGGCACCGTTCTACCGATCATGCACACTTTATTGTCCAGATGGGTGCCACCCGAGGAACGCGGCAGACTCGGTGAGTGCGGTGTGCTCCACTCTCCTCTCTTTCTCCAAATACTTCGCGGCAACGCGTCAAACGCCTTGAATATCGCAACGAAATCGTTCTCGTATCGTTTCAACAGATTCTCGGAGTGTTTTCAAAACTGACTGAGCGCGTCGAAGGCGCCTCGCAGGGAACCTGCGCTGGGTGTTTCGAAACTGCCGCGGAGCGGCGGAGTGGCAGCCTTGTGTCACGAAATTCTACATATCTACATATGTCTACGTCTGATTATATTACTCTGTCGATGTACAATCGGGCGCGTTAACAATGCTCAGAACAATGTTCACATCATGGCTTTTCATTAATCGCCGTCGTGAGAGACGACTAGGCGAAGAGAGGACTAGGACTGACGCTAGTCGCTCGACGAAATGAGACAGCAATATATTTGCGCGATATATGTCAGCAACATATCGCGGAAGAATAATTCGATCGTCAGGCACGTCGAGAGACGCGCGCGGCCGATTGCACGAGAAATCCTTATCGCGCTCGGACCCTCGTGCCCGAGTTGATTAAGCACGTTGCGCACCTTGCACGTGGAAAGGAAAATTCTCCGATTCGTCGCTTAATCACGCGACGCGATGCGACGCGACGCGCAGTCACGCACTAGGGAAGTACCAGAATCTTACATTTCAATATATGTCCTCTCTATTTTCTCTCTCAGGGACGTTCGTCTATTCCGGTGGCTGGATCGGCAACGTAATATCCCTTCTGAGTTCCGGCTATCTCTCGGCATCGTCTGTCGGTTGGCCCAGCTGCTTTTACACCTGGGGCGGCATTTGCATTCTCTGCGCTATTGTCCTCTATCTGATCGGCAAGGACTCGCCCTCCGAACATCCTGGCATACCTCTGGACGAGAAGGAATACATTGAGATTAGTCTGGGAATAACCGAGATCAGTGAGGTGACGCATCTCATTGATTAACACCACTGCGCTTATGGAAAAGAAAAGAGAAAGATAATAATTTGATACTCTGATATAAAAACAAGATAAGGTGCTCGTGATTATATTGCTCTTTGATTAAGAAGTCCGCGGCAGTTTTTTCCTTTGAATTGAAAATCTGTAGGAAGGGGCGAAGAAACAAACGCGCAGACAGACGCGCGCGGACAGGAGGGGGGGGGGGAGGGGGCAAGATTCACTTGAAACTGCAAATGCTCTGGAATGTTTAAAGAAAATCAACAAAACTGGTTTATACGCTTCGAAGCATTCGCAGATCACTCGAGTGGGTCCTACCTCAAGAGAGAAAGGTGTCAATGTGTTTCCTTCTTTTAGAGACCATCCACTCCATGGATATCGATACTGACAAGTCTCCCGGTGTGGGCGCTGTTAATTACGCAGTGCACCCACACTTGGGGATTCTGGATGTTGCTGACCGAGATTCCATCCTACATGACTTCGATCATGGGTTTCAACATCAAAGACGTAAGTTTTGCGAGTCAGGGGCGGAATCTCAATTCGCCTCTGTGATCGTCCTCTATTGCTGATTTATATCTTTCAAAATCTCAAATACCTTGAGACGGGCGACTGAGAAAGCGACGGTGACCGAACGCGAACGCGTTTCGCGCGTGTCCCGACTCCCGACTCGGCATCACGACATGGCGGGTCCGCTTTTTGACCGCTTCGCGGTCGCATGCGCGCGCGATTGGAATATTAATTAATAATTCGGTATGTACGGCGAGAGATGAGGTCACGCTGCAGGAACGATTAACATGCACGCGCTCGCGCATAATTCTCAATTTGAGCCTTTGACCGGATGGGGACCCAATGCCGTGTTATTTACAAATCGGCTGGCGTGATGATGATTGCAGAATGGCCTGGCAACTGCGCTGCCTTATCTGACAGCGTGGATCTTCAGCTTCCCGATTAGCTATGTGTCCGATCTTTGTATCAAGCGGAACATCGTGACCACGCAGGCGTCCAGAAAGATCTGCAACACGTTCAGCCAATGGATCCCGGCGTTCGCGCTGATCGGGCTGGGCTATGTGGACAAGGACCAGCCCGGCTTAGTCGAGGCGATCCTGATTATCGCGGTCTCGACCAACATCGCCTCCTACTGCGGTTACAATGTTAATCACATGGACCTCAGTCCAAACTTCGCCGGTACGCTCATGGGATTCACGAACGCCGCCGCCAATGTCTGCAGTCTCCTCGCACCCATTGTCGCCGGGTGGATCGCCCCGGACACGGTAAGCGAAATATTCGTCGCGAAATATCGCTCGCGCGCTACAAGCTGTGATTGTTTCTTTATTTAGCCTGACGGCTGAATGTTGCCTAAAAGCCAAAATAACAGCGTATAGCCGTTACAATCACATCGTAAACGTCACATTTAAAACATTCCGGTGAAGTTGCGGTGAAGAGCGTCTGAAGATACGCTGTTTTATACATGACACTTCTTAATTTACCGTCTCTTGTTTTTTTCTTCTTTTAGAAAGACGTTTTGCAATGGCGCAACGTGTTCTTCTTGTCAGCCGGCTTATATCTAGTCGGCAATCTAATCTTCATTTTATTCGGCACGAGCAAAATACAACCGTGGAACGACGCGATCAAGAGTAGACGGGACAGTACTTTGGACAATGTTTCGAAGGCACCGACAACCGTTGTGACGATAGAAGAGCTAAAGAACATTGAGAAAATTCCATGACGATCGACGAAAGCACACAAACAAATTTTGCGTGCGCGCGATGTTGTTCTTTCTCTTCTTTTGTTCCCTAAGCTATAGGTGTCGTGTTTATTCCGCATGTATATGTATGCGAAATGTTGTATGCATAATTATCACATGGTAGCCTCTGAGAGGCTTATCGTTCCGAGGGAGCGTGTGTACATAAGTATTATTCAGTATTTATACGCCTTAAAGCTTGACTAACATCGTGAGACTAGACACCGCGACTATACAAATGCTCGTACATTTGCCACCAAATTGTCTCCATTTAAAAATCTGATGCGGGACCAACCGTCTGTGTTCTTCTCTCCATGATTTATCAAGTGGACTTTGCGGCGATGAAAATACCGCAATCTGATTTAAATAACTTAAAATTAATTTAGAATTAATTTAAAATTAAGTTTGACATATGTAATTTTACTTTGACTATCTAATTTAAAATTGTATTTACTCTCATGACATTCTATGTGACATTTAATTTGATTTCACGAGATGTCACTCGAAGGTGTACAGAGACTAATACTCATTTAAATTTGGAAATTACCTTAAACGAGAGATGTTCATTTGAAGAAGTGATTAAAATTTAATTCCATTAAAAAAATCTACCTGTAAATATAAAACTGCCGCTGTTCCCTGAGATTTCCTTAAGATATGCTTAAGTGTTAGTTCAGTCTTGCTTCAGATGATTTTTTGATACATTGACATGAATGGCACACACAATGAGTATTGCACCAACAGCAGTGAACAACAAAGTCACATAAGTGACGAGTGTCAAGAGGGATGAGTCACCAACTGGTATTGACCACTCGTAACTCTCGCTATTCGATACATTATACGGAATTTCTCGCCATTTTGCTGCCAAGCCAACGCATGGATCGCATAGGTTTATCTTGGATATTCTGTGATCTTTGAGCCTTTTTTGGCATCCCAGCAGCAACCTTGGCATTGGCAAAGTTACGCTCACAGAGCCACCAGTTTCTCGAGAGTACTGATAACGTTGATGAACAGGGATTGTCAAGATGTAGCTGGACAATGACATTATAGATCCACATGTTGTGACATTCTGCCATCCTGACTTTTCTGCAAATGACTCGACATTGGTTTCACCCATGGAGCATATTGTACTCTGGAATATTATTATTATTATTGATTCTTGATTAATATATTATATTCTGAAATGCTATTATTACTATATTGATGCTATAAACATAACGAAATCAGTTCATGAATCGGTTCAATATTATACAGCAATTAGAAAATTTTATATATATATATATATAGTGTAAAATATCACGATTCATTATGGCAATTTTCTTTTTTATTATTGTAAATCAATGAGTGATATCTTGGAATGACTAAATGCACATACCATCCCTCGCCTCCTCAATTCTGCTATTTCGTCCACATTGACATGCACAACCGAAGGTAATTCTTGGTATATCGCAACTGGACAGTCGTCATTTGTGAGTTTTTTGAAAGTCACATGGTATATCAACGTTCTGCAACAGGAAAGAGCGTTAAATAAATAGTGCAAGTAAGTTTGATTTACACCTAACGCTTTACTTTTAACCTATGAAATCCACTTCCTTCTACATCGAGTCGAATCTCGGCTTCCACGGCTGCGGAAACATGAAAATATCCGAAACACAGAATCAACGCGACGACAATTCGCGAAAGATTCGAATCGCGAACGCATGTCGTCATTTTCATATGCTCAAAATCACCGCCGAACTGTCACATGTAATCTCATCGAAACACATACCATAAGATTCCTGAACGCATTACGATATACTATATATATTAAAGACTGTCAGCCCTGGGTAAAATTTCGTATTGGCTAAAGGGCCCTGAGTGGCCCGGCGGTAATATAACAAGAGCAACAACAATACCGACTGTTTTAGCTACGCTGAAGATAACACGAACATTTGTTGTGAGTTAGTAAACAATCAAAACATTCCGTACCAAGCTTTTTTTGGCACTAAATATTTACGGTCAGAAAAGGTGGTGTTTTTGCTTTTCTTTGCCAACGGGAATACGAATCTTTCTGTCTCGAATGTAATTCAAATAAAATGTACTGTCAGTTGCCTTCTTGATAGTTTCCAACATCTTTCGGCCATTACTTCATATCTGGTATTATTTATGCTTATTTTGATCAACAACAGGTAATATACGACGAGGTAATATGAAGACTGACAGACCTGGGTAAGTTTTCGTATCAACTAAAGGGGCCCTTAGGTAGAAGAGCAATGATAAATGACCGATTGCTTTAGCTACGCTCATAATAGCTAGCAATTATCGCGTGGTACGTGGTGAGGGGAAAGACAACACGCCGCTATTCATGTTTTATTTCGCGGCTCCCACGTCTCTCGACGCATGTCACCAGCAGTTGCTGAATCGACTAGGCCACGCTGTGACCCGAATGGCTGCTAACCCGCTCTATATGTCTCCACGAGCTCTGCAACAATTGTTAGGAGACAACCTGTATCGCAGGGTATCGCAGAACAATTTTTACGACGACAACTCTTTGGCCTCGGGGCGGCTCATTAGCTTCGCTGCCAGGCGCGGGGCCGCGTCCACGTCGGTCGGCTATGAACCGGCTGCTTGTTTGCTTGCCGTCGTCGTCGTCGTCGTCATCGTCGTCCAGCTCTAGAAAGAAAAAGTAGCTTCGTTCATGATCAGTATGTTAACGCAAGAGCAGCGACGAGGTAAAACAGGAGTAGCGGCGGCTTGTCCTTCCTCTTCTTCTTCTTCTTCTTCTTCTTCTTCTTCTTCTTCTTGCACGTTGGCAACTGTCGTTGGATCATATATGGGCCGCGCTTGGCTTCGTTGCTTTTTCGAGACCATCTCGGCGCGTGCTCATTCGTTACATTTCTGTAATTAATAGTTCGGTTGTTGCGAACATCGCAAAATGGTATGGGGATTTTATATTTAGTTTAATCCATTCTATGTCTTCATGGATTCCTCGGAGCGAGGAATTTGTGAAACACTCTGTATATATGTTTCGGATCGCATAATTTTAGTATTATTTCAACTTCGAATTATTAACTTAAGGAATGCCAACGTGTGTACGATACTCAAAATAAAAATTATTCTAAATTTTCTCACGTCTTGCAATCCTAAGAGACATACGCACATACATATTCGGCCTGTTTTCTATATTAATAGTCTTTGATATCTTTTTCTTCCGATATCTTTTTTCCATTATTCCATATCTGTTACCATCCATGCTTATTTCGAGCTATGTTTCATATTTCGGCCACGATATTCCTAAGAGGGCGCTAGTGCACAACGAAATTTCTCTGGTACGCTAAATCCCGTAAGGCCAGCAGTCTTTATTAAAGTCAGCGGCACACGGTGCTTGTTTTCGTGCTGGATTGGTGCATTACCATTCATCTTCGGAAATGTACCAATCAGAACGCAGTATTTTCATCCAGCAAGCAATCCAGCATGAAAACAAGCACCGTGTGCCGCTGGCTTTATAGTATCTCTCGTCGATGGCTACAGCTTCGTGTTCCAGTCAGCTACTTCCAAGAGGGCGTTAGCGCTCAGCGAGATTTTCTGGCACTTAAAATCCCGTAAGGCTAACGGTCTTTATTAGTATCTCGTCGGTGGTATTGGTACGCGCGTACCAGCCAGATGCCACGGCCACCTCGAGTATCAAATATGGCGCCAATCGCGTACCACCGCTGTTGAGGGTAAGGAGGTTTAAGGATCGTCGATGAGTGTGTCAACTCGACTCGACTTTAATTTTGCGGCTGTAGAGCTCTCGCCCGCATGATCCGACCGACCTTCGCGGAGTGATATGTCCTCGTACACGTTCTCGCAGAAACTGTTCACGCCGACGCCACCTGAGCGCGGCAGCTTTCCGTTGGATCACGAAGGCATTTGCAAGGGCATTATGATCAAGTATATGCGCTGCTTATCGGAACACTACAACCGGAACGAATCGTGCCGCGACGTCGCCAGAGAATATCTCGGTTGCCGTATGGACCACAACTTAATGGCTCGCGAGGATTGGTCCAAACTTGGCTTCAACGTCGACCAGTCCAAGGAGATATAGATTTCGTCCTCGTCGTGGACCATCCCTACTGCCCTCGATTCTGCCTGCCTGGCGCATTCGATTGTCGTGTTGTTTTTGTCATTGTTGTTGTCGATGAAACTTTGCGGTAGTCTTCTAAAACGTGAGAGCGGACTTGTAAAAGTTAGTACAATTTGATGTAAATCGAATAACGACAACTTGTTATCAGAGTGCTTATTGTATCGGCGAATGTAGTGCTTCATCGCTGGAATCGATGTTTCTCAGGCGGACAGCGTCGCTCTTATCACCAGATAAGGCGTGATAAGAACTTTGCTTTGGCTTCTTCATGCGTAGCATTATCATGAGAATCCGTGATATTAGCGGGAAGAATAGCGAGAAATTCTAAATGATGCATCGATTCTGTGTGTGATTTACCATTAGAGAAGGAAGATCACGTTGAAGATCACGAATTCCAAGTTATCGTAATCGTAGGTCGATTTGAGCCTCTCTAATTATCGCGCGTTTCCACTTTTCGTTTTCAACAACGACTCCCTGATAAGATTCTCAAAAGATTGGAAACGTGTAAACACAAACGTTACAAACTGCTTTCTGAAAGCTCCTGATGCGCAGGAACTAGACAGACAAGCAGAATTGTACGAAACAGAGGAGCTCTTCAAATTTAGAGCATTCTGGTAGTTTCTGTCACTGTGTATCTCTGCGATTGAATCTTGTTGCAACCGGTGGCCTAAGATTATTGATAGCGTTAACAAATTCTAATATTTATCTTACGTCATAGCGGAAAGATTTCGCCAAAGTACGTGAATTATTATTATTATTATTATCATCTATAACAAATAGTTCAACAGAATCGAAAAGATGGCACATATTACCAAGAGGAAAGTATTGCTCGGTTGCACTGGTAGTGTAGCTACCATCAAGCTGCCAGAGCTGGTGCAGAAGTTGCTAGACAAGGATATGGAAGTACGGGTGGTTGTAACAGAGCGAGCAAAGCACTTTATAAAGGATGTGGACTTGCCGTCGGGTGTCCAAGTGCTATCTGACACAGTGGAATGGGCAGCTTGGCAGGGCCGAGGCGATCCGGTGATTCATATAGACCTGATGAAATGGGCAGACATCTTTGTGATAGCACCACTGGATGCCAACACCATGGCAAAGATAGCCAATGGCATATGTGACAACCTGCTCACCTGTGTGGCGCGTGCTTGGACCAATATGAAACCAGCAATCTTCTGCCCAGCCATGAACTTTAACATGTGGCAACATCCAACTACTGCGCCTCAGGTGAGATGGAAAAAGACTGTACAATAAAGAATTTTCTATATAAAATTAGGATTCTTTTCACATTCTAAATCAAATAATATCAAATAAATATCTATGGTCTGTCATGGTAAACCGAAAGAAGAGAAAAATATTTGAGTGAGAGAGAGAGAGAGAGAGAGAGAGAGAGAGAACATAAATCTAAATGTACTATTCCAAGATTGATAATATAAGATTTTATTTATATAATACACGACTGTAAGCTATTACCCATTTGTTCGAAACCTCTAATTTGTCTTTTTTTTTTTTTGGCAAAAAACGCTTTCCGCGTTGTCAGGAATTGTAACAAAATTTGGGGATTGTAAAGTTTGATAGCGCAGAAAACACTGGAAGAAATTTTGGCAGAAATTAGGTCATAGGGTTTGAAGCAAAATATCAAAAGTTTATTACATCTATTGTAGAACGACCTTGACAAGCAATAATTGATACCTTGATGTCGCAGGTGGAACTGCTCAGATCCTGGGGTTACAAAGAAGTGTCCTGCATAAAAAAACTACTTATGTGCGGCGACGAAGGAATGGGCGCGATGGCCGAGGTAGATACGATCGTCCAGACCACCGTACGTATGTTGGAACCTCGAGATCCGTATATGACTGTGTATTCAGTACCTTAAACAGCTGTCAACGATACCAACATCAATGAGGCCGTGCTGTCAAGCACGATCTTTATGAAAACGTCGTGCTTCGTTCAAGTACACACAGACTTCACTTGTTGGAGCCGTATACGAGATACCAAAGCGAAGGCAATAGTGAAGAGTATTTCGATTGAATTGTTGAGCATATCCTCAGTTACAAAGAATTTTCAACGTTACGCTAATAATAATAATAATAATGATAATATGTCTCGAAAGTAGTACCTACGTCAGTGCTTGGAATTATTTTCACTTTTCAGACGATTTTCGGGAATTTTCTCTCGCTTCCCCTTGTCTCTTACTGCACTATCGTACTATGGCCCGCTAGCGGCCATAGATCTAACAGTCGCGCTTCCCGCCTCAGGGCAGATTGTCATCGACATCATAATACATAATAAAAAACGCTTACCAATATCTGTGAAATTATCTGTAATTACAGTTATTGGTAAGCGCCTATGATGTCAACCTATGATGCGGACCTCAGGCGAGGAGCGCGACTGTCAGACCTATGGCCAGTGAGCGTGGAGCGTGCATATATATAACAATATGTGGTTATTCCACAAGATTGCAATAAGAAAATTCCCGGAAGAAAGAAAGAAACGTTAGAAAGAGAAAGATTCTCCGAAGGAGTTACAATTTACGATATCTCTATTTATTTGAGATAAATAAATGTGAAATACTCTTTGTTGGTGCCATTGAAGGAATCTGTAATTATTTATGAAATGTACCAATAACTGAGGAAAGCAGGAGGGAAAATGTTAATTCGATAAATTTCTTAAACGATAAATTTCTCCCAGATACTATAATGTTTCTCAAACAAATGCGTCGCTCCAAATTAAAGGATCTGTTGAATTATATTACGGCAAGTAAAATGATTGTATAATGATTATTATTAATTACTATTCTAACGGTGTTCTGCTTGGAAACGGTGAAGTCCGTGTACATGATACGAGTAACAGAGTTATATACGTTCGAAGATATGGTCCTCGTACGCTTTGCCTGAATCAATCATCACATACCGGAGGAACAAATGAGATAATCCAAATCATAAATTTTGCTTGTCTATCAATTGCGTCGAGATACATTGTAAAGGAATAATGTTGTAAAAAAGAAAAAAAGATTCTGTTAACATATCCTAAAGCTGATGCGCCTGAATGTACATGCTTTTGTTAAATATATGAATGATATATCACAGATGATGAAAAGAATATAAATTTATATGGAATATTCCTATAGAGAGAGAGAGAGAGAGAGAGAGAGAGAGAGAGAGAGAAATATCTTTCTTTCTCCTAGAGATACGTATAAACTTAATATCTTAATATGATGTACAAAATTCAACTACATGTTTCTTCAATTTTTATAACTGATAAAAGACATAATATACTTTTTTTTTATATTATACGCGATTACGTTTATTTGAATTTATTACTGTTATTGTGAATTTATAATTATATATCTGTATAAATTTTAATTCTTTGATTAAAAATTCTTAAAAATTGGATTATATTTATCACCTACACAATTATGTATATGTGTATTTACAAATTATGTAATATATATATATATATATATATATATATATATATATATATAATATGAAAATTATATAATGATTATTTTATCGTGTAATTAAGCGATGATATTCAGTAAAATCATTTTATTTCCGTATATACATATATAAAAAGCACGATCTTACGATATATTATATAATATGTATAGTATACGATCGGCACGTTAAACTAAATTTCCCTCAAGTTTGGAATAAATGAAGGACGAGCAGGTTCGAGGTGAACTCTGTATCTCTCGCGGCGATCTTCTCGATTGGACCGCGCGAGAGAAATATCGCCTATATGTACTTTCCCCGTAACAAAGATCCAACCAGAATAAAGAAAAAGAATTGTTAATTGATAACAGAAATATTATTTATATATAAATTTGCATGTCTTTGTTTATTTTAACAGATGCGACTCATTTAGCGACACGCGCGACTTTGATATAATCATTATATAATTATACATATAACACACATACACATGCACGCACACGCGCACGCGCGCGCGCACACACACACATACACACATACGGGATGTATATATGAAAATGCTTGGATAAACCTTGCAAGCGCCAAATCTGGATAATACGAGATCCTTCTTGTAAGAAAAAACTTAGTAATTAGTGATGATCGTTGCCGCATTTTTTTTTTTCTTTTCATTTTTAAAGAAGGAAAATTCCAATTCTCCAAGGAAAGTGATGCTTGCGCAGTTGGTCCATGCATTTTGAAAACACAACGCCGTATATAAATTTGTAAGATCGAATTTACCGCAATATTGCAGTATTTTCATATTTTACCTTTTTTGCGCTACACTCCTTGACATTACGCTAACTACGCTCGACCGCGCGCGGTATATAAATATCACAGTTTATAAAACTGGCGACACATTGCCCGTGCCCTTTTCTGCTAAATTAATGCGATATTAATTAATACAATATTTATAGTAAAATACATGCTCTTTATCGTGAATCTCAATTATCTCATCATCATTTAGAAAATGCATCGTTTAGAACATCGTTTACCTTTGAGTAATCCCGTAATATTATACGGCAGGACGATTAACGGAGCGATCGATTAATCGATTGTGCGGCATTGGTCCTTGGAAGGGATATAATAGCGGGGATCTCTATCTCAATCGTAAAATTGAACTAAAGTGTAAAAAGAACATCGAAAATGTTGGATGGATTCTTTCGGCAGTGATTGGTTCGTTAATTATTAGCATTGCAAGGATTCGTTCACTTCGGAGTATATAAATTATGTCTTAAGTTAATTACTTCTCGTACCGTATATAAATGCAGCCGTCTAAAAAGATAGTGTACAAAAATATGCCTCGACATATGCTCAACACGCAGCAGCGCGTCATATTTCCACGGCAAAAATGCCAGGGATGATTCAGACCCAGATCACACTCGGAGAAAAAGTTCAATTTTTTGCTGAGTTATTGCAGAATTCTCGCGAATTTTAAATACGCGTACATAATTTTAAGCTTATCATGAGAAATCTGCAAAAGTTCCGGCGCACACTCACATACATATCGATATAGTTTAATTTATGGAACAGCAGAGCATATTTTATTTTAAGTTCATTCAAGTTAGCTACGATTTTAGTTGCCGTATCGTTTCCCGATTCCTTCCGGTCTAGTTTCTATTTTATATCGTAAATTTTGAAATTATGTTAACGTCTTTCATTACATATGAAAAAATCTTCTCTCCTCAGAGGTGCACCGCGAGTGTCTTAGGTCGATATCATCCATAGGGTTCTATTCGAACCGTGTAATCGTGATGATTTCTTCGTGTGAAGAATTAGCGACAAGTTGACTATTTCGAGGATACGACTTTGTGCGTCGTATCGTTACACGAAGCGATCTCCCTCGAAATCTTGCTCAATCCGGATCAGCGGAAGAAGTCGCGTGCCTTCCTATGCCCGGGAAGTGTCCGTTTCGTCGACTCGTCGACGGTTCTCCGACACAAAAATCCGATTGGCTTGTTTGATGTTCGTATTCGCGCGCGCGCGCGCGCGAAAGGACACACGCGTTACAGCAACAATCTGAAAACACGTGAAAGATACCATGGCAGTGGCTGTTTCTTTAAATCTTTAAATGCTTAATTTACACATCTAAACTGCATGCATTGGATTTTACACGCAAGCTACATAAAATATTTTGTTTAAAATTCTTTGTTTTCAAAATTACATTTTTACGTGAAAATGTAAATGTAAAAATGTAATTTTAGGAACGAATATACTTTGAATTTTTCGTCACCAGAGTGCGTGATAAATTAGATATAATTGTTATTACTTACAAAGAATTAAAGAAACTCATAGCGACTATTGCGAGTATCGATGCGGTTGCACTCGCGGAGGAGGTTGTCATAATCCTCGACTTTCTGGGCAGATTTGTCTCGACGTCGTTGGTCTCTACTTCCGGCGGACAACCCATCCAAACTGGCCCTGAAAGCTTTTGCTTCTCGTGGGCTACTTTCATTCTGAGGTCATCAAACTCCCAGAAACCTTTGCCTTTGAAGAAGTATGTCTTATCTGTCGAGAAGTATAACTAAATTATTGGATGGCGGCAATGTGCAAAATTGCATATATAAGAATAAGAATAAGAGAATATAATATAAGAATAAGAGAATTTACACACACACACACACACACACACACACACACACATACACGTTTCATTAGAGAATTTTCAAAACAGTGATTTGACGATTGATATTCGAAACCTACGATCCTTCCACTGAAAAACGGCATCAATGTTGCTCCCAATGCCAGCAAACATGTTTATATCCCTGGGATAATCCAGCTCTATGTAATTGATAGATTCATCGAACCTGCGCGTTAAGTAAAAAGATATTGATTACCATTGTGCGTCATTACTGTCGATCAACTCATCGGCGACTGAATCATCGTACACAAATCATCAGCACAAATTATTCTAATTACCTCCAGTACTTGGAGCCACTGAAGAAGTAAGTCCTGTTGTTGTAACCCCACACCATGGCGCCATCGATCTTCTCCAAGGAGGCCGGTAGTCCCAGATACGTTAACGGCTTTGGATAACCCGCCTCCAGGATATTGGCGTTGAAGACGTAATACTCGCGACCGATGAAGAAGACTATCTTCTTGTCCAGTCGCTCGTAGACAGCGTCCACGTAGTCAATGTCTAACGGCAGGTTGAATAATCTGGTAATCTCCGCCGGGTATCCCTCGTAGATACCTTGCTCGCCTATTCTCCATAGATACTGCGTGGGAGTAAAGGAAGATTCCATTAGTGGAAGCCCCGTATGATTTCAAGCGACTTCAGCCCTAACTTTATCTATTTGTTATTATACGTATTCGTATCGAAACGCAGCGAGAATAACAAAGTAATTATTGAGAACCAATGAGAAGAAAGCTAATTCGATTTAATTGCATGCAACAATGTTATCCGACAAGCGGCCGTGTAATTGGCCAAGTTGTTGTCTACGATGTTTCGCGCCATCGTACGTTTTAGCAACATTGGTATTACCTCTATTATCATTAAAAGAAAATTCTGAAGATAATGTCAGGTTGTCGAGGTTACCGATCCAATATCTTTCTCTTTCAAGGATCAGACATTCCGCTTACCCGTCCCTTGAAGATAAAGATCTCCCTGCGGATGATGCTGATAGCGTCGTAGCTGGTGTCACATTTGTCGGGTACATCGTCCCGTTGCTGCGGAGTCCACCGCTGCCTGAACCTCGGCCTCATTGTCGTCGTCGTCGTAGTCGTCGTCGTTGTCGTCGTCGTCGTCGTCGTCATCGTCGTGTGGTGCCGATGAGGTTTGCGCGGCCGATAGTCCGGTTTTTGCGGATAACGACCCGGCGTCTGTCGAGGTCTGTCATCGTCTGGATAATGATTAGGCCTCGTGGGTCTGGTCCTCCAAGGTCTGTACGTCGTCGGGACGGACACGACCGTTCTTGTCGTCGTCGTCATCGGTGGTGGCGGTGGTCGCTCCGGAGGCGGCGGGCCACCTGGTATATTGCCCCAGAGTTTACCCTCGGGAGCACCTGAAAGAAGCGTGTAAGAGTGAATTTTAGTTCACTTTATCCATCTCACCTACTCAATTCAATCTACGTACACATTTACGTATCACATACACGAGCACGACGCACGCCGACGACGATGGCGCGTGCCCCGAGAAATCCGATCTTGTAAGAGAGATATTATCGCGACGAGCTTACGATGATTTCGTTTTCCAGACTGATGATAAATCGACGCGACACGAGTTGACGTTATAACTCATCAGAACGCGCGTGAATAGGCGCGTGTTTCAAACCGATTCATTCATTCGGCACAGAGAGGAAGAAGAGAGAGAGAGAGAGAGAGAGAGAGACGTGAGTAAGTGCACTCTGCGCGAGCGCGAGTACGCTAATACGGAGGAGAGATAAAAGGAAGAGAGAAAACGGATCCCGGTTCTTTGCAATCATCAACGTGATGAATACAGCTGTCGTCTTTCACGACGACCCGGTGAAAAGAAATCCTGGATCGGGGCGCGCACCATCAATATCGGATAATTTGTATCCGGATGCGCCGCGCCGGAGCGACATGCTTGCAACGAGAGAGAGAGAGAGAGAGAGAGAGGGGGAGAGAGAGAGAGAGAGAGAGAGAGACAGGCAAGCCAGCTATAAAGAAGAGAGGGGAAAAATCACTGAGATTCAACGTTTAAATGGTATATTCGCGTCTCGCGTTTTACATCATGCGGATGACAGCGTATTGTATTCGAGAAGACGGTTAAAGTACGCGATAAAACATGCGATATACTCATCTCTTTATCACGCCACAAAATTTATTTTCCACATCCACGGTCGAAATTCGAATGGCGCGGCGCGGCGCGTTCCAATTAATCAAAAAATACAAACTTCGTGTTAGTACTCCGCTTCGAGCGAGATATCTCTTTGTCCAATTTTTTCTTTTATTTCTACCTTGCATTCGCAATTTGCGCCAAGTATTAGTTACCGCGACTTTAATTAGCCTATCGCAACTGTTTGCCAATTTCGGGACGGGTGAGCTTTTTTTCCATTCAAGTCACGCTTGCACTTGCTTTCGACCGGCGAGCATCAGTAAAACGCGTTTCGCGATTCGCCGAGGGAGTATTGACTTTCCCGGATATATACGGACATTATTTCACTTTGCCGATCGGCAAGCGGTCGGGCTTTTAAATGCCTCTCTCCGCAGAAGTTGATTTTGCGCCACGCAGCTTCCGATCCACCTCGAAAATTGAATTGAATTTTTCGATATTACATACGTACGTATCGTACGTATCGTATGTATGTATATCTGTGCACGCCTGGTGTGTGTGTGTGTGTGTGTGTGCGCGCACGTACGCGCATGTGGCAATAGGCGTCTATATTTTTATTACTTCTGCCAGATCTCATTTGCTTTCGTTTGTCGCGTTAGATCGATGCGAAACGTCGAGTACTAATCTAAACGACGGCGAGCCGTTACTTGCCGCTGATAAGCACGCGCGCCAACACAGCAATGCGATGATTGATCCTGATCGCTCCTAATCGCTCCTAAGTGTATCTAAACGCGCACTCGTTAAAATTAGTAGATTATATACGCTACTGGTACAATGCACTTTCATCTCGTCAACGTGAACAAACTTTTGAAAAATATGAAGCAATCTGCATGATGTTGCCTCGTCGATGTTGCCGAGTGTTCTCTATTGGCGCGATTGCGTTTACGACACGTTTATGTAGGGATGCGTAAAAGTATAAGTTATTGCGAAAATGGAAGCGGTGATAAATTGATAAAGGTCGCTAGAAATGAAATCGTCAATGATGTAGAATGCAACTGAAGCGTCGCAACCTCACACAGGTATTTAAACAACAAAAGAGGAAGAGTTTGAAATTTACACACACGAACATAAATCACGCTCGATGCTGTATTATGTTCGTGTAAAAAATATCTCGCCGGTAGAAATGTTTTACGAAGTGAAATCGTCGTTGTGGGATAATAAATTTTCGAGAAGGTACGTGCACGCGTTATCAAGAGGGGTTCTTTTTCTCTCTTTTTCCTCAGTTTCTCATTTTCAATGGAGAGGGGGGCATTACGTCTAGGCAGTCAAATCGCTCGTTAATTCCGGCCGTGAGCGCGAAAATTGGATTGACGGGCTGAAATTACGGAGGAGAGTTCGCGCCAAATCGCGTATTCTTCCTCGGACATGCACATGCGACCGCGTTCAATTCCGTTCGCGTGCGTGCGTGTCGCACAACGGCGTGCCAAAATTTACGTTATCGAGCGAAATAACATTTGCATAATTCGTACCAAGAGATTGCGCGCGGTTGTTGAAACGGAACGATAAATAGAACGGTCGCTCATTGTCCACAGAGTACTAGATAATATAAATAAACAAATAAGTAAATAAGTAACGCACACAAGTGTATACATGCGTATGTATATACGTAGGACGCGCGCGCATATGCATTTTGAAAATTGTAAATTGTAATGCGAAAATATAGGCAAAGATAGGTGGACAGAAAATTCGTTTTCACGAGCCACGGGTGAACGCATAAAACATTGTCGCGGATGCGTAATTTCTCGGAAAAATAAACGTAAAGCAGACGGTTACGTTTACAGAGGAGGGGATTTAACGATCGCGGGAAAATACCCGGCCCGGGGAAGGGTAGAGAATAGTTTTCGCGATGGTTTTTGCGAGCGTTCGCGGTGTCCCATTTGCATAGAAATCCGGCTGCGCGGAAATCAGCGGCAGCTTATCGTGCACACAGCATGTGGACGCGATAGCCGGGTGTAACGGCGTCGATTCCGCAGTTGAGCGATAATTAATATTCGCCGGTGACTTGGCAATTAGTGCAATCTAGACAGACATACATACGTACAAAGAAAGTGAGAGAGAGAGAGAGAGAGAGAGCGTGTATGAGAGAGAATCTGGTTCTTCGAGCGTCGAATCTAATCTCGATATCCGACCGCCCGTCGATGCAATTACAATAACGACGCTCGATAATTGCCCCTCTGTTTTCGCACCTCCCAATACTCTCTAACGTTTCCTCGCTGTTCGCAGCGAGTAGCTCTCTATTCGCCGCGAGTGCGAATGCGAGCGTGTCATCTTTTTTTCCGATATATATGCTATATAATTTTCATTTGTAATAAAAACGTTGCCGGCGTCTCATGTAATTACCTCTCGCCTTGCGTAGTCGTAGGAAAAATTTCGTCACGTCAGACCGAAACAAGAGAAATGATAAAGTGATTTTCACGGAGATGTCGAATTTGAACTCGAGCGCAAGCTAAGCAAAGTTGTCGCACGACTAGAATCTCATTTCAATTCGAACGATCTGAAGTTCGCGAGTTGTTCCTTAGAGTTGTTTCTCGCGCAGCAAGCCACGCAAACGGGCTCAACTCTAAGGCGGGAGAGCCTTATTTTCTAATAGCAGCCGTTTCGATTAGAACGAATACAGGCGGCGCGCATTAGCGTTGCCGGTGGCTGCAACGAGGAATTACTTACGATCCGTGAAAATCGGACACAACACAACCGGGATCGCCGGCGAACGGACGAGTCCAATCTCCGACTAGGTGCCGATTACGGGGGATCAACGGAAGGAAACGGCGGCGATAACAGTTTTGAGCGGCGAGAAAAACAGAGCAGAGCACTGCGCGTCGTCCGTAAACGGGCCGTAAACGTATATATAAGGCACGGACGCTATTCGCGATATATTTATCGCGGAACAGAGAATGAGCGAGTACATCGTCAATTACTCCCTCGACTTCGGAATTTCCTTCCGGCGTGGCCGGGAACCCGAACGTCTTCGTCTGCCGCGTCGGAAATAACGGCGGAATTTATCACCGCGCGCCGAAGTGCTATTACGAGGAGATCGAGAAAATATCGCTCTCTCTTTACAAGCAGGTCGATGCAAAAGTACTTTGCAAAGGTGGCGTTTCTATCCGAGTCGGAAACATGGGAGCTGCGATTCCACTTTTGGGAATCTGAACGAACGGATGAATTCCGCGTGCCCTTTTCGCTCGGAAATGTAAAGAGATTTGTATCGTGGATACAGGGATGCTCTCTTGTATCTCTTTCTTTCGATAAAATACGCTGTATACTCCTGGACTCTTTTTCACGCGATTGTAAAACCACCAGAAGCGTATTTTGGCCCGAGGCTTCATTACACGTTGCCAAAGGAATGTTCGTGCATTTTATCTCTCGTGAGAAAAGTAGAATAATAGAGAAGAGGAGGATGAGGAAGAGGAGAGAGACATTTTTACCGCATTGATTCGGCGCCTAGAGTCTTCCGGAATGCTTTCGTGGAAAGTAGGATATTCAGAAAAATCCGCGGTACGCAATGCAGGTCAGCGGCTTTAAGAATTTGCTAGATTAAACCGCCCTCGAGAGACGTCGCCTGGTAGGATCTCGTCACGACCAGGCAAATTATGATTTCGAACCTTCAAATGTTTTTTATACTTATATAGAAAACCGGCAACGAGAGACAAAAACGTGGATAGTTGAAAGAAAGAGGGAACACTTTATAAAAGGAAAGGATGGACCGTGCCAAAATACAGTTGATAATCTATTTTCTCTAAATTTTATGCATTTTGAGTCGAAAACGAGAAAAGATTTGTATATGTTGCCAACTAATGCTTTATCGAAACATATAAGTTTATACTTTGTCAAGGAAATTTCCTCGTCAAGGTTCGTTAGTCTTGAATTATTTCAAATACTTTCTATTATATTTAGAAATTGCACGATAAAAGGTGCCGCAGGGATTCGTCGTCAGTATAATCTGACGAATACACAAGCAACGAAATCGACGTTGACTGCTGTTCGATTGAAAATCGGAACGTTGGAGTATACTAAACCAAAGAGAAGAGATGGAAATGGCTCGAGGCCCCGAGCCATGCGATCCAAAAGGATCACAAAACTTTCGTGTCAGAGTCAATCTCGGTATCGTAAAATCAAGAGAGAGATAGAGAGAGAGAGAGAGAGAGGGGGGGGAGGGAGAGAGAGAGAGAGAGAGAGAGAGAGAGAGAGAGAGAGAGAGAGAGAGAGAGAGAG